GAAGGCTAAACGCCCCCGAGGGCAGGAAACGGCGATGCGAATGAAACCCGTCCGCCCGAGGAGGCTAAAATGACGTCTTGCGGCCCACAGATACCTTCTTACACACTTGAATGAGGATATTGAGAATGTGCACAATTAAAACGCTGACATGCGTCACTGTGGTGGAGGTGTCAATACACCTTTGTGCTTGTGAACATGCGTTGCACTTAATATTTGCATATGATGAGTGCTTGTTCGGGGGCCTTTTCATCCAGGCGACAGTGAAGTGTGTCTCTTTGTCTCACCTGCACACTGACACCGGAAGTTGCGTTGCACACACTCTCTTTCACTTCCTCTTCGATGGGAGGGCCTCTCTGCCGCCTTTTCTCAGCGTCTGTGTCCTCAATGAAAACCACAGTAATACTTTACAGCATAAAGGACGGATTGATTATGTGATTAATCTCTGCACACAACATCTTTATTGTTATTTGTTTGTCATACACCTTGGAGGCTTCATTGTTTGTTGATTGTTTTTTTCATTTTTTCTTTTATTTATAGGTCTTTTATGCAATATATTATTTTTCCAATTTAGTTTTTCATAAATAGTGCCTCTCGTTTACACAGTAAGTAAGTGCATGACATTCTGACTGCTTGTAGCTCTTGTTCCTCTTGAATGAACAAAATCAAGTCATTTTGGACGACAAATTGTCAAACCAAACTAAGCCAAAGTAATAGAACAAAGTTAATACATTGAACCACGATAAAGATCAAACAACCCTTAAGACTCTGTTGGGCGTTCTCATGTGGAGCGTATTACATTTTCATTGTTGCTTGTCTCTATTGTTAGTCTATAATACCCTTCTGCCCGCTGTGCTGGCAGGTTCCTAAATCGGGCCCTGCACCTCCGAGGTCCGATGTGACCGCAGTGGTCAGCGCCACTCAGGGAGGAAGGAGACAGCAGGCCTACAAGACCGAGATCATCGGCGGCGTGGTGGTGCACACTCCCATCCAGGTAACGAAAGGGACGTTTTGTAGCTTTCCCTCTGCCTCGATAACCGCTGTGTGTGTAATCTGAGATGTTTTAAAGATGTCGGTTACGTTGGCCACGACCGTTGCGTTGACATTAAAGACGGTGGTGATGAAATGTTTCAGAATGAAAGCGAAGAGACAGAAGGGAGGGAGAGGAAGGGTGACAGACCAGGTGTGTTGCGATGCGGTTACTGTGTCAAACAAGGAAATGTGGTGAGTACATATAGCCACTTATAACGGATGAACTCTGTTTCAATACAGAGATCTGCATTTCGAGACTGTAATATGCGTGTGTGTCTATCAGAGGAAGAGCTGGAAGAGGAGGTTCTTCACCCTGGATGACAATGCAGTCAGTTACTACAAGTCTGAGATGGTGAGGAGGCAGACCGTCTGTATTTATCCCCTGTTGGTGCCGCCTGTTGATGACTGTGGTCTTGGTCGTCGCATGCCTGAGTTGTGCTTACGCATGTCCCAGGACAAGGAGCCTCTGCGAGCTGTCCCACTGAGGGACATACAGAAGGTCCATGAATGTCTCGTCAAGTCGGGGTGAGTCAAATGAGAATTTATCAAGTTCACCGTTTTCCTTTTTCTCTCCCTGGTTACCACTCCGGTGATTAGTTTAGAACATTTTACACTTCAAATAGATAGAAACAGCATCAAGATTTCTGTATTCCAGAAGCAAACAATCGGCTAATTGAGGTGTCAGTAGTTTCCGTTTTGACGTTCTTTTTTTTCCGAAGAACTTGAACAACCCTTTTTTCAACATTTTCTGTTGAACGTGTGGCCACTTCCTGTATGATTCTGAATACATACATGACTCCGTAGAATACAAAACTCATACTGTTAGTAGATTTTGACATGGCTAAATACCGTCTGGCCCTCCCCTTAGCCACTGTTTTATCCAGCATGATAATTTCCCGCTGTGCATGTCAATCAGAGATCTGCTGCTGAGAGACAACCTGTTTGAGATCATCACCGGCTCCCGAACCTTCTACGTTCAGGTACAGTCTGCAACCCATCAGAGGCTTCGTTGCTCACAGGTTTTATGTCATGTTGGGAGCTCTCTGGGTGAAAAGCATGACCAGATACAAATTAGTCTCCGCGGAGGAGGTCTGTTTTCGCAGGTGTATCGGCCGTTGTTTTCTCTAAATGCTCTGCTGCTGTTGTGTGGCAAGGGGATCTTTTTTTAGTGCTAAAAGTTTGTTTTTGTCAACTGGACAAAGCCATCTGTTACCATAACTACAATAACATCCTGTCAGCCTCCCGGGAGAAGAACTGACAGAGAGAGAGAGACAGACAGAGAGAGAGACAGACAGAGAGAGACCGAGAGAGACAGAGAGAGAGAGGCGCTTTTATTTTTGTCTGCACAAACGTATAACTAATAATCAAATTAAAAACACCAAGACGATGCTCATAGTCGAAATGCCGACAGCATCTCAAATTAAAAAGAAATGGGAATACGGTTTAGAATTTGTGCAAGTCATTGTTATCTAAAAGTTTTGAATACCCTATAGTGATAAAACACATGTTGAACTCATAACAACTAATAATCTGAAGTATGTCTTCTTTATTTTATTTATTTAATGTAAACGTAATACCTATGTTATTAAAATGGTTTTGTTTTTGGCGGTAATGAATATATAGAACCTCACGAGTGACACATATAATAATATTTTTTTTAAATATGAAACGGGAAGCGTTGAATGAAGTGCAGACGTGTGGCTGTGGGAGGCGTTATCCTCTGTTGATGTTTGTCTCGCAGACGGACTCTCCGGAGGAGATGCATGGCTGGATCAGGGACATTGAAATGAAGATCCAGGACTTCAGAGGCCCCCCGAAGGTAACGCTGTCGTCTCTCTTCTTGACACAAACAAATCTTCAAAATTTTCTCGCCGTGCTCGACACTCATCCTGTTACCGTCGCTGTCACGCAGGGTTTTTCATTTAGACGTGCGTCTTCTCTCTATCGGAGTCCCAACGCGTCCTCGGCATCCCGAGGCCAGCAGCGCGAGGAGCGCCGGCCTGCGCTGGTCAAGTCCTGCTCCGTGGCACCGGGCTGGCAGCCCTGGACGCCCGTCCCTCCGTGTGAGCCCTGCACCCCGGACGCAGAGGATGAAGACAGCCCCTTCAGCCCCGTGTCCACGTTGCCTTCGCTCTCCTCCTCCTCCACCTCCTCCACCTCCACCTCCTCCTCCTCCAACTCCCTCTCCGCCACGACCAACTTCCTCGGCTCCAACCCGACCGGACCGGGCATCCTCGCTGCGTCCAGAGATGCGGCCGGCGGGCGTCGAAGGCACCGCTCGCAGCCTCAGCCTCACAGCGGCTGCAGCTTCCCCTTCAGCCTGGACGACGACGGCATCCGCACCACGGACGTGTAAGCGCCCGGCGAGCTCCGTCCGGACCCGCCGCTCGGGACTCCACAGTTTGGTACCCGCTTTTAAAATGAATGTGACTCGTAATGATAATTGTAGTATTCCCTGCTTTATGAAGTGACACTGTGACCACCCGCCTCGACGCCACGATGTGTAGCCATCTTGCCGACGAAGTATACGCGCACCTGGAAGCGGAGCGAGAGGCGCAGTGTTTGTTGTTCACAGGACTGTGAAGAAAGTACGATGGAATGTTTTTAGCGCGACTTCCTCTGAAAACTTGAATAATCTCGGTGTTAATTGTTCTTAAAGGCAAAGAAATGATGGCACATGCTTTCAGTCTGTGGCACTTGGCTCACCTCGGGGTCGTAATTCAAGAGTATGTTTTCACCCCTGCTAAAAGTGTTCACCCAAAGGTGTTTATGGCATTCAAACACATTAGCATCCATTTTCGTTTCTAGTCAAGCTCCTCTTCACAAAACATATTTTAGTTTTTTTTTTTTGAGGCCAGCAGTGTTTTTTTTTTTCCTCTTTCTTACTGAAACGCTTATATGACATCAACTTTTCTTCATTCATAATTAACAAATATTTGTTTACTAACATCTGTGTGTAGGTCTCATACAAAAAGGTACAAATGAATGAGGGCTTCTCTTTTTACGTGTTTGCACTGTTTTAACCAGGTGCGTTTATTACTTGGCAGAAGATCAACTGTCGGTAAACTGTGACTCCTCTCTTTGCTTTTAACAGGGTACCGTGATAATACAGCAGTGTTGAAATGGTACTTGTCCTAGAATGTTCTGCCACCATCAAGTACAGTTGATCAGCTGGTTGACAGCTTTGTAAATGTAACTTTCTTACTGCATTATGTGCCACTACTTCTGGTAATTCTGCACTTTGCTTTTGTTGTTTTTACTTGTTTTTTTGCCCCTACAGCAGATATTACACTTTCCTCTGAGATGATACCTCACATACTTTGTATTTCCACCGGTAGGCTCAGCCTTCAGCTTCCCCGCAACCCGTCATCGATGTTGTACCACGTTCACAACGGTTTCCGTTTTCTGAAGCTGTGTGCACTCGTCTGCCTGCATTTAGCGCATTTTCGTTCTTGTACATTAAATGATGCTTTTTATTTGTCTTATTTTAAGTTGTTTTTGCTTTGAGTTTTTCCACCTGGTTGCTGAATCAACCCACGTCTTTCACCACAGATAACACTAACTTTTTGACGTTTTCTAGATTCTTGTTTTCAAAGAAAAGATGGCATTCAGACTTCTAAAGTGTTAACTTTGTTTTCTTTTCCAAGTGAGAAAATGTCCCAACTGCCGGGCACGTCAGGGCCAAATTATTTGACCTTTTACAAAACCCCCAATAACACATTCATGCACGACACACACATGCCAATCTAGTGCCCAGAGGCCGTGTTAAGTGAAGTGGTTCACACGTCCAGTGCAAAGGTCCATTAGGTAAAACGCCTCAAACTCTGTCTTGACCTCGGTCCACTTTCTGCCTCCAAGTGCAGCTGTGTGGCCGAAGGACAGAGAGGGTAAAATGTCTGCGGCTTAGGTAAATAAAAAAAGGCCCAGAGTGCCCGTGAAATGTCAGATGTGTTGAAATGAGTTTTCAGTCTGTTAAAGACAAAGCTCCTCTAGCTACTCGAAAACTCCAAGCAGAAACATGTCAGGACGAACCAGTGGTGATGAGGAGGAGATGCAAGTCTAATAAGGTGTTTATTGGTATAAAATACATACAAATTCATCGATGGATCATTTGACACCGTGACCTAAAATATCCTGACAACATAATCCACCTCTGTTCACTTCCACAGCTTCCAGGTGGAAACGGTTTGAGAGATGATAAAGAGGTAAACGTCTGAAAAATGGCAGCGCAATAATCAGGAATCGGGAATAACCCTTAAAGGTTACGTTTATTTTCTGTGAGTGTGCACAAACATGATGTAAAGGTCACGCAGCACTTTAGTTCAACGCCTATGAGTGACAGGCAGCTCTGAGGGCAGACCGCCTTCCTAAATGTTAATGTTCCCACATGGATGAATCTGCCCCAGACGGCTCTGTCTTGCCCTCCTTCTCTTTGCCCCTCTCTGATGCCTTCGCACTGGGGATTTAAGTTGCGTCAAAAATACATCCATGTTCCTGCAGCAGCTCTAGCTGGATGCTGTTGCTCCAGATGCAGCTCAGGCGGTTAAGATGTATTCATGACGAAAAGTGCAATGTTTGTATTCCTCTGTTTGCCGAGGAAAGCCACTAGAGGGAGCTGCAAGACGACACACTTGATTCAGCACACTCGGATTCTCGGACACGAGCGCCTGCAGCATTCCTGCCATTTATAACTGGCAGCCAATGTATAGTGTCAATAAGGCCTTTCAATGTGATTCACGATATAAAAACACGACAAGCATTGTGCATCGAGGATGAGTGCCAAACATACTCTTGATGTTATGCCTCCTACAAAAGAAAAGTCCCGATAAAAAAAATGATTACATCAGGTCTTCAGTAAATGATGGTAAAATAACCTCATGAGTATTTTGTATTGAACAAAGTAATATAGATTTGGGTTGTTATTTCAGCAGTCACAAAGTTGACAATATGCACACTTATTTGGCTACAAATAAGACTGATACCAACGTATGTTGATCAAACGTTTTAGCAGAGCAAATGTTGTCTAATCATTTTAAATGAGTGGAGCTATAATGGTGATTGACTTTTTCAAGATGTATTCGTCTACGGAGAGTTCGCCCATGTCTGCCAAAAACATGTATAAAAGCATGACATGAACTGGCGAGAAGTAATGACTATATATATATTTAATGATTAATATGGCAGCACTGACTGCTAACGTGTTGGGTAAACGTCTGCCCCTGTAAACCAAAAAGTGATCCTATCTGACGGACCTTTACAATCATTGCACACGCGGACTTGTGCAGAAAGCAGAGTCTTCCCGACATGTGCAATGTGAAGTCATATTAATGTGGAACAGGTTGTCCTTCATCTGGACTCGGGGCCCCGTCTGGACCACCGCCAACCCCCCCATAACCCCCCACCCCCCCACCCCCCCATATCACCCCCTCCTCTGTTCCCACATCAGACCACCTTACAAACTGTGGGTTGGGGGTGTGTGTGTGTGTGTGTGTGTTGGGGGGGGGGGGGGGAATGGATTTTTTCCTTTGTGATGTGATTGTTTGCAGAGAAATGGGTTGACCTTGCCCTCTCGTGCCACACGCACACGCACACACTCGCTGTGGCCGAGCTGGAGGTGTGTGAGACGGACCTGCTGAGTGCAGGAGGTCTGGGACCCCGTCACCACTTCCTCCGTGCAGAGAACAGAGGAGCCAGTCAGCTGCAGCCAGGATGGGACAATAATGAGCCGTCCAGCCGCCACCTACACCTCATTTGCCTCGTGCTTTTTCTTCTGCACGGAGCCACCAGCCGAAGGCTGGAAGACCGCTGCACTCCGAAAAGATACACAATTGCAATAAATACTTAGATAAACCTTAAGTAAATGTAACACAAAAGAAACGCTGAGAATGTTTTTGTGTTTTAGGGTCGGACAATATTAAGATGCCACTGTGGAAATGCTGAGTTTTGGAAAGGTGATTTATATAATTAAAAGGTTTTAATTTGGTTTACAATATGAATGAATAAATTCACTATCTTCTAAAGCCGATTTTCAAATAACGTATATCTTATTTTTGTCTTCATTCTTCCATTATACAAAGCAGATGCTGGTCAAAATTTAAAAGTTTAGCCCAAAAAAATCAAAAGTCAAACTATTTTGTGTTTTGATTAAATTACCAATTAAAACTGTGCCTTTTTGAACAACGACAGAATAAGTCATCCCAATTATGTCGTTTGAAGTAAATTAGGGAGATGTATGTCATTATTGATTATTTGATTGATTATAAAATTAAATAGAAAGTTTTACAGAACTTTTCAGAAATATTTGATGAGACTATATGTCCTTCGGGACCACGTGAAATTATTTTAATTTTTAAAATAAACTACCAAACTGCAATAGACTCTATCACACTCCGTTGTGCTTCGAGAGTCAATAAACAAACGAGTGAGTTTGCTATATCACTAATTTTGCTGGAAAGTAATTTCTCACTGAAAGGAGCGCTAAAGATTAAAATATACCTCACTTAGATTTCGTTTTTATTACAAATGCATTATTTCTTTTTATTGTATTCAATGTCAAGGTGTAAAGCAGCTACCCCGTGGAATCAAACGAATAAGTGTAAATCTGTGCATTAGATCCCTTGAGACATTTTTATTAAAAATGTCGAGGCTGAAAATTGATAAAAACGAATATTTCAGCGTATTCGAGATGCCGCTATAAAGGTTATTCTGTGCAAGGCAATTAATCCTGCATCTGTTTGATTAGCTTTTTCAAGCAATATTTCTTTTCTTCCTTTAAAACATATTTAGAAATCCATTTTTATTTGCTTCGTGCGTTTATTTCTGTTTAGTTCGAAAGTTCCAAATTTAACTTGTGGGAGTCCAATAAATCCCAACTGTACATGAACACAATCAGTTTGATCAACTTAATTCAGGGCAATTCCAACAATAAACTACCAGCAGATCTTTCCAGATCGGTCTGATTAGTTAATGTATGTTCACTGAACTGCTTTAAAAATAACAAAAAAATGAGTTTTTCTTCCTTCAAAAGTCAGTTGTTAACGAACCTTGACTTTTGAAATGACTTGTGTAGGTGGCTATATTACATCAGTAAATATGAATACTTTTTGTAATATTATTGATTTATTTTGTCACGCTGTTTTCTTCTTGTTTTGTCCTTTGTGACTGTATCTTTAAAGAAGGCTGCGCGCGCTGTGTATCCAGGTTCGTTTGTGGGGAGCACGTGCACATCGGCCACTGAGCCCGACTCTCTTCGCTGCAACATCTGCTCGCACCGAGCTGCTAGAACTGGATCTCTGTCACCGGGCATTTTTATATTTTAACACGGTAAGAGCGGCCGTCGTGGATATATATTTGTCAACGAATGGGCACATGCGGATGGGCAAAAACGCAGCACATTTACACACAATTCCTACTTGTTATACGATTTTGTTGCAGTATTTATTTTCCTATTTTATTCTGGTTTAGTTCTGAACACTTATAATCTCGACACAAAGCGTAAGAAATAACGTCAACACCACAACGTCACCGCACACTGAATGAAATATAACTTAACCACAGCATGTTGGCCTCACGGTGACCCCTTAACTTTCCACCGTGGATGCCTCCGGTTATCAGGATCCACAGTAATCCAATCAAAATGTTGCGCGCTCGTGTGAACCCACTGCTGCTGCTGCTGACGTGGGCCTCCTGCATCTAGAATATGAGCTCATATGCGAGTGCTTCTCGTGTGAGATTAGAAAGTTATTATCATTTCGGGGGATGCAACCCAAATCCTCATCACATCTGTGCTGTAACAGTTGTGTTTTACTGAACTATAAAAGGAATTGGCCCTGGGAAATAGCCTTTAGGGTTTTTTTTGTATCGAAGCCCTTGATTTGAAATGAATCGTGTCATTGTTTTATTATATCCGCCATAGATGTTTCTTTGATATGAAGACGTGTGGATGAATTACCTCTTTACTGCGTAAAAATACCTCTTTTTGCGTTTCCCGAAGTTTGAAAAGTAAATATTCCCCAATAAATGTCATCTAATCATTTGGGACATTTTCTAATATTCCAATGTATCTAGGTACAAAATAAGTTTGCGTGTGTCCGTTTATGTGCGTGTGCACGCGCGTGTCTGTGCGCGTGCGCTTGTGCGATGTAGCGAATGAGAAAGCTTTATAAAGGATTTATTCCCACGTTAAAAATAAAAACTGTTAAATTCATACAAGTAACCCACCGACCGTGTTCGTGTGTGTGTGTGTGTGTGTGTGTGTGTGTGTGTGCGTGTGTGTGTGTGTGTGTGTGTGTGTGTGTGTGTGTGTGTGTGTGTGTGTGATTGGCCAGTGTCACAACAGTGATTTGGGGCTGCAGACGCCGATGCGCGTTGCAGACCTATGGGAGCGCAGGGACGGCAGAAGTGGGAGGGCAGAGTGCGACTGAGGCGGACTTGACTCCATTTGTAATGAAGGATCTGATGAGCGGGGGTTCAGATCCGGGCTGCCGATGAGTCCGAGAGGTCAACGAAGAGAGGAGTCATACAAACGAGGCGGAACTCACATCCGCGGCGAACGCATCCGCGGTCTCCGCAGCCGGCGGCGATGAGGAGCTGGTGGAGCGGACAGAGCGCAACGAGGAACAACCCGGTGATATTCCGGAGCTGCACTGGGCACATGGTGGATTTTTAGACCCGACGCTCGAGCATTTGAACTGTTGGATTTTACAGAATTAAAGCAAGCCTAAAAAATAAAGCCGGCTGCAGAGCGCGCAGGAGCAGGATGAGCGTGTTTTCTGCAGGGGGAGCTGAGCAGTACGTTTGAGGTAAAGGACCCCAGGGAGACCATGCATAATGCACATCAACACACGCACACATACACACACACACGCGCATACACACGCGGGTCAGGCAGACTGTAGTGTGCTTGTTTCATGTCAGCAAGATTCACAAAAATCGGCTGTGGGTCTTCAAGCTCGGATACTGTCCACATTAATGTGGACATAAAAAGAACGTACTTAATGTGAACTCAGGAGTTATAATGCAGACAACTGGATTTGTAATATCACATAAAAAGGCATGACCAAGGCAGTGTCGTGTCATCATTAGCTAAATAAAAGTTACGTTTGAAATTTGGAGACCTGCAGGTTTTGGATAAGTCAATGTGATCAGTCATCATCATCCTCTTTCTTTTTTTACAAAGAGGACCGTGAGTTATTTTATTTTTTTACACCTACGTTGACGCTTCTTTGTGTATTATGGAACAAAAAACGGTGTCTTCATATAAGTTTGTGTTACATCAGCCTTCACCGTTTTGGTTCTCGTAACACTAAATATATATGTTTTTTTATTATAGATCTTCACACAGACCCGAATTTCTCAAACAAACTTTGAATTATATTGTAGGTCAAGAACTAGACTTCAATATGAAATGTGCTATTACGGCCGCCAAAGAATACCATTGGCTGGCCTCTGTTGCTGGTAACCCTGTTCAGAACCAAATGCATAATGTGTGTGTGTGTGTGTGTGTGTGTGTGTGTGCCAGTGGGACATGGCAAACGGAGGGGACCAGTTCGGCCTTGCAGAGCGTCCGGACTCTCACTGCATGGATTCCCCGAAAGAGGCCAAACAGAAACATTCCAGTTACACTTTAGATTCACCAGCTTCACCGCAGAAGGCGTCCAGTCAGCCGGTACCAACCTGTACTGCAGACCATAATGTAAATACTGTTTTTTTTTTTTACTATTGATCAATTATTGACTTCAGATCGTTAATGCAGATTTATTTTATATGCATGACCGCAGAACTGCAGATGAAATATTTACTTTATTATCTGTAGGTCTAATTGCTGTGAGGAGATTTACTGCAGATCATAAACCCCCTAATCCATAGTTTACAATAGTTTTTGTTTAGGATCATACTACATTTAGTGACAAAAATGAAATGTGTGAGGAAGTCTTCTGAAAGTTAAATACTGCGTATTTATCTAGATGGCTTCCTCTTCAGTTGTAGTGAGAACTGTGTGTACTTTGCTGCAGGGGATGGAAGGAATCAAAGTTTTCCTCCACGATAGGGAACTTTGGACAAAGTTTGATGGAGTGGGAACTGAAATGATAATCACCAAGGCTGGAAGGTAAGAGGAGGAAGACATAATCATCTTTAGATTGTGTGACTTTAATCTCTTTGTTTTAATACAGCATATATCTACCAAAAATACTATAAGAGACTTTTAATGTACAAGACATATTTTCATAAGCAGCGCGTCCCAATGCCTGAGGGACGGGGTGTACAATGTGAATGCCTCGTGGGGACGTTTTATCTCCACGCTGCCTCTTTTATTTTTGCAAACTTCAGGTATTTTGATGAATGTGTGTCTGACAGGAAATTGTAATATTTTCCTCCTCAATGTCCTCTCTAGGAGGATGTTCCCCAGTTACAAGGTGAAGGTCACGGGACTCAACCCTAAAACCAAGTACATCCTCCTGATGGACATTGTCCCCGGGGACGACCACCGCTACAAGTTCGCAGACAACAAATGGTTCGTTATAGCAACATTTACACGTGTAGGAAATCCAAACTTCTTTATTGTACACATCAAATGTCATAAAATATGCATCCCGATGCTTTCCCCAAGGCATACTCTCGATAGATGATACACCTCTTGTTTATTAATGATATGAATGTTTGATATCCTTATTCAAACTAATATGACAAAGTGATTAATAAATAAAAAAGAGTAGACTACATCTGGGGATTTATGTTTTCGAAAACTCCCTCTTGTTTTTTGTTTTTGTTTTTTTAGACATCCCAGTCTAAAACCTAAGACGTTATGTGTGTGTGAAGCGTGTTGCTGTGGATTTAACTCCCTCCACTCGTGCCTCTAAAGGTCGCCTCCTCTCCGCAGACTCGGGTGACCTAATTCCCGTGTTTTCTCCCGTAATTGCCCGCCGGTGAAACCCGAGCAGAGAGAGAGAGAGAGAGCGAGAGAGAGACTGTGACGGGTTCACCGGGCGGACAGACGACACGGGCCGGATTAAACATAACATTCATCGGTGCGTTGGGCTGAGAGGGGGGATCCGAACGGACCCGCGGAGGCCGCTTCGCAGCGGCAACAGGAGCGCGTGGATATAAACACCGCTACGTCGCGGAGGCGAGCGGTGTTTGACAACTTGGAGCCGCCCTTCAGGTTTTGTTTTAAGAGATAGTTTCTGTTCCACGTAACCGGCTGCACATTAGTTTCCAAATTCGTGTTTATAGCTTCGTATTTTGTTTTGAAACTTGTATTAATATAATATTTCGCCGGTTCACGTAGCGCCCGAAACTATACTGACTTAGATGAGAAAAACATTTTCGAGCTCTTTATTCTTTGGCTTCACTTGATTATTAAATCACACCCATCACTAATTATTTTCGGCCCTTATTGTTGGTCTTTGTTGTTACCGTTTTTTGTGCTCACTTGCACAACGACTCTCTGTGAGGGGAAAAAGAACAGAGGCCGCATCGGTTTTAAACAGGGCAGAGTTGATGTGTGTCGAGTACGCGGTCAAGTTTCCATCTGCGCAAACTCCAGAAGGAAAACGGTGTGTTGGTCTAATAAAAGCACCACGTAGGCCTTTTTTTTTTTTTTTGCAGCCGGCGGCGGCAGCGCGGACCGCCTGCGTCGGGCCGAGCGGTGCGTCTGCGGTCAGACAACCCGCTGTGACGCAATGCGTGTCCACGTCTGACCGCTTCTGATCCGCTGTGCTCGTCTCCCCCCTAAAGGTCGATAACGGGGAAGGCAGAGCCCGCGATGCCCGGGAGGCTCTACGTCCACCCGGACTCCCCGGCCACCGGAGCTCACTGGAGCCGCCAGCTCGTCTCCTTTCAGAAGCTCAAACTCACCAACAACCACCTGGACCCCTTTGGACACGTGCGTTTTGTCTTCTTAGTGGCGTTTTGTTCACGTGCGCTATGCGTGTTTATTCGGAGCAGGAATTGGACTGATTGTTTAGCTCCTTGAATGCAGTTATGTGCCCGTACAGGCTGTCATACAACATTATTTAAAAGACGCTGACGTCCCGGTGAAAATGGTCTAATGGCCTGTTCATATCATATAGCAATAATATGCATTTTAAATAATACACTTTTTGATTCAGAAGAATGGTGTCACAGGTCCAGGCAGTTAAGCACTTAGGGTAGAACTTAGCAGACATCACAACGACACACAAATCAGCGGGAGGGCAGCATGGCAACACCGCAGACTCAACACCGGGACTCATTCCCGCCCGGCGCAGCTTTAATTGCTCCAGTTGCCCCAAAAGTCGCTCCGAACACACGCTATTTGCGCGAGAGTCGGTGAGCAATTGTCTCACATCAGCGCACTCAAAAACAAACAAAATAGTTTTTGTTTTGAGCTTGTTAAATTAGAGGTAATTATTAAAAGAAAAAAACTATGGCCAAAACAACGTATATCAACTACAGACACGTCACCGAGATTGAACTGTGCCCCCTTGGCTAAACAAACGTGCTCGTGCCCGTGCACGCGCGTACACATCGGAAGGTGATCCAATTTAAAAAAGAAAAAAAAAGCCCTCGTGGAGTTGCCACTATATGCGGAATGTAATGAGCAGCTATTGCTTCACATCTGTGTTTTAACGACGTTTCACCTTTAAAAAAAAGAACTAATAACGTTTCAGGTCACCAACCTCCAACAACATTGAATAGCTTGAATATCAATATAAATGTATATCTTTACATAAGAACAGATTGAGGTTCATCTGTTCAAAACAGAACAGAAATCCTTAAAAAGATATATTTATCTGATCCAAGATAGCTTTTGATGTGCACCCTCAAGTATCAAAGTAAGTTGGAAAAATGTCTGAATTTCATTAAAGGGTGAAGTGGAGAAAAAGTATGAAATAATATTGATGAATAGAAAGTTTGGCATTTAGTTTGAAACAAATATCTTCTCAAGGAGGACTCACAGAAACGGGACTTGCAAGGTGGAACTATTCTTTCTTGAGTTGACTTTACTTGCAAGTTTATTTTTTACTTAGTTTTAAGTTATTAAGTAGTTGATACAAAACTACGTCTTGCTTGATAATGCACAATAATATTCAGCAAAAAAGTTGCATTCATTCCTTAAAGTATAGCTGGAGACTTTCTTTATTAGTATACATCTTTAATTAAAATTAAAAATGAACTAAGCTGATCGGGTCAATACATCAAACGTTTATTGGAACTTAGGCCTTATTTCCAATAAAACAGTCAGATTATGCCTCTTAGGTCCAATTATAATAAGAAAGAAAAATGGTCAAAACTAAAATAAAAACCGCTTCATAATGACTTTGCTCTGAGTTGGCAGCATAGTTTCTGGTAACACTGAATTTGAATGCAAGAGAAGAAAGCCTCAATATAAGATACCTATATGCTATATAACAGGAATAGCTAATTATTGCATTCATGGCTTGCATCAGTTACAGCCTAGTTTGAAGGAATTTCATTAATCTCATCCAAGAAATCTGTGTACCTTGACATAAATTGGGTTCACCCTCCATCTGGCCCCCAGTCAACATCTGCTGGTGGGAAACATGCAGCGCCGTCAATCACACCTCCTCAATCTCTCCCCCCGTGCAGATAATTCTCAACTCCATGCACAAATACCAGCCTCGCCTTCACATTGTCAAGGCCGATGAGAACAACGGCTTCGGCTCAAAAAACACGGCTTTCTGCACCCATGTCTTCTCTGAGACGGCCTTCATCGCTGTGACTTCCTACCAGAACCACAAGGTACGCTTTACACAAGACACACTGGACCAACAGAACTTCACTCCATGTTAAATTTACCCATGGGGGCTACGGGTAAAAATAACACTGATGGAAGGTTATAAAAAACCAATACAAAAATATACTTTCGTAGATTATTCTTGGGCTTTATTGGTCATGAAGTGTGGTGGCAGACAGGAAGTGGGGGAGAGAGGGTTCTCTGCTCTAACCAGCAGCAGTAACCATTTGCCAGTCCCCAAAAAGTGACATTATAGGCTTCACTTGGTGCTTTCTTTTTTTTACAAATTGAAGCAATAGGTTACTTCATGATTCTTCTAGCATCGGTTCACAAAGTCTTATGTGTGCAAATCTGATCTATTCTGCTCTGATATCTGTGACTTGTTTTAAGATTTGCCTTTGCTCTTTGACCGTATTAAAACCTCCGTCTCTCACACACGGTGTACATTCACAATCCTTCACACACTCGCAGACATTCTCCCACACACACACATTCGCACACAAACTTTTACTTTGTTTGTATTACTGACCATATTTTATATCCAGAAAGTCAATTGGCTTGTTCTTTGTTTATGTGGCCTTACTTAGTATTTGTAAATATGTCCGAAAATAAGTAAGTTGTGTGTGTGAGAGCGAGAGAGTGTGTGAGTGTTGGTCTATAATGACCTGTTTCTTTCCCTTGATCTTTGCCGATCCAGTTTTCTTAACGTCTATTTGAAGATTGCTGAAGCTTTAAGCTGCTCTGCTAGTTAAGTTTTTAACAAGATGGTTTTTCGATGGGATTTAATTCCATAACAAAATAATAATTAGCACTTTAATTAAAATAAATTAATTTCATATATCAAAGCTATATATGCTATTCTTTCATTCATTTTGTAACAAAAAGTGTCTTGCAAAATAGATTAACAAATAATAATAAATTCAATTTATGTGCATTAATTTATTTAGCATAGCAATTACAGTTTTTTGTTTTTTGTCAGTTGGAGTATTGTAGTTTGTAAAAATGAGTTTTGATCAAACTGTCATGAAAACATAATTGTGTTTAAATTCATATTGTGTACTCTAAACCGCCCCAAAAATGTATTATTATTATTATTAGTGGCATTTGCAAAAGTTACTAATTAAATACATTTTAGGTATTCTACAAATTATTCTCACTTTTATAAATGTAATTTGTGTGCTGAAAGGCGGTTATTGTATATACAAATAAACGGAAGCATTTCTGTCATAGTTTATTACAAATCCCAGCGTTATCTTTCTGCTAAATCCAACAGTCATGGATACAATGGGAACTATTCGGCCAGTAGTTTGGTGGCGGTATCTGTATTATCGGCACTTAAACGTTTATTTAGACTTGCGCTCGGGTCAGATCTCAGACTACTTGCCACTTGCCTGCTGTGTGATGGTGGTTTTCCTCCATGACATCACTGAGAAAAGTTTGAAGACTTTAACATCAAAGCTTGCAGCTTTGGACCTCTAAAAGCTTTGGCCTGAAATCCTTAAACCTGGCGACTGTTTGGGTAAACAGTTTATTCTGTGTCAGCTGGCGAGGACGCAGTCCGCTCCGTTAGAAACGTCAGCTGCTGAGGAATGTTGGCCGAGCAGAGCTTCAGCAGGGCGGCTTTTAACATCTGTGAGGCCTCTCGCTATTAGTAAATGCTGGAGTTCCGTCAATGAAAAGAGCAGTTTAAAAACCGCCTTTGTGTGACTGTCCATGCTAGCATGTAAGTGTGTATGCTGTGGCCCCCACAAGTGTCTTGAGCTAAAGATTTTCTCTTTTGTCCTTAGATTACACAGTTGAAGATCGAGAATAATCCTTTTGCGAAGGGCTTCAGAGGGAGCGATGACAACGAGCTGCACCGCATGGCCAAGCTACAAGGGTGAGTACAGCGTTGTCTATGTGTGGGTTATTGCTGGGGTGGGTCTCCGTTAAATGAATATAACTCAATACAGTGTCCGCATATCTGTGTGCCTGTGAGCATTCAAAGGGAACACCAATGATCTCCTCTGACGGTTGTTATGATGTGGTGCATATGGTCTCAGACGTGTGTGTGTGTGTGTGTGTGTGCGCGTGCACGTGAGCCATTGTCACCTGAGCGTTGTTCTTAGCGTGACATTTTGTCCACAGCGCGGTGGCACAAACACGACACGCCAAGCGTCACTTCCTGTCTTGACAGAGGATGACGTCATGTTGCTGCGGATCAGCCCAACGTTTGCGTGTTGAATTAATCTCTTTTCAAGCGCTGTTTTGGCATGCAGGCAGTTTAGCCATTTTAAAAAGCCAATGGGAGAGGCAATGTTCCAGAGGGAGGGGGGTATTAAATGCAGCTCCCCTGTGTTACTGTGCTGCTGTTGGAGGGGAGCAGAGCAGAAGAGAGTCTATCTGAAGTGACACACGGATGGATGTTTATTTTTAGAGCGGCGTATTATCTCACAACAGGACTGGCTGTGTGTGCGTGCATGCATAAGTGTGTGTGTCTATCTCAGCAAGGGTCAGGGAGATGTGGCCCGCTGTCGCCACATACCACAGAGTTCACCAAGAGGGGACAGAGCTGGAAGGATGGAGTACGACTAGTGGACTTGAAATAAAGGGGGAGGTGGGGGGGGGGCACTAATGACACGCCCAGATAGAAACAAAAACATTTACAGAGTCATGGTAGATTGTTTTATGAAGAACATCTGCACGAGGCCATTGCTAATCGGATGTGAGTTGTTGCTTTGCTGTAATCATCAAGCCCTCCCTCTCCGTGTGCTTCAGGAAGGACTACCCTGTGGTCCCGCGCAGCAACGTCCGTCAGAGAGCCTGTTCCACCGGCAGCCCCTTCAGCAGGGAGGGCCGGAGTCTGCACGGGTCCCCCGAAGCTGTTGGATCCCCCTACAGCTGCGAGAACGGCTTGAGCAGCGGCAGTCCCCAGCAGCTGCTGAGGGCTCCCCCGACACACTACGCCCTTCCTCCTCCTCCTCCTCCTCCTCAGCTGCAGCACGGCCACCCGCCACAGGTCTACCACTGCACCAAGAGGAAAGGTAGAGGAAGCTGTGTGCCGACCATCACCTCGAGTTCGATGTTGATTTAGAGTTTAGATGTGTTTTTAAGATTCATTTCAAGATACATTTATGAGATTTTAAATTATGAATCTTTGTCAGCCAACTGTAACTCAATGATGATCATGTGAATACAATAGTGTGTGTCACATGGAACCAACAAAAATAGTTGAGCTCAAATGTTATGTTATTTTTTCAAATTGTTTTTCTAAAGCCTTCTGAAATTAATGGAAACCAATGGCTGCCTGGAAAAAAGAACATCAACTGTCATTCAGTTTGTGTTTGCAAACTTTTTAATTAGCACCAGATTCACTGATGCAATTGACTGAATGAATATTAGTTATTATGATAATAATAATAATAATTATTATTATTATAACACTCCCGGGTTTATTCAGAGATGATGATCAACAACTAAAAGAAAATCGGTAACGATCGCTGACTAGAGAAAATAATGCAATGAAGTTTGAAATATAAAAGTATTATTCCAAAATATTTTGGACGGCTGCAATTTAACGTAAACTGAGAAACATCACTTAATTAAGCAAACAAGTAGCATGTGCTCAGAACTGACTGGATATACGTATTTTAAATCTGGACTGTGCTACTACGGAATTGTCTTCATTCATGATACGTGTAGCCTGTACACTTTGTAGGGGCTGGATATTGTTTTAATTATTTCATTGTTCCAACACGTCTTTTTCTCTGTCTGCATCCCTCTTCAGCGGAGAACTGCTCTCCGGGAATCCGGCAGCACCCGTTCAAGAAATGCTTCACAGGACGCTCTTCGAGTGAGGGCGAGTCTTACTATCACCCCTCCTCCTATCCTCCTCCTCCTCCTCCTCCCCCCGGTCGACCCAATAACCCGCTCACTGACTCCCCCTGCAGCTCAGAGATGGGACAGCGTCAGGCCTGCATGTTTGCCGGCGCCGAGCCCCGACTGGATGAACTCAACTGCGCATCCTGGTCGTACAGCTGCCCGCTCCCCTCCGCCATGACCCCGGTTGAAACCTACCCACCGTACACCCCTCATCCGCCCTACAGCTCCAGTCCTCAGGGCTCCCGACTCAGCGCTTTAGCCCACCAGAGCTCTCCGTCGCTGGGAGAGCACGTCGCTCACGACCCCTATCAGAGCCAGAGCTCTGGACCTTCATCTCAGAGCTCCCAGAATATTCACAGCAGGCAGCTCAGCCCTCCTCTCAGACAGTATCCTCGCTACGCGGCCAACCTGTCTCCTCCTCTCTACCACACGCTAGAAACGCACACGCACATCAGATGTGGCGTCCCAGAATGGAGCGCGGCCTCGTAACTGAACCAGAGGAGACGTGCGAAAGACTCACTGAGGTTCCTTGTCTCAAACTCAGTGACCCTTCTTGTTGCTTCGTTAAAAAAAGATGCTGCGCCATATATAAGGACAAAATAAGTCATGGCCTTTGTAATATATTTGTGATATAGTGATTTTGTGCTAAGTCTCATCTGCTCCTCATGTTTCCCACGTGTGCTGGATGAAGCAGTGGATTGTTAAAGACTGGATTTGGAAACCAATGAATCATAATTGTATAATCAAAGACTGGCGTCATCCACATGTTTGCACTGTGAGCTCTGCTAAGGACACAAGCTAAGAGGCCACACCGTGAACAGCACTCGGCTGTTTTCCCCTCACGCTCTCCATTGTGAAGGATGTAAATCGTGACCCCGTGTCAGACAAGCAGTTACGTTTACTGACCAAAATAATCTCGGCTCTCAAAGCAGAGCCCGAGGGAGACATTGTTTCTCTTTACAGCTCCATGCTCAGTCTCAGTGGAGGAGGACAGGCAAGAGTTTGTCTGTGCGTGTGGGTTTGTGTGTAAAGCCTATGTCAGTTCTGCTCAAGGATGCTATGAGTTAATTTCCAGTGAGACAGGCCGTAGTAGCCGCAGGCGCTGCACCATCGAAATAAACAGTTTGTTTAGACTACGCTACAGGCTGGAGGACCTGTAAACACGGCTTCCACTGCATTCTGGGTAAACGCACAACTCAACGTCATGCAACTGTCACCCTGTCCTCTCAGTCACCCCCGGCTGACCAATCAGCTTTCTCTGTTCACTGAGAGCCAGCCAATGGACGCACGCCTCTTTTATCCCCAGCTGACCAGTCCGGGCTGAAGTGCAGCATGTTTCATGTGTGCTTATGTGCCGGCCCGTTTATTACTGAATTATTCATGAGTCCAGTGTTGATCCTTGACGTGTGAGTATTGTTCTGCAAGCGTAGAGAGTCACAGTCCTGTAAATGGCCTAATGTTGATGTGCAAATATTTTTTTCTATTTTTAGTCCCTTTACTTTGAATTTCAATGCTCCCTGTCCCGTCCATACAGCACGTCTCCATTAATTGCTGTGGCAGGATTATGTTAAATACATTTCCCTGTAAAGAAACGTGTGTGTCGCTTAATGTGCAAGATTTTGGTTCATCGTGTAATGAAGCAGTTTTTATGTTTAAGTCCAGATGTTTTACATGCAGTAAGATGTGAAAAGGCGCTCCGACATTACAAACATCAGTATGCAGAGAGCAGATCCTCGTCATTCCTTGATGTTTATTTGTGTGTGTGTGCGCGTGTGTGCGTGCGCGTGTGTGTGTGTGTGCTTTACAATGAGATTTTTTATTCATTGTTCCTGCTTATAGTATTTATTACTCTAGATTTGTTAAGAGTAGTTTGTTGTTAAATTGTGAATCAAAAAGATATTGTTCAAAGATACTTGTTTCTCTTTGAATGTCTGTTTCTGGTTTCAACCTCCATCTCTAAGTGGGGTTAATAGTTGTAATAAAAAAAACTAAATTTGCTGTTAAATAGAAATAAAGACAGATTTATATACAGACATGGAATAAATTTTAGAACATTTTGCGTAAGTCAAGTCGTTGTGTTTTTCTTTGTGATTGTACAGCAAATGCAGCGGAGACAAACTAACATTCCCACAGTGTTATTTAAAGTGCGCTCAGCAACTTGTGTGTGAAAACTCTTCACTGCGGTGCAGCGTACCAGTTTCAATGCGTGTCTTAATATAAAGGACCTGCTGGCAACAGCCGCCGCTCCACTTTGTGTAAAAAAATCTCATTCAAATATGCATGTAAGTATTGTTTAAAGTGTAACGGCATGCGCTATTTGTCTTATCTCGTTTGAGGGAGCCCAGTGTGTGTTACTCAGCAACGAGCCCCTCGGAGTGATGTGGGTGCTCTGCATACCTTGTCCGCCTCCTCTTATCGCTGACACGTTGTTTGGCATCTCCAGTCTCGACCAGCTGGACCCCCTCACTGGTGCCCAGAGAGGGGTCAGGTCCACTGGGATTGAGGACATGGAAAGGTGGGGGGGGGGGTGTTGGTGGTCCTCCCTCCCTTTCCATGGACTCCCCTCATCTCTCTCCTCCTGACATCTCATGTTTCTGTGTCTCCCACAGCAACGTTAACCTCTTACACCTTACACCTGCTCAGGGTTTACAGCACCCTTGCTTTGAAAGAACAAATGGACGCTACATGCAGAGATTTATTTAGAAAAGGCAGCTAAATCATTAAACATCAAACCCGGTGTATTTACATTTAATTATATGTCATTTGTCAAACCTCCCTCTCGCCCCTTCTTTCTTCCTTTCGCTCTCTCTCTCTCCTACACCATAAGGTCAGAGGTTAAGCAGGCAGCTCTTCAGAGGTTCTGTTCCTCCTTAACCCTTCGTCTCCAGACAAATTTGGGCCAGGATGAGGAAAGGGGGAGAGGGGGGTCCCATGCATGGGCCTCCGACTCTGATGATGGATTGCATTGCTTCAGGTTTGCTTGTACAGTACCGGAGCTCTGTGATGACTTCTGCTTCGCAGGAAATTAGCTTTGGATGAAGTGGTAAAGTTATATTAAACACACAGTGTGGGTTTGTGCCCATATGTGAAGGGCTGTGATCCATCTGTGGTGGACTTTCTCAGACACACTGGTCAGACAGTAGATTGATGAACCTTTGTGATCAAAGAGCCTAAGTGGTGCTTATCATTATCTCCCAGACAAAACCCCCCAACACACACGCACACGGACATACACCACTAAGCCATTCGCCTGCCCTCAATATATTCTACTTTTCTCATCCATATCTTAATTTACCGTGTTCATTTTTCATGCATCTTTTTTGGTTGTTGTTCTCTGACGCGATGCCGCATCTTAAAACCGTACAAACGGACATTTTAAAATGTCACACATGGCACGCAGACCTACAATTTTGTATGGCAACTAACCTGGGAGGATTGCTGCGAAGGGCTTATTTTTCTGCTGTATTGAATTTTAAAGCCACTTTCTGGCTACCGAGAGCCGATCCTCTAGCAAAGAAAGCCTTTTTAAAAGGCATCAAAGACTTATTTATGCTAATTCTATTAAAGTCTGAACTATTGGTTTGAATCTATAAATGTGTATCAGGAGTCTCTTGCAGGACACTGAGATGCATTTGTGTGATGTCCAGCATTAGTGATACCGTTTTGTGTGGAATAAGTGGTCTGAGATGGAGTGTAATTGCAAAAGTTGATTAGGGTTCATCTCTCTGGGTCTGGTGGTGCTCCGTCTATGTGGCAGTAAAGGGAAACAGCTCGGTCCTCCCCAATACCCGCTTCCATGTTTCAAAAGTTCAGAGTTAAATATTAAGAATATATTTTGTATCATTTTTTTCTTTCCCTAATGGCTTCCCAGAAACTTGAGAACAACAATCACACCAAAGCTTGTTTGGGTGTTTGTAGAGGGTTGACGGCTGCATCAGACATATCTCACTACCCCGACCCATTCATAACTGTGTGCACTATATGGCACTAAGAGGACAGCACAATGGCAACAATAATGTAAAACAATGAATGCTTGGTCATTAACTGTGGCGCAAGTAGAATGGTAGAGGTTTATTCGAATGATACTATCCATCCTTGTGGTTATTTAAAAGCCACAAGAATGGTCTAATGCTGTTAAGCACAGTATGGAAACAAGACTGAGACTCAAAGCTAATTTCCCCCTAAATGAGAGTTTATGGCGGAAACTGCCCTGAAATCACTGAAGTAGATCTTAATATGGGCATAAGGGCTGTCAAGGATAAGAGGCCAAGTAAGAGTGTGCGTATAGAGGGGGCTGTGCTTGGTTTGTCCTGCGAGTTGCATCTAAAAGACAAAGGGCGAGGTCAAGGGTCAAGCTAACAGCAGACAAGGCCAATCCAGGGTCAGAGTGCCCCGGCTAACCTGATCAGTGATTGTGGTTTATCTGACCATCCTCGCCGGAGCTGCCTGGTCTCCTCTCTCATGCTAAACTTGTACTCTCTAGATCGGTTTAACTACTCAGTGCCAGTTTTGAAGAACTTATTACTCCCGTGAAAGATATAAACACGGAAACCTCCCGAAGAACCTGCTTCAGGATGTCTTGTTGTCATGTGGCCGTCACCTCGACCAGGATCGGGTCCGGAAGGAAAAACCTTTTCCTGTCACTCTCCCTATTTCGATGCAAGGTTTTTAAAAAGGACACTGTGATGTGAGCAAGAATAATTGTTTTAACTCCTAACATACCGCCAAGGTCCCGAGACTAGCAGCCAAACACACATGACAGGGTGAAAGGGATAGAGGCGCTCACGCAGTGGGTGGTGAGGGGGGTTGTGGGACGTCATGGAGCCAATGTCTCGTCTGATTACAGCCAGAGGACTGGAGAGGCACGCTAATCCTCCACACACACACACACACACACACACACACACACACACACACACACACACACACACACACACACACACACACACACACACACACACACACACACACACACACACACACACACCACTCATTTTGAGACAAAGCCACACAACCCGCAAGACAGGCATACACACACACACACACACAATCAGTATTACCCCCCCCCCCCCCTCCTGACCTCACTCGGTCCCCTCGTCCAGACAAGACACACATAATGATATCACTACCGGCAGGACTTCACTTTGCCGCCACTCCTTTTGTTTGTTCACTGTACAGACCGGCTGTTGCCCCTCACTGCACCCCAGTTTTGATTAAAGGAACATTGTCAGGTCATTATTGTGCATGTGCCCGGGACCGCAGCCAGCACTTAAGAAATACCACAACGCATGACTGCAAGTTCTCACAATGCAACCTCCCTTCTAAAAGATTCTGTGGGACTTTCACAAATAGCGTAAATAATTATTTGGGTGTTTAAAATTCCTTAAGAAATCTGCTGGGAAATCTGTTATCAATATTATGAGTGGACAACATTGTGTCATTCCAAAAGACAAAATAAAATCAAACCCGCGTAGTGGAAAAAAGAGGAATCTCGACATTACGTTTTCCGGCTCATTATTTAACTCGTCCAACTACTATTTTGTAGATCTCACTAAATAAAACAAAAACTCCTTAGCTCACTTCCTGCTCTGCACCAAACCGCAGACAAACATAGTTAGTGACTTGCTGGTGAAGTTAGTGGAGCACAGCAGCTAAGGGGACTAAAAACAAGCCGTGTCAGGTCAAGTCAACTTTGTTTGTATAGCGCAATTATTAAAAAAACAAAATGCAACACAGTGTGTTGTTGGTGTACTAGTGCAAGTTCAGAAAAAAGTCCAAAATACCACATTCAAAATACAAATTGCTTAAAAGGACAAAAAAAAAGTCTACAGCCATGCAAGCGCCCGGCCTCTTCTTAAAATGACCTGCCCAAAATGAATGGTGTATCTCTGCAACTCTATTTAATAATCTTGATATCACAATAAAGGAGAATGAATCAGTGAGATTCATGCAGATGTGTAAGCATCATGATATATATTCAACTATACGTGAGTGAACACAACATAAATGACTTTGTCTTATTAGTTTAGAATATTAAGGAAGAATCTATGAAATACATTTAAGTAATTATAAAATACCATGCTTTCAGTTTCAGTTTGTTGAGGTCCCGCGTGCCCCGCCATCCCCCTCAGAGGCTTCCCTCTCCGCCTTTTGCTTTCCATGCACTCTTGTTCATACTTGTGTACAGGCATGTTTGCAAACAGGCCGGACAAGACCGCTGCTGTGAGACAAACACAAAACACAAACATCAATACACAAACAAATCCGTTCACACACCGCGTGCGTACACAGACGATTTCTAAGCACTCACTCAGCCCGCTGTCAGACGCCATTGTTTGCCAGCAGCAGCATTGTTTGGTTCATGCTCAGTGCGTTTCGGCAAAACCGTGTCTCATTATTAATAGACGGTGTCAGAGAGTCGGTGCCCTCTCTGTCTGACAAGGCATTAGCATAAACACAGACTTCCTCTCAATATCTGTTTGCACCACACTGTTGACCTTTAATTATGGATGTCTAAATGTTTGTTACCTGCCCACTCAAGTGTGTGTGCGTGTGTGTGTGTGTGTGGACAGCAAAAGGCTTTTAGTATTGTGCTTTTCAAAATGTTGTATTTAAAGATTTTAAACAGAGACTTAACAAGGTTAGTACACAACGTAATCGCCTGAAATACCATTCTTCCAGGAAAAAGAAAAATCCTATAAAAACATTCTTCGCAGTAAAGTGTTAAAAAGGGAATCAGAACAATTACGCAGAATACGAAGGGAGGAGGCATAGACCAAAACCACTAAAGCAACTTTACAACATATACACAAAAAGAAAGTTATGTGAGTCTTCAGAGATCTTTTGTCTTACAAGTTACAAGTGCTTGTTGTTGTGCATTCTATTTACATAATGACAATACATTATCCTTGAGTAGTTTCAAGAATAGCAACTGAAATCCAATTTAAACAAGGATACAGTATACAGATATTATTATTTAGTATTTGATGTAATGGAGCATTGATTAAAAAAATATACTGAATTTAGAATGAATACGTCACTTAAAAGTAAAAAAGGGTAATTCAGCTTTTCTGTGTGACTTAGGACATTTGGGGGGGGAATGGGAATTATACGTTGTTTTTTTTAAATGAGCAGTGCTGCCAGTATTCTTCATTGTCATCGTGGATTCATGCCGGACATTTTAGATTTTGACCTACTCATCTTCTCCTCGTCCTCCTCAGCTGTTAAAAGGTCTGCTGGTGTTTACATGGGTGTTATGTCTCCATCTCCTCAGCCTTACACTGTGCCCATCACCTGACAAAACACGCTTTCACAATCATAATAGCATCCTTCCATTAGTATTAATAAAGTAATATGTGTACGTGTGCGTGTGTGTGTCTGCAGCAAGCCATCCATTCATCAAAAATGGATACAGCAGCATTTCTCCCTGCAGTTATCTGTGTTGTTGTTTTTCCCCTCCACTGACTTTCACTCATGCGTTTTCTTTCTTTATCTTCCATTTTGTGTGTGTGCAAATGTGTGTGTAAGTGTAAGTGTCAAATCTGCTACATCGGATGCATTTTTCTGGTCACGCTGCTTTTACTGTAAGCACATCCACGCCACACCTGGCAATTATTATGCAAAAATAACTGCACACAGCATTTCCATTAAGCGCGCTAATGCCACCTTTCTCTGTCGCCACGTGGCAGTGTTCTCCAGTGTGAACGTGTAATGTCAAATTACCATTAACTCTGTCCTATATGGGGCTCCTACTCACCGTAGAGGTGATAACACGTCTGAGTATATTTCAGTCCTGCCTTAAGCCATAAATGCCCTAGTACCATTCATCATTTGATGAAAATGCCTTTTTTTTAAATAACAATCTTACCATAAAGTCTATTTCAGTTGCTGTTTTGGAGCTTTTTATCGTTTCATATGCTTGTCATCGGCAGGTGTTTGAATGTCCATTCATTCCTTAGCACTTCAAGGAGATGTTATCCCTATTGGCTAAATACTTTAGGTAAGCTTATTCTTGTTCGTTAAAACCCCCCTCAAAAAAGCAATCTGATCTCAAGGTCCATTTAGTAGTTGCTCTGGAGCTTCTCTCTGTGAGCATTGATCTGCTTTAACCTTTCTTTGTTCTTTGAACCCCGTACCTCAAGATCAGTTGTTATTAACCGGTGTTTAAGGGACTTATATTTGGCCATACGACATGATCACACTCTTTATTCAGTTATACTTGAATGCATTGTGCAGTGAGTCAAAGACTGGGCCCCTTAGATGAGGTCTCTGTCACAAAAAAAAACCTCAACCCATTTATCAGTGCCAACTTACATATGGCATCAAGCTTATTGGACCTATTTATTGAAGCTATATTTACACAAAGTGAAATAGATTAAATATATTAGAAGCATTTTGCACAGTTTTATACACAAGATGTCTGCCAAGTTCATGGAAACTTTAGGTCTGGGTCAAGTGGTTTTCGAAGCATACAGAGTTATGGCACATCCCCGGTTGCATTGGGGATATTTTCCTGTGTCTCCGTGCTTCCTCATTCCCGGTGTCTCGTCAAACTCAAATAAATCTTTTACAATAATTAAAAAGTCTACATCTTGTGATCCAGAGAGGCCTTAACAACTTAACAACTGATGTTGTTTCTGAAGACACTTCTTCTAAGTGTCATCATGTGTGCCTGCGTCTGTCCGTCTAGAGTATGGTGAGGACTTTCCACGATGTCCCCACAGTGTTGCAGAATACTGTATTTTCCCCTAAATACTGCTTGATTTACAAATAACTTGACTCGAGTAAAAGCACAGAGGACCCTCGATCATTAGGTTACATAACGTTTGCAGACCACTCAGTGGTTAGATTGAGTATGTTTGAACTGTGATAGATGATCCATAGACGCTACACATAAAGGGGCATGCATTGTGTAAAGCACCGTCACCTCACAGGTAGAGGGGCCTGGGGTTCGATCCCGGGCTCGCCGGCCCCTTCGTGTGGCGTTTTCACAGCGTGGATTCTTTCCAGCTTCTCCACAGCATCCTCCCGCAGCCTGAAGACATGCAGCTGAGGGTAACTGATGACACCTAAGTTGCCAATAGCGGTGAATGGGAATGGTTTTCTGCCTTTTTTGCCGGACAAAGCTGCCTCAGAATGCACTGCAAGTTGGAATAATGGAAAAAAACTGGATAACAATGAAGACATATAGATAGATTGAAGCGAAATAATGGCAGGGTATGTCTTTTGCCCCCTTTGCCGGGCCGATACCAAATTTGAGATGTTGTATTGATACAAGACTCGAGCTAATCATGTCACATGGGGATCTTTAAAAAGCAAAAAATGTGGTGCGTTTGCTTGAAAATACATTAAATTAATAAAGAATTTGGATGTCAAAATAGTTTGATCTTTTCTTTTTCACTATAATTGATCATGTTTAATCGAAGGGTCTGATTCACAGAATAAATAAAATAAAATAATCATTTTCAAACGTTTGTGCGAATCTTCCTTCGGGTCCCGCTTCCGGGTGGTGTGACCGCAGAGACGTTTCGCCTCCCAGGAAGTGATTCCCACCGCAAACTCTCAAAGCAGTGTGTGCTCATTCCGCGGTTTGATGGCGCAGATACAACGCTGGATTAACGACGGACAAAATCATGACGAGAGTAACCGTGTTGTTTAGAAAGTCGCATTTCTCTGCAACGCGACGTCCGGTCGCGTCTTTGGGTGTTCCTGGTTGGCGTTACCATAGAAACAGAGAGAGCGCGGCCTCGGTGTGCGCGCGCTGCTACAAAGTTTGGAAAACTAGCTGAAGTTGAACAAAGACGAACTTGACTCCATCTGAACGACTTTTTTAACACCACAAAAAGCAATAAACTACAGGAGCTGGATTCACAGACAGAATCAATCGGCGGCGGACATTGTTTAAAAAAAAGTTCACGCGCGCGTGAACAGGCGATCGATCGGTGTGATGGCCGACGGATCCTCGCGTGACTGCAGCCTTTTGCTGCTTGAGATGCAGAAGAAACGCCGCGAGGAGGAAGAGCTTCAAACAAAGACCGAGCAGCGCAGTCAGGTGCGGAAATGAGCCGATCCGTCAGTTGACTCCTGACGTCACTGATCGCAGTGTGACTTGTGGTGCGTGAGTTCGTCACTGTGACGGTATTTCAGACGACGTAGTCTGATCTAATGTGGGAAAACTTTTTAACTTTACTAAAAATTGTATTTATCCTCAGATGACAAAACTGTCCCCTTCCGAAAGCTGATATAAATATATGGCATACTAAGCTGATAGTATGTTAGTATATTAGTGACAACATTGGGAACTAACACTTATTATTTTGAAACCAGTGCTCTTGAAGGCTAAGGCTAATATAATTGTCATGCTGTAACGCTGATGGAAAATGATCAAAAACTGTGGTTACAAGGGGACGTGTTTGTCCTTGAGGGTCAGTGTCAATTTTGATACTCTGTACATCATACACTTATTATGGAGCTACTGTTGAGCCCCTGGAACAAAAACAACAAGTGCATATGTTACTTCTTCAGACGTAACTTTCTGTCTTAATATGTGAGGATCAATACAAAATTCTACACCGTAAGAAGTAAGATAAAATAAGATAATCTTATTAACAGTTATTTGTCCCACAGTTCCCAGGAAGTAACTTTGAGCGTGCATCAGTCATTTTCGCCTGCTTATGTGTTTCTGTGCAGATGTTGGAGAGCTTGCAACAGCGTACAAATGATTTGCAAGTGGAGATTAAGAAAACAAGTGATTTACGCTTAAGTTTTGATACGTTTCTGAAGGTACAGTAGAATACCATTAGACCCACTGCTCATGTATCAGACTGCATGGGACTTTATTGTTTTTCAGTTATATGGCTGGAACTGTTCAGAAATAGCGAGACTAATTCTCTACATCCCCCGTGCCTAAAGGTAGAAGATGCTGATCGAGCTGCTGCAAAAGCAGAGAAGGCGAGGAAAGAGGTGCTTCAGCTGGATGCAGAGATAGAGAGGCTGAGGCTGGTGTATGCTGAGCTGATGGAGAGGAAACAGCAGCAACAGCGTCAGATACAAAGACACGGTGCATATAGGGACTTTATGGTGCGGGTGGTCAGGATGACTAAGGTACAACAAGGACATTTGAAACTGAATGTAAATGTGTTTATCATACATGAATATAGCCTATTATTAAGATTCTACCACTGTAGCTAACCACATTTTAAAGCTTGGCGGTAAAATAAAGAGCTAATTTTGTAACGTTAGTCAAAAGTCTCCTTAGAAGTGTTAAGTGATGGTGGCAAGCTTCCCGAAATCTTCCCGGAACTTGAACGTTGATGATTGCGTGAACAGTAGGCTTAAACAGCATTGCTTTGTGACACCTGCTCCTGTCGCTTTGCAGGTTAGTTAATTATTTCAGAAAACTGCAATCTTTGAGAAGAGGGGGGTCATGGACCTTTTTTTGCTTAATATTGAGGTTGGATTTGTGAGCCACAACTTTTACCCTTTGTGTGTTTCACAGTTTGATGATGTGCGGGAGCTCACGGGTCATATAGAGAGTCTTCTCCACTTCGAAGACCATTTCTGTAAGAGGGAGAATAAGGCGTTTCAACGGGTCGACCAGCTGAAAAAAACTCTGCTGACACTAAAGGACAATCATCCTTTGCTGCGGCTGCAGAAGAACAACCAGCTGTCCCAGCTCCAGACCGAGATAGAGAAGACCCGCTCTGAAGCTCTCTCATGGGTATCAGACATGACCCCCGAGAGCATCAGAGCTTACATCCATTCAAATGTTGCACAAATATACTGCTGCTATCTTGTGTGAAATTCAGTTGTCCCTATCTCCACACAGGACAGGAAGTGGAACCACATTCAGGAGACAGCAGCAAAGAAAACCCTCTTGCTAGGACGGATTAAGATGGCGACCCTTAACCTCTATGAAATGACGCATGACACAGTAGAAGAAGACAAAGCTGTGAATATGAATGACACAGAGAAACAGCTCGATAAGGTTTGTACTTTGACACACCAGGGACGGCGATGAGCAGGAGACAGAAAACAAACAGCTTTTTTTCTGCTGTTTCCTCTTTAGGTCAAGATGTTCATCCAGGAACATGAGGGCATCATGAAACAACATCAAACTCAATCCCAGAAACATGATGGACGGTACAAAAAACACGTCAAAGTGCATAAAGCACATTTCAACTAGCTCATCGCCGGGTACTTTGATTTCTGCTTCAATGCCTAGCTCCTCTTCTTCTGACGACAAATGAATAGTAAGTGCAGACATGTGCCCATTCCAAACATGAGGTACCATAATGCCCCCCTGAGGCCATGAAGGAACACAGCAACTTCCTCACCCAACAAATCAACAAGTCACTCCTCACTGGTGGGGAACCTCACTGGTTCCCCACTGGTCAAGCCCCCCCTCCCGGGTTGTACCTCCTTTGTTTTTAATTAATAGCATCATGATGTATAAACCTTATAAAATGTTATTTCGTTCTATAAATATATACAGTACCAGTCCGAAGTTTGGATTAATTTTCTCATTCAATTCAATGATGAAGTGTGTTCTCTCTCTCTCTCTCTCTCTCTCTCTCGCTGGGAGTGTCATTGGAACACAGTTCCGCTTTATTTCATTTTCTTTAGTTTTTATTAGGTGCAACCATATAATATGGTGCCCTATCTTTACCACATATTTGCAATTTTATTTATTATCATTCTATTTTGCTTTACCTTGTATCTGAATGTGAATCTCCCCATTGTGGGACTAATAAAGGAAAATCTTATCTTATTATTTCTGTTTTCATTTTAAAGTTATGAGCTTGAGTTTTACAAGAATTACAAAGGTTTTAACTTAAAACGGTTGCAGAAAATCTAACTTTTTTGAGTAGTTTGGTATTATCTGCTGCAACAAGGTATCTGTCAAAATCTCAAGAAATAGAAAATGCTATTCCATTCTAATGTGTTCTTATCACAGAGAATAACGTCTAGTTTAAATCAGGAAGTATTTTATTAAAAACAACACATACATCACACACATACGGAATATTAAGTGAGACACTTTTCAGAGTTTTTTTTTGTTTGTCTTGCTTTTAGGTTTTTTGGGCTTCTTGCTTTTGCCCTTGTTCTTTAAGGATTTACGAGTGATGTAACCTCTCCAACAGGCTTGGATTAAAATGGCAGCTTTGGTCTTCAACTCCAGCTCCCTTATCTCCTCCTTTCTCTTCTCCTCTGCCAGCCGACGCTTCTCCTGGATCTGATCATACTCCACCTCCAGGGCAGAAAAGGTTTTTTCCAGCTTCTTCAGCTGCGCCTCCTCCCTTTCGTTTTCCATTTGATTCAACTCTAGTTTGGCCTGAGAAAAGAGATGGTGTTAGTTATGGTATCAAAAAGGAAAGAAAGTCGACCTAAACATAAACAGGCCCAATCTCTAGGCCTATTTGGTCGTTTTTATTACATGTATATGAGTAGGTACAAGTACTTCAATGCCTTGCTGAATTAAATGGACCAAAATGAAATAGGTCATATGAAACAATGCAGGCATCTTCTCTTCTTACAGTTTTCTCATAAAGTAAAAGTGGCTAACAGAAGCTTCTCCATTGTGCAGATTGTTTGAGTTTTAAAATATCTTTTAGAGCAGGATGATACATAAACTCTTATAGTTTAAAAAGTATGCATGTACTGATGAAAGTACATCAGGTAATAAGTACTGTGAGATGATAAACAACAGACGGCCGTGTTAAACACCTCGAAAAGAGCCTCATCAGCCAGACAAACTAGTGTCCAGAGAATACACACTCAATTTGTTACCTGTTTTTCTTCTATTTCATCATCAAATAATTGGATCAAGTATTCAATTCCTTTCTCCATCGTGTCATTTTTCTGCCAAGCGAAAAACAATCCGAAAAAGCAAGTCAGGTTTTACGGTAAAGGAAACATGATACTACATTTACTTAAGGAAAGGTTGATGAAGAAACCCTGAACGCACCTCTTGGAGTTCTTTCTCTACCTTCCTGTTTTCAAGGACTGAATTGTTGAGCTGACTGTTCAGTTGATCAATCTCTTGTTGTATACTATTTTGCTTGATCTTTGACAAATTGTCATGTGACTGGAACTGCTTCTTGGCAAGAAGTGACACATCCAATTCTTCGCCGCTGTTCACTTTCAGAGAATGCTGCAAATGTTTTATCTCATCATTCTTCTGAGTAATCTGTGATACCAACAGAAAGATAAGGGAGGTCAGGTAGGGAATGGTCAAGAAAAGAGCATATAATGGCTTAAACAATTACAAAATCTATGATTTTTATCCTAGCTCTCTTGTATAGAGATGGTCAATTTTGTAAGTTACCTTTGCATCTATTTCCTTTGTGTGTCTGGCTAATTCTTCTTCTTCTTGAACTAACCCCTCCATTTCTGGGTCGGGGGATGAGGACGCCTGCTTCTGGAGAATATGGCGTAGTTCCTCATCCAGACTGGTCCGCAACTTTTCTACCACATTGCTGTGAAACTTCTCAAGCCCTTTAATTAGCATGTACTGATTTTCCCCTAGTTTCATACGTTGCTCTGCCCCCAATCCACAAATGGCATCTGGATGGGCTTGTGCAGCCCTGAGCAGATCCCTGACAGAGTTCTTGATCTCCTTCATAAGCAGCGAATGTGCTTTACCAACATTTGCATCGAGTTCTCCATCTGACTGCTTCACGTTATCAAGTGCCTCCAGTCTGTTAATTAATATTTGATGCTCTTTAATTGCCCGACTCAATTGCTTGTCTACAATACCGGACACACTGTTTAACGCGAGGACAGCAGGCAGATTAGTTGCAATCTCAACTAGACGTATGCGGTTTTCCAAAATGCTTGAGATGCATTGAGCCTCGTGAGAGAGCAGCTCCTTCTGTGAGACATCATGGAGGTTTTGAGAATCTTCTGATTGGATCTTTGTCATTGCAAACATTGATGTCCTGTTTGCAGACATAATGTCACTGGATGGCAGGAAAAAGATAAACATAATAAAATATTAATGTTGGAATATTTCCACAAGTTAATGTTAAATAACATAACTTTACATCATAGTGTTTGTCTATATTGGCTTAAACATGATCAACTTACTTAAGACTGTAACGTTTATTTCAATAGAGATTTTTCTATCACTCAGGTGATACATTCAATGAGACCTGCAAAAGTAAATCAAGCCAGTATTTTACAAAAATAGCGAAAATAAGGCAAAGTTTAAATTGACAAAAGAATCATCGTGGCCCCTAAGTATCCTCATTTGAGGGTATTATTGTAAACATGGGCTATTTGCAACTACTCTAACGTTATGGCCTGAGGCCTGCTGTAGGTTCGTGTTGAATCAGATGAAAGTTATATAAAATGAATAAGCTACAGAGTTACCTGTCGAGAAAGAAGTTGGGCGCAAGCGGAAGACATTGTTTACTTTTTTCTCTTCTCTGTTGCTAAGATACCACTAATGCGGATGAGAGAATAAAACCACTGGGACATAATTCAGATGTCTTGTGATGGATTTGATATAAATGGACGCCTGTATCAATAAGCGTAGTGAATAACTGCACAATTGCATTAACAATCAAGTAATGTGACAGGCGTTTTACAAAATGATCTCAGCTCCATTGACTTTTATTTTGAAACTCTGACAACGTTCACTCAGCCTGCCGCAAATCGCTTTAGTGTCGTGAATGTTTGTTGATCCCGCAGTAACCGCATAGTTTAGCTTCCGAAGTATTATTTAAGTGTCCCGGCATTGTTGCCCGCGAAACGACTGACCAAGACACACAACTGGGTGCTTTTAGTCTCCGGTTGAATGTGAGCAGAACACGCAGAAACAGCCGCTATCGGCGAGGAAGCCGCAGTGGACGCGCAGCGGGAGTTACGGCCGGTCGGCCTGCCGGACGGCGGACCAGTTGATCCGGTGATACGCGTCGTTTTGTGACGCCGCGAGCACCGACTACCGCGCCCGGCCGCTTCACCGAAGTTGGAGAAAGTGTTGTTTTGCCGTGCAGTGTGCGCGGGTCCGGACAGCTGACGGGTTTAGCGCCCCGCGCGCGTGATGATGTGCAGTTGTCTTCGGGTTCGCGCGTTAAGCCGTGCACGTATCTAGCTGGTTACACTTAGTTTTACGCATTGACACGTCGAGGCGCCGACATGGAGCCTGACGACGACGACGTGCCGCTGATCCTGACCTGGGATGACGCCAACAGCGGTCTGCTCAGCGAGGACGCCGAGCGGGGGGACGAGAGTGAGTCCCCCCTGTCCTCTCTCCCCCCTCCCCCGCATGCTCCTTCTTGTGTAAAGCTTCTAGTGACTGTGGAGGATTTAGATTGCGGTGCTAGTGAGTTGTGTTCTTGTAATAGATCATCCCCATAGAGGTGGACAACAGCGCAGCAAACTGACCTGCAATCGACTTCTCTCTAAATCACTTTACCTTAAAACGATGAAGCAGCCTGGTGATTTATTCCGTGTTCCATTCTGCTTTTTTGGCTCCACACGTCACTGTTTTTGTGTTTGTAGAACTTTATACTGTCATTTCGTGTATGATGCATGAGTGTATTTTGTGATATGAAGGTAATGCTCGTCTACTCACCCGGATGGGCACTGAGCACTCTGAAGATGCTGCGTGTTGTTGACTGTGAGCTGCATACGTGCAGCACGTCTAGGCCACACTGCAATAATGGAGAGCAGAGATCGTCCACCGGGCTCTGAACTTGTGTGTGTGTGTGTGTGTGCGCTCTACGTATGGTTATCCATGCATCCACTAAACATAGTAATCCGGCTGCCTTTGTATATGAGCTACAAAATGACCCATCAGAGAAACTGCTGCCTCAGCGGACTGGTGCACCCCTGAGCCCCTCCCCGGTGCTCATGTGTGTGTACCGTGTGTGTGTAAGTGTGTCCGTGTTCCTGAGCGTGCTGGATACTTTTCTCTGGCCCTCGAGGTGAACAGGAAGAGGAAGAGGAGTTTTCTTTCCCCTCAGGATATCAGGGAACAGTGGACAAGGAGGAAGTTTCCCACTGTTCTTGCTGGTCGCTGTTTGAAAAGCGAGCGTTTGGACCTGGACACGGAAAACAGATGGTTGAATCGAATCACATCAGTGACAAACAAACTCGCCTGGCTGAAAAGTGTTGAGTTCACTTTTGCTGCTGATGGTCAAGACTTCCACAAAACTAGATTTTTATTTGTCCCGGGAGAGAAGCTGGTCATGACTGCTGAACATGTTTGTGTTTCTGTGAGCGCGACCCCACCGTGTTTTTGACCGGGTCTCTGAACATGTTATTGTTCTCAAACAAATGAGAGGTTGGAGGGGCACATGACAGACACGCGGCCGCTGGATGGAATTTGATCTTCACACTTCAGCTCGACTGGCTGCCGTCGTGGTGTAAAGCAACGATCTGTGACTGCCTTTCACAGACTCACCTGGAAGCAGAAACCGCTTGTGGGAAGAGAAACCAGATCCACACGGGACGAAATTATGGCGCTGCCAGTAAACACATAGTGTGACTTGAGTTTGTTGGATGTTACTGTGTTAATCTGGATTGAATCTTTTGAGTTTCATTGAGTTATTTTTGCAGACATTTTGTCGTGCTACGTTATCTGTGTCATTCAATAGTCTTGTTACTGCTTCCTCAGCGTTCTCAGATATCTAGACGTCGTCTCTCTTTTGAAGTTAATCTCTCTACCTCCATTCTAGCACATGATTAATTCCTCTTGTGGGTTTGCTCTCTTGTGTCTGTATCCTGTCAGTGGAAGGAAAGGGAACGTAATAGACACTGTGGTATCAGTGCTAACACAACATTTTTACATTATATTACGTGTCATTTAGCCTACTGACCGGAGTCAAAGTGCAGAATCCATCCGAGGCGGGAGGCTGATGTGTGTGAGTCACATTTCAGTCTTTCTGGTTACCGTATCTCTCAAATATGTTCTTTGAAAAAAAAAAAAGAAACCATTTGTCAAGGAAGTACTGAGCTTCATGAGCATCGTCGATTCTTTTGCATGGTGTCCATCTCCAGTGTCACTTTGATCCCTCGATTTGAGCTGAATATTGTTGAATCTGTGAGGACTCGCCTCTGGACTGAGGTTCTGGAGTTTGCATCTGGCCGGAGTGGGATGTTTGGCCACATGTATCTCCAGATGTGTGTAGGTGTTGGAACAACACCAGGGCACTGTGGATGACCCCAATATACACACACGCACGCACACATGTGTCGTGGACTTCAGTGAGCTTGGTTCTTCTTCTCACAGCTGGTGTACAGAGACAAATCCAGACCCATCAATGGAGTGTGTATGTGTACAGGCAGATGGCTGCCATGAAGATCAGACCCACACTGGGAGTCCAGTATTGCTCTCCTCCTATGCCTTACAGTTAGAACTAGACTGCATTGGTAGGCCCATACCGCTCTATGTACTGTGTGTGTGTGTGTGTTACCCACATACAAAAGGATGGTTGTCGAAATTGAAATTTTCATTTTTGTTGTTGAAGGCTGTATCCCAAAATTGAAACCTTTTGTGTTGAACGTGTTGTCTTCCAGATGGAGGAGGAGGCCATTATGACATAGTGAACAACGCTGTGAACTCAGCACCCGGGCCACCGAACCACAGAGCCCAAAATGTGTCCTTACGCCAAAGCTGGGAGATGAACTACCAAGAAGCAGCCATCTACCTGCAGGTATTTACAAGCAGTTGATTTTTGATTAATTCCTTTGTCATTTAAATATTTTTATTATTTTTATTGGTATATTTTAACATATTAACTTAAAGGATGCTACTTTTTGGACATTGGACACACATGGGATTATTTGTATTTGTCGTTTTTTCTTGTGTGGGTTATGACAGTTTCTCTCCACACAGCACTTTATTGGTCCGTGCTTCATCAGACCAGTATGTCATATCTCAGTTATGTTAGTGCGCTGTGTTTCTCAGACCACAACGCTCCATAGCGGTCAGACATTGCTGCAATCGACAGGTTTTCAAACCAATAAATAAAGTAAACATACTAATTAACTAAAAGGCTGTCAAATTGCGCGATTTAAATGGGTGCGTTAAATTTCCCTCACAGGAGGGAGAGAACAATGATAAGTTCTTCACCCACCCTCGGAACCCAAAGGCGCTGGCAGCGTACCTCTTTGCACACAACCACCTGTTCTACATGATGGAGTTGCTGACGGGCCTGCTGCTGATGATGCTGTCGCTGTGTGAAGCTCCGGCTGTGCCTTCACTGCGCCTGGACGTCTATGTGAGCAAACACACACACACGCACACACACGCTCGTACCCACGGCCTGCTGTAAAAGTACCTGTGCATCTGATACCGCTGCAGGTCCACGCCACTCTGGAGCTGCTTGCTTTGGTTATGGTGGCATTCGAGCTCTGCATGAAACTCCGCTGGTTAGGCTTCCACACCTTCATACGCCACAAGAGGACGATGGTGAAGGTAACTGATCTGCGACGGGCAACTTCCTGAAGGCCGGCTGGACGCTTGCTCTCACAGGGTCTGGTCCGATGAGGGACGGCAGTCACCCAGCTGTCTGCAGGCTGCACGTCAGTAGGTTGGGATTCAGACACTGTTCATGGTGTCTCTGCTCCTTGTCCAGGCGTGTGTGTTGCTGCTACAGTTCGTGGAGGCCATAGTGGTTCTGATCAGACAGACGTCTCACGTGAGAGTGACCAGAGCTCTCAGACCAATTTTCCTGGTGGATTGTAGATACTGTGGTGCTGTGCGCAGGTACATGATGACTGAAACAAACACACAGAAGTTTTGGTTTGGAATATCATTTTTAGCTCCATAATACACTGATTATACTGTGAAAAGCATTCATCACCGATAAGGTTTATTTCATCCAACCAGAAACTTGCGTCAGATCTTCCAGTCTCTTCCACCTTTCATTGACATCCTCCTCCTGCTACTCTTCTTCATGGTTATCTTTGCTATCTTGGGTAAGAGAGCTTATTGCCTTCCTGTATATTAAAGGCGGGTGATCCTTTTTGTTCCTCTTTTTTTACAGAAAATTAGAAAACAGTTTTTTTTTTTTTTTTTTTAGAAGGAAGAGGGTTTGCTGTTTAATATATGATTGTTGTGTTCTCCCAGGTTTCTGCCTCTTCTCCCCAAACACTGCTGACCCGGTACGTTGAATCTTAAGTGCCTTTGTGTCTTTCAAAAGTTTACATTTTCTTGTGTGGTCTGACTTGAAATAATAAACTGCCTCCTCTCGCCACAGTACTTCAGCACACTGGAGAACAGCCTCGTCAGCCTGTTTGTTCTGGTCACCACAGCAAAGTAACGTTGAGTTTTCCATTTCCTATAACACAACACGCAAGCAATGTGAATGTAAGCGCTTTTCTTTGTGTCTCATGACTTGTGTACGTCGTGCGTCCCTCTTTGTGGTAGTTTCCCTGATGTGATGATGCCCGCGTACTCCAAGAACCGCTGGTCGTGTGTTTTCTTCATTGTGTACCTCTCCATAGAGCTCTACTTCGTCATGAACCTGGTAAACGCGGGGTTGGGGTTAGGCCTGTTTTCACAACATTTCATTCCTATCACAAATGGACACGGCGCGCAGTCGGCCCTTCTGTGCTTTTGCACTCATCCGCCTCTCTCCTCCGTCCCCCTGCAGCTCTTGGCGGTGGTCTTTGATACATTTAATGACGTTGAGAAGATGAAGTTCAAATCTCTTTTACTTCACAAGCGCTCTGCTATTGACCACGCCTTCCAGCTGTTAGTTAGCCGACAGGTACGAGCTCGCCGTTTTATGTATTTTGATACAAGTTTGGCACTAATGATTTTTTTTCATACACATCGCCCGCGGTAATTGGTGTCGCTGCGGTTTTCTTCCCAGAGGCCCATGGGCGTGTCGCTGAAACAGTTTGATGGTCTGATGCGATTCTACAGACCACGAATGTCCGCAAGAGACCGCTTCCTCACGTATAAAGCTCTCAACACCTCTGGGGCTCCTATGCTCAGGTATCAGCCTCATACACACCTTTAAAAAAAAATCTGTGTGTATGTAATTGCATTATCACCCTTTCTGATTATTCTGCTACAGTCTTCAGGACTTTTACAAATTCTATGAGGTCACTGGCCTCAAATGGAAGGTACGTAGCTTTACTGTTTATTTGTACTGTTTGGTCATAATTGCCTCTATTCAGTGTTCATGTACGTAATCCGTGCGTGTGTTGTTTAGCCCCGACGCAGTGGAGAACATTGGTTTGACGACCTTCCTCAAACGAGCTTCCTCATTTTTAAAGGCAAGTTATCTTTTTTTTGTCTTGTGTTTACCAGACAAAACCGACATGTTCCTTGAATCCATATTCTCAGTGCGTTCTTCTCTATTTCATTAGGCATCAACATACTTGTGAAGTCCAAGGCCTTCCAATACGTCATGTGTGAGTTTGATCCTCCTCCCTCACGCGTACCCGGTGCGAGCGTCTCCTCGTAAACCTTTTAACCTCTTCTCTCGGCTACAGATGTGGTGGTGGCCATTAATGGTGTTTGGATTCTGGTGGAGACGTACACGCTGAATAGTAAGCTCTCTCCCGTTGACCTTAAGGTGTGTCACTGAAGGAATGTGTTTCTGCACTACAGATTTCTCACCCTTCTGTCTTCGTGCAGGTGGATTTTCCTGGTCCAGATTTGTACCCTGGAGTTACATTGTTTTTCTGACTAGTGAGTGGGTCACATAGAGAATCATCATTTGCTGTAAAACGGCTTGTTTGTGTGCACGTTTACCAGTACTGACTCTGCCTCTGTCCTTCCACTTTTAGTTTATGGTGTAGAGGTGTTATTGAAAATAACTGGTTTGGGGCCAATGGCTTATTTCAGCTCTGGGTGGAATCTGTGAGTAATAACTTCCTGGGTTGATTGGTTGATTGATTGACACATTGAATGAGTGGTGGAATCAAAACGTCAGACTTGTGAGAACATAGGACTGCATACATCCATAACATGACAACATTAAGTCTGTACATTCAGTACTCTGACCCCATAGGGCAGGGTTGGTAATCTGTAGAAACATTGACAATATATGTGTTGAAATTTACGTTACATCCTGACAGCAATCAATGAATCAAACGCTGAATGAAGATAGAAATGAAATCCAGTATCTGTGGCTTTTTTCAGACAAAATGATAGCAGCTTGTAGCTGCTGTTAGCTACTTTAATGCGAGCAGAGTTGGCACGCCTGGGCTATTGTTTTCTTCTTTGTCAAGATTACCAACACTTGCTTTAATGTGACAAAAAAATTCAACCAAAACAAAAATGTATTTCAGCATGTAAATAGTTTTGGTTGTAATCTTCACTGTGCTTGTCTGTCCAGATTTGATTTCTCCGTGACGGTGTTTGCCTTCCTGGGTCTGATCGCTCTCGCCTTCGATATGGAGCCATTTTACTTTATTGTTGTTCTGAGACCATTTCAGCTGCTCCGGTACACTTTGATTTCTTACTCTTAAGAGCATAATTAACATGTACTGATGTTTTACCTTTTGGGTTGAAAATGTGATCCGTTGTCTTTCACAGGTTGTTTAAGATAAAGCAGAGATATCGTAACGTGTTGGACACCATGTTTGAGCTCTTCCCCCGGATGGCAAGTCTGGGCTTGACCTTAATCATCTTCTACTACTCCTTCGCAATTGTTGGGATGGAGTTTTTCGCCGACGTGGTTTATCCCAACTGCTGCAAGTGAGTTAAACAATTCCCTTTTATTTGTGGTTTTGGGAAGTAGTCGCATTAACTTTTTTATTTTTTTTACCTTTGGCACAAGATGATCAATTATGCTAACTCACCTAATCAATGTATTTCCTTCTCAGCACCAGTACAGTGGCAGACTCCTACAGACAGATAAACGTCACCTATGGAAACAAAACCGTGCTGGAAGAAGGATACTATTATCTCAATAACTTCAACAACATTCTCAGCAGCTTCGGTAATTCCCTTTTATTTTTATTTTTAAATAAGGCTGTAAATGAACCATAATAAGTGTAAGTCAATATCTCCGTAGGTTCCAACAAGCTCGCCTGTTATTCTCAGCAACCCATTTGTTCTCAGTAACGACCTAAAAAAGATCTCCAATATATAAAGTTAGATTTTTTGTAAAAGCCTGAATAATTTCCACAACATACTATGTTTTTTTATGACATACTATTTGATCATTTTAATGAAACGCTATCCCATGACAACGTAATGTATTCTCGTGCCATATTGTCTTTTTCCTTTATAAGAAAGTTGTATAATACCACAGATTTTAGGACTTTTGATGGGATACTTTAGTATTACTTTTAAGTGACTTTTTTCACAGTGCTGTATGATGGATATCTTGTGACTTTTTTGGACATATTGTAGTATGAACTTTTTGACATACCCTTTTTTTCTTGGACATACTAAACTATTACTTTTTGTAACTTGATGACATACTATACTTTGACCTTTTCTTGATAATTAATTTATACTAGATTGTTATCTTTTTTAGGATTTTCTAAATAGATACTTTTCAATGACTTCATTTCTTTTTTTAAACATATTATAATTTTCTATTTAATTGTCATACAATAATATGACGGACATAATTGATATACTATAGTGACTTTTGTCACTGACATTCTATATTATGACTTTTTTATTTTCTTTTGGTGACATTCCAAACATGGCTTCTAATGAAACACTATTCTATGACTTTATTTTTATCTCTACACTATTCTGTGACATACTATACTCTTCCTTATACACTTTGTTCCTGTTTTATGAAAAACGTACGTACTTTTGTACAAAATGTAATCAACATACTATGACTTTAAACGGATCATGTTAATTTATTTATATTTTTACCCCCAGTGACTCTGTTTGAACTGACTGTGGTCAATAACTGGTACATCACCATGGTAAGAGTCATTCTTTCATCAGTCACTACTCTAAAGTCTTTATCAGTGGTATGTTACTGTTTTCCTGATGCTGTGCTTACTGTCCTTCAGGAAGGTGTAACTTCCATGACAACCCACTGGAGCCGGCTCTACTTCATGACCTTTTACATAGTTACCATGGTGAGTCCTGTGCAACCATGTGTGTTTTTGGTACACGCCCCGTACTTCTGCTTCCGTCTGTGCATTGATGTGTTACTCTCGTATCTCCAGGTGGTGATGACCATCATCGTAGCGTTCATTTTGGATGCTTTTGTGTTTCGTATGAACTACAGCCGCAAGAACAGAGAACCAGTGGAAAACCCAGAGGGTGAGTTTGTGTGTGGGTGTGTGTGGGTGTGTATTCATACATTTAGCTCTTCAGAACGAACACCTTTTATATATTCTTGAATCGTAATATTCCTTGAACAGATATTCAGATAAAATGCTTATTTGACTGTTATTTGGCTGCCAGCACTGACGGAAAGAACAGTGTGAGGTCTGAGTGAGCTCAGTCGTTTTAAGGTCTGCGTTTGCGCTCTAGATGAGAACGGGATCGTGTTTGAAGTAGAGGTGAGTCGGGATGAAGCTCTGACAACTCTGGAGCTGTACAAGCAGACCTGCCCGGGACTGTCCTCCCTCAACTCCTTACAGGGAGTCCTACAAACTATGGACAGAGGAGGGGTAAGACCACGCGCAGACAATAAACTCCTATTCCTCTGCTCCTCACATGAAATTAAACTAACCCACTTTCCTTATCGCTTTGGTGTGCATAGCACTCGTCTATGGTGTACCTAGGTCGCAGGTCGAGGACGAAGAGTGACCTCAGCATGAAAATGTACGAAGAGGAGATACAGGTAAGAAACCGAAGACGTATTTCTGAACGAATGCCATGTCAGTCGTTGGTCTGTCGCTGCCTCCTCACTCTTGCCACGTCTCGTTTTAGCACGAGTGGTATACCGAGTATTCGAGGGAAGACCTGGCTGAGCGAGAGCAATGCCCGGAGCAGGAACCGGATAGTCCCGTCTCCCTCCCGTCTTCCTTCCCAGAGCCTCAGCTCAACTCACAGACTGGACCTCACAGTGTCAACTAATGCAAAGGCTGCAAGCGGTTCTTACTCATCACAATCTCGGCATTTTTTAAATGCAAATAAACCCCATTACTCCCGGTTCTCCACACGTGAAGTTTACCAAGGAGGAAAACTGGTACGGGAGAACGTGAGGTGACGATGACTCTGTCACTATGGACAATACGACTGCAGTGCAGATCTGTTGCTCGACCAGTAAAGCTACGTTTTCTCTGGGCCAATGTTACCAGGGAGCCTGTACTACTACGGTTTGTTGTGTATGTATGCTGCCGTAGGCCATTTGTGACTTTCTGTAACACTTGTAGTACTTCAACCTGATGTATATGGGAATTTCTGCTTAATAACACATCTCATTTATCTAAATCCAAAAGTATAAACACTCCCACAGAACTATTAGTGTAACTAATAATGTAATAACGTCTCAACGGATTCAAAGTGTTTCACTTTCATATCATTTGTTCTTCAGTAATGTATTACGGTGAGTTAAGAAGGTATTCCAAAAATAAAATGTCTTAATTGTCAAGTATTTCTGCTGTACTGATACTGCTGAACTGCTTATTTACAATGTATAATTTAACACAGACCAGCATACCATTACTACAACCTGTTCAAACAAATACCAAACCAAAAATTATTTAATGCCCTAGATGCAGCTTTGTACAAGATTATTTTAACATGTTTTACAGTACATTCAATTCATTTACAATGTTTTAAAGTATACATTTCTACAACCTGTGTTTTCCCTCTGACCTCACAAAGTGCCGTCTCACATCCAGTCAGCACAAACAGCAAGTTGAATAAAGGCACAGAGTGAAAGTTTCCGCTCTCCCTGAGCAAAGAAGTCTTTGTCTTTCATTTGCCTTACGAGCAAAAGGTACTCTTGATTGTTGTAAAAATAGTGTATTAAAATGATGCATAGAAGCGGGTGAAGGTCCTTTCCGGTGTGTCATTTTCCTTCAGAGGTCCCACATGTCAGACAAGTTCGAGATTGAAATCTACCCAAAGTGGATGAGACCAAACTCTGTGAGCAGTGCGATGAGAAGGAAGACGGCGTAGAAGACGATGAGGAAGATTCCGTAGCGTCGATCCAAGTGGAATCGGCTCAGCGGAACAATGACGAAGGAAAGAACCAGAGACAAACCCAGAGATCCTGCGAGAACCCACGTCAATAAACCCTGTGATTCAAACTGAGGAGGAGGAAGGGACAAAGGATGCGTCAGCAGTTTTCAAAACAGTCAAATATTTGACACTATTACTCTGAAGCTTCAAACCAGATATTTAACTCTTGATTTGAATATTTCAGACAATTACCTGCACGCCAGAGTCCGTTTTAATCATCTGCAGCAGACATCCTATACCGACTCCAAACAGCATATCTAAAGAACAATAGTCAAGGACAATTCAAACTGCAGCTGTCGTACGCGTGCAGACATTGTTATTATACTGAAACACTGTTCTCTTATAAAAACAAGGATACTGAAAATGATGCCTCCGAAGCAGGCAGCGATGGCCATTCGTGGGTAACCCTGCCGGGCTATGGTGATGTCAGAGAAGCAGTCTGAGAAAGAGATACGCATACAGATGATGTGCTGAAGGTTTCAATTGCAAGTATATATTTACCAAAAGATACTGTACTGACTTTTTTAGGGACTTTCAAGCATGGAATACTGCACATTTTTAAAATACTTTGACATACACGACTTACAAAAATAAAATACTAGACTATTCCACATAAAACTATAATATTTTTGCACATACTCATTTATTTTTGAGATTTCTAGACTTATTTTGTGATGTTTTAAAAATACTAAACTATGGGTTTCTATGACATTCTACATTCCTTATTGACATTTTATACTGTGACTTTTTCGAAGTTATCTTTTGTGACTTTCAAATACTACGACTTAATTTGTCACCTCATTTGTCACAGTCGTATATCTTTGGAATAAATAATAACAAATACTACCTCCTATGCTGTTGCCCCAGGCCAACAAAGTCAGGCCCAGCACGGTGTTGCTGAGACTCAGCGCCACGCCGAGCATGTGCAGCAGGCTCACCACTTCAGAGGCCGCTGCACTGATCAACACTGCACTCACCACAAAGCCCAACAGAGCAAATAGCTGCAGAGGCAAGAAGACAAACGTAGACTTCAATGCAACTTGGAAAATGTGCATTAATCCAATCAGACAGCAAAATATTTTTGGAGCAGTGATTGATGAATATGATGAATATGTACAGTGTGTGTTTAAGCTGTAGGGAGTCTGCCGATTTAGTCAAGACTGAAATCTCAATCTCAATAAACTATTGGACAGATTTCATTACAAGTCATCCATTGTGGTTTTTTTAATACACACAAATCACACTTACTGTGTGATATCTGGGAGGACAGTCATTGGTGGTGCTGCAGAACACGATAGCGGACAGGAAAAGTCCCAACAGAAGCATCAGCAGCCACAGAGGAAACTGCCCTTGGATCATGTAATTTCCATCTAGACATCAGTTGAGGAAAGAAATGCGGGGATTGAAAAGTAAAATAAAGCAGTGAGGTGATTTAATGTATTTAATGTGATCATGGCGGAACGCTGTGCTGCACTTACACATTCCAGACTGGAAGGTGAGCACACACACCAGAGGAGCAGTGATCAGATGAAAACAGTTCAGCGGGCGTCTCCAGTTCCTGTCCTCTTTATCAGGGTCAACCACGGGGACGCAGAGCAGCAACAGCACCTCTAAAGGTGTCTGATGGGAGAGTTTTAAAAAGCTTTGCACTCTTGGTGTACCAACAAGATTCCTTCAGACGTTGAGCCTTTTTTCCCCACCAGTGCCCCCCACACACCTTCAGTACTTTAAAGACTCTCCAGCCCCACGATTTCCTCCTCCACTTCCTGTTGTCCACCGGGTTCAGAGAGCTTAGCAGGATCTGACTTGTGGACTCAGAGTAAGGCAGAAGTGGCCTGTACTCTGACTCTGAACACACACACACACACACACACACACACACACACACACACACACACACACACACACACACACACACACAGTGTATGTTAAGGTCCCGATCACGCAAAACGATCCTGCCATTCATTTGTTCACATATGATTCACATACTCACCAAACTCCTGTTGGATGCTCCCTCCAGTCAGGCAGGGGACGTCTTCATAATCAGACGAGTCGGATGAGTCAAACTCTTCTGCAAGGAAAACCAGTATCACCACGGCCAATTATGACATTTTATTTGGTAATTTCCTCCTTGTACGTATATTTGTGTTTCTAACCTGGATTATGTGCCCCCCTCTGGACACTGGAAGTCATCGAATGTTTCTGCCGGTTGTAGATGTACGCACTGATTATAACAGTCAATACGTAAACCACATAGAGACTCAGGTACCCTACAGAAAGGAAATGAAGAGCTGTGAAGCTTAATGTCTGTGTGAGTGTTAAATACTAAGAGCTGAGAGTAAAAATGTATTTATACACATTATGTCCTGCCGTATGCAGTACTGTTTGTGAGGAGATATTTAAAAAAGAAAAGCATCGCCTTTTAACTGCATTCTGGCATATTAATTGGTCAGAAAACAGATTGCAGCCCAACAGCGTGGATGTTGGCTGCAGAACATACACCCTGGAAGGCTGCAAAGTCCTCTGTATTCATGCGTCGGTAAACAAAAAATGTCATATCCAATTGTTTTAGTCATTCAAAATGAAGGGCTACATGCCGCATATATGTTGTATACCCAGCGTTTCTCCCAGTGCTGTGGTTCCTCTGAACAACATGAGGAAAGTCCAAAACACCGCCACCATGTAGAAGATGACATCGCGCAGGAACGGACGGGAGGCCACAGCGAAAGGCTTCACCAGCGCCACGCTGCCGGCAACCACCGTGGTGACAAATATGCCAGCTCCTGTGTGTACGGGGGGGAGGGGGGGCAGAGAGCATTCAGACAAAGGGCCAAACCAGGTGTACCTTTAAAAAGCTTTAGCTGTTTACGTGGCTGTGAGAGCGCGCCTACCAAACAAGGCTCCCACCGCCAGCCCGGCGGTGTGCGGGTGGGAGAACGCCGCTATGGCACTGAAGACGTCAGGAGCTCCATTGCCGAGAGCCAGAAACGTCACTCCCTCGACACAAACAGCAGTCAAGGCAAGTGCACTAACATCACTGAAGGGGAAGTGGCAACACTGAGAGAAACTTAAGAGAGGAACTGTCTTGGTGAATCATCAGTCTGATTGTAGGTAAGTGTCGTGAAGTGAGAGACTAAAGCGCATGTGAATAAAGGATACAGCCACATTGTGAGTGAGGTGCAGACTGGTAGAGATGGCTGACAGGTTGGGGCAGAAACTGTGAAGAAAAAGTGGAAAAAGTGAGAACGCAAAAGAAAAGACAGTTATAAAAAAACATCTCTGAATTTCTACTAAACAGTTTTCAATAATTCAGGTTATTTGATATGAAACAGTATTATATGAAACAGTACAGCAGCTTCTCCACCATTCAGCTACAGTGGTGAATGTGTGGAAAGTGGTTGGGGTGAAAGAGCAGAAAAATCTGTACTTCCTTTGAGGAAATCTCAAAGGAAGTACAGATTCGAGTGAACACAACTCGAGTGAAACGATAATGAAAAAATCGACCGTCATGTGACTCTTCTACATGTGACCCTTAAGCTGAGCGCACTGTGGGCATGGATGTGTGTGTAGTCGGCCAAGGTGGGCTTCTTAATGTAGCGCAACGCACTCCATGGCAGAAATCGAATCAGTGATTTAGGCTCGCTGGCGTAACACACAAAAAGTACACACTGACCCCGGCAACGTGAAAGACACTTACAACTTAGACGCTGTGAGTCCGAGAATGACGAACAGAAAAAGCAACCATATCATCTGAGGAGAAGCAGAACGAAGTTAAGGTGAGGTGAGTGTTCTTTAACACACTCAGAGAAGACAAAAGTTCAGCTTGTCGTACGCAGAGAAATGTTTCATAAAATGTTTCAAAGAGGAAGTTGTATGATCGTTTAGCAAAAAGTGAAATGACAGAAATTCCTTAATTTACAAAAGCAAAGTAATCTTCCTCAAAAGACCAGTTGCTGCTGAGCTGCAGTTTCGTTCTGCCCACACACACACACACACACACACACACACACACACACACACACACACACACGCGCGGGTCTTACGCATAGAGTGATGGTGAGGGGTGTGAGGTTGGGAGGAAGCAGACAAAAGGCCACGTGAAGGTAGTTGATGAAGCCATCTTCCATGTTACAGTCTGGTGTGTTTCTCACAAATGCACAGCGGTCTGCAGCACTGAGGTTCATCACAAGGTCACACTGAACACACACAAAGAAGAAAGATTGTTGTGCAAATGAACAACAAAACAAATAAACTTTTTTGTAAAGTATTGTGAAAGAGCAGGGCCAGAATAAAGCTTTACTGTCCAGCAGGGACAAATTGATTACTGGGTCCCAGTTTTCCCATCTCTCATTGTGTCCATTGTGTTGTGGTAAGTATCAATCAAGGACAACACACAACAGACTGTATGTGGCAGCTTTGTAATATATTGCCCCTAAACCAAGTAATTTAATCAAACAAGAGTAATTAAATCAAAAAAAGTAATCTAATCAAATCAAAAGTAATGAGGGACATATAATGGTGCTATAACATGACTTGGAATGGCCTCATACACTCAGATACACTGAAACATGGTGTATGACAAATAGATGTAAACAATCAGTGGTGACTTTATTATCAGGCACATCGCTAACAGCTCATGAGCCATAAGATCTACCTTCACAAGCAATAAGGTTTCATTTTGATTCAGACTGACCCTGAGGAATTTCATTTGATTGAGTTTTGTCGTTAGAAATTGAGAGAAATTGAGTTGAATTGTACCGCTTTAGATGTTTAAAGTCATCCAAACCCTATTAAACAATAAAATACAGCCCCGTAACAAAACAATCATTAATGATAACTTCATAAATATAAATAAAAAGTACACGTTTAACAAATAAAAAAACAGACTCAAGGCTCCCTTACAGGAGATGACCATAACAAGTCAACATATGGAGCAATGAACACAAGGTTCATACACAGTACCAGTCAAAGGTTTTGGACACAGTTTCTCAAACTTTCGACTAGAAAAGGAAATATGAAGATACCACAAATATACATTTAGTCAGCTCATGTTATGCTTCAGTGGTGAATATTCCACCACTGCCTCTCTGGTCTGGATCTACACGAACGAACATCTGCCCTGATGTGGATATGCAAGCGTTGCATTTAATAAAGAAGTAAAACGTGATTTATGGCTTGCGTTAAGCACGTGACACCCGGAAATGCCTACCGACAACCTGTCAGTTTCAAATCAAACCAGTAAACAGCTCGGACACATGCACACACACATCACACACGGTCACTAAATGTCCCGCTGAGATGTCAACTAGTTGTCAAACATCACCAACCTTATCGTTGCTGTCTTGAAACATGTTTGTTTGTGTATTATTTAAAGATGACCACCCGGCTAATCCGACCACAGGCTGGTTCGCGAGGACATGTGAGCCCCAGGACACCTGCCGGTGATACGACAACACCAGCAGAAGGGACAGGACAGCGGCTGAAGACATGGTCCACTTTATCCGGGAGACAAGTTCATTCTGGGTGACAGGACGGCGGTGGCTTCTTTAACTCCCCCAGCGCGGACCCTTCTGTTTGAATGGAGCCGTATTGCAGAAAACGAATTAAAATCCTTAAAATCCACTTCGTTATGTGGCTTTAGGTTCAGCTAAACATCGGTGGATTGATTCTTTAAGTGTCTTTCACAGACTGCTCGCCAGATTTTAATGTCCGTGTACATGTTGCACATTCTCGCCCTGAAACTCCACCTACTGTTTTTCCAACCAACACGCGGTGCGTTCAGGGACTCCTCGTAAATTCAAAACTCCCGAAAATACGTGGTACATCACTCCGTAGCATTAGGAGACTTGCCCTCAAATCAATTCAGATATAGTTTGGGCACAATACAACAGTGATACGGTGAACTAACGATATCAATTCATAGCAGAGTCTAAAAATAATTAACTGGTCTATACGTTTTGTAAAACTGCACCGTTATATTGTTTAATAGATCATACTAAAACACATATGTCAGAGTCAAGGCCCGCGGGCCACATCCGGCCCGCGAGAAGGTTTTTTACGGCCCCTGGGATGATCTTGATTTATTATTAGAACCGGCCCGCAGACCGCAGCAAGCCGGCAGCCCGCAGATCTTTTACACGCACCAATACTACATTTCCCACAATGCAACGGTGACGCACCGAGCAGTAGGCTGCTTCATTTCAATATTTATTGGCACAGCAGTTGTCAGCATCACAGTAAAATTAACTTTCAGATACCCATCAAAAATGGCAAAACGGAAGGTGGACACTGAGAACCGGGGGTTTCAAACAAGGTGGGAGTCGGAGTATTTGTTCACGGAGGTAGCTGGAAAACCTGTGTGGAGAAAGTGTGGAGAAAGTGTGGCGGTACTGAAAGAGTATAATCTGCGTTCCCGAGCGCACAGTTGGCTGATAAAATAGGTATGCTTGCCGCTGACTTTCGACGCCGATTTGCTGACTTTGAAGCACAAAAAAGCAGGTTGGAACTGCTCGGTAACCCATTTGCTGTTGACGTGGAAAGCTCACCACCAAACCTCCAAATGGAGTTGATTGACCTCCAATGCAATGATGCACTGAGGGCAAAATATGCGGCAGTGGGTGCTGCGGAGTTCGCCCGTTTCCTCCCCGACACAATGCCCCAGCTGCGCATCCAGGCTGCTCAAACGTTGTCTATGTTTGGCAGCACATACCTGTGTGAACAACTGTTTTCTTTGATGAACTTGAACAAAACATCACACAGAAGTCGACTTACTGCTGAACACCTCCACTCAATTCTGAGGATTTCCTCAGAATTGAGCCTTACCCCGAACATTGATGAACTTGTGGAAAAGATGGGACACCACCAAGTATCACCCTCAACCTCAAACAAGTGAACATTACTGTGCAATCACATATTTAGAGTTTTTACTCAGTTCAAGTTTAAAAGTTAAAGTTTAATATTTGTTTTCACTGCATGTTACTTCTCCTTAAACAAAGTGTTGTTTTTGATTAATAGATTTTTGCACTTTATTTTATTGTATTTCAATCCAATTATATTTTAAAAATATTTCAGTTGAGTGGATGATAGAAAATTGCTATTATTGTTTTTTTCTTTGAAGTAAATTTAGCCCACTTTTGCTAAAATAGAAAATATAGGCTACTGTGCCTTGAATACCGGTTTCTTTCATTTAATGTTCATGTTATGGGGATTTTTATATAAAGGAAATTTGTCTTTTGTGTCTGTTGAAAATTAAAGATTACTGACAGAGCCATAAGAAAATATTGCTTTATTTATCTGATCATATTGGAATATATTTGTTAGGTTTTCAGTAGGTTCAATTAGGTTCACTAGACTATATGCGTCATTTAAAAAATTTTCAATGAACATTCGAACAGTCCGGCCCTCGGCTTGTAGCTAAATTTTTTATTTGGCCCTCCGTCCATTTGACTTTGACACCCCTGTACTAAAAGATACCATAATAGACCATACTGTTATAGAATGTATTGGAGTTCAGAAATGCAATTTATCCAACAGAAAAAAGGCAGCATGTATGTTTGTACAACTCCCTCCTGCTTGCCTCACTTGTGACCTGTGCGCTATTTAAATGGTTGTTTGTTGCTCAATATTTCCCCAAGAGTGTAAACAATGTGGCAGTAGTCATGACTTTGAATGTCCACTTTACACTTGTCACACAAATTGTAAATGTATGGTTCCATATTTAATACAGACAAAAAAATATATTGCAGAAAGTTCATATACAGAAGTTAATTTAATAAACACCCAAATCATATTAGACAAGACTTTATTGTATTATATACTACATTAACCCATCTCATTCCTTTTCCATGATTGGGTTGTATTTGAATTCCTTATTTTGTATAACACATGGTCTAGGTCATCTCCCATCTACAATTTAACTAGTTCTGCCACAGAACAAGGTACAGGTGAATCCGGCAACCTTCAGCCCTGGATGGGCCGGTCATACACAAGTTCAACATCATGTGACGCTGAGCTGAGATCATAGCAGCCTCTCTCCTGTTTAGTGGCCACAGGGCACAAGTCCTGTTCACACCACCTGATAAAAGAAAATAAAAAACACATTTAATTACCTTAAAGTAGTGTTAATATAACTGTTAATGTAACCTTTGGGGTTTTGTTTGCTTTACCTGAGAGCTGCATATGTATCTGGAGAAGAGGCTCCCACCCAACAGGCATGGTCGATGAGAAGAGCACCTGTCAACAGCCATCATGTTTTTACATTACAAAGTCTTTCTGCAGGGCTTAGGTTGTACCAGTGCATGTGTAAAAAAGAAAGAGGGTATAAAGCCCTTTGTGGCTCAGTTGGAGATGTACTCGTAAGGGAGAGGAGTGTATCTGTGATCGTGGCATCCACCTGTGTAGATACGAGCGAGGCTGTAAGCCAGGTCCCGGGCTGCTAGTTCCAGGTAGCCAGGAGCTCTTGTAGCTGCCACCTGAACAAAAACCTCCAGTTGAGAGAGAGCAAGGTCGACTGATTTCACCGCCGGCGCCAACCTGGAAACACCTGATGCACCTGCAAGCAGGGACTGCAAGAAGAAAACAAGTGAGCATCACTCTCCTGTTTAACCTGGCGTTTGACAGGGTTATTTCCTGACTCTGTACCTTGGCATGGGTGAAGTAAGCCTGAAGAACCATTCCTGAGCTACGAGCCACACAGCGCAACACGTCCAGAGACAGAACATTTGTGGTTCCCTCCCATATACTCAAAACCTGAGAGAGAAAGAGGCCGGTAAGCTTCAAAATAGAAAAAAACTGTAAAAGGAATATATAAATATTGACCTTACCTGTGCATCGCGAAGTAGTCCAGGCAACCCTGTATCCTCAATGTATCCCTGTCCACCGAAGCTTTCCAAACCCTCCGACACCACAGCTACCGCCTGACCCAAAACAAAACAGGCAGTAAGGGTCGCCATCAAAACAGACAGCGTACTACAACATCTGCGCAAGCTGGTCACCTGCTTCCCGGTGTACAGTTTGGCGACGGGAGTGAGCAAACGCAGCAGGTGTGCGTCATGCCGAGTCGCCACGCCGCTCTCTTCTCGTCCCAACAGACGACAGACATCCATCACCAGAAGAAAAGCTCCACGAGTCTCCACCTGTCCATTGTGGCGGCAAGCAGTGAGGCGTGATGGGAAACTTGCTGAGTTGCTTATAGTTTGCGTAGTTTGTTCAGCCCCTCGTCCACTCACCTCCATCCTAGCGAGAGTCTGAATGTGCAGCGGGTGGTCTTTAAGAAGCTTTCCAAAAGCGGTGCGGCGAGTGGCGTAGTCACGAGCTAGCTGGACCACCCTGTGAACACAAACAAACGCACATGCAATCAATCTGCTTTCCTGCAGCACGTTCAGCGCCGAGTGCCGGAGCAGAATCCTGCCTTCTCATTGCGGCCGCCGCAGAGATGCTGTTGTGTATTCGGGTTATGGTCAGCATGTCTGCTATGGAGGCTACACCTCTCCCTTTCTCCGAGAGCTGCAAATGTAGAGAGGGAAAAGAGAGACACACACTCACATGATAGCAAAACAAATGAGCCGGCATTGCTTTAATAGAAGGATTCACAAGTATAAGGCATTTTTAAATGGTCTACTTGCCTTAATATGTTGTATTATTTTCCGAATATAAATAATATATGTAATGAGGCATGAACAAAACATGCTTTATTACAAACAAATAACTGCACCTAACACCTGTTTTTCATTATTCATTGACTGATGGTGTGTAACTGACCCTGTGCGCCGGCAGGCCGTCCAGCAGCAACTCAGCAGTTGGCATCTGTCTTGTGCCGAGCTTGTCCTTCAGTCGCTGGACCTCTATGCCGGTCAGCCGTCCGTCCTCATCTCTACTCACCTCTGCGTAGAACAAACTCAAACCCCTGCTGCCCTGTGGGAAGGAAGAGAGACCAGCTCGCATTCAGTGCAAGGAAATCCCACTGTAAGTCATAGAAGAGGAGCGATGGATGGTGTTATGGGACGTCTGCAGCACCGCTGTGGTTGCTCCTGTTCGGTCCTGCACTCTGGCCAGTGTCAGGGTCATGTCTGCGTCTGTAGCAGAGGTGAACCACTTGAAGCCGTGTAGTTTGTACGAACCGTCTGTCTGGGGAACAGCCACCGTCTCTGTGCCACTGCCTGAAGGGATGCAAGACAGGGAGAGGCAGTAGTTGAGTTATTTATTAATTTACTCACAATTCAACAGATAATTCATGTAAATAACAATTTCTGAACTTTAGTCTTTTGGCTGAAGTTGATACTGGTTAATCAGATACAACGTGGAGTGTCACTACTGACCCACGTCAGATCCTCCCTGTCTTTCAGTCATCCACTGTCCAGATGTCCAGAAATGCTTCGGCTGACGGGTGGTCAAACGGCTGTAGGCTTCATCCACCGGCCATGAAACACCTCTGGACTTCACGTATACAGTCAAATAATCGAAAAGTTATGTTTATAAGCTGAGAAAAACAAGCAATCAAACGTTTATTGTCTCTGTGTGAAAAAAAGGCCTCCTGTTGTTACATTTTACATTTTCTGACACACCTGGATGACTTTAGCAGCTCCATCGGTCATGGCCAGGGGACAGGTGTACAGACCAGAGGAAGGAGAGAAGATATACAACTTGCTCATTTGATACACACGACTGGAAAACACACACACACACACACACACACACACACACACACACAATTACACTCTTTTAGTGAAACTTATCTTATTAGAAACTCCCAAAAATGTTATTGAACTGAAATATGCCATGCATCTCCTTACCTCCACTCCCCAAATGACCTCTCATAGCCAATGGCAACCAGTCCTTCCTGTGCAGACAGGTCTTTCATACGTTTCCAGGCCGGGGAGGTCACGATGTGGTCCACTCTGTGACCCCAGGGGTCAAATTGCACCAGCCGTGGAGGATTAACCTCACACTCTCGACCCCAGACATCCACCTCATTTGCCACACGCTCTCCAAATGCATGCAAGTCGGATGAAGCTGCCTGTGAACAAGCGTATGCACGTACAATTACACGGATTACACATAGTTTATTTCCATGAGCAGTTGACGGCACAGCTGCACTGGCTCCTCACCTCCTGGGGCAGGTGTCTCCTCATGTACCCTCTTAGCAATGCATCCTCTAGAAATGGGTTCTTCAGAACTGGTCTTTCCTGAAAGAAAGATCCTATTTTGGCTCCAGAGAATGGCAGGTATCCAGCCGGCTGCCCCAGTTCCTCTTCAACAGTTCTTCTGGTGCCGGGCTCGGCCACACTGGCTAATCTGATGTGGCTCAGCGGTGGAGGAACACCACGCAGCACCTTGGAGCGGCCTCCAGCTACACGGCAGGTCAGTAGGGCCGAGCACACAGACATGGCTCCAGACCTGCAGGACCCAGGTCAGAGGTGACTGTTAACGCCACGCGGCTCGACACCTGGAGCAACTGTGTGAAGGCTGGAGAGAAAAAAATACTTTTCTTTCAGGATCATTTTGAATTCAAAAACATAATACAACACTAACTATTAAAAACACTACAAGTGTACAGTTTGCTTTTGTTCACCAAGTGTTCTAAAAGTCTATGATGATACGTCACTTTCATTCGGGGAGGCATCGCAGGCAACAATCTATCATATGTATATATATATCAATGTATTTACATACATACATCGATGTATGACACACCACTGATACAAATGACAAGTTAGCGCTCGGTTGTCGGTCTGGGCCTTTAGTAGGGTCTCTGTGTATTTCACACTTCATATATTGGTTCTTTTCCATGAATGTATTGTTTAATACTAACTTAAACCTTTCTTTTCTGGGTGATCAGATATTTGATCCGTTAGTGCCTCCACCTGGCAGGTATAAGATCCTGCAAGCAATTCAAAACCCACATATTCATCTCATACTACCCGAAAACAGATGAAAAGGGGAAATACAGAGTATTCGCATGAGTAAACGGTGAATCATCACTAGAAGTCAGCTGACCTCCAGTTGTGTGGGTCAAAGTTCATTCCGTTCCGATGTCGTTTTCGGTCAGTTATTTTGTATTGTTTGATTTAATTGTAGTGTAATGTTTAGTCCAGGTAAGAAGCCGTTAACCGAGCCTTTTCTCATCAAACTGCGGAGTTTATTTACACTCTTTAACCGAAAACGAGTCGCTGTGCAATAATGTCAACAGTTAGCCAAGCGGCTAACTTACGTCAACAACTCCACACGACTGACTCTCACTTTAATACAATTTATACCGATACTTGTTTTGACAACATTGAATATTTATGTTGAACGATACATTCCGAGATGTGAGGAAGCTGTTTGCAGCGTTACCTTGAGTTAGTTCACGTTAGCAATCACCGCTACACCTCAGCTGCTGACTGCGCCCTTCAAAATAAAAGTTCAAAAAACGGCCCGCCGATAGTTTTGATCTGTCGAGTCTCCAAGATGTTATAGGTATGTTTTTGAAATATCTATGAAATGTGTTAAATGGGAATTCGTTAATAGTACTCACAACATTCAAGTTAAAAAGATAAAAGGAAATAGATATAAAATAATATAACGGGCAATGACTCCTTGAAAAGGTGTTGCTGAACCTGTTTTATTGGCCCAAGTAAAGATTTCTCAAAAATACAGAATCCTTTGCTCTAATCAGAACAACAGACCGAACGCATGCACCGTATAATAAAACATTTCCATGACATGTTAAAAATCTGTTGAAAAGGAATAACACAGGCACTGAATAATTATGAACACACAATATTTGCATTTGAATGTGATTTTTTTTTCTTCCAAAAATAAACACAAACCAGTCCTATTTTAATTGCAGTAGGGAAATATGGGAATAATCATACTGATAAAACCCAGTAATAGTTCTCCTTTGTGGGGGGAGGAGGGGGGGGGGGGGCATACCCCCTAACCGTAAAATATGAACCTAGTTTCCTCGTCCGACCAGGATGGAGGAAGGTAATCGGCAACACTGATGTGTTGTTAGTGTATAAAAATAAAAGTTAATGTTTAGTTTAGTACAGGCTGCACTGCAGAGCACAACCCAGTCACCTGGCGTGTCCAATTTCCACCAGATGATGGACCAAAATAAAGGAACAAAGGTAGTATGCAGTTTTCCACCTCATTGGGCGACCATATAAAGGGACCTACACAAATGATTTAAAAGATCAATCAGGATAAGATGGTTTAAACATAGATTAACATATGAACGCAGGTGTATAAACAGAACTAATGAGATAACCCACCAACTAACCAACTATGTAGAAACACTAGAGAACCTGCCAATACCCAAAGAGTGCACGAGTGCTGATCAAACGCAGGAAAGATCTCAATCCAAGATCACACAGATGATATTCTGAATCAACATCCACCTCATAAAGAGGAGTCCTTTGGGAGCAGTCAACAAATAATAGCTGGAATGAATACTGCCAGTCTGTTTAATGTCCACGTACTCTTCTCTTTTTCTCTCCCTTCTTTAATCACCCTTGGTAAGGAGGTCCTCTATGTATGCGTCGAGCTCGTCGTCTGTGTTTATGTCAATGTCCTGAAAAAGGAAAAGCAAACATTTCTTACTGCAAACTAAGATTACATTTGATAAGAAAGTTAAAAGTGTGTTGCCCTGTGTGTTGGACAATCAAAAAGTACAGTTCAAGCAATCCTACCTCTTGTACTTTTTGTAGAAGTGCAACGATGTTTGTTCGTAGTTTCTGTAGTTTCTCGTCTGCCTCCTTCAGTTTGACCTCGTTGCTGTTGCTCTTCTCTTCCACAGCTTTGGCTCTGGCATCGGCTCTGCTCTGGTACGAGTTACACAACGACTGCAGACCCGATTCATACTGCTGGAAATACTCTTTCTAAAAAGGATGACAACATAATACACTGGTACTCAATAATCTGGACAAGCACAACACAATAGTCGATTAGATAACGGAAGTATCATTCTAATGGGTAGTTTTGCAGGATAAAAAAATAAAAAATTCCCGGAGGATACTGTTGTCTAGCGTTTTTTCTTTCAATATTTTGTCCAGAGGGTTTTTTGGTTGTTTGTCATCTTTATATTCTTTTTCTATTCGCTCTATTGAACCATATATCATTTATCTCACCAAAGGAAATGCCACCAACTCCTCAGCCGTCATGCTGTTAACATCGTCCTTTGGGATTCGAAAAGCAGGAGGGAAGAAGTAACGCAACATTGTCCTGGAAACACAAATTTCACCGTGAACACGCCGTAGTAATATGAAAACAATGTGCTCCGGCTGCCATGATTTACACAAGTGAATTAACAACACCAGATCCTTCAAATGAACTCACCTCAGCATGGTGACGAGACTGTCAGTGACCTCCCGACTGGTTCCTGGTTGGGTGGTGTCGGGCTCCATGGGTGCCGGCCCCTTCTCGCTCTCTTGTTGGGTGTCCGGTGTCTGAGAGATTGGAGATGGCGGCCGCATCAACCGGACGTCGTCACAGCCCTTGAACACCCTTCACAAAACACACAAGTAAAGGATATTAAGTATTTTAAAAAGGTCAACAAAATTTGCCCATAATGCAGCGACAGAGACGCGGTATCCTACCATCTGTCTTTAGGGGTGGATCGAGGCACGTAGTCAAACTTTACTTTCCAGCGAACACTCTGTTTATTCGTCTCAACGGCAATGACTTTGCCTGTGTACCACTCCTTGTTAACACGCACTTCAACCAGCAGACCCTTATCTGTGAAGAAAATACCAAAAACAAAAGAAAGGTAGAAATGATTATATTACATGTTTTGATTTCCAGTTGTATGTGTGACAGATGTTCCGGTAAAGCAGTCCATCATCTCACCTTTCTGAGTATTTTTAGTGTCGTTCTCTTCATCGTCCTGAGGGGACTTCCCAGACGTCTGTGAAAATACAATTAATTAGACGATTATTATTCACACGGCAGTGAGAGAAATACACTTACAGGAAAGAGTTTGAAAAAGAGGTTAAAGGAAAAGATTTGCATCTCTGTTAATAAAAGAAGTGAAAGACCCAAAGTGATCAGGGGCAGTGGGTGGAATTGTCATGCTTGATTGCAGCTGTTAAGAAAATGCGACAAGTTTAGTTTTGAAGAGAGGATTTTTGGAAGAAAGAATATAATCTGACAATATCCCCCGAAATGACAAGAGGTTCAATTGTCGTGACTGTTAGAGGTTGTGAGAGCAGATGCAGCCCAGCCTGGTTTGGGGGTAGTAGAGGGATGGAGATAGTCGAGCTACCTTTGCTTTAGCCCCATGCTGTTGCATGGAAATGGGTTTAGGGATAGCGGTTGGTGTAGTTGGTGTCTGCCGTATGGGAGTAGAAACCCTTTTCTCCTGGGTCTTAACCTGCAAGGTCAAGAGTAGAGGGGCTCTGATTGAAGCTACTCCGCCCAGCTGGAATGTCTTTCTTCTTTCCCTCAATATGTGAACCTGACACTAAGTTCAGTGTCACTATCTCACCGGCCATGCAAATACTGCAGGAATGTAATTAAGCTGGACTCGCTGACACTTAGTTAGTTCAGGTTTCCTGAAGAGAAGATTCCAAATCTTCTTTCCTGAGTAGCTATTGGAGTTTTTGATTAGACCTTCCATCTGAAATGGATGAAGACTTCTATGGCGCTGTAAATAAACTTAACTGTTTAGTTAGTTTCCTCTCATTTAACTTGTCCTCTTCATTTACTCACTTCCTGTAAGTGAGGTATTAATAAAAGGAGGCAACAAGCAGCAGAAAAGACACAGCAGCACACACAGATTGACTCACAAGATTACGGTGAAACATTTCAATGGTTTATGCAGCATTTTTAATGCTGTCATTTTATTCTATACATATTCTTAGTGCAACTGACAACCATATTTTCTCATTGCAAATTTTAAATAGTGCGTAAAACTCGATCTGTGTAGATCCCCCCATCACGGTTGGCACGCATGTAAACCGCAAATTAATCATAGTGTTAAATAAAGATTTACTGATTGTCATTATCCACCGATGTTCCGTAAGATATGTGATCATGACGTCAGCATTTATGCTGCACTCTGTTCCCCTGCCTCTAATAAAGTCACACTGAAAGCTACTTCGTGTTAAAACTGACAGAAGGAGAACGACGGTGCTGTTTATTTACATTATGTGGCGTTCAGGCTCAGTTCAGTAAGAAGTGAGTTTATGGATCATCAATGATGATACATATCGGCATATGAGTAACGGCGGCATAAATGTAATCAGGGATCTTTAAAAGTTGTATTGGCTCAATTTCTTCTTTTTTTAGTTTTATAATCTGTAGCACGACTAACACATATCTGCGTTTTGATATTTTTAAGAATAAAAAAAATTGAGAAAAATCTCTGATGCCAACAAAAGTTTGTTTACCTCATCCAACTTGCCACGTTTGGCGGAGGAGGCCTTCTCTAAGACTTTCCCACGGTTACCAGATGCTGCGGCCAACTTGGATTTCTTTGTCTGTGGTTCTTCTTCACTCTCCTCTGCTTTCTCCTCCACCTCTTCTTCTTCTTCTTCTTCTTCCTCCTCGTCCTCCTCCTCCTCTCCTCCGCTGTCGTCCTGATCTATGATTCTCTTACGTTGTCCAGCCGGTTTGCCCAGTAATGCTTTGGCAAGTGTCTACACCGGGAGAAAGATATCACTGTTATCACACCAACTTGTTCATGCCGCCAACCAAATACTTTCGACAACATTGGTTCTTGGTAGTATGAGGGAAGTCTCTCCAGCGAGCTGTAACTTACCCGAGAGCCGCGGCCGGGTGCGGGCGTTTTGGCTGTAGCTTTGGCGACAGGCTTTGCTGCAGGTGGGGGAGGCTTTGCTGCACCTCTGGACCTGGATGGTTCAGCTTTGGCTGGTGGTGGCGGGGAGACAGGTGCTCGGGTGGGGCGCTGAGAAGCTGCACGAGAGGGAGGAGCGCTTTTTAGGTGGGCTGGGAGCGGAGGGGAGCGGGGCCGGGTGATGGACCTTTCAGAAGATCTCGTTGCCTGAACCAACGACGTGAGAAATACACAACAAACAGTGAGACAAGAATAAAACACAAGGTGACAGAGTTATTATGAAAACAACATAGTTGTCCAACAAGTACAGCATTACTTCATCAGTACTGAATAGTTTTGATGGCGCAATCAAAAGTTGGCCAACAGGTCACTGCTGATAGGGAACTCTTCTTTTTTTTTTAAGTGAAATTAGCCGATTCACTTCCACATCACTTCCTCTTGATGACAACATATTTTTAGGTTTGCCTTTTAACAAGTAAACATTTTTCCAAGGGGAAAAATACGAGTAAAAATTTTTGCAAAGTGCGGACAAAAATAGAGGCAAATTATTTGCTTTATATATTATATGTATATTTTTTTAATACATTTATTTCCCTGTTAATGCTCATATTTCCAGGCATATTAACAGGATCAACAATAAATAAGAGCTAAACAACAACTGAGAATAATCTGAAAGAAGTATTTACAGGAAATGACCCAGTATTATGGAGAATCATAGTATGGGGGAGTTTTACCTGAGATGAGCTCTCTGTTGGTTTCATGCTGACATCCAGTGGAAGCTTCTTCACATCTGCTACAGATTTGACGGTGCTTGTTTTCTGATGAGAAAACACAATTTATCATGTGATATGTGATTTAAACACCAGAGCGTGACAGAAAGAGAGAGCAGAGGACAAAGTACCTGCAAGGCTTCTAGTTTCCCCTGCTGCAGTTTGATTTTCTCTGCCAGTTCTTTCCGTTTGTCCTCAGCCGTCTGCTTGTCTTTCTTCAGAACACCACATGGCACATTTTGTTTCTGTTCAGCAGCCTCACACCTGCAAACAAAAAGTAGACACTATATATTGTTAAGGGTTTCGGAAGCTCTCGAGGGAGGCCTCACTCCTGGTTCTCGTCCCGGCCGGAAACGAGGACACGAATGAGTCAATTCGTTTAAATTCAAAAATCAAAAAGTATTTAATGACTAAACAACATAATAGGGATTACAATTACAAAGTGAAATACTAAGCGAACAGTGGAATATTTCGCGAAATAGAGAATTCTCTGAGAAAGTCTAAAGTGACTTATCAACGCGGCTGCAGGAGAAGATCTAACAGTCTTTCCCCCGCCATGGTCCTTTGAAAACTCTTGAGGTGTGTCTTCTTTGGTGCATTTGAATGTCATTGGCCTCTTCTCCAAAGGGTCACCTCCTCCATTGTCCCTTCCACGTCGAGGTGTGAAGCTGCAGCTGTAACCTGAAACCTCTCTGTCCTAGCTGTCCCTCACATTCCAATGCACTCAATGCAGATACAGTGGCTTTATGCCCCAATGAGTGAACCCAACAAAGCATGCATCGTTTAAGTCTTCATCTTATAACTAGTACACTTTAATTACAACAACCCATCATTAATGATCCCCGTTCATCACACTTCATCATAAGATCTAAGACAGTTCATGTGGTTCAATTCTCAAGACATTTGCCTCAGTCGGCTGCCTTACATGAAGTTGTTCATTTTATTACCTGACAGGAGAAAAAACTCCCAAAAAACCCTCTTTGGGGAAAAAATTGGAAGAAATCCATAAAGAACGGCAATTGGCATCCGTCCCCAGGTTTTAACATCACATTGTAACAGAATGTAAATGTGTAGTGTGTTTCTACGATTTAAAAGACTATAAACTGTGTTTGATTCACATTGTATTCACTTCATCTAACATGTTAATGTAATAAATAATCTAACATCACACAAACTACAATTCTATCACTAAACATCATTACACGTACTACAAATTCTATGACTAGACATTCACTTCTACTTAAAACCCCAACAATATACACACACACCACACTACTTTGGCACACAGTACATGCGTTACACAAATAATTGAACTAATCCTAAAGTGTGGAATCCAAATTTGAAGATAAATCCTATGACTGGAAATGTGCGTACCTGTCCTGGGAGCTGTCGGGGTTCATGAGACAAACCCAACTGTCTGGGTAGCGTTTGTCCACAGCATCCATCTGGAATGGCAGCGTTCTCCACTTTAAACATTTATCTGAAAATACATCAGGGAATGATAGTCAGTGCAAGTTAGTTTCTCGAGATACATAACGATAAACTGTAACTTACCACACTGAATGGTAAGTGGTATCTCCATTGCCCGGCGTCTCTTGTATCTCGGCTCTGATGACGGAGGTGCAGACCAGCTTGCAGACAGATATCCAAACTCATCCCAGAACTTCACTATGCCTTTCTGAGCTGAAACGCACACACAGCAGTAAAGGCATTAATTAAGCCATTAGCCATTTATTTAGCACGTAGCTCCTTTTTCCTTTCTTTAGCTCTGCGAGTGTGTGCGCACCGTAGGGACATTGGGAGGGAAGTGGGAACGCAGGCAGGCCGAGGGTTTGACTTTCAACCAATCATTCAACCATTTTTAAAATAAATTTCTGACTTCACTTTTTCTCAGAAAATCTTTTTGCGTAAGTGGAACAACGTGTTGGCGACAAGCGGAAATCCAACAAATAAGAGGAACTCACCAATGTTAGAGTCCTTCCAGTACTGGGCTAAATGTTCCCCCATGGATCTCAGTAAATGTCGATACTCCTTAGCATCGGCAAAGTCCTGTTTGTTGTGAGTTGGCTCTACAATTAAATATGGAACGTCCACTACTCCAACCACCCCTCCGCATGCCCTGAAACACAAATCACACGTATGTGTAAAATATTGCTCTTAATCATCCAAACTTTGTCGCCTTCCAATCTCTGTGGTCACAGCACTCACATGCCTCCCTCCAGCTGGGGCCCGGTTTTCTCGTACATCTTGATGAGACGAGAACAGTTGTACACAAACATCCCATCCAGGTCCCTCTGTCCTATGTTCACTCCGAATATAAAATTCAACTCCTTTGGCTCCTTTAATGCTCTGAGGGACAAGAAAGTGTTGGAGACTGAAGCGATATATACAAATAACTGCAAAACAAAGTCATTTAAAGTGTTGGTTTCCTAGTTACGATTAGATTATTTCCATGGGGTTGAAACCCAAACTGTATTTAAACTATTTGAAAATCCATGAATATGAGAATTGAGGTTTTTTAATGTTGTCAATCATACTTCTGTTTGGCTTCAAGAACTCTTTTCTTCATGTCACAATCCCGCCGAAGCATCATGGCTGAATCTTGAACTTTTCTCAGAATCGCCTAGAGGAGGAGAAGTCAGAGGGAGACATCAGTTAAGACACCATGACAAAACCACATTCGCATTTCAAAAATGATTTCGTCATACCCGTGAATCTTTTGACAGGTCATCTCCTAATCTTGTCTCTAAAGCCATTTGCTTACTCTCCGCCTCTCTGGCTTTCTCCTCCGCTGAAAGAGACAAAGCGTACACAGATGAGCATGAGTCCCAACACAAAAGGAACACGTAAATGAAAACAGCCAGTTCCCCACTCACTCACCAATCTTAGCAAGATGATCTGCTTTCTTCACTTCCTGCTCAGCTCGGGTTTTGAAACGGGTTGATGTGTATTTATAAACCCTATAAGCAACAAGTATGCGGATGAAGATTTTGTCCCTGGACTACGCTAGTTACAGACACACTATAAGTGAGTAATCAAAATACCTTGGCTTATATAAACAGCAGGACAGCCTCTTGGTCCTCACTTTATGTCCCTGGATAAAAATCCTCATGCGTGGGTCGATGTACAAAACAGCCGCGTACGCCCTGAACGACCTCCTCTCTGGCTTCCTATAAACAGGGAAGGGGCGTGGCCATCAACAATCTATACAATCACTCATCAATACAATCAACAGCCTTGCGCATGTTCGGTGGTTTAATGGCGTCACTCACACTCCTTCAACGGGTGTCCCAGCCATCAGTATGTCCTGGTGATCCGTCTCCACATCCAGCTCCGGTTCTCTGCTGTCCATCAGCTTCAGATTATAGATGATCACAAGAGTGCCTTTAAATAAACACAACATGAAAGTAGGTAGTACAATCATTATCAATAATGCCATTTACTCATACTAAATAGTAACTAGAACGATTGACTCTTGGTTGCATGCATTTGCCAACCAGTCATGTCACAGTTTACATCAAAGTGTGTTGAAAATCCCTATCATCTTATTCTATAAGGATTTATGGTAAAATTGTAATGATCTGCATGTGAATCCTTGATTTATGGCTGATAACGTGTTTTGTGAGGTTACAGTGACCGTCAACCACCAAGTTCTAATCTCAAGGCGTTCCGAAGATATAATGTTCACGTGAATGCTAAGGATTGATGGACGAACAACACAAAAACATGATTGATGTGTAGGATTTGAGGTGGCTATGAACTTTTGTTGCCATTGCAAAATGAATCTCTTCACATGATGACAAACATTCATATGCTTACCACTGCTACTCTCTATTTTATTGAACTGCTCCATCAGCTGCTCTCGGTTTTTAAAAGGAGAGTATTTGTAGATCAGCTCCGTCTCTATGGCGTACTTCTCCGGGTCAGAGGTCAGTGGCTCCTTGGTTTTCAGATCCCAGGAGGGAAGGGGCACTATCACCTGAGGAAAGATGATCAAAATCCTTAAGTAAAACAGTTTGAGTTCTTTGACAAGTGAAACACAATAAGGAGTAAAAAAAGAAACGTAGCTGCAGCTGAATGCAGTGCCTCTCTAGCCGGCCTTTGCATTGTTATACACACACAACATTCATTATACATTTCTATTAACTATTAAAATAAACTAGTCTGAAAAAGGCAGATGTCAAACTGCATTGCTTACTTCCCCTGTTGCACGTCCACACTGTCTATAAGGCACAATCACTATTCTTGTTCCTTCCACACAATCTTAATGAGCTCTACTTAAAAGGTCTATTCAGCAGATGATTCTGACCTCGTCCAATCCCTCCTCTTCGTGGAAAGTCCTCGACATGAAAAGGCAAGTGAGCGTGTTCTCCTTTTTTGTGAACAGGATGAAGTCTTTACCAATACGCATAGAGCCGCTGTGAAACAAACACATTTCTGATGATGAGAAATTATTCAAAACATTAGTGTACCAAATGTACAATATCATCAAACCAAAAAATTGGTGAGGGTCTTACGATTTCAGTCCATTTCCATACTGGCCAATCTGAGTGGACTCGGGGGACCGTTTGTTTGATTTTCCAAACTGAATCACATGTGTTGCCTCATCTAGTAAAAGACAAGTGGTCATCATCGTGTTTTACACACAATACATCGGAGACTCAGCAATGAGCCTTAAACAAAGCCCCTTTAAAATTGGGGACCAAAAAATGTAGAATAAGTAATTTAATAAAGAACTTACCAGGGTTCATTCCAATACCATCGTCCAGAAAACAGAGCATGTAGCCGCCCCGCATCTCTTGCCTTTTTTCTGTCAGCAAAGCATAGAGGGGTAAAAGAATGTTAGGAGAAATGAATGAATGCTACATTGGGTGAAATCTGATGAGTCATTTGGAGGCCTACCTGTGTAGATGTCTATTCGTGTGGCATTGGCGTCTCTGTGAAATAAATAAAATAACTGTGAGATGATGAGAAAGACATCAGGATAAGGACAAAAATCCTAGCCTCCACAATTTATCATCAATTATACAAATCATTATTAGCACCTTGAGTTGTCAACAAGCTCTGCCAAGGCTCCAAACAGGAACTCGTGGGTTGTCCTGAAAGCAGATGTTTCATGAAGTAACAACGGGTCAACAGGTCAGGGAAAGGGCATTCATGGGAGATACTCATTGCCAGCGAAGGATCATCATAATTATATTCTGTGTGGGATTGATAGTCTGTTATACAACTTGTATTTCCTCATGTCTATTGAGAGCTATGGGTCAATGCCAGCAGAACAGTATATTGTCAGTTCCAATGAATTATCCCATTCACTATAAAAGCATTCATTCACACATTTAGCTATAAAGCAAGGAATTGTTTTTTGGGGGGTCAGATTAGTGTCAATATTATTGAATGCTTACAGAAAGATTTAGAAATGTATAACATGATTTAAAAATGTTTCCCTCCACAATACCATTTCATGTCAGAAAATTGCCACTCACACAACCACATACACAATTCCATCAAATGTAAAAGTACCAATATATCAGAGATGTATAGTAGCGAATGCTCCTTGACATGAACTAATATTGGAGGCTTTTAAATATACCGGACAGAGCTGGATCAGATTGTGTGTAGTACCAAGTTCATAAGCTCACTTTAAATACCTCAAGCCTGTACTTACGAATTTGTATGCAAGTACTCGAAGGTAAGCTGAGCCCTGCTCAGGTTACTGTAGTTGGAGTAGGCCATGGCCACACCAGAGTATTTACAGTGTTGTTCCTGGTCTTATGACGGTCTTCTTCCTTTCCAAACAAGCGCTAGTCGAGCATTTTCATCCTGAGAAGCAAAAGAAAACAGATCTTGCCTGTTCAACGTTACCTAGCATGTCTCGAACTACATTAATTGATATCATACACATGATCTGACAGCAGTGGATGTGGACGATTTGTTTACATCAGGTTAACACCCACGCCTTCATAAGTATGCCCCAGTGGGAAGGGTCACACGTGGGAGGCCTGATTTGGAACAACACAATTAACAGTCTTAGCTATGAAAACATTCACGTTTATGTATTCTCACCGGAGGCAGTTATTGGTCAACGACTAGTCGTGTTTGTTATATGATTTAAACCTTTCAGATGTTATGAAGAAACAGGTACTAACGTTTTATGTTAGGCTAACAAACGTTACGTTAGCTAGCGGCCATTTACGTCTTCTGAAGTGTTTATTAGCTAACGGCAGCTAGCTAGCTAGCTTCCCACAGTGGGTACATGTAACCTATCTGACGTCCGCCCTATCAAGTCATATTCTCCGACAGGAGAGATCGTTTAACGTGCCGGCGACTCGCCGGTGACTTCGCGCTAATGTAGTTATCGGTCCAGGGAATAGAAAAGAATACACACTTTGAATCGTTACGTCCTTTCCCTTAAAATAAAACAATCCGCCAGGCCTCGAAGAATCCAACCACTTCGACGCTGCCTACTTGGTTTCCCTCTGGTCGGCAGAAATCCCGCCTCTGTTTTTCGATAATCGACCAATAGGAAAGGATACTGTAGGGATTTGTCACGGTGATTGGAGGAAAGACCTCGCTACGTAAACAGATGAACATAGCGGTACATATAAACCGACGGTGCATTATCTAGTCATTGCTAACTTGTACATGTATTTGCACACATAAACCACCGACTTACGGGAGAAATTGTTAGTTTCAATCGATACAACTGGACAATACAAATTTTGCAGTGGGAGTCCGTTTCGAGAGTTTGTTACTCATGGGTTGTCAGTTTCACAAAGAGAGGTAACTGAAGCTCAGGGTCAGTCGCCATGGTAACTGAGCCTGTGAACCGAACCTGGTCGGGAGCAGGTTTTCTTCTATAAACCTCAGGTTTCTTTCAGTCTCCTCCCTCTGACAGCAGCTCAGCCAATCACACAGCGCGCGTTCATTTCCTCATTCATTCTGTATCAGGCGTAAGATTAATCACTCCAAAAGTGTATAATGACCGGTAGTGTGTGTGCATCGATCAAGCTTAAAAGGGTTACATTAATAATTTACATTTATTTGGCAGAAAAAAACAAATGAAACAGGTGTTGGGTGTGTAGACACTTGATGTGACATTCCTTAATTTACACGTTTGATTCACAACATGGTAAATATTATTTTACCATTCATGTTTCACTCACGCAAAAACTAGGAAAATGATGTTTGAAAACAAGATACCGTCTTGACCAGCTATTTGTTCTTACATGCCAGACATATCATCAAGTCCTGATCATCAGTCACTGATATGCCAGTTCATAATATAACAGTAATTTACATGCACAGACAAGTGTGCCATTAATTCTTTGTTATTAAACAAATAATACAAAAGCCTGTTGTGCTCATTGGCCACAAGTTATTCTGGCAAATGCCCCTCTCATTAAGTATAGCACTTTGTGGGAGACATGTTACAAATGTTCAGAATTGAACATTTGTAACATGCAGAAGCTGACTCACTTTGCTGTATGCTACATAAATATGTAGTCTTCAAACCAAAACAGAGATAACCCTAATGGCATTAAGATGGTTCATTTCTCCAGCTTTAACAAGCTGCCTTCAGAGCTACAGAAGACGTTATGTTGAGTAGGGCTTATTCCCCATGATGTGCAAACTTGCTTCTCGTTTCTTAAGGACGCAGCTGACGAAAAATGTTTAGGGGTCAATCAAGGGCTCCTGCAAACAATACAAAACATTAAGGTTAAGTCAAAACAGTATTTGCAGAGACTTAAAAATCTAATTCAATAAATCTTGTTCAATAAAAATGCTTATTATTTACTATAGTCAAGATAAATAAATGACCTTTACATTTTGTGGTTCCATTCCAGTCGAGTGGTAGCGGCGGTTTAGTGAATGCGTGATACTAGCAGCGACACAGAGGATCAAGCAAACTCCTAGCAGACACACACTGACTCCCAACAGATGTCTCACTGCCACGCTCTGCTCCTCCTAAAGGGTGAAAGCAGACAGGATGACAAGCTGGGATCTCTATTAAGCACAGAGCACGTTCGGTTGTGCGCGTGTGACATTCTGTACCTGTGTTAACATCACTGTGAGTGTCGGGTCATTCGTTGAGTGTAGACTGTAGCAGGTTTGTGATGCTGCATGCGGGTGGTCGCCTGCTTCCGTGAGGATTGGCGAAATGTGTTTCTCAAACACAGGGCACTCTGGTGGTAGTCTTCATTTAACAGCATAGGCACGATCACACAAAAACTAATATTGATTGATGAATTGACAGAAGTTGTGTTGATTGGTGACTTTAATTATGGAATCTTAGAGACACACACACACTCTCTACAATTTTAACAAACTTACAGACTCATGGGCAGGAGGTGCGTTGGAGCAGTAATGGTGAGGCAGGTGCAGGTTTCATTTTCAGACAAAAACTCCAAAGTCACATTAACAATCTCATCGTCTGGGGAGAGAAATAATGAATCATGGATTATATAAACGGTTTACTTTACATAAGAACCAAACCAGTGCACCTCAATACCAACCTCCAAGGTGTAATTGCCTGGCTCTGAAGGTAGCGTGTAAACCAAGGTCTTTGAGAGAGACACTGTTTGGGTTTGTGTTTAGAGCCAGAGGCACCTTGACACGCAGGGTACCGAGAGACGGAGTCTCTGTCGAGTTAACCGTAGGGTCTCCATCACCCAGAGAAGGGGGGACCGGCGACACAAGCTCAGGTGAACTTACGTTGGCTTTCACACACAGCTGGAACTGGGACAATGAGGACAGTAGATGGTTCCAGTCCTAAAAAAATAGAAAGAAGACACACACATGCAGTCACATGTCTCCTTTGCAGACAAGAACTTGTGGTCTCTGGAGGACTGACAACATTGTGTGTGCTTACCTCTGCTGTGTCAGGGTTAGGCAGCGTGTGTGTGTAGCTGTAGGCGCTGAGGCAGATGAAGGAGACAGCAACGGTCAACAGACACAGGAAGAACGTAACCCCCGGAGGATTGTGGGAGACGTAGTCTCTAAGGTTGGTCACCGGCTGCCAGAAACCCATTTTCAGACTTCACATCCAGCTTCCCCCGAGCTGCAGACACAAGGCATCCACTTCAGTTCCCACAACGTTCACAGCAGCTGCGGTCACGTTGCTACGAGCCGGTTTCGTGAACTTTGGTCAGTTGCTGGAACTCGGTCAATGCATTTATTCAACCTAACGCGTGATGATCTGAGGCGGTGAAAACGTCGAGAAAACAAACAGTTGATTTTGAAAGTGATCCGCCACACAACAACAAAGGGACTTATAACGTTATACTAGTAGGATGTTAACCAAGTAGCTACAGCGTAAATCCATACCTGGAATGTGAACTGTCTTCGTTAATCACGTCGCGACTCTTGGTAAACATCCGAGTTGGTCGACATTTTTAAATAGAACTACACGACAGGCACGTCCATTTACGACAGTGAACTACCATGACGACAAACATGACGCGGATCACGTCACACGCCCGCGCTGCTCTGTCGCCGAGCTGATATAAAACTCCACTTTAGGTCCACTAGATTTCCATTATTGACGTTGTCGGTGATCGAGATAATAGAAATTATTGTAGCAATTATATCAAGAATTTTTTATTTCATTGGTCTCATTTTGGAATTATATTTTTGACTTTTGGCCTCTTATTTCATGACTTTTTTCAAAACGTTTTTTGACTTAATATTTGATTATATCCCCCCCCCCCCCATTACATTTTTCCATCTAACCTATTTCCACCCTTTTTTACATCAGACATTTTTGGACCAAATATATTTTAGATTTGTATAGTATGTCATCGGTTACATCAAAACTCAAATTAAAAGAAATCTGTAATTGTTGAAACTAGTCAGCTCTTGAATACGCTTGGGCTGTGACTATCCATCCACTCATCAGTTCAAGATGGCACCATCTTATTTAGCTACAGCAAATGTTTCGCTTGTTTTTAAACAATTCAACCTTGTTTTTTTATAGCCAACAATTTATTGAGAAAGATAGTGCAATGCATTATATGAGAAATATTACATACATTAACGAATGACAAAAACATTTGCCTACAGTTAAGGATTTCTTCAAAGAAGGTGTAGTCCCTTTGAAACATTTAACTTTATCAAAATAAGTCAGATAAAACAAATACATGAAGAAGTGGATTTTCATATTGCCTTATATCAACAATTTAATCATGCATGCTTTAGTTATTTAAATAGTTGCATTACTGTTAGATTGCCATACAACCTTAATATTTTTGCCACATTCCTTTGAATGAATAATCGATTATATGAGTGTCCCTGATCAAAGAAATCCTTCACAATCCTATACATTCAAAAAAGGGTTTTCACAATGATTCAAAGTATAATTTTCTTTTTTCCAAAACGTAATAGTTGGCATTATTTATACTGATCAAGTTGCTTGTATATACACACACACAGCATAATTAAGGATTCCAGGAGACTTTTACAGGCTTGAATGCCCAACTATCAGGGTGACCCATGTGCATCAGGTCACTGTACGGGGATGTACTCCACTGGAACGGCGGCACCTGGTCCCACGTTGGCCCGCTCACTGCCAGCATGGCGTAATCACGAAACATCTCAAAAGAGGTCAGCTGCACAGAAACGCACAAAACGCATCATATTTAGCGAACATCTCTTAACATGCTACAGTGGGATTCAAACACAGAAGATTTAGGGGATCGTGCTGGATGGTAAAGGCAGAAAAATGGGTGATGCCAGGTGATTAAAAATCTAAACCTTCATGTCCGTTCCTCCATGTGACCTCTGCTGTAGGGCACCAAACGGATACGTGCCATTCGCTGGGTTCAGGTCTGAACGGGCAGAGATCGCATTCTCCCCATTTGCTGGTGGATTACAGCCGTCGCACTTCGACAGTGGGTCTTTCATGAAGTTATTATACCTGAGGAGAGAAACTGCATATTAAAACTAAGCATGTTCCGCGTCATGAACATATAGAAATCATTAAGTTTGTACCTCATAAGGCGAACCATTGAGTCCATATCTGTGACAGCTGCCTGGTCTCTCCTGAATATCTGAGCCCGAGGATTGTTTTTCAAAGAGAACCAAGGGCCGTACCTCTCAACCAGCTCATTGCAGCCACTGGCATTGAATATGTCTTTGTAATACCTACATATTAACAAAACACAAGTTTACACATTATATATTCTCACACACACAAACACTTAAAACAATACCATTAAAGTTTCAAAATGGATACTTACGGTACATTGTAGCTTGCCCAGTACCCTTTCTCCAGCAATTCCTGAGTTTTATCAGAGTAGACAACTAGTCCCCTGAAGTATACAAATATTATAAAAGCTTTTTTTGAAAGACAGGTTTAGGTTTCTAAACACAGAAAGAACCTTGTGCTTTGATTAAAAGACTCACGGAATTTGCTCCAATACGACAAAGAGCCCCTCTTTAATGTCAGTCCTTCCTGGAGTGAAGAGGTTATAGTCCACAATCATCCACTGGTTGTTATACCTACAAAGCACACAAAAAAAACCACACACCAACCTTTACCCAACTAGCGTATACAGATTTTTATTTAAATCAACTTAATGTGTATCCATGCAGTTCATAACTTAATTTCACAACAGACAGACTCCATTAGACGTCTTACCCAAATGATTTCTGAGTGGACCTAACAGACTTCTCATGCAGCTCCTGATTATAAACACACATTCTGCACTTTGTAATCTTAGGTTCACTCAAAACAACATCTTATCGGGTCATCAGTTGGAATTTTGAACACAGGATGAATAGCAAAAGACACCAAGGACTTGATTTCATCAGGACAAAATGTTGATACAGTTGGTTGAACAGAGCCGTTTTTTTTTTTCATGCGTAAAACTCACGTTCCACTGTTGTACTTGCTGAATATGTCGGCCCACTCATTGCCAGTAGTAGCCAGTCGATTGGCGACAATGTTTCTCAACCACTCCATGACGGTTCCTATGGGCTGAACAAACTTCCAGAGAGCGGGGTTATTGTTGCCGATGGTCGTTTCCAAGGTAACCTGGAGGCAGGAGATAGTTTTGTTAATGTTTTATCTATCTTGCATTATTTAATGTGTAGCGAAATGATAAAAAACCCTATGGAATATTGTAGTTTATGCTTAACAGTCATATGACAAGAGTTCTCACCAAGCCACTACTCAGAATATAAAAGTCATCTCCAGAGAAGAGCGATCCAGGATAAGAGGAGAACGCCTGAGTTCCTCCAGGAAGAAAAGTCTCTTCTGATTAAAAATAAAAATCAAGCACATATGGTTAGACAAATTTGAATTCACATTGTAAACAGCAACAACCCAACCAGTCCATAATGAGCTTCAAACATGGAAACATTAGGTTAGGACCCCCGGAAACCCTTTGAAGACCAACATTAAGACACATTATATGTCAATTGGTTATTTCCATAGAAAACCAAAAGTGAAATTTGTGCGAGTATCACCAGACTATGGAAGTCAAGACTTTGCCTTTGGACATGGCCGTGTTGCTTTTCACCCATTTCTAATAATTAAGCAACAATAATCCAAGCTAACCAGCTGCTGGCTTCGGATTCAAATGTATTGTTAAGAAGCAGAGGGTTATTGATCTTCTCAAACAAAGTTTATTTGCCAAATGTTTAACTAACCCATTAATGCAAGTGGTGAGGGACTATAGAGCAGGTGCAATGATTAACTGAAGACACAGGTGGATAAGTATACTACCTGAAGGAGAAACTCTATAGGCAAACATGTATTTCTTCATGATGCGCAGCATGGACTGGTAGTTGTTCCAGGTGTCATGTGACACCAACAGCTCCTTATTGTTTGGCAGCAGCTTAATGAGAGCAGAGCAGGAGCCAGATCCAAGAGGTCTAGTTTGGCTGGACTTGTTCAGAGTGGATTCCAAGTCCTCCAGGTCCCCGCCCATTTGAAAAAGCCTGGTTGGACACAGAAGAGGTAGACAACATAAAGAAAAACAGGGTCAATGATCACAAGATCAGCACAAAAAGCATGTGCAATTTACATGGACAAATAAAAATAACCCACTTACAGAAAACCTAATGGGTTGAAGGAGAACGGCCCTGATGGAAGCGAGAGCTGGTCATTGTAGCCGTCCTCCAGACCCTTCAGCTGCAGCAGCGTCAGATGCACCTGACGAGAAGAAAGTGGTTGTGAAACATCCTATTTCGAGGCATCTAACATCATCCTATGAATTAAAAACACACTATTCATCCTGTACCTGGTACCAGTAGGGTGAACTGGACTGCTTCTGTATTTGCTCCTGAACCCACTGCAAATTGGTTGTGAGGAAATCCTTAAGGCGATCACAGTAACTAGATGCAGATGAGAAGGGCCCGCAGTAATTTAGAAGAGTGTTCATCCAGTGCTTATAGATGAGCTGAAACAAACCAACAACATTACATTAGGTTAAATGTCGGGTTAGTGAACAAAAAAACAAGAATGAAACTGGACTATACGCCAACCTGTGCTGTGACGGCAGCCTCCACTGCACCGGCTGCATAGGCCTGCATGCTGTCATTGTACCGACTGCTGGTCGTGATCTCCAAGAAAGACCAACTGAAAACGATAAATTGAATAAGAAATGATCTGTGTGCAGATTTGGAAGCTTTACTTTTTTCATACTGGCTGCAGTAATAAAAAGGAGTAACTGTGCTGTGGGCGCAGATGTACAAACGATGCTTCAGAGGGAACAAACGATGCAACTTAGTGAACTTACCCTGATGTGTTAATGTCATCTGTAAAGTTAGACCAAGCCACGAAGCCTTCTCTGTATCCTTCAACAACAGACAGTTTTCCAGTTTGTTTGTCAATAACAGCGCTTCGTATTTCAGCTTGAACACACGCACACATAACAAACAAAGCGGACAAAACCGCTTTAAAATGTCGAAGAGTTACGGTCGTGTTTTGCCTGGACGCCATGTTGACGTGAACTGGTCACATGACACGGCGCGTGGTTAGACTCGTTATATACTCCGAAAGGCCCTTTCAAAATAAGAGTCCGACCATCGTGTCATATGCACAAATATGCACACACACACGTACACAAAGAAACATTTTTTTGTGGATGACAAATTGTTTTCACAATTTAATCATTCATTTGGGTAATCCTTTATTTTGTTTTATTATTGTATGATCACAACTGACAAATGTTTCAGACCAGCTGACATGGTGACATCATCAAGTCAGCTGCTGTTGCAGAAATGAACATTCTGTACTCCCAAGAACGCAGGTCTGTTATTCCCTGGCGTTCTAGGTATTGAGAAACATATACAAACCTTTCAATTGTGACAGTACTGCAACTGCTGACCTTTCACGAGTCCACGAGTCCAGACAAGGCGGCATATTGAGAAGCCGATGTTTGGATCTATTGTGTTTATTGGATGATAATCATCTGACTAAGTATATGTATTTTTTCCCCCATGACAAAATGTAGAATGCATGTGTATCGGTCCAGACTTTGACCTCACAATCATTATAAGAACTTCAAAAGAAAAACACACAACATACAACATGAGACATAATGCTTTTGAAGCATGAATACATTTTTTATAGAAAAATTAACAGTCCAAAGATATTTCTTTGAGGCATCATTCTATACAACCCATGAGAAATCATGTAAGTAAACCACAAATTGATACATTTGTTATAACCAGTTAAATCTGCACACGCCACTCAGGGTCTTATTTTGTTCACATTCCTATTCATACAGAAAAACAAAAGAGCGCTGGTCAGAGTTCAGGCTTTCAAAGAGATAATAGCTTTCAGGGACCTCAGTCTTCCTCTCCACCAGTTTCCATCGTCTCCTGAATTCCCTCCATAACTTCTGCCTGTCGCTGCTTTTTTCTGGCCACTGTCATGGAGGATAAATAGTGTAGAGGATTATAATAAATACAAAGCATAGTTATTTTTTTCCATTTTTATGTTGGTACAAAGGTTAGTTGAACTACCATGAAAATGTTCGGCTGTTTTCCGTCTCAATGTCTCCACGGTTTCCTCAGCCTCAGCCCACTCCAGCACGAGGCGTCTCCCATACAGATGAGTGCTGTGGCACAAAGCAGCAAATGCTTTCTATGGAGAGGACAGGGACATAGTATTCATGATCAGCACTAGAAGACAGTATATTTAAAAAATAAATGTATGGAAGCTCACAAAACACAAACCTTTGCGTCCTGTTTGGTGAGGAAGTCAATGAAGCCAAAGCCTCGATGGTTCCCTGAACCAGCTGCTTTCTTTGGAAGACGGACTGTCTTCAACTCCCCAAATGTGCTGAAGGGACGCACGGAACAAATCATATCATTGTTGAATGACCTCGATCCAAAAGTTCTCCACACACTGCAAATAATTAACAGTTTTGTGCATGTGACGCTTACCAGAAGAGTTCCCGAATTTCCCTGACAGTGGCTTGGAAGGGGACATTTCGCACAAGGATCTTGGATCCTGTCTGTTTCTTCTCGTCTTGCCTCTTCTTCCGTGACATGTCAGTAGTCCTGCACACAGGGGGAAACGACTGAGTGAGGAGTGACCGAGTAAAGGTTTACACGCCCCTTTCAAGTTAAAGTTTTACCCATTAATCGCTCAATATTTGAAGTATAACACAATGAAACACGGCGTGACATTCTCAAGCACATTTCCCACAAAAGCACTTTTGATGCACATCTTACCTCGTGGCTCGCTCAGAAATCTTCAGCTCTAGTTGGTGATCATCTACAGTAATGTGCTGTTGGAGGTTTGAGACAAAGAACACACTATAGTCAAAGGACCAGGTTGTAGAGGAAGGCCGTAGGAAGGAGTGTGGTATGGTACCTGTAGTTGCCTCAGGGCTTTCTGTGCTGCCTCTGCTGACTGATACTGGACAAAACCGTAACCCATGGACAACATCCTGCCTGGAAATCAAACCAACATTGTACAGTGGTTGTAAACTCTGATACAGAGATTTCAAAACATGTTTCACTACAGAGAGCTCCTACAAATCATATATATCTTTGGTACATCTATGTGTCAATATCCCCTTTTCTAAATCCTATTTTACGTTGCATTTAAGCATGAGAAAGATCCTAATGATTGGTACCTGTCTTATCTTTCTTCTTAGAAATGGTGCACGATGTGATCTTGCCACATTTGGAGAATGTCTGCAACACACAGAGAAAACAGTATTAAACAATTATTATATTACCAAACAATAGGGTTGAATGTATTAATTGACCCACCTCCTGTAGTTTCTCCTCTTTCGTGCTGAAATTAACATTTTTAATAAAAAGTGTTGAACCAGGAGCAGATTCTTCTTCTTCCTCCTCCTCCTCCTCCTTGTCTTCTTCCGCTTTCTTCTTCTTCTTCTTCTCCTCCTGCTGCTCTTTGATTGCATCGTCCTTTTGTTCTACTTGATGACAAAAGGGCATTTTGTTCTTCGAATTTGTACATTTGTGTTGACAAAAAATACAAAATTGTGTGTGTGTTTAAGTGATTTTACCTGGTACTGGTCTGGCTGCCAAAAACACCCCCACAGGAGCCCACTCTAAGTACAGTGGCATGTGCTGGAACTACAGTTTTCAGAGATACAGTAAGTACAGTAACATCTTTTAAAGTGCCAACAACATGTTGCAGGTGCAAGACTTGCTGGTGTAAAGTGACACACACCTTGCTGTAGGCGAGCCGAGTGAAGGCCCGTTTCGCCTCAGTTGGCTCAAGGAACTCGATGATGGCGGTGAGGCCTGAGGGCGGCAGCAGCACTCGGCCCAGAGAGCCGTGAGGTGAGAAAAGCTCCTCCAACTCCGACGTAGTCACTCCAGCCGGGAGGTTTTTCACCAGGATCACAGTCGTACTCCTCGCGGCTGCCGCCTGTACAACCACGGCGAACAATACACAAAGGAAACAATCTCAACAAAGGCTTGAGCAAAGTGCTTTTTGGGCATGGTAAATGTTCATCGACAATATAGCAGCATGTAATGGGAGTTTGTATTCAGCATACCTGACTAAATGAATCCAGACTCACACCGTTGTCGAGTAGAAACTGACGAGTCTCTTGAACAATCTGTGTCTCACCGAGAGCCATCCGGACGGCAAGACTTCCCTTCGACTCCTGGAACAAAACAAAAAAAATTAATCCTGCTGCTCAGTTTGCCAAAAGATTGTTGCAGCTACATCAACATGGCAGAGTGAAAAAAGATGCATTTACATGGACACACAGCCCCCCCCTCCCTTTTGTTTGAATGGGAAGGCTACGTGGTGAAAGCCGCCCACAAAAAAGCAATTATCCTAAAAATAAAACATATCGCCATGACGAGTTACCAAAGCAGTGAAATTCTTCCTCTTAACTTGATGAATAACTTTGCAGTGTTTTGTCATAAATAAAACCATTGAAATCATGGTTTTTTTACTCAGACTAGACCTGGATAGTACTTCATCCTCTTACTAGAACCTCAAGCATTTAAGTTTCTCACGCATTGGTTTAATGCAGGAATGCTTTTCGTCTGACACGCACCAATCCTGCAGTTGAGGATAATTCATGTTGAAGAACAGGGTAAAGCATTACTCACATGGTCCAGCACTTGGCTTTTTGTGGTGTTGTATTTTTCAGCAATGGCATCCGCCACTGCACTTGTGCCAAGAAACAAGGCGTTCCAGTTGTGGGAGCTAGAAGGTAACATCAATTAAATTAATAAATGCAATTAGGGACAGATTTAATTGACTAGAAAGAACATTTTGAGAATCCCCAAAACACAAAAACAGTGACTACATAAACTGCAAATACCTGGAACTAGAAGCTTTGTTTTTAGCATCTTTTTGGCGTTTGTAAGTGGAAGAGCCAGGAGCATTAGCATCTGAAGACTCTGTCTTTTCTTTCTTCAACGTTGATGGAAGCAGGTGCAGCATCCTGCCCTAAAAGCATGAGACAATTTATGTTTCCTATTGGCCTCGACTTCATTTGAAAATGAAGTGGTACTACTCTAGTAAACCCAGAGGCCATTACAGGTCCTGTGACGTACAGCTACATCTCAAACATCTGTTGGTGATTAAATACCTGAAATATATGTCCGTCCAGCTGAGCGATAGCGGTCACAGCATTCTCTGGTATCATGTACGTTATAAAAGCAAAACCTTTAGGTTTCTTGGTTAGATAGTCAATAGGGAAGAGCACCTCAGACAAAGGACCTGAAAAGATTGCAAAGTTGTTTTAGCCTCAGACAGAACGTCTGTGTGGATTTGTGCAAGTATGAAAATCGTTTTTTTTTTACCATGTTTAGCAAACAGCTCTTTGATCTCTTCCTCACTGCAGGTGTAAGGAAGGTTCCTGATGAAGATTCGACCGGACTCTGCAACATCTTCCTCTTCCTCATCCTCCTGAAGCTTCCTGGTGAAGTTCCTGTCAATTTCTTTGTCCTTCCTGTCTCTCTTGCCTTTACCCCCAGAGGCATCCACACGGAAGACCTCAATGTAACGCCCGCCTGACAATCACAGGAAGAAGGTATGTCGCAGTTATCACATACACCTCGGTGTCTACAATTATGCAGTAAATCGGACATGTTATTTTCTCACTAATGTAGTCTTTATTCTTCTTCAAAGCCTTTTCCACCTCTTCATCAGAGTGCAAGTCCACATACACATAACCTGAAACACACACACAGTAAACATAGAGGGCATCGATTTTAACCACCAGACATGTGTACAGGATTATATTTCCTTAAAAACATTATAATAAAAATGAATGAAAAATTCTTGCTATAACATACCTGTTCTATTTCCACTTTCGTTCTTACCAATCCTGATCGCTGCAGGCTTCAGCGGAGTCATGAACTCCAGGAGTTGTTGCTATTGATGTCACACATGAAAAAATGTTAGATGCAGCAAATGAAATACAAACTGTGCAATATCATCACTGCTCCTCTGAAACCAGGAAGCTCTTGTTCACCCACCTCTTTCACATTGAACGGGGCTCCTCTGAGCTTCACTGTAAATTGTGTCGTTGGCTCCATCTGCAACAAACAAGTGTGGGTGTAAACCAGAAAAAACATCCTGTGCTGTACTGAACAGTAGTGTTTAATTTCTGGATGTAAAGAATCACCTCTTCCTTGGCAGATTTCTTCGTTTTGCTCTGCCGCTTATCCTCAGAAGAAACGGAAGTTTTCGCCTTTGACGTGTTGTCTCGGTCCCCGCTCTCGTAGGCACTGTCTGTGTTCTGCGTGGGACCACAATCCTCGTTCTCGTCGTCATCGTCACGCTTCTCTTCACTCTCCTCCATCGTGTCGTCCGTCTGGGCCACCTTTGAGCGCAGGTACTCCATATCCGATAAGTCAGACTTCAGTGCTTCTTTAGTGGGACCTGAAAGAAACACTGCTATGTTTATCAGGTAATCATGCACCTCTTTGCTTCCTATTCATCCTATATATTTCTAAGCTTGTGATGTGACACATTTGTAACAGACATAAATGTAGTCACTGCTCTTCCATGACAGTCCACCTGCTTTATGAGGAGTACATTAAGAAGTCTTTAGAGGATCCAGGCTGGGACACAGCTTCTACAGTACTGCCACTAAAAAGCGACCACCGTCACCAACCTTCATCTTCGTCTTCCTCGTCCTCATCTTCTGACTGTTCTGAATCAAAGTTGAGGTAGTCATCTGAAGCTGGCTTCTTCTTGCCCGGAGCCTTTGCCTGTCCATCATTAGGACCGGCGCTTTGCTGCACAGTGTCATTCGTCCAGGTCGGGGCTTGGCTTCGATTCTGATGCACTGACAGAAACTCCTTGAATGCCTGGTCCTCTTCCAGCTGAGTGACAGGACAAATGGACACGCAATGATTAGAACAAACATCAACTAATAATGACATATATGTGTTGTAGGAACATTTTGCTTGGTATCAAAGTATTGTTGTTTGATAGGCAACACAAGCTTGGTTCCATCTCCTTCAAATCTTATATAGTTAACATTAAACAAATATAAATGCTGAATGTACTCACCTTTCCCAGTGTGCTCTCGCCTTCTTTTTTTTGAATATTCTTCTGAAAGAAGTAACAAAATAAGTCCCTTATAGAAGTGACAGCGCTGCAGAAGAGAACTACATTGTTCTCCAATAAAAGAACCGCATTATTCGGTTGCTACCGGGAGAATAATATAGGGACGATTATAGTTGGACATAGATGTGAAAGTAAAATTGTTAGTTAGAGTGTCAACGCGTTTCATGTAACTTCTCCTAGGTCATGTTGTGTCCGTAGGTACCTTTTTGTTGTCAGTAGCATCAGTAGCGGAGGGTTTGTCCGGGCGTGAGCTTTGGGTATGTTTGCTCCAGGTTTTTGCTTTGGTGGGGTCTCCAAAAGCCTTACACATCTCCACCTGGAATACACGACAACCGTGGGGTTCACATGTGGGGAAAACGACAACCTCCACAACGCGCATGCGCAGCTTTGCAGCCCTACCGTCACTCTCGACGTGTCCACGTAGCTCTTATTGAAATGTTTTAGGGCTCGGTTCGCATCCTCCTCTGATTTAAACCCCACAAAGCCGAACTTGCGGAACTTGCCGTCCTTCGTAAACTTCAAAGTGCAGTCTGTCACGGTGCCAAAGTCCGCAAACATTGACTTGAACCTCTCCTCTTTCATCTGCACGCGAGATACCAAGCACCGTTACATCTTCATTTCGGCCGAAACAAAACAAAATGTCTGTTCACGTCGGGCGGGTTACTTACCCCGTTAGGGAGATTTTTAATGATGAGTCTCGACATAGTTATAGTAGATGTAAATCCACAAATACAGCGTAAACCTTTCTTAAAATATATGTCAACAAACCAGCGTGGAAGCTTCTACATCGCCATGTTGTGGGAGGAGCTTACTTCTTCTTCGCTTTCTTTGTATCACCGTATTTTGACATCTACCGGTCCGGAGGACTAGAATGCCGCATCTGCGGTTAACTTCTTACTGCTGAAATTAATTAATTAATGACGTTGCACTCTTCTTCAGCAACGATGAATGTAAAAGTACAGGCACAAAAATAACGTTACATCATAACAATTTCTACTTTTACGCCACTTAAGTTATAATTAAAACACGTTTTCCCTTTTTGATTAACGTAATGTATTTGGTAGCATGTTGCTTTACATATTAAGATTTTCCATATGACCATCTTATGAAATATGATGTATTATTACTTATTATCCAAGTGTATACGATAATACAATACACAATAAAAACACTCACAGGGATCACTGTTCTCCTTTGATACTATACTAAGTACATTTTGGAAGTTACATGAGAGTAATTTTACTTTTGTGCCATTCTCCAAGCATGACTTTTATTTATATTAGAGTATTTAAATGTTGTATTGCCAGTTTTTTGTAAGCAAAGCATCTCAATACTTACTACTCTTCTTGACCAGAGGCTTCACGCTGAGTGGTAAAAGGTATTTCAGAGCCCAACACAGTCACTTTGAATTCTATATAAATATCAGTTGGAAAATAAAGCACTAAATGTATTATACGGTTCATTTTGGGGAGTTGGATAGAGACATTTAGAATCCTAACAAATTAAAGGATTGTATCATTATGTGGTCGCTCACAAATAGTAGAAAGGCATAAAAAGCCTTATTGTAAGACCTACGTGTATCATAAGGTGTCTGTAGACTCTGCGGAAAACGTCAAACTGGAAATTGACTGTTCATAAAAAGTTATTACTGACTGTACCTATAGATTAAATTTATGTGTGGACCAGAGAGTTTGAGTGTTTTTTTTCTTAATTTTATTGCAAATATAAGCATATGCACCACTTAAGTCCAATATCATCTGAAGTGATAAGCAGCTTAAGACACGCCCCGCATTATTACTTTATCGCAAGGACCTCTTGTTTAAGGGCCCTTGTGTGAAAACCAAATTCTTATAATTGTTGTTTATGTTGTGTAGAGTGTGTCACCTGGGGACAAATATTGCAGTGTGGTGTTTCTGAAGCTAAGATAAGTATAATTACGAAAAGGTAGCCGAGAATACTGCACGTTTAATGGGCCACTAAGGCATGACTACCGCTGTTTCACATTTCAGATGTACAACACAACATTTTTATATTCTGTTCATTTTGATCATCAGAAAGCGTACGTTTCTTCAAGTAGGGATTTTATTCTAGCAGCCAAAGAAAGGAATTTTATTAAAAGAAATAAATCTATTCTGAACCTGCTTTGCTCATGGCTACCATAATTCATTATAAACGTTTTATACGAATTGGGAATTTGAGCCGCTCTCTAGAAAAGTACTTGGTAGGATTATTGTGATAAGTAGCGTCCTTTGCTGTGTGGATTTACTTTTGAAACAGGCAACAATGATGAAGCAGGCTACATTTATAGTGTTGCTGTAAAATTAAGATAGTAGTACAGTTGAGTCCAATTGCTACCAGTTCTTTTCCACCCCTGTAAATTCACACATGACAGACTATTCAATGAACCTTTTGTTCTGCAGATCACATGTCAGACTCAGGTCTGAAAAAGGAGATATCAGAAGCCCTTAATGACTGAGAATGAGAATGTACATTTTGAGATTGTTTACTCTGATTGAAAAAGATTTTTATTGAAAAAAATCTTAATACAGCTACTTTTCTGAAAGTAATACAAAGCAAATGATACCAAAAATATGAGGATGACTTTAACGTATATATTGATAAGTTAATTAAAGGCACGTAATAATGACTTCCCAGTAACTGTGAAATAAGTCACTATAATTTATAGTACCATCAAAAAGCATTATCCTAAATCCTCCTGGCAGTTACTCGTGACATTAATAGCATGAGGCTTAAGAAACCCCTGAGTCACTGGTGATATTTCAGAACAGTGTCGGCTCTGCTCCGTCACCATTGTGGGCCTTTCTGTGCCTCAACGACTTGAAGTCATTCTGGATTTCGACAAAGGTTTTGTTCTTGGTTTCAGGAATGACAAAGAAAATGTACGTTGCTGTTAAGGAGCAGACCGCCAGGAACACCAGGAAACAGTACTGCTGCAGCCCGATCTGTGCAAATCACAACAGAATAAACACACAGCTTTGAGGTTTGGTTCCCAAATTTGACAACCAGCAGGTATTGATAAAACATTTGAAGTGTAAGATATGCTCTTTGAATACTTACCACAACAAAAGGGAAGACCAGGCCGATGAGGAAGAAGCTCAACCAGTTCAATGATCCAGCGATCATGTAAGCGGCCGGCCGTGCGGTTTGTGTGAACAGCTCAGTGGTCAAAATGTTCGTCACGCCACCTTTTCAGAAGATAAACAAGACAAAACATCTCAGCTTATCCACAACAGCTGCTAAAGAATAACTTGAACGGAGGAGGAAAAAAGGATTTACCTGGTCCTAATCCAAAACTCAGGATGAAAGCAAATAAACACGCCATGCTGAAGTATGGTACTACTGGACTAGCATCCTGAGAGACAGATAGTCACACAAAATCATTTACACGTCATGTGCAAGAAAGGACACAAAATGATTTGAATGTCTCTTTATTTTAATAGGTTCTAATGTGGAGGTTAATTACTTGGAAAGAGAGCGTCAACGTGAATAAAATGCAGCAGATACTCATCAGTACGTATCCTCCCGTGATGAGCACCTTCCTCCCCAGACGGTCAATGAGTAAACCCTGTGAGATTTTGTATAAGACAATATATATGTACAACATTAAATGTTCGTATGGGTTGTGAGCCAATATTATAGTTTTCTTCTGCCTGATATTTTTGATGTACCATCATCTGAATTGTAGGAAATGAATTCACACAAACACAGCGTGTTAACCTCATACTTACACACGTTAAAGCCGTGACGCATTCACAGGCCCCAGTGCCAACGGTCACATATGGTATTTTATCAGCAGGAATACCTGATTGTGTAAACAGGTATTCCGCGTAGAAGTAAATCTAGAGGAAAGAAATGTATTTCCAATTTAAAAACGCAGCCTTTGGCCAAACATATTTGACTTTAGTGTTATTTCTACAGCTCAAAAGTTGCCAGTGAGGAATAGATTGAACTCTGTGAGGCAGCCGGACAGAGGACAGCGTACTCACAGCATTGATGCCGTTCAGCTGTTGTGCAGCGTTGAGCAGCATGATTGTGAGAAGCTGCCAGCGGACACTACGATCAGTGAAGAGCTCCCAGGGTTTCTTGGCTTGGAAATCCCGTAAATTATTCCTCTCCTTCTCAATATCGTCCCGTTCCCCATCACAGCCGGCTAAACCGTGCAGTTGCTTCAGGGCTGCCGACAAGTAAACACATGACCGCCGTGGTGATTGTGGATTTCTCCTGAAATGATCAGCCTACAATACACGGTCTGTTTTTGAGAATCTAAACAAAATGGTTCCTTTGTAAAAAAAAATCTGTTTAATCTCCATTCACTTTGTTTTCATCACATTATTCTAGCGTTACCAGAATGTCACATGCATTGACTGGACACAAAGGGAGTGCTGAACTTCCCCGAAGCACAGTATCATGTGCACTACATCAACCATACTGATTTTGAAAATGAAACAAATGTTCAGCAGCTGCAGTGTAAACGTACCTTTCTTACACCCCTTATCATCCCCTTTGTCAATGAGCAGGTAGCGCGGGCTCTCTGGGAACCACGGCAGGGTGAGAAGCTGCAGGAAGGCCGGGACACACGTGGTGGAGAGCAGGATGGGCCAGTGCTCTTCTCTCCCCAGGATCTCTCTGTGAAATCACACAGATTTGCTTGCACTTAAATATGCTAGAATGAATCATGCAAACACAAATTCTGCAGTATTTTTTGGTGTGAAAATGTTGTGGAATATTTCAACAAAAGCTCGGTAGAAGAGAATGATTTGTCTGATAAAACAGAGTCTTGATGAATGATCAAAGTTGCAAAAAGTCCATTTATTGCTTGCAAGCAGGAGGTCAAATACACAGGCACGTATCACGGCGCTCTGTGGAAATGACGTCTCCGAGCAGTAAGAACGCTGAGTTTTTATACACATGTGAAGGACATTCTCCGTGCCAGTTACGAGAAGCTGCAAAGCAGGTTGCGATAAGAACCCAGGTGAAGCTGAGGGTAGCACACACACACACAAGATCCTCCTCAGTGGCGGGTGCAAATCATAATTCAAACCGACCCAGCGTTTACTTACTTCAGGCCGATCACTTGTCCAGATAAGATGCCAACAGTTATGGAAATAGAAGTTCCCATTCCCATGGCACCACGAAAGGCAGTTGGAGCTATTTCTCCCAAATACAGAGGTTGAACACAAAGGCCAATGCCTGTAGAAATAAAAAGAACACATTTTAGCTTTTTCACGGTTCAAATAAAATATTTATAAAAATTAATTTAATAATTATACAAACATGTGTTCCACTGGTGTGTTTAAATGTATTTCGGAAGTATTGACCTGCATTCACTCCAGTGAAAAAACGTCCAACGACGAGTAATTCAAAAAGTCCAGTGGGGTAACTCAGACCCATCAGCAGAGCAGCCGTTAATGCAAATATATTATTGACCAACAGAGTCCCCTTCCTGGAAAGGTAATATTATATTAGCTTTAGAGCTGGAGTATAATATGAAAAATGGCTGACAGAAATGAGTCAAAGTATTCCATAATATTTTCTTGTCTGTACCTCCCGAGCTTCACAGACAACGTCCCACCGACCGTCACTCCTACAAGTCCTCCTACGGTGAATATGGACACAATAGTGGACCAGAGCAGGGTGAGAGCATCGACTGAGATGTTAGTTTGGTAACGCTCCCTCCAGGTTTGGTTGATGAAATTCTGCACATGCTAGAGAATAAAAGAGAAACACAAAATGTACATACATCAGATGGAATAAAATGATTAATGTTTGACTTTTAATATTTAAAAAGATCGGTCTGACAGTAGTTTACTCTGGAGACAAATAAGACAAAAGCACTTCTTATAATTCTCAAAGAACGTTGACTCGGAACAAATTGCGTCTTGGTCCTAATAGCAGGTTGGGTAAAATGCATACATTTAGAGCAGTATCGGTATAGTTGTTGAACAGGATCACAAAAACATTCAAACGTATCCCCAATCAGTGATCACAGCCCCGCTAGAAGTGTTTTGCCAGAAAGTTTGTCTGTTAAAGTAGTTGCCATTTCAAGACTTTTGCAAGAGGGTGGGGTCTTTGGCAAAGAAATAGAATATTTTATGTCTACAGTTTGGGACTTCGGGTTATGGCGCCTGCACGGTGTAGCGGGAGCTGCGATGTTGGCCCTTCACAGCGCACTGCTTGTGTCCGCTCAGTTGCTCCTTGGTTGTGCTTTGCCTGACAGAGCTCTTGGGTACGCATGTGAACACCGTGAAAAAGTTTTTTAAAACAATATAATAATATATTACTTCTGTCCACCCGTTGTATAATTTACTAATATGTGTATTTGGTTGTCCAACTGCCCTTTTAGTGAGTTGCGATAGCCTATCCATCTAATATTTGATCTATGGTTGTTTGCAGATGTGAAGGTACGTAAATCACTTAACATGTGATTTCTATTGCAGGTTTTTATGTGGGTTTCATGAAGGCTTGTGAGTTGGACTGGCTCTAAAGTACATGGAGTTCAAGTTATGATTTGTTTCTGGAAACTGAAAACAATCTGATCTGGCAACAAACGCTTTCAAGACCCAAAGCGGAATATAACTCTTAATATAAGCGTAACACAGGCCGGTCTCATTCCCACACAACCCTCATTCATCCGTCAAAGGCACCGAGGCACAGAGCAACTCCCCCGGCCGTCCATTCACACGGCCTATTTGTAGGTTACTTGTATGCGTGTCCCATATTTATTTATGTTTTAGAATGATTGTTTCAGCATTAGCAAACCACAAAGCACTACCAAGGAAACAGAGTTATCGCTTACACATTTATTCATGCTTATTTACCAGAAATCCCTATGTAGGTGTGTGGATCTCTATCTTATATACCAGTGTTATTAATTTGATTTGATGCCATTTATGCGGCCAAATGACTTGAACATTTGGTTTGTAACTGTAGTAAACAGAAACACGGGGTTGTTACCAGTGTGGGAGCATTGATGACGGATACGTTGTATCCATACTGAAAGGTTCCCCCTATACACGCAGCACAGGCAGCCAGCAGAAGGGATTTGTTGGGAAGCTGCAACAAAAGAAGACACAAAAACATATTTTGACACGTAGTTACGGATAGAAAACGACACCCCACTGCTTCTACAAATAGTTTTGTTATCTAAAACTATTATTTTATTATAATCCACATACCTTAGGTAGTTTATCTTTGGTTTCTTTAATAAGGAGAGGTTGATATTCATCCTCAAATTTTGTTGGCATTTTGTCGCCGATGTTTTGCTCAAAGTCCAATTTTGTTTGTCGTGCGCAGAGTATCCTATCCTTCATGTAAAGAGCTTGCTCTCAACAGGAAACTTAAATCATGGGAGGAGGATTTTATCTCTTTTCCTGAGGAAGACACACGTTATCGGCTGTCATGCCTCGAGGTTAAGATTATTGGGTCCATTATTCAACATTTCACGGCTCTACACCGTAGCTGCATAAAAAGGAACATTCATCCACAAGAGAAAGGTACATCCGAGCGTAATGAAGCTGTTAGGTCAAACTGAAAAAAAAACAGGATGAAAAGTTTTAAATGTAGGTTCATTCTGTGTAGATAACAGCACGAGAGGTTTCCTATTAGCCAGAGTGGACAAGAGAGATTAAAATACTGATGTTAAATCGCTATATGACTTTATTATTACTATTATGATTATGTATTTTAACCATACATCTTTGATGTCATAGAAGTGCAAAAGTGGATTAAGTGAACAAGCTGTTTAAAGTCATTAAATGCATTGCGATATTCTACATGGTAATTATTACTGTCTGCTTCATCCTTTTTATTTGGAAGACTCCTCTACGGAAGCTGCTTGGGAAATTAGCAGACATTCTGAGGGATTTACATACCAATCATTAACATACGTACTGTAACTGAGGACCTGAATCATTTGAAGTTGACAAACAATAAACATTAACCAAATTCAAGGATCTGATCTCAAAGAAAAACAATCTTTCACAAACTATTGCAGCCAAGACTGGTTCTAATTAATAGAACCTTCAGACATTAGATAAAGCGTTAAAACTCATGGTCCCTTCATAAAGGATTTCTCATTAAAAAGTGTCACTACATTGATTTTAAACTACATGTGATTTTTCTATCTTGTATCTTTGGCACTCAACTTCTATTAATCAGCCAACAAGAATTACAATTAAAAATAAACCATAACTCTCTTGGAAAATCCAGCCACTGCTCCACGTACATTTCATCGCAGTGATAAAATCATAACTTGTCCGAATGAGAAAACGACTACGATTTACAAGCTGCAGGTCAAAACCAAACACACATTTCATCAGAGCCTTCTAAGGTGTAAACGGGTTATTAAGGGTTGATTAAAACTCACTTTTTTCTTTGGTTGTGCCATATCCTTATCGAAGTCCATTTTTGGGACGATGCTGTACAACAATGTTTGAATGGACGACTTATAATGGATGTTCCACTGAATATAATGGTAGCCTATTGTAAGGTGCACCGTATGATCTGAGCTGCAGGGGAGAGACTCATTAAAGCACATTCCTCTCTGTGGCTTAAGGAAGGTCTGCTGACACAAACATAGCAATGATATTTTTGTCTAGATGAATTGAATGGGACACTTTACGTGATCTGCCTGGTCGTAATCCATTCCTAGAAAACAGGATCATGATTCCATTCTCTATTTTCCAGAATCAGCAGAGCCTTGTAGACCACTGGAGTACATCAAGACTCCTACAACTTGAGAAAGATTAATGCATTTTTCTGTAGATGTGCAATCACACCAATGGTTGCCACATTGGTTGATTCACTTTAGGTCTATAACAGAACAATACACTCATAAAAATATAGTTGCTCTTAATTGCTGCTCCTAATCCCTGTGAGGGGAATGCTGTTCTGAACGTAAAACCCAGAGATTTAACTGGGCAAAAACTTTAAATCCTGCAACACCCTCTGAGAACTGGGTCACAGCAGAGAAGAAGTTAAAATTGACCACAAATAGAAAGGACACATTCCCTACACCCATTTACCCAAAAATGTACAGTACAGTTGTGTGAGCAGTGTTGTGGAATATTTCAATAAAACCTGTTCGGTAGAAGAGAATGAATTCTTTTAATGTTTATCTAATAAAAAACAGAGTCTTGATGAATGATCAAAGCACGTATCACAGTGCTCTGTGGAGATGCCGATGAGTTTTTATACACATGTGAAGGCCATCCTCAGTGGCAGGTACGAGAAGCTGCAAACCAAGTTGAGATAAGAACCAAGGTTAAGATGGGGATAACACACACTGCTCCTTTGTTCGAGTGCCTGTGAGAGCAAGTTAACTCCCTTCCTCAGACACAGCTGCATATGGAAACCTTAAATCATTCTGCTTTTGCACATCAGGGTCAAATACAGACACTTGAGACGGGTTTAGCACAAGACAGTGTTATAACCTATTTTTACCATTACAGTAGCAGACGGTGTTCGATGATCATGACATCCTCAGACTGATTGTGGAGCTGCTCCACCGACAGCAGATTAAAAAAAAGTGCAGCAGCTCTAGGAACACCATGTGATTCACAGCTAGACTCCCTTAATGTTTCATGTTGATATTTATAATTAAGACGGCCTTTAATAGGGTTTGAATAAACAGTGGAGCATTATTTTACTTAAAAACGAACACTTTTGAAACTACTCTTTTGACAGGTGATCCCTCAAGAGCAGAATTGTTTTCCAGGTCTTGTGAAGCAACCTGTTGATGGTGTCCTCGGTGTCCTGTCGCGCTCTGACCGCCAGAGGGCGCTTCATCCGCACGCGGGGGCCGTTGTGCAACACTGAAAACCTTCCGCCGGTGGATTTGTGCAACAGTGGAGCGGCGGCTGCGCGCACCATGTCGGGCAGAAAGCCTCGCAGCGTGGCGAATCCCCTGGAGTCCGCGATCACCACACCGAGCGAGAGGATACTGAAAGAATGCCACACGTTGTATGTCGACAGCGAGAACGGTAAATAATTGATCAATAAAAAAAGGAAAAAGGGGATTCATACGAGACAACGTCATAGCGAAGTTTTTGACAGCATATGCAAGCCCTGCACGCGCAGTTGCTGTTGCGTAACGACGTAGCTCGTGAGGAGGAAGTTTTTGCACTGACGGTGAAGATTGAAGCGGCTGTCAGTCACTCAGCGTGAACCACGTGACCTCTGCGGCGCTTCTCTGGACACGCGGCGTCCGTCCAATGAAGTGACACGATGTGACATTAAGGGACTGCGGCTTGTGCAGAGCCGCCTGAAATAAACCTGCAGTTCGTGGTGAAAGTGGTCTACAGTGTTACCGCAGTGGGTGTATTGTTATTATAGTGTTATAGTTTACTCCGCCGTAATGGAGGCGACTGACACGGAAACGTGCCTCTCTGTTGACAATCAGGTTCACGTCTTCGTAATGAAGAACTGTAGATTGTGTATTTAAAGCTGACAAAATAAGACAGATGTAATACATTTGAGCTTTCATTCCAAAGCTGTATTTTTAATATTTCCATCCTCTTCAACACATAATTTCCAAATATATTTAAAGTAAAATTAAAAAACTGATTAGATCTGATTAATTGGTTGATTTCTGGTCTATGCCACAAATGGTGAAATCATTTCCATCTCAACCCCCCCAGAGACAAAGATGTCTTTTGTCAATATCATTGCAACAATACAAATTTCAGTTTAGATTAATCCTTAATCAATTGGGTCTATTCAACAAAACCATTTATTAGCCCATTAATTTTAAAGAACAATAAAATGTTTAACTAATCAACTTGGCCGCGGCAGCCTTACATTTTTTCTCGTCCTTCTGCAATGTGGACTTTTTCAAAATTCATCACACATTTTAAGAATTCATCGCTATCTAAAAATGCCCCCGTTGTCACTCACACATACACAGCTGTGATGGTTCCTCTGCCTTTGCTACAGGCCTGGTGAAGATTGCAAGCAGCCTTGGATTCCGACTCCTTCCTCCCAGAAAAAAGATCATCGTGATGATAATGGGTAACCACTCTGCAGGGAAGAGCTCCTTCATTAACTGGTAATACATCTTTAGGTTGATGGGATCTACAGTTCACCATTCAGCTTTAAATATGTATGAGTGAATGTTAAACAGAAATATTAGGTTTTACCTTTTGGTTTCAATGTGGTTTTTCAATTTGGACAATATTGTGACAGATTGACCTTATTGCCCAGTTACAACCCTTTTGAGCAGATACTGATTTAACATGAGCTTTTTACAAGTATGCTCAATACATTGAATATTCAAAATGTGTTTTTAGTCGGATAGAAAGTCTACAACTAAACGTTATTGCGCATACGACTAAGAAAAGCTGCACTATTGGCGTTTTCATCTGGTGTCTGTAGGTGTGTTTTTGAGCAGCCGCTCATGTGTGGGTCGTGTTTTAAGTGAGTTAAATCTGGAGTTTGTTGATATCGGAGAAAAATGTTAGATTTAGAATGTTAGAACCCAGCTGCAGAAACCCATCACAGTGATGTCAGCTCTTCTCAAATGAGAGTGGCAAACTTAGTAGCAGTTCCAAAAGTTAGCAAATCTTGAAAGAAAGTCCCCAAGTCGTCAGCGGTGACAGTTCGTCACTTCAGGCCTTCAAAGCCAGTGCAGCAAAATCACTATTAACATAAATGTGCCATAATGAACGTAAACCACCACGTTAGTACTACTGTCAAGTTATGGAAGACTCTGCGATTTGATTTGGGAAATAATTGATTTCTGACTTTACCTGCTGGATGTAATAGAAAATAGAAAACATGGAATGGAATGAGTTTTAGACGAAATAAGCAATAGGATGACAGTGTTTTTTCGCTGATAAATAACAATTTTCATTATTTTCTGACATTCAAAACAAAAAAGGATGAGTGTGAAGAAGACAACAACAATAGTTATTACAATAGTAGCATGCCTATACTGTCCGAAGTCGTTGCTGTTGCTTTTTCTTGTTCAACTATAAATTCAGCAACGATAAAGACGCCCCATGCTGTCCTTTTAGGTATGCTGAGGAGCACATACAGAAAGCCGGCGTCGCCATTGAAACACAAGGGTTTACGTTCGTCACAAGTGGTCGCAAAAGAGAATCACTGACGGTAAGAAGCGCACGAAGAGGTCCAACACTTCGCGCTCACACTGAAAAACGATGAGGAAACAATGTGTTCCATGCTTCATTTGAATGTTTTCATAATTCATTTTCAGATCAGTATTTCACATATAGACGATACTTCTCCGTTTTGTGGATGAGAGATTTTTTAACTTCAGTAATGAGAACAGACGCTGCAGCCGTTCATAAATGAAGCAATGCGTTAGATGTCAGCTTGTATGAAGGGTCACTCCCTCAGTCTGTGGGGATTTCTCATTCTGTATGCTGCTCCAATGAGGGGCTTTGTGGGATTTACACACACACACACACACACACACACAGATGCCTCTTTGCAGCAAATAAACAGGCTTGGGAGACGTCGGTCTCTCGTTTTTCTCTTAACCTCCTCCTTTGCGTCCCTCATATCCTGCTGTGATGAAGGTAATGGAGATGAATAATATATTTGCAGTGCAGGGCTGCAGAGTGGAAGGATTATATCCTACGTAAAGGGAAAGCTTAGAATCAGCATACGGAGCTGCAGCGCGGAAGCTTACGGAAGACTGTGTACAAAGTACCGAGGAGAGAGAGACGGGAGCTCAGACGAACTGCAGATTATTATTTGTCTCATCGGGTCATTTCTCACATTGTCTTTTAAACCCTCTCACAGGGGAATGCGACGCTGCATCTCTATCCTCACTTTCGACCACTCCTTGAGTTCAAAGGTGAGCTTTGTCATAATGGCTTGCTGAACAGTTCACTATTGTTGTGATAATACTGTTTCTTGTCCGTTTGCTATCTTATTATATTAACAATCGTGTGTGTTTTTGCTCCATTCCTATTGAGATTCATCACATTTCTAAATATCTAAAATTATAGAACAGTTATTACATGTTAAATGTTAAATTCTTGATGGAAAGCATCAAAGAGAAGATGAAGTGTTGAAATGAGCAGGCAGAAGCACCATTAGGACCAGTGAGCACGAGGCGAATGTTATCGTGAGCCGCAGCCACAGATGGGTTCCTTTGAGGCTCTGCTGTGTGGCCCATTTCCCAATATGAGCGGTTGAAGTTCATCTAAGCGTTTGTTACAGACTCAGTTAAAGCTTAAAAGTTGTGAATGTTGCTGCTTTAGATAAACCCATTCAACAGTTTTAATCCTCTGCATCGCTCACGAAATTCAGTGTAAATGTAACAATGTAGTTGTTTACATCCCTCAGTTATCGGTTTTAACCATGGTGATAAAGCATCTTTGACGTATTACATTTTAATAATTAATCAGACCAGACTCCTGTTTCCGTCTCATTACATCTGTGCCTTTGGTTTCTGAGATATGGGAAGTCCGGACAACCGTCACGTTACAGAAAGGGATGTAATCCTGTAAAAAAAATACTGTTTTTGGACAGTTGCTCTCAGCTCTGTGCGTCGGCGGCGGTCTGAAGCTTCTGGATGTCGAGGTGGTCGTGCAGAAGGTCTGGGTGTGCCTGCGGGGGGGGGGCAGGGCGGCGATGTGTGTGCATGCGTGCAGAGAGCGAGCGCTCCCGGTGCGGCTGGCGACTCACACGCCCCGTCGACAGCAGCGCAGCGGAGGCAAGTGGAGGAGCTGCTGAGGAATGTCACGGCCGTTAGAGACGGCACGGCGAGCTGGCTTTTCATTGGAAATTCCCCGGCGCCTCTGGAAGTGCGCTTTGTCAGCCGTTTATTTACCTGTCACATGGACTGAGGATGACTCATCAGAAAAAGGACCATTTGGGAGAAGGTGCCGGCTATGCTGTTTGACCTCCTTCGGGACTTCGGGGCTCGGAGACACTCTGAGACACTTAATGCGGTTTTAGACTTACATAAGGGATGTTTTGGTATCAACCTGTTGTCAAGAGTTTAGACTACATGCTGCATGGGGGTCAACTGTTTTGATATGGCAAGATTTGTGGCCGTGTTTAGTCGTTTCCTTAAGATGTATTTTAACTCCGTCTGGTTTGACCTGTTTTGCGTAATTAGTTGTGTTTTAGGCTTGTTTGATGCAGCCTTACTTCGGCCTTTTCATCGTGCAAAGGATTTCCACTGTAGCCTTCTCAGTTTCTCAGCCGCATTTGCAAGTATCGCTCGTGTTTCCCTTTCACCTTTCTCAGTGTCAGAGGACTGTCTTCAAATAGAGTGCAAAAATATGTTGATTCTTTATTTGATTCACTTATTTGGCTCGCATAATTGCTTTTTTGTATTTTTAGTAATGCACAGATGCATGCATGAGTGAGGGAAGTACAGCCCAGCTTCCTTTAATAGACCTCTACTTGCATGAATATAATGTTTTTCCCATCATAGCAACAGACATCCTCTCTCCTCGGGGAGCGACAATCGTGTCTTGATATTGCGAGACAGTGTGAGCACACTTCTAAGATCTGTGATGGAAGGCAGATGCATTGATCCTGTGGCCATGCTGATGTAAGAGACACATGTGGGAATGCTAATGTGCAGCAGCGGCCGTGGCCCCACTCGCCGCAGCACAAGGATGGGATTTGTGGTGGCTGTTAACACCTGCCGATTCCCATCAAACAGCCCCAGTGTCACTCCCGGCCCGTGTGTGTGTGTGTGTGTGTGTGTGTGTGTGTGTGTGTGTGTGTGTGTGTGTGTGTGTGTGTGTGTGTGTGTGTGTGTGTGTGTGTGTGTGTGTGTGTGTGTGTGTGTGTGTGTGTGTGTGTGTGTGTGTGGAGGATAGGGAGGTGGGATAGGGTTATTGTGTCAATTGTGTCTAAATAGTGGTCCTGTTCGGGAGGCCCTGGTCTTGAGGGGGACTCGGGTTGTGGTGGAGACTTCTAGTAGCCTCGCAGCGCGTTGCCTCACAGTCGTTCTTCACTGGCTAGCTTTATGTCCCACGCCCCGCGCTAAAGCTGCCAGTTGAAGAGCTGTTGTGTGTAACCATGACAACAGACAACGGTTGAAATAGGAGGTTTTATCTACGAGGGTGTGTCTGCGGGTTTGAGTTCAATCTGAATTGATTGTGTGTTTTTCCTCAGATGCGTATAGACAGCTCACATATCTCTTCATTGCACATGAATTCCAAATGTAAGCCAGCAAGCACAAAACGCTCACTGCGTTGCTAATCTTTAATGTCACCGGCCTCGCTCGGGTTTCCGAGTATTGATTGCGCTGCAGTTTCCACTCTCGCATTATAATTCTAAAAACCCATTAGAGGAAACAGCTTTCAACGGGACTATTAATTATTTAGTATGAATTTATCTTGATCAATGAAGCCCCTGTACTCAGCGTTTGTATATTCCAGGTGTAATGGACTATCTCTCTGCCGAGATCTCCACCTCCAAGCAGAAGAAGTTCAATTTGGTGACATTTGTGGACACACCGGGTTTGGTGGACGGAGACATGGTCTACCCTTTTGATGTCAACAGCGCCATCACGTGGTTGGGTATGTCTTTGCAGCTGTTCCTTGTACCATCTTCTCCACAGCTGCTGTGTTTCTCCAACAGATATTTGTTTGATTTCTTTTGTGCAGGAGAACAGGCCGACTTGGTATTCGTGTTCTTTGACCCAATGGGCCAGGCGCTCTGCAAACGCACACTCAACATCGTGGAGAAGCTGAGTGAGAAATGCGGAGACAAGCTGTTGTTCTATCTGAGCAAAGCAGATGCAGCTGGCAACGAAACAGACAGACAGGTAGCTGACGGAATATGTGGCTTTACAAAATAAATGTTGACAAATTTGCTGCCACAGAATTCCGGTGAATCCAAAAAATGTGACCTATGTTTGTTTACTTCTGCAGAGGGTGATGATGCAGATAGTCCAGGAGCTATGTCGCCGTCCAGGTCTCAACAAATGTGGTTTTGAGATGCCCACGATATACATCCCCAACCCACAGAGGGTAAAACTCAGCCGGCGATATATATTCCCCTCATGGCCATTTACCAGGATGTAGTTTGTATTGCTCGTGATGCAACGTGCATCATCATTGTCCGCCCTGCAACCCCAGATTGAAGCTGTTTGGGGTTCTCCAACACATCTCAAGTGCGGCTCTCTGCTATCCTTTAGGGCTGGACCGCTATTTATTATCCTTGAATGTAAATTCTCCTCAATGGCCTGAACAGGATGATTACATTTGCAATATGATGACTGGTAGAGTTATCCACTCTTGGGCTATGGGGGTAGGGGCTGTAAACCATTGCCTCTGATGAACCACCAGTGACAGTGGCAGCCCGGACCTGAGTCATTGCCGCACCAGCTCGTGATCTACGACCGCAAAGCTCTTCTCTGCGCCGTAGATTTGTGCACAACTCCCGACCTCCATTCTTATTCCGCTGAGAAAGGTCGCTTCACTGCTAAGTGCACGTGGCTGCCAATCAAACTATCCTCAAGGCCATTTTCTCTCTGAGATGCACAGCCGCAAATGTTTGTGCAATTGTTGAAAAACGGATGCACATATGAGCCTTTGTCTTGTTTAGCCGAGCCGCTGTGTGAACCAGATCGACGGGGTGTGTCAGACGATCGAGAAGACCATCAACCAGGCCGTTCAAAAGACTCTGGATCAGCTGGAGAAAGACTGTGACCTTATTTGTTCCACCATCAGCAGCCGACAAGAGCAGGACAGGTTTGATCTCTCCACCTACAAGCATAGCACGTGGTACTGTGTTCAAATCTTAATTCATCTTGAGGGAAAATGGCAGGTGGCGTCGCAGAGCAAACAAAACTATATTGTGTTTGTATGGAGATAAGAGTCGGCCAATATTATTATTATCTACCGCAGAAAATGTAATATTAAATCAAATTTCCTCCATGGCACGCAGGGCTGATGAGGCTCACAACAGAAGCGTCCGTCTTCATTCGCTCGTGTGTGGCGCTCTGGGCATCGTCCTCCCAGTTCTCTTTGTCCTCAGTTTCATTGTGAATACGTTCTCCAAAGATCAGCTAGATCAGCTGCTGGGTGAAGGACCGGCCCGGACCCTCTTCGTATTCACAGTAAGTCCAGAGTCACACTGCCGATATTGGAACTAATAGCATTGCAAAATAATTACAATTTCATTCCATTTATGTCATGTTGGGTGAACTTGGTTCTCTGACCGATGTCCTGTTCCACATGTACCTCACAGGGAATAGTGATGTATTTATGGGACTGGATACCAGAGGATGGACAAGTTGTGTTTGTCATCATTTTCGGAGCTTTTTGCTACCTCCTGCTTTTCCTGTCAAAGTATTTTGCAGGGTGAGTGCCTCAAAAGTACAACACAAACATTCAACCATTGAATTCATCAAATCATACAATCAACAGAAAAATAATTTCTAACTGTTTTGATTACCAATTCATTATTTAAGTCATTTGTTATTATTAAAATGGGCCAAAAATGAACATTTAGTATTTGGTGTTTTGGACTGCTATTCGGACCAGACAAAAACATTCAAAGACGTCATTATTGGGTTTACAACATAGACATTTTATGCTACAGTACTTTCTCATGTGTTTCTCAATTGAGTATGAAATTAGTTATAAATAGCAGTACATTAATATCAAACATGTACACACACACACCCCCATAGGACATGATCAATGTTTTAATGTTCTTCATTTTCAGCCGCGGTAATAAGACTATGACGAAGAAAGAGAAGAGGACGATGGCAGAGTACAGTGATTATATCCAGGATATCGTCAAAACTAAGAAGGTTAGATTATATTTTGTGCCACAACAAATACAGAAATTAAAGCCACAGTAACAATAAGTATAATAACGTTGTTTGAACGAAGCAGAAGGTGTATTATGAAATACACACAACGATGATAACCTGACTTTGCAGCTCTTTCATTCCCATAATTTTATTTTTTTATTCACAAAACACAATTTTACTGCTATCACGTTGACACAACAACGGTGTACATGAAGTGGTCAAACGTCAGTAGATATCAATTCAAAATGATTACAAAGGATGGCGCTAGATTACACTCAACATCATTTCCTGTGAATCCTTCATGCATAACAAGTCTATTTGTTACCAGCACGGAAACGGCAGATTCATTGGCCATTACAACTATAATATAGAGAATTTTAATACATTGAATTGCTATTGAAACAAAAAGGCAGAGCGTAACTTATCCCAACATTTAATTCATATGTAAATCATTATAACTTCAGTGCAAGTTTGAATTAAGTAATTACATTTAATTGGTTGAATCTGAAACATCCAAATTCTTACACAGTTGATTTCCCTCCACAGGGGAGCCTGTACGAGTCGTACCTCCAGCAGTGTGCAGCGGAATATGACTTCTGACCCCGGGTCAGACCAGCACAGTTTTCACGCATCTTTGGATGTTTTTGTTTTGTTGTGTTTTTGACTCGGTGGGACTTTGTAGGCAGATGACGATCCACCAGCTGATCGGGTTTCTCTCCTCAGTCAGACACGTGCAACCTCAAAATGCAGCCAGTATCTCTAACAACATTTATCATCTCAAGAGCTTCCATTAAAGATGAAGTGCCTTTGTTAGTTTGTACCGGAGAAGCAACAAGCAATTGTTAGTCGTTTGATGACAATAATGAAATACTGTGAATCATTTCTTTTGTTCAGCTGTTACGTGAAAGGTGATGCCAGAGAGAAGAGTTTACACCTTTTTCTCCCGTAATTTGTCCTTATGGTGTCCTTGCACTGATGAGTACGTCTTACTTGTTGAACTCTGAACCCTTCATTCTGTCAATGGATCTTTGTATCTTAGTTTTACAGTATGACTACACCATGAAATGCCTTCACTCCAGCTTTTATAGATATATTTATTGCTCTTCTCAGTACTTTTACCCAAATAATGTTGAAAAACCTCAACGGGCTGTTTGCAATATAATTGTGAACATTGTTCCAGTTTGTAGTGTGCGTGCTAGATGTCTTGCAGGTATTGTCTGCATTAGGAAAAATCTTTATGAAATATTTCATTTAAAAATGTGTGAAACTTTCAGGGTGTGTTTTTATCTATTTTATGTAACCTTTCCCAGAATATTTTTATTGGATGAAAGCTTATCTTGTCTCAAAGAATGAAAGTCCTGCAAACTAAATTCCTAGAAAGTGATTAAACATTTTCTACTGACTTTGACTTTACTGACTGTTTACTGTTTTCCTGGTTTGTATAAACTTAAAAATGCCGACATATACAGGTGGAGTAACATGACAATGAAACTTTATATAAAGCAGTGAGGAGTGATTTGTTGGAAGACTTTTATTTCAAAGTTTAGTTATAAAAATGCCCTTCCGGGCTTCTCTGCAGGAAGAATTATGCTTTTTAAAATGCTGAGTTGACTTGTCTGTCAGGGTTTACATTGCTGCAGTATTTAAACAAGCATCCGGTTTGAACCCATTACAAGCAATTCTGAATGAACATAAGAACCCTTAAATTACAATAACTGGGGAAACGAATGAAAGCAACAAATTATGTTTTTCTTATTTTGCCAGTAAGTCCAGTTGAAAAACCTCAGTTCCCTGAGTTATCAACAGAGAATATCCCAATGGAGGAGACAGCTATCAAAAAAACCCTAAACTTCTATTGGATTTGCCTAAAGGAGTAATATTCTCTAGAAGAAACATGAATCTATTGTGTATGCACTAGTATGTGATCAAAGTAGAATTTTAATTTAATTTTTGCAATCTACTACAGTCGCAAGACAGCAAATAAAAGATGTGGTAATTCTAGGAATTGTCACTTACCACAAGTTAAAGCAGCATGTGTGTGTTAGGGAGTCTGTTAAATCTGCATCCAGGAATCTTCTGCAGTATGTTTTTAGATTTGATTTGCCATTGGATCTAGATTGAATACTCTGTGTTTGGGGACTTTTGGTCAATTCATCCATCAAAGTAAGTTACAGCATCTAAGGCCCGAATGTGAGCATACAACCAAACCTGCTACTTAAAACTTCATTTCAAATTGTATGTTCTTATCTTGTAACAGTGCATTCAGGATTATATGTATATACATGGTTATTTGTACAAAAACATGCCAATTCCCATCCCTGGCTTCTTATAAACAAAGTGTACAGGTAGATACATCTTGCAGTGGAACAAAGACTGAATCCAGTATTACTTTGTTTGTGAAATCTGTCATGAAATACCCAGTGTCTCTCGGGAACAAAAGCAAGTTTCAGTCTAGTCCTCAGGAGGGTTTGTCTCCAAGAGACGCAGTCCTGTCCTCAGTGTGTGTGTGTGTGTGTGTGTGTGTGTGTGTGTCCAGACCGGGATAGCTGCTCAGTTTCTCAGCACCATAAGTGTCCATATTGAGTTGTCCGGTGGACTATGGGCTTGTCCTTCAGACGCGGAGTCATTGAGGGCCTTTGTCAATCAACCAAGAAATGTCTCCAGTCCTGCAAAACCCCAAAAGTCAGTGAGCCATACATACACATCGGTGTTTATCAGATCTATTTTTTTGCTGCACGTGGTCAACATCAGTGAAATTTTAAATAGAAAAAGCTCAATTTATCCGTACTTGCCAAGACGTGCTAAAATCCTTCAAATTTTGAGTTTGCATTATTAGAAATAAAAGATATGAGAGGGATGAGGAACAGGTTAGTTAGACTGGTATGCAATGACAATACAGTAATGCAATGACAATGACATCAGTGTGGCAACACATGTTACACATCAGGTTTGCTAATCTTATAAAATAGTGTTTATTCCTTTGTCGGTTGCCAATTGTTGGAAGGGAAACTTACTCCACATCTCGTTTCCTAATCGTCTTTCCTGATCCCAAGACCTCCGCCACTCGGGATACGATAGGGTCATAGTTCATGCTGGCAACGGCAACCACCTCTTCACCCCTGTAGACCAGAAGAGGAAACAATCAAACAATAAGAGACTCGACAGGGAGTCGCAACTTAAGACGACATGACAACATGAATGCGCAGGGTTTACACAAGTTAAAAATAAACAGTCAGCAATATTTTCTGTTTACTCAAGATTGTGAAAAATAAAAAGTACCTCGTGTAAAACGCCACGAATCTCAGTTCATCCAGATCTCCTTGTATAATGACATCATCAAATCCATCACCATAACCTTCAACAACAAAAGATTAATCATATATACGTGTGTATTTGTCAACAGCATAGAGAAAAAATGTCCAAATCCGTCTCTTTTTAGGCTTTTATTTTCATCTTCACAGCTAGATGGTAGTGTGGTAACTACACACAATTCAGCTATGACCCCCCCCGCCTTTAATCGTTTTGTGGCTCACAAAGTCAGTCTTGAAACTGAAGTGAGACATCTACCTGCGTAGCGTATCGTCTTGCCAAACATGGCTGACCAGAAGTAAGGCACAGTCTTGAGGTCAGCGGGTCTTCCCATCATGCCGAGGGCCGCCACCCTGCCTGCCAGCGGAAGTAAAACAATAAGGAACCTTCGTCTTCGAGGAGGCGAATCATCGGCACGGTAAATCAAAACAGCCTTCGATATGCAAAAAAAAAAAGCACGACAACACTCACCGTGCACGTGAGCCATTTGCCAGTGAGGGATGTTCACCTTCTTGTTGTGTCGTGGCGGGAAAGGAAACACCACCACGTCTCCTCCTGCAAAAACCCCATCAGCATTTGTCTGCATCATCTGGAAGAAAGTTTAGACGAGTCAACAAACAATGAAAGACTTTCCCTCCGGCTTCAGGAGTTTTGCTGAATACCTTGTTTACAGTGATGAAGCCCCTGGAGTCCATGTGGATGCCGCTCTGTTTCAGGAAGCCCGTTGCAGGAATACTCCCTGAGACACATTAGAGGATGCAGGTCAGTCATGGAGCTGCCACAGTCATCATCATCATCATCATCCATGCCGGTGCATCTTACATCATCTTCGACATTACCTGCTCCAATGACACACACGTCGGCGCGCAGGACTTTTCCGCTCTTCAGCACCACCTCTTTCAGCTGCGCAAACAAGAAATAAATAACCAGAACATAATGCTGCTCAATCTAACATGAACCTTTCCTAATTGCCTCTTTACTTTTGATTGACGGGGTCCGACGTGCGTAAACGTTTCTTTGCCGATGTGTGTCTAGTGAACTTTTTAAGAAGTCCAGTCATAATGTGAATAATTAAAGTTATAATAATCATTTATATAATAATCACGAGGTTGTCTAGTTTTCAAGTGCTAGTTGACACACACCTAAAGGTTTTCATTTTGGTTAATATTCTTGTGTTTCTTATCCAACTCATCTTCTCCGTGGATTAAACGAGAGAGGTCAGTGCTGCTGAGCAACACGTCACGCTGTTTCTATCACTTTCTGAATACCTGTCCATGTTGGCCAATCATCTCTGACACTTCGTTCAGCATGTAGAACTTCACCCTGTTCACCTCGAACAGCTGCACACAAACACGCCACAGAAACACAGCGAGCACGTGGTCTGGTGGTTAGTGGGTATTGACCAGCGAGGGTTCGTATAATAGTATCCTGGGGTTGCTTTACAACCGTGTCCCTACCTTCATTACGGCTTTCCCTACTTTCTCCCCGAGAGCTTTTTTGAATGGGACAGACTCGATCCCAATGATAGACACCGAGTGGGCCTTGTCAGTTAGAGCGGCAGCCACCTCCATACCTGCCGGCGCAGCAAATAAAGAGCACACAGTTCATATGCGTTGTTATTCATGCAAGAGGATTCAGACAGAAGGAGTAATAATCGAGGGGAAAAACATAAAGTGCTTCCATTAGAGATGGGTCACTGATTGGAAAATAAATTATGGGAATCAGACTAAAAACGAAATCTAAATCTTTGCAAACTTCACAAAAAATGAGTATCTCACACATTTACTTTAAAAATGTACCGGGTAGTTTTACTGATGTACCTCATCTACCAGCCACTCACTGTTGACATTTGGTTCTTTTGTAAGTGATTTGCTTGTGCTGGATATTGGATTTTTGTTACTGATTGTTGCTGTTATTAATCATGTGATCTCTTAAAACTTTGAATGCTTAATCTTACATTGTCGTGCACAAATGAGCAGAAGGTGTGTCTTTTTCTCACCAACATATGACGTTCCCACGATCACAGCGTTCTTGTTGTTGGCCAGCCGCGCGATGCTGTTGGCGTCCTCGGGCGTCCGGAGGTGAAACACGTTCCTGACGTCCTTTCCGTTGTAGACCATTGGTTTGGGTCTTTGGAAGCAATCGGCAGTCAGTTCATCATTCATAATCTCCCCTACCGTTTTGTCACCTGAAATGTAATAGTTTCTTTTCCCCCTTACTTGCTTCCTGTTGCAATAAAGAGTTTCTTGTACTCCATTCTCGAGCCATCTTCAAAGGTCACAGACCGCGTTTTCACATCTATCGACACAGCCTGCAACAGACAATATTGCAGGGTTGTGCGTGTTTATGCGTTGGGAGTTTTGTGAAAATGCAAAAAGGTAGATTTAGATCAAACGAATGAATTGACTCATCTGAAGTCACCACCTCTCCCACCTCTTTATCAACGAGCAGTTCAATGTCATGATCCTGCAGGAAGTCCATTGAGCGCAATCTCAGCTGCTCAGCGGTGCTCTCTAAGGACTAAAGGTCAGACAGTTAATGCGGAGTACATCAATAAAATAATTAAATTTAACAGTAATCCAAAAAACAGACAATTCATTGATTAATAGTAATTGTAACAACTTTCTGTTTTTAAATAGTTATTTATGTGATTTGTAGCTGTTTCGTCAGCACTGCAGTCTGTTCCTGGAAAAGTTATTGTTTATGTGTTCAGGGTCTGTGTACAAACCTTACTCAGTTTAGGCCTGTCATATGGAGGATGCCTGTCCTTGGTGCACATGACAATGCGATCGGTGAAGCCCTCTTGCCTCAGTGTTTCTGCACACACCAGACCTGCTGGACCTGTGCATTCGTTCACCATTAAAGTTGATATTTAAACAGAGACAGTGAAGGAAGACACTGCTTATCAGATTCCAATACAGCTTTATCATTGACAGACTGACCTGAGCCAATGATGAGAACATGGCTGAAGCCGGAGCTGGAGTTTATGACTGCTGAGCATCGGGCCATGGGCTTCGACCTTTTCTGCGACTGAAGTGCCTGAAAACGTTTTTTTTCTTAAAGATCTCAGTTCAATCAGACGTTTCTTTTTCATCATAAATTAAAAAAATTCTTTCTGTTGCTACCTGCTTGTTTGCACGAATGATCACCTTGTCCTTTTCAACCCTGACCTGGAGCAAACAGACATGAGCGATGTGAACATGAACGTGACAAGTCAGGGAATGCGTTAGGACAGCGCCGGCGGGGACGGTCACCTGGAAGGTAGGCAGGCTGTCCAGCCCGGGGAAGTCCTCCAGGTCTCCTGTTGCAATGTCGAAACACGCACCGTGCCACGGACAGCGCACGTGTCCTTTTGATAGCACTCCTGGAAGGACAACACAAACGTCAAATGAATTCTATAAAATATCCTGACAAATGTCATACATCAACGTATGAGGCTGACCTTTGACCAGAGGGGCTCCGTAGTGTGGACACTTGTGAGCCATGGCGGAGAACTCTCCGTGCTCCTTAATCAACAGCGCTCGTCCACTTCCCAGATCAACCTCTCGCATCCTGTCAAAGACACAAAAGTGAAAAAGGTGCATTGAGTTTTAAATCCTTTCAAAGGAAACGCACAAAAAACAATTTGTGTTTTGAGTCATCTGCCTGAGGTACTCTGGTAGCAGCGTGAAGCCACATGAATCAGAGGAAAAGTGAGGTGACGATCATTACATTACATTACAGGTCATTTAGCTGACGCTTTTATCCAAAGCGACTTACATTATATTTTTAACCAATGGCTTTTTAAATGTTTGCCCGGGGAGCAATTAGGGGTCAGGTGTCTTGCCCAGGGACACATTGACATGGGGCATGAGACAGTCGGGGCTCAAACCACCAACCTTGCAGTTCCCAGTGCACCCTCTCTACACCTGCTACATTTATTGGCAACAATCCTTTGAAGTTTTTTGCTGCTGTAGAGATACATACTGTACTTTGGTCTGCTGTGCGCCGTAGCTTATGTGGCTAATTGCAGCTATCGTTGACACACTTGGTAGGTTACTGACATTACTGAGAGTTCAATTACTTTATGACTTTATAACTCTTCACCACTTACTGTTATAGCAGGTTTGAGCATTATTTCTGTCCCTTGCTGTCTGCTTCTAATCAGCCAGCGCTGATACCGCCGATAAGTCACAAAAGGAAAAACTAGCTTCATTGTGTTTTCTTGTGAATTGACCCTTTATTACAATGTGAACTTATATCCTTTTGGATCCTCGAGCGTCATCTGATGCTCATCACAACAGCTCCTTTACGAGTGTGTGTGTGTGTGTGTGTGTGTGTGTCTGTAGAGAAAAATAAACAGGAGCTTTTCCATCTTCTTACTGTCCATTTTCCAGGTCTTTAACGTGACAGACTGAGGCCTCCACGTAGTCCCGGGCTTTGTGGTAGAGAGGCGGCGGCGTGGAGTCATCGTCAGAGCCGTGTCCCAGGGCCCCGTTGGGTCTGCAGTCTGCAAAGGGGCTGGCTTTGCCATTGGGTGACAGGCCGTCCACGTCTTTTTCTTTTTCCAGGAGAGAGAGTTCCACTTTAACTTCAACTGCCCAACAGAAACACGTCTTTCTTAGAAAATGGTTGCGGCTCAAGTCAGTAGAGTCACAAGAGCTGCAGTAAAATGATGCTGTGAAACTTTCAAATATAAAACATTCACAGGCTCACGGATTCACAGAATCACCAATGGACTTAACTATTAACCTCTGTTCTGTTATTACTAACCACCCTTCACTGTTCCTTTTGAAGAATAATTTGCCCTTCAGCTGAGAGACGGACAAATTGAGTCTGATATTTCCACTAAGGAAAAGAATGACAGCAGGTAAGGGCAAACTTTTCCTCTTTTCTTTCTCTTCTTCTAGCCAGTGAAATTACGTTTATTTATTACTAACACACAGCGTTTTGTCTTTTAAACAGGAGGAACACACTCGTGCAGAGCACTTCCAAAACTTCCATTAACATTGTTGCTTTTGACACAAGATGTCCCCAGTGTCAAAAGCAACCATGTTGCGTGAATAGTCCACAAAATCAGAAGACAAACCAACTCATTCAACTCTCTGTATCAAAATGAATTGACTACACTGAAAAATATAGTCTTTGACAGGATGATGCTTCAAACAATGACGTTTCCTTTTAGGAAACTGCCATTAATAAATAAATAACAGCACTGTTTTGTGAGTGAATCACAGCCTAAAGTTAATTAATTGAGAGGTATTGCATTTTCTTGGACGACTACTGATGCGCTGCTGTTGGGTTTGTTCTTCTCAACATTAAGGAGCGGTTGTGTAACTCCGTTTTCACTGCAGCAGGCTTTATCTGTTCAGCTGGAAAAATGTGCTGATCATCCGGTTCTTACACAGTAATCTGGCTGGAATTTTCTCCTGCTGAGCAAGTCTTAATTAAAATCAATGGAAAATCATAATAGTGAGTGCAATAGCAGGAGAAAAGAAAGAGAAAGCTTTCCACAGCTGAAGAGAATCTGTCGCTGCAACGTCCGCTGCTAAACGGGGAATCACCCCACTGATGCTCCTGGATCTACTTTTGATCTTCCAGTCTTTAGAGCTCTGACGGGGACGTCGTATGAAGCAGTTAGCTTTGAGGAAACAAATGTTCATTTGTTTGATTGAACAGTTTCTGTAGCCTTTCTGCATTTCTTCACATTTTGATGCAAATGTTGAGGCTGATGTTGATTTGAACCTGCTTTATTTCGATACTTTAAGGGTGATGCTTAAGTTGTGTCAAAGGGAAAGATATTTCAGTAGGATCATCAATTGAAAGTATTTAGTAGACAATGTTCTAATCATGGATCACTAGTCTCATCTGTCTCACTCCACCTATTCCTCATGCATTGAACAGATGATTGTATCTTAAATGTTTGGTCTCCCCATGTACCTGACTGGAAAGTACAGGATGTAACCGGGCTTGTTATCACCTGCAGGGCTGCAGTAAAGCGAGCTCGCTAATCTCCTAGTCAGGCAAATGCTGATATGGCTACAATCACACAGACACACACACACAGTCTCATATTGTTATATTGTCTCGGTATGTAATCCTCTTGACTGAAGAGAGCATTTCAATTCCCCCCACATCAAACACTGTGGAGCAACGCGATAAGCGACACGTTGAACAGGATTTGGAGGCGTTATGACGATTTGAATATGAGTCGTTCTGAACAAACGGCCCCTGCGTAGATCTTTAAGAAAACACTACAATATACATTCACATGTCTTCCGCTAGATTCACTGACATTGTAGAAATAAATAACGCCTATGAAACATAAAGTTTTTCAAATGGAATCACAAGCCAAATCAAATTGGATCTGTTTGTTACAGCTGCAACAATTGAACATTGAACTTATGAGTATGAGTTTTGAGTGTTTTCCATATTTCACATGAAATACAGAATTCAATTTAAATCTACATTTGTAAAAAAGTAAAAATGCAGCTAAACATTAAGTCTGATCTTGGTTAGAATTTGTTCACTTTTAAAATAATAATTCTGTGATAATTTGACGGAATTGTGTTGTTATACAAATATCTGCTGTGAATGATGTTGAGCAAGACAAAAAAAATGAGTTGATGAAGTTTCTTGCTTCATGCTATAAATATGAGTGAGATGAGAGGATACGAGTCTGCTTTCATGCAGCTGTATTTTCTTCAAATATCACTTTGATTAAAAATTGTTGCAGATTCTTCCATATCAATTAGTGAAAACATCTTTATTAATAATGGGAACATTATTTCAACCACATTACCCTTTCAACCCCTTTAGTGTGCTGGAAATACTAAAAGCAGGCAAGCAGCTAATGGGGTGGACACAATGAGGCTTGTTTATTTAACTGTCCCACACTGGACGGTTGGACGCTATTTTGTCCTCCGCCAGCAGCTGCTTGTTGTACTTGTACTGGTAACCCGCCCAAGGGGAACACGTTGGTTACCTGGTTTGGGTTTGGAGAAGCATCCTCCCATGGTGGGCCCAGGATAGAGGGACACCCGGGGAGAGGGAGGGAAAGGGGGAGAAAGGGGGGGAGGTTTGGTCAGATTCTCGGGCCGGGCTGCTTTGTTGTGAGGTAACGATAACACAGAGCTGTGTATGGGGGAACCTGAAGGTCGTGGCCGGCCATCGCACACGTCAGCGCCTCCACATATTCTGCACGGACACAAGGAAAGACATCGTCAACTTGAATGACACCAGAATTTAATGGTCCTATTTTTGTCTTCTAATCATGTATTGTAAATGATACTGGTTCTGTTATCACAAATAGCGACGATGAAGTGTTTAAAGAGTCAAGATTAGACTGACCGATTATTGTGTGTGTCTTTATAACATGTTAGTGCTTATATACAAATAAATTGTGGTGATTAGGAACGTTTCCATTCGCATTGCTACCTTGGTTCATGCATATTGCATGAGGAACTGTTAAATATTAACAGCATTCCGGCATCTATTAACTTTCTCGTCACACTGCACTATAAAGGGCGGCAGGGGCCCCTTTGGTTTCAAAATCCCCTTGTTTTGTTGCCACGTTGCCCTCACATTTCTGCCAGCTCTGGTATTTCAGCCACACATAGAGTGGTCAGTTAATCACCGAGCGCTGGCGGCTATGAATCTGAGTGGACCCGGGAATGGCAGGTGTTTTGCTTAAGACGGTGCAATCCATCACTAAATTATCCTTTTGAGGTACAACCGAAAGGACTGCTTGATATTCTGAGCACATCTTAATGTCCTTGAACATCAGAAAAAAAGTGTGGCGTGTTGAATGGAGCACTGCTTAGAACAAATGAGAAGCGGAAACATCTCGTACTGGCCTCAACTCTGCATCTGGGATTGCATTTTTATTATGTGTTAACACAAGTACTATGCTTCAGTATAACTTTAAAGTACTTATAATGTTTTCAAAGAATAGATATTCCCCAACTGCATTTAATCGACAGCTGAAGTTACAACTGACTGTTCTGATTAAGATTTTAGGGCAAATAAAATAAATGAATTACATTTCAACTCCAACATCATGTTAGATTTTCCCTCACAAGTGTCATTTTGCTCTTTGCATTCAGTCAACAAGCATAATAACACAGCAAGGCCTTTGAAGCCGTGTGTTCCTCTAAATACAGAAGTACAGAGTCAAGTCACCTCCCAAATGCTGCCAACGTCACTCTCGCACGTTGCCCCTTCAAATCATCTGCTGCCGCTGAAACACTGTTGGTCAAACTGGATGGAAAAGAGCTGCAGTTCCAGCAAGCATCAACATATTTTGTGCGCAACTAAAGTAGGTTAAGCAGATTTGGTCCTCACAACATATGACGCAGATCTCGCTCTGTCGCCGTTGGGCCCGTCCCCAAGCAGTGCTAATAATCCTGCCTGCACACAAGCTGTCAGTTTCACTCACTTCCCTACAAATGTAATACCTGTTACTGGAATGTTAGAGGGGAGAATTAACAGAAGGCTCCTCCCGGTTGGAGGGGAGGAGATTGATGTATGAACTGACCGTGGGTGAAAAAATAACAAGGAATGTTGAGCACCAAAGTCACATCCATCATTCTTCCTACAGTAAACAGGGGGGTGATGTAATTGCTGTACAAAGATGTACATGATGAAACTAAAGATGTAACAACAATGTTGTTAAATCTTTAATGCAGAATCCAGCAAATGTCCCGTAATCGTCACGGACAAATCAGATCCATCAATTAACACTGGACCTGCAGGAGTATCGGAATAAAAGAGACAATCCCGATTTGTGGTTCCTGTTCTGGTGAAACATCTTGTTTGGCAGGTCTCAGCCTGTAGTTAACGATTAGGGCTATTTGATCCTCCGCTGATAAAAGTCAACGGTCAATCTCTTAATATAGGACGTGTGTCCCTCACTCACAGGGCTTTCTCACAGCGCTCTACAGTGGCTGTCGCTTACTGTCAGCATGAGGAAGCATTGTCATGAAAAGGACAAGTGGGGGAAACAATAACGGCCTCCAAGTCTTTGATAGTTCCCAGTGGAAGGAGACACCAGGGTTTAAATCCACGTTGGAGGTTGGATTCGTACACCTTCGTCCATCGAGTCACCAGCACCTCCCTCGAAAACACCACCAAGCTTTTGATTCATTGCTATTTACTCCATCGCCAACGTGTCTCAACTATAAAAGACCACAATCCCCATTAAGACGCTCTAGAACGTGGCCAAGTTTTTACAAATGTTTGTATTGTTTGTTTATTGTAAAACACACATACCACGTGGCTCTAAAAAACGATCCATTTGTCATTGCGGCACCGAAGGAGTTCACACGGGTCATTTTTTTAATGACTTCATCCAAAAGTTGTCACAAACTTTATTCCTGGTATAACATATTCCTCCGTAAAGCTCAAGCTGGTTAAGAATGACACCACCACATCTCTAAGGTCGTTTTACTGCTTTGAACGATAACCTCTCCATGATGTCATGGAAAACTAGAATCGTGGTTTACAGGGGGGGTGTACTACCCCCCCAGGGTGTGCTTCCATATAACAATTCTGCTATGGACCGGTTTTTCAGCATGCACACACACACCCACAAAGGCACAAATCAATAGAAACCAATAGATTGAGATATTTACTGAGAGTGACCGAACTATTCAATCTTCACCAGCCGTGAAGATGCTCTTATTGACATGTGTGTACCAGAACCAATCCGTGCAGATCTATGACGTGTTTAAGGTACTGTGTTTTCAGTATATAAAGTAATAATTTTTTTCGGTCTCCAGGGTAGTCTATAGTGTGCGAGTCCTCACTGCACAAACGCAGGCAAAGTAGGTGTGACGGAGTCCGTGTAAAATATATCAAGATAGCTCACCAGCGTGCGCGGAGCAGGTGCACCGAGATCCCGCCTGACTCCCCGCTGCTCAGCCTCCCCTGGGGGGGGGGACGGTAGCATGTCGCCCTATCGTCTCTGTCCACGGGAGAACTCACAGTCCTGCGCTCTCCTCTTCTGCCTCTTGATGCAGCACAGCGTCGAAGTGAGCGTGAAAGTGCGCCGCACCCCCCCCTGCAGAAACCACCCCCCTCCTGCAGCGGCGGACCGAGCGGACCGGCCGAGGGAGTTGCTTTCCTTCCCCCTGGACGAGCCTGCAAATGTCAGCTCGGAGGACCGTTGCCTGTTTGTCAGCCGTATGCGGTATTGATGGAGTTGCGGAGGGGATGCTAACGCAGCACGACCCCCCCCCCCTCCCCCCTCCCTCACCCCGCCGGCCTTCCAGCCCTGCCTCTAGATGTCAAAGACCTGACTTGCCAGTTGAGCCTGATCACAGACCTGCCCCCCCTCCCCGCTGATCGCACCGTGCATGCTGGCCGCGCGCGCACGGCGCTCAATGCTGCAGGAGTTGTGAGCCATTGTTGAAACTTACCAGGGTGACATCTATTGTATTTGTACTACCCACCGGGAGACATAAAATACAAATACTCCTCCGGCTACTATCAAACCTACGAGCCTCACAGCTCGTTCGGTGTGCGCAGCGGCGGGAGGCGTAAAGAGTTAAAGTGCAGTTGCTGCAGTAAATCCCAGTTGCAGTTGGGGGTAGGGTGGAGCAGGATTAGAAAGGTATAGTGAGTCCTATAGAAATGAGCTCCCAAGATATTTTCCATTCCTTATGCTCTCACTGTGGGAGGAATTGTGGCTCCCCGTTAAGGTTATAAGATTGAAGATAGATTGATTCTATGGAAATGATGGCAGCACTCACACAGGACGATGGTAAACGCGGCTTTATGTTGCATCGCTAATGTGTCCAGATGAATAAGAAAAGACAGAAATGAAAACATTTCAGACACATGGACATGTATTTCTGCAGTGTGCTGACAGCTGACACGTGCGCTCTATGGTTAGTATGTTTGTGTTGCTCTCTGCATGTGTTGGAGCACATGAAAAAACAAGGGAGTGAAGGCAGAGTGGCGATGTGCACATGAACAACAAGATGACACAGGCAGGCACTGATATATCACTCAGTTTAATTGAATTACCGAGGGACTCGTGCCATTCAGAGAGAAAAGCCAGGATGAGAGAGGCCAGAGCGGTGAAATAAATCATTACAGGGTGAATTATAAAATGACGGCCGGCCAAAACACAGCTAGTATTTCATACATTTGGGCATCAGTGGTCAAATATCTATAGTGACCTAACTGGTCAAGAATAAGATGACATAACAACTCACTAAATGTACCAGACGATTCTGCCCTGAAAACTCAATGAAGACCATCTCATGATTAACTAGAAGCAGCAACAAATGTCTAAAAAAAGAGTAACTTAAAGAAAAGAACAGGTAGAATAAGCCTAGCAGTCATATGTCCTCCATGATAAGTACGTGAGTGTGCAGATGACACGTTTGGCAATAAGAAATCTACAAGACCTCTGTCTTCAGGTAATGCTTTGTCCTGTGCTTCGCTTGCGGGCTGTCGGCCACACTTCCGGGCCTCTGGTCGTAGTCCGCCATGCACACAGCGACAAAGAAGAGCGTCCCTCCGATGGCCAGAGCCAAACCTCCGAACCACCCAGAGAACATGGCCTCTCCATACTCCCAGCGAGGCACCACGTCGGGGAAACCCTCGTCCCAGAAGTCCACCACGGTTGTGTAGGCAACGAGGGAGACGGGAGCCAGGGTGGCGAGACCCGACACCCACGACAGCACGCCACCGAGGATGAGGAGTCTTCTCTTCAGGCCGGGCCGTCCCATGCACATCGCGACCCCCTCCAGGCCGGGGAAGGCAGCCAGCAGAGCTAAACCTCCGGTGCCTACCGACACTAACATGAGCACCCTGGAGATCTGCAGGTCCACCGGCAGCCCCATGATGGACTCATAGGCCTTGCACTGAACTCCGACCTCCTCTGTGTAAAGGCAGGTGTGCCAGAGTCCAGAGTACCAGTTCTCCACTTCGTTCAGGTCAGAGTTCATCGTCTTCCACAGCGGGAGGAACGTGGTGATTAGAGAAGTGACCAAACCCCCGAGCGTCACAAAGAGTGCAGTCCTTTGCATCATTGAAGGTGTTAGAAAAACCATCTTTCGCCCTCCGTGCTGGGAGTCCCGCTCAAGTGTGCAGGTCTACCCGACAGGAGGGGAGATCCAGAGGAGCTCTGTGGCCCGTCCTACCTGCTGAGGTAGCAGGACCAGACGGGCCATCCCACTAATTCAGCTCCTGAATAAAATGCACCTGGGTGGGAGATAATCCAGGGACATGCTGGCTAGTCTCAGTGCTCACTATCCTCTGAGTGAACAATGAACTCTGTTTTTAGATGAAACCAAATATGTCCAGAAGGGGTTTTGGGGCTGTGTGCACACAAGTGAATTTGATGGAATGAAACATGAGCAAGCTGGACGTTGGAGGTACACAAGAAAGACTTAAAGGCAGCTCCATTCATAAGGGCATGTTTCTTTTTAATTTAGACCATCTTTTGGTTGTAACTAATTCAGAGTTGTTTTATAATGTTTCTGTTTAGAATTCGTCATTATTTTAGTTAAGAGATTTATAGTTTAAGGAAATCGAAGAAGGAGCTTTCGATTTACCATGTGTCTCAAGTATCTGGACTATGAATAGCACTTTGTGCTCGCTGCAACGGTACTTAAAAGAGAGTCCAACACACTCCAGAGAATTCCACTTGCAGAACAAATGACAGCTAACAGAAGACTCTACATACTGCCTCAGCATCTAGGTCAACCTTTTACCCAATCCCATGAGCAGAATCTACTATAGCTTAACAAATATAAAGGTAAAAAAGCCTCTTATATTCACAAAATGCAAAACTCCCCTTTAGTCTGTTTTTATTTGAATTTGTCAAGTCAAACTAAACATAGTTGTAATGTTCAGGAATGGCATGACTGTCTTGACGACTCTGAAATGGAAAGCATTTAAAAAAAGAAGTTGCAACATATTCAAACAATATACCGTCCCTTCACTTAAATTCTTCAAAATCTTTGCAAGGGCAAAACCTATAGGAGACCAAAGGAATTCGGCCACATACCAAGGAGGGTTGTCTGACTTTATCGTGCATAGATCTTTGGTAACTGAAACCCCTGAAGGATGTGGCTAATTTAATGGAAGATCAAGGATCACCCTTCAGCTTTTACACATGATGGTTAGGTTACACTGGCTTTGACTGTACATTGCGGGGCAATTACATTTTGATGAAAACCTCAACCAAATGGGGCGAGCAGTACTTAAGCTGCCAAAGCAGATGAATAGACTCTTTGCTTGACGGAGTACAGGATTAATGGGGACATATATATGAAAAACTGACCTTTTAGTGCGTGCACATACATTTGGGTATGAGGAGGGCCTTCAAACTGTGACTAACTCCACCACTTCAGTGACTCCCCTTCCCATGTCAGCTGTAGGCTTATTTCAATTTGAATGGGAATTTGTGAACTTAAATGTATCATCACATAACTACAAATACATACATTTAGGTTCAGTGTCTCACTCGGGGAGGGCGGCACGGTGGTGTAGTGGTCAGCACCGTCGCCCCACAGCAAGAAGGTCCTGGGTTCCACCCAGTAGCCTTTCTGTGTGGAGGGTGCATGTTCTCCCCGTGTCTGCGTGGGTTCTCTCCTGGGGATCAGGTTAATTGGTGACTCTAAATTGCCCGTAGCTGCGATTGGCTGGCGACCGATCCAAGGTGGACCCCGTCTCTCGCCCGAAGTCGATTGACTGCAGCCCCTGCGATCCTGCACGACGGATAAGCGGCTTTGAAGATGGATGTTCTCACTCAGGCTCACCTACTGATTTCTACCTGGATCTTGGAAACTAACCAGAGCAAAATAGTTTTTTCCAGGCGCTAAAAAGGATAATTTTAGACAGAAGTTGAATGCAAGTATATTTCTATGACGGGATGAGAAAAATAATGTGTTTTGAACGTTATAACATGCATATATCTTGAGGCAGTAGAAAACATAATATATGACACGCATATGTTTATAAATCTTATTATAATATATACCATATATATATATATATATATAGTATAATAGTATATAATAGTATAAAATGTTTCACGGGTCTTCAGAGAGCAGGAGGCCAACGAGACGCAGAATACCAGGAATCCTTTTCTATAATGTTTATTAAGGCTTTAAATACCAGAAACCCATGTGGATAAATATTTAATAACAGCGTACTGATGTCACTAAATACACAGGGCTATATAGACAGCTTGTCCGTTAGTAGTGGTAAGAGGTGATTAGTATTACAAATGTGTGCCAATAGAAACATTACAATTAAAATGAAGAAAATAGCTTCAAGACAAACTTATTGACAAAATTATTTTCATATTATTTCTTACATTTAATCCAGGCTTGATAACCAAGCTGAGAATAATGCAAGTGACGAATACAGATTTATAGATGAATAATAACCCATTTAATAGTAGTTTGATGGGGTTGGGTTTAGATGACTGAGAATGTATCGGAGCAGAAATCCGCTGAAGGCAACACTTGTCCCTCTATAGTGTCTCAATCATCAATTATTACACTGGATAACTATTAAAACAGCAGCAGTAATACTGAGGAGAATAAAACCTGGCAAACGTTTCCTATGTAATCAAAATAAATAAAAAGGATTTGCTTTTGACAATCTAACAAATTGTAATAGAGCGAGAATCTGTTTCTTCATCGATTTCACTCCAGAGAAACCGCAAAGAGCCGTCTATGGCACCAGGGTCTGGAGATGCGACGGCCAACATAAAGCAAAGTACTGACGGTGAGGGACGGATGGGGACGGGGGAATGGCTAGAAGTCTGTTGAGCAGGGACGTATGGCTTCTGTGGGAGGAAAAGAGAGCCCAGCTCTCGCCGTCATCCTAAATGTCGGAGCCCATCTCAGCACATTGTTTGTCTGATATGTGTGTAGCTAGAGACTCAATGATGTCCAACAGCAGCAGCTGGCTGAGAGACCGCAGGTTTGGGAGCTTGGATACCTTTGGGAGGGGAGGAGAGCAAAGGAGGAAATAAAAAAAATGAGCCATAAACTAGGACAATGAGTCAGTCAAATGAGGAATAAGCAGCACCTGAAGAGGCTCAAAACAAATGAAGATAAACAGTAACAATGGAGCAAACGCTGCAGTGAAGCCGGGTACGCCGCTTTTTGGAATAACAAACAATAATCGGAGTGGCACTATGACCCTCGTGGTGATGAGGTGCTTGTACAGCCGGCCGGCCGGTAAACAGTCTCTACGTAGCAGATGGAAGGGGATCCACGAGAAGGCCAAAGGTGTCAGTGTCCCACAAAGGAGACAGGCCTACAGGCTTAGCTCAGCTGCAGTGAGTGGGCAGCAAACCCCCAGGGCTCTGGATACAAGCGCACCCACCTTAATGAACTGGTGGACAATAATGTGCAGGCAGTGGTTCTTCATGTCTAGAGCCTGGGTGTTATCAGCTGCCTCCAGAATCTGGAGCATTGAGGAGAGAGTATGTTAACAAATGATTCACTCTGCTTACAAAAATGTCTTTGAGATGGGGCCCAACATGAAGAATTGGGTCACTGCTCCCCCCCCAGTGGGTGAAAACACAAATACCTGCAAGACATTCTCCACAGTGACGTTCATCTCTAGATTCTGCTTGCAGTACGCCTGCAGCCTGTTGTTGGAAAAACCGTAGTAATATGGTGCAGCAAACAGATAGCTGTTATCACAGGTTAGGGAATCCAAAAAAACATTTTCTACGCGCCACATACAGACAAAAACAACTTTGCAGTTCTGATGCTTTGAATTTTTTTTAAAAGGTTAGTTGTAAAAAGTGACCAAGACAACTTCTAGTCTGACCTTCAGCACACAGCTGATGTATACATATCTACTCTACTTGGACACCGATCATCCGATGTGAAGCAATGCGATGGCAATGCTCCTGCATTCGACATCGTGCTGCGCGTGTGAAAACGTGACCGGCATTAACATGTGATTCCACAGACAGCTCAACGCTGATGGCTTTTTTGATCGTAACATATCAAATACTTAAAATTCTAGAACATAATCACTCAGAAATACCTAAATATATCGATCTCAGGGTTTATAGCTAAACACAACTTGTTTTTAAGTCTTGTTCATAAACCCGTACTTCTGGTTCGGAGCCCGTTTACAGGTGGAAACTAAACTCGCCAACAATTTCAACAATTCCACACATATCTGCAACAATACGTTTCGAGTTTCCACAGAATATAAGGGATCAAAGCTATTTGGATGTTTTCAGTTTACAGTTATTGAGAAGTCTCCCAGCCACTGGTTGAGACTTTCTGATCCCACTTTGACTCCTTTGAGTTCCCATTTTCAAAAAGCATGTGGATTCTGCGATCATTTATTTTTCTCAACTTTGTAAAAAACGTTCATGGAAAGTACTTCATCTGGTGAGTGAATATAAAGCAGGCTGAATGTGAGAAGGATACAGGGAATCTTCCGGAGGCATGTTGACGTCGCCATAGTAGATGTAACGCAGCATGGACTCAAAGGCCTGCTTACTGGGAACCATCTCACCGATGGAAATATTTACCTGGCCGTCCACAGGCATGAAGGAGCGGAACATTGCCTCAAAGTAACTGCGTAGAAACATAAAAAGGTTAAAAAGAGTAAATCACCACCACAATGTCTCAAAGTACAACGATGAGAAAATAGTAGGTCCCGAAATGTTTGTATAGTATTCAAAATTCATGTTTCTTTAATTTGTCTAATTACAAAATAAAATATTACACCTGATTGAAACCTGATTGAGCAGTCAGGTGTGTTTGATGAAACCTGTGTGGTTCCTACCTTGATCGGGCTGCCAGTATAGCTTGATGAGCGGGACGAGGTTGTCCGTCCAACAGCAGGATAATGTTGCAGAACTCCAGGCCGCCTCCCTCCAGGTAAGCCTTCATGTCCTGGACCAGAGAGGTCCCAATATCCACCGGCTGGTCCGAGTACAACCTGAGCGGAGGCTGCTGCTTTCGCCGCACGATCTCCACAATCAGTGGCGTGGACAGACGTTCAAACTCCTTCGTCATGATCACCTGGTTGAAGTGCGATTCCTTCACCACAAAGTTAAGGCAATGTTCCTACGGGGAGAAATTAATTGTGAGCATGAAGAAAACAATAGGTGGTTATTCTACTGAACTATCCTGATTGAAAGTTCAACACGTGTTGTACTGGGGACAGTCTGAACTTTAACCACTGGAGGGCAGTACACATCCAATCAGCAGCAGGTGTTAAATGAGTCTATAACAGTTATCCAGATGTACCTTGAGTTGGTCCAGTTGCAACTTGTTGGCATTTTCACAAACACTGAGAACATTCTGGAGATCCACAGATGCCTCAATATACTGCACACACAGCTGCTCGAGGCGGGACAGCTTAAAACTGAGGGCCAGTTTGTATACATCCATGATTAGAAGAACGTCCTGCACATGACCTTTGGAGGTAAGCGAAGAAAGAAAAAGAAAGTCATCAGTTGTTCTTCTCTGCTGGAGATTGCTGCAGCTACAGTCTAAAGACTGATCAGAGCGAGCGTGAAGAGAGCAGTACCTCTGCGTGGGTATTGGATCTTGTCCGTGTAAAGGAACTGCATTAAGACCTCAAATGGCTGGGCCTCGGCTTCTCTGATGGACACCTCTAGCATGGGCCTGCTGGCTGCTGGCAGATCCCTCGGACTTCCAGCTGACCCTTCGTCACTTTCCTCGCTGCTCTCCTGCTTGGCCTTCTGCACACAAAGACAGCAGGTTGTTTAACTAGCTACAAGTGCTTCAACATCTTTTTTTAAACTTTACGGTCTATTAATATCTTCTGACAACACCAATAGTCTCAGGGGAAATGAAGTGTGTTCCAACCTGTCGCTGCCTATCCCAAGCCTGCAGGATTTTTTTCCGCAGCCACTGACATCTTGCAGTCACTATGGCGATATGCCCCAAGACTCTCTCCTCCCTCTGTAAACAACCATAACAATGAGTCAAACAGGCCTAAAAGTCATCTTAGTTTGGTAATGTAAATGTCGCCCATAGGCTTAGTTCCCGAGTATCACAAACTTACCTCGCCCAGAATAAACTCCACGTCACAGAACTGACGATTCTCCCACAGTTTGCCATAATCCTCATGGAGAGTGCACTTTGGATAGCAGGAAAACTGCAAGAGAAAAATATAGATATTTTTAAGCGCTGTATAACTTTTAGTTACCCTCCGAACAGGCTTAAAAGCTTACTTTAGTCAGGAAAAGTGTCCAAGTGATCGCATTTCAACAAAGCATTGTTTTGACACCAACCTGGAATCTGTACATCTCCCCACTCCGTACGTTGTTGTCCACAGTTCCTCCAAAGATGTACATGGCATCTTGAATCACAGCAGCAGCATGGAAAAGTCTACCGCTGGGCATCTGAAGGAGCAAAAGAGGGTTAAAGTCATTATGCTTTTCACATATTTGTGGTATCATTCCGCCACTCCTATTGTCTATTGGTAGTCTTTTACCTCACTGTCCATGCTGGGATGGATCACCTCCCAGCTCTGAGAGTCCACGTCGTAGCAGTGCAGCTCGTTGGGCAGGGTGTTGTCGGCCGCACCGCCAAACACATACAGGTGACGGTCAAAGGCAACCATTGTGTGGCCGTAACGTCTTTGGGGAGGTGGTGGGGAGCCCCGCAGTAAGTGTTCGGTTGGGATCCGTGTCCACCTGAGAATAATGAGTAAAGTTTATTCCCATGTAACACTGGACTCGACAGAATCAGTGACTGAGGTAAATCACGGACACAAGATGAATGAGTTCTTACATGTGGCCCTTGAACTCAAACTGGAAGAGGTTGTTGGTGATTTTGGCTCCACTCTGACCAGAAAACACAAACATCTTGTTCCTGCATACGGCGACAGGAAAGTTGCAGCAAGATGGAGGAATCTCCCCACTCTGATCAATCTGATGGACAAAAAGACAGAAACAGAGATGTAAACACAAAGAGTACAGTGTTGGTGAGCGTTGTGTTCATAATGTATTATACTGGCCTCTTCCCAACAGGCATGTTCTCGATCTTGTAGATTGATGGTCCACATGTCATTCAGCCTGCATGCAAGGGAAAAACCTGCCATTATTGTATGCAGAAACCAAAGAGTCAGTTGTTACTAAAGAAATAAAACCTTAAACATACCTGGCATTCCCATCATAGCCAGCAAATATCCACAGTTTATCACTATAGACCGTGGCCCCGTGTGCAGATCGAGCCACTGGTAAGCTGAAACAGAGAGCAGGATAGATTAAAAAACAAAATGCACATAGATTTTAAAAGGATGAGGTTGATCTGAACTGATCCCCATATAGACAGTATGCCCTCATCATCCATCCCAAAATAGTTATGTTTCCATGTGAACGAAGAAAACAATATCCCCTGCTATTTACAGCTAACAAGGCCATCTCACACCAAGGTATGTTCTTAACATGCTTCAATTTGGAAGCATATTCATTGGAAAAAAAACAAAGAAAATTGTAAATGTGCAGTGTGTTATGTGCCGTTAAATGAGTGATTTTACTATTTAAAAAAACAACAACCAAAACATACATTTTTAATACTTTACCTGCCCTCCACTTTCCATTCGGTCCACTGCCCCGTTGCAAACTTGTACTCAAACAGGTCATTTTTGTTTTTTAGGTTTGAGTTTGAGTAGATGTCTCCAGTGTAGCCCCCTGAAAAATATCAAGCCCATCATTATTTCATCGATATCTCCTTTGTTTGCACGTTTTGCATGAATGTCATTCAATTATGAGGAACGTAGGTTTATAAAACGTTACCAAAAACAAACATGCTGCTGCCATAGACCACAGCCGAATGATGATACCTGGGAGCAGGTGGAGTTCCAGTGGTGAAGGCCCTGCAGTGAATATACCACGCAAAGGCAATAAATCACTTTTCAGTGACTGTAACTCATTTCATTTAAAACGGAATAGTGCATGAACGCGAACGTACCGACACCACGAGCAGTCCTTCACGTCAAAACGGAGCAAGTCGTTCAGCATGTTCTTTCTACCAGACGACAGGAAACGTGAGCGCATTGTCACGTGGTGGACAGCAAGTATGAAAGCGGCTCGCTGCGCCAGTGCTACTCACCCATTGTCTCCCCCAAACACGTAAATAGCGTCTCTGTATGCCACGACAGTGTGCTTACTGCGCCTGGACAGAGCGGGGGAAGTTGGGGGTGAATGCGCGGCTGTGCAGACGTGCGATTCAAGCCGTTGGAAGCCACTGAAACTGCACCTACTCATCTGTCAACATGTTACCTTGCGCCGACAAACTCATCACACGGAGGCAGTCGTCTCCAGCGGTGAACGGTCTCAAACGGGCCAAAGTTTAGCGTCAAATATTCCACGCTGTCGGAGCAACTGTGGTCGAAGTCAACACTCGGGGCCACTTTGGTTGATTTTAAGGACATCGTTGCCAACTCATCCGGTTGAATCGCGTCGTCAGGGCCACTCGTCCGCGGTCACCGCCGCGGTAAACGCCATCGTTGGAAGTCAGTTAATAGCTGCGTGTCCCTGTGGATACAAAACACATCCGCGTTAATTGCGTGAGAGTATTATAATATTTCTCGGCTACGAGTTAGCAACTCGCGGTGCTAAAAAAAAGTGAGCAGTGTAGCTCGCCCCGGCTAGCTATCCACCTAGCTACATGCTAAGCTGCGAAACAAACGCAGCTAACGGTTATAGACAACTGACCGGCAACGGGCGGCTGCCGACGTTAAACACAAACGCTCTTATCCGGTCCAGTGCGTCAAGCTTGCGAGCAAACGAAGCGAATGAGTCCGCAACAAGTCCCTGGCGACATGGCTAACGTTTAACTAGCAAAACAAGACCTGTCATCGGGAACTACGCCCCCGGGAGGGAGACCAGCGCGTCACTTCCGGTCAAAATAAACCACCCAAAGACATGTGGATCATCCGTTTCTCCTCTATAAGTTCCAGGCGTTCTCTGCAGCTCTGAAGGAAATAGCCGGAAGGATTGTGCGCAACCTGGCAACAGAAATCCTTAATATGTCTTATTTCTGCTCTGTAGTTATTATTTATTAACTACTTACTAAATTTACTATTACATCTTTAGATATTCTCAATGTATAGTGTGGTCTAAGTTGTCTCAATAAATGATTCCATCTGCGACAGTTTATTTGAGTGAGTGTACACTTTTGATGTAAGAGATATACTATATATATATATATATATATATATATATATATATATATATATATATATATATATATATATATATATATATATATATATATATTATATCAACATCAGTATAATCTGTTTGCAGGTGAAGATCGCTAACTTTTGCTCAATGCACAGGACAACCTGTCACTCAAGTCAACGAGTTCAAACTCAGTTTAATATGACTTGGTTTCGGTTTGTTATAGTGATACAATAATTTGATATATTTGTAACCAGACAGCAGTTTTGGTTGTACAGTTTTTATAAACGGGATGCCGTATACATTCATGCACAATAAACCACAAAAAAATATTGCTACTTTTTATACATGGAGTAATATAAGGATGGAACAGTCACCCACTGACAGCAAATGTCTGTTTAATGAATCACAATCATCAACATATATGAAATGTCATTTTCAATTTATTTTGAGGATGAAAAGAATCAGAAAAATATATGGAGGACAAAATCAGTAAATTATAGATACATTAATATATAACCATAGCTATCAATAAATAGATAACCTGGATGAATAAAAAAGGAAAAAATATATATGTATGGACATGTATCAAAAAGTAATTAGTAATACAATGCACAATACTATATTAGTGAAATATATTGTGAAAGTATTGTGAAATATATACTTCTCAATACAATGGATAAATACAAGTTTTTCATTTGTATTCTTTTCAGTACGCTATGGTCACAAGGCTGTGCAACCACATGCTGTTGGTGTTTAACACTGTTAGTCATAGTGATCTAGACATGATTTACCTTATTTGGCTGAACATTTTGTGATTCACTATGCAACAATTTTTCACCACATCGTCATTGCCAAATCCATGGCGAGGGCGAACGCCAAAAGGAGGTTTATGAAGTGGTATCAGGATAATTGGCCAAAGAAGCATAAATGTTATTTCATATAGCACAAAAGTCATTGCGCAGTTAGTAATATGGCATTAAACAAAAGTAACATATTATTGCCCATTACAGACAGAGCTTTCAGAATGTAGCTGCTGAAAAAGCACAGGTGTACAGTAATAATAAGAATAACAACTATTGCTTTGTTGGATGTAGTAGCTCCGGAAACGAAGCGATCATTAGTGTCATTAGTTGAACCCGGACGTGCTTTCCCTCTTATGAAAAGTATTAAAGGCAGCCATATGAAGGTCCGTGTTTGCAACCCTATTATTTAAATTATGGCTGATTTTGTCCTCCACAGACAGTAAAGTGGGATATATTTCTTAAATTCACATTTTTCCCATCTCTATTTCAGCCTCTTCAAACAGAACTTCTTTTGAGTCTTCAAACAATCTTAAACAATTTGGCAGGGAAGGCAGCATTTTTGTCTTAATTCTATATATCATATATATATATTACGTACTCATTTGCTGCATTAGGTCAGAGAAAGAATATAGGGTAAAATATTTAGCCTTATGTGTGTGTAGTAAACTGGTTCAGTATTTGTAGATTGGGAGGTCTACAGTATTTATTTTCAAAGACATTATAGCACACAAACAAACGAGATGCAATTAAGCCGTTGTGTATGAATTTCCTCCAAAAATGGACGGGTCATAAGATTGAAAAGGGACATATTTGTACGAATTTTCATTTATCAGCCACACAGTCAGATTCTTCTTCTTTGAATAGAGTCTGTCCGAGTTGAACCTCTTGCTCACGCGTCTCGTCACCAGTTGATGACGTCTCGAACGTGGCCCCACAGCTTGGTGATCCACAGGTTGACTCCGAGCTCCGTCAAGTACTGCAGCTCCGGCATCAGCATCTTTCGGCACAACTTCCTGTGTGCCTTGTCCACGTTCTTCTTCAGGTTGTAGCCCATGATGGACTTCTCTCCGATGGGTTGCCATGGCTGCATGGCCGTCTCCTGGATGCTTCCGGCCTCTACAGCTCGACCCCCCTCGATGCAGATGGACGCCATCTCTGCGTTCTTTCTCCTGAGCTCGGCCACATCCTCGGCCATCTGCCGCGCTCCATATGCATCAACTTTCTTCCAAAAAGTCTGGTTGAAATGCTGGTACAGCTTCCAGTCCACAGCGTTCCACTGGAGAGCCTTGGCCCTCAGCTGGGGCGTGAGTTTAGACACAGTGGACCCCTTGCGGGCGTTGAGCTTGAAGAAGAGCAAGTCGTCCATCTCCCAACATAGGGCCTCCTTGAGCAGGATGAGCGATTCCTCAAAGTATTCCACCAACATGACCAGCTGGAAACGGTCTGTGATGGATTGGATTCCCTCTTCTACCCGCGGATCATCCAGCTCCAGAGTGTTGGCCTGTCCGAAGTCAAAGAACAGCAGATTCTTGAGGTAGAAAGCGTTAAAGCCGTCTGGATCAAAGTAGTAATGGGGGTCGCGCAGAAACTCAGTCAGCTTGTCATGACCTGGTATCTTCCAGGTAAAAGGCGCCAGCCGGCCAAAGTAGTGGAAGGATGACTCAAAGAGCTCCGCGGGGTCTCGCAAAATGGTGATGTAGGAAGTGTCCGTGGGGAGCAACTTGGTCACCTCGGGTGCATTGAAGCGCATGTGATTACAGATAATGTTGAAGCACATTCCAGGTCTGTAGTCTTTAACCTGGGAGCGCTGGAACAGCGACGGATAGAAGAAGTCGTTTCTGCTGTCAGGGAAGGCAAATTTGAGTCGATGCTTCTCCCCAAAGCGGAAAAGGATGTTGAGGAAGGTGCTGCTGGCTGTTTTGTGGGTTTTCATGAACATGATGTCCACCCTAGGAGTGCAGGTCGGCTCAGTGGTTTGCTGTGAGCGGTTGGTGATTCGTTTGGGACGGAGCTGGGACGGACGGTGGGCACAAGAGTAAGGCACTGGAACCCTACAGAGAACCATCAAATGATCACTATGCAAATGAAGGGAATGCAGCAAACGATCACAGTACTGAGGCCAGATCACAAAAATACACAATGTGCTGAATGAATTTGAGGCTGTGTGTTTTACATTGTGTGCTGAGTCTTACTCCGGATGGCTGGAAGGGATCTGAGCAGAGGAGAGGCAGTAAATCAGGATTGTGCAGCTGGTCAGGAGGGTTCCTAGAACCAGGCCTTTGCCCGTGGACCTCCACTGCCTCCGTTGCTTGCCAGCCATGGTTCAGCAGGATGTGCGGGTTACCTTAAAAAACACAGAACTTCTACATCATCACCATCGTCATCATCGTCACTGTGGTACGAATGTTCTCCCAGACCTTTTTTGATGCTCTGAAAGTATAAAGAGGCCAACCTCTGTATTGTGTTATCTTTGTTACTCAGAGGCAAGCTCGGAGGACACAATGTCCTCTTTGAATGATTTATTCACATGATGGCGTGGAAATAAATTAAAGTATAAAGTGACCCGTACCGATTACCATCTTTGTTCTCTGGTTTCTGCTGGAGCAGAACAAAGAACAGAGATTACATAAACGTGCATTTGTAGAGCAATCCAATGCAATAGCATGAAAGTGTAACATAAAAGTTATGAGGTGGTGATTTAACTATTCTGTTATTGAGTTGCCATGAAGTGATAATTAAAGGTTCTCACAGCGAGGTGCATTATGTTTTGACACAGTTTCTTGTGAATGTACTTCAAATGCTAGAGTGATTTATAAAATGGCATGGTTGTGGTTTACATTGACCTGATGTTACTCAGCTCGGCAATAAAATAAATAATGCATTACTTTGGAGAGTGAAATTGTATCCCCCCTGCAGACTGCCGTAAGACGAGCTTCCTGCTGACAGCTAACAGGTAACAAAGAGGCACTTGGAATTTAAAGCATTATGTAAACTAATGTGACTCTAGAACAGAGACAGCAGTGTTTCACGAGTTGCACTTTTACTGCTGAGTTTTGAGCAAAGAAATACAGACATATTTAGTTTTAATAAATGCTTGAAAATTATATGTCAGTGTAAGCGTTTTTATGTATTTTTATTCTTTTTTTTTCAGAAGACAAATTGATGAATTTCCAAAATATTTTACTTCTCAATTTCTATCAGCAAAAAATAGCCGTGAGCTTCACGCACGACAAGAGGGACCTAATGACTTTAAACTGTAATGAAAAATGTACATTCAGCTTAGGTAAAATCTTATTGTTGTTTGGTGGATGTCTTAAGCCGTCGTACTATTTGCTCCTCGGTCCTCTGAGCTGTAGAGTAACATTTTAGGTTCAATGTTTTCATCAGAGCGTTACAGAACTCCCCAAACACAGCTCAGAGTCATTTCTGCTCTTTGTCTGGACTGAAGGGACTATTATGGAGGCGTGTGAGGGCCCCCTCACACCCCTCCATAATAGTCCCTTCAGGCCATTCGGCCATCAGAAGCCACTCTGTTGCGAGACATTTGAGGACAAGAATAGTTTCATGGTTTAGCCTCCAAACTCAGGGTTACATTTCATGTCACATTGCTTTTACTCCTGCTTCCATGGTAGTCGGCAGTAACCTTCAGACCCATCACATTGGAAAAATAAATGGTTATTTTTAGTTTTTACGTAAAAGGTTCCATGTGAACTCAGTGTTTGTCCTTGTGGATGTGGATCTTTATTGATTACAATTCCTTCCTAAAGGCCTTTCTATACTCAGATTTATTCTTTTGTTTTCTTCTGTAAGCAAGTGCTGTTATTTTAAGAGTCAAGAGGACGTTTTCTTGGTCTGCATTCAGATATCTGACAGTGTTGGTTACATGTTAGGTTTCAACTATCTTGTTTTTTTAAACCAATACTACAGAGAATAATACAAATTAGACTAGAGTCCGGTTTCTTACCCTCATGCATAAGTCCAAAGAGAAATTAATAGCAGTGTTTCTTGTCCAACTCCATTGTCCTCTTCCAGTCCCAGATGACTCATTAAAATTGGTCCCCTTCCTACAGCAAGTCTTACGTCTGATCTGGTCACACACATACTGCTGAAGACTCGGCTTCGTCCTGCACTCCCCTGATCACGTGCACGGTGCTCACTCACACTTGTTGCTGCTCATCTCTTTCTCCCTGCACCAACATCCGATGCCTCAAGCCACCCGCTGAGTCCCTCTACTTCCAAGTCCCCAGACTGATCTTTCTGGATAAATCCCTGGACGCCTTTGACGTCAGTGTCTCTGTCAGGGGCGTGCACTTGTCAGTGAGTGTAAATAAGAAGGGGAGTGAGACAGAACGGAAGAGAGGCTGTGACAGACCCCATTCTGTGATTACACAGAGGGCTATTGATCACTGACATTGGGGTCTGAGCAGCAAGCTGATGTGGGCTAAACACATGTCATAACATGCACAAAGGTACAAATTGTAACAGTAGACCAAAATCGGTCTGTATTGTCTAAAATGCTTATTAGGCAAGCGGTCTACAGATTTTACACAAAAGATTAAACGTTTATGTGAACTGAGCGACGACTACAACCAAGACAAGTTTTTTTTTTAAATCAAATATTTTCTTTTTGTATATTTTCTGTAATGGGTGTGATAAAAGCTGCTAATAGTTTAACTCTGCTCCATGTAGTAGTGGATTGAAGTGGATGATGGCAAGTTAAAAAGGCCACTCTCAATGCAATCTATTGTGCAAGATCGCCGACATTTCCAGCGACAATGAAATGAACATTCGACCCCGAGCAACAAGTTCATTTCTCTCTGCCAGGCAGGATGGAGCCGTATGCGCTCAGAACGTTTCATCCATCAACCTCTCCGCGCCTCCAAGCCCCGGTTCCTGGAAGGCGCGCTGGATCGGTGCTGCTCATCCCACACATGCTCAGGCACACACTGCGGCTTTTGTTGAGCTGGGTGCGTCTTACACTGCGGGCGCAGTGTGCCAGGCGAAGCACTGGACTGGGTGGGCATGCGTGGAATGTAGATCAGTGAGAAAGAAGGCTGCGAGTGTTGAAACGGAACGAGGCGACGAGAGAGCGGTGCACAACTGTCCCGGCCTTCGACCCGGCCGCATCACAGCTCCTCCGTCAGCAACTCCTACGGTCCGTAGGGAGGACAAATAACAGACCAGCGCCTGAGCCCACTGCAAAGAGGTGTTTCGGGACAACCTGTACTTTCACATTGTTTTGTGTATATCAAAAGTGACAGACGAGGTAAAGTTACACGCACACCCTTGGGCGGCACGAGGAACCATTACTGTTGTAAGATCACAAATAAGACAGAAGACTCTGGTTTTACTTTAATACAGAGTTTCAACAACAGATTCTTCAATAAAATGTAAGAAATATCTTGTGTAATGTAGAATACTTGATACAAACACAAAGTTAAGTCACTTTTACATTAATAATTACACATTCTGCATTTCAGGTTGAAACTACGCAAATGGTGCATAGAACTCAGAAGCAGAGCTCTCTAGCACAGCTACAGGCTTTAGCACATGTTGACCTGTAATCCTCAAGAATATAATACAGTTTGTCAAAAACATCATCAGATGAGTCATTTTCTGGTCTTTTTCTTGCTTGATTTTTCTGCGTCATCATGGGCCTTCCTCTTGGCAGTCAGCTTGTTAGCCTGTGAGGAGAGAGAGTGGAAGCAGCGGTCAGTGAACTCATCATTGGCCTTGGATGGATTCCACAAAAGGCAGGTGTAGATAGTGGCAACAAAGGATCCCATATGAAAAAATAAATAAGAAAGTTATCTCCACAAAAATGATGTGAATGTGAATCCATATTCAATCAATGAAATAGAACAAACCTCTCGGATTTTTCTCTTCTTTCCAAACATGATCTTATCGTAAAGGTACTTCTCCCTTTTCTTCATCATCATGATGGCCAGACGTTTCTCTTCTGCTTTCTCCTCCTGCTCCAAGCGTTCTAGGTTGTCTACTTTCACTTTACCAGCTGTCACCTTCACAGGCAGAGACTAAAAGAAAGACGATTGATGAGGTTTGTATAAACGGTTGGTAAAATCTGATCGCAAGGAGGAGATCGAAAGGGTCTTACGTTGCCCTGGGATCTTTGTTCTTCCATCTTCTTCAGAGACTTCTCCTCAACCTTGTCCTCATCTTCATCTTCTTCCTCCTCCTCCTCTTCACTGTCGTCCTCTTCCTCCTCCTCTTCCTCTTCCTCCTGGGCTCGGACTGAAATAACATGTGTTCATTTAAATCATCATGGGCCCCATCCTTGCTATGCTCACTGTCACTCAATGTTGCAAAACAGGGATGTTCAAGCCTTTTCACCGAGCGCCACACAAGTCAAAATCGAATGTAGGAAACTCCATAATTAAATCTGCTTAAGTTGCTTCTTAGTCGGGATGGTGATCCCCTTCAGCAACATATAAAGCAGGAGGGGGTTTCCTTCAAGCGTGTTATATAAAGGCTTATTAAAACATCAACTATAAAATGTTATCAACTTAAATTGTTGTTAAAACGATCAGTAGGATCATCTTGTCAATTCCATCGGAAACCATCTAAAAAATGTCCTTAACCGTTGTTGTGGTCTTTAGACCAAGTAGGCGAGTGTCAGAGCCGTTTGCAGGGGCGGGCGAGAAGGGTAAGCTACCTCGTAGCGGACTTTTGGGGCCTTTTCTATTGTTTTCTTAATACAGAAAAGCTACTGTTGTTGCTGCCGTTCGTTTAACTTTGTCTTTTCTCGGCTCCTGTGTGAGTCCGATGTTAGTTTTTCTCATGTTGTAGTAATTTATATTCTCATCTTCTGCACAAAACGTTCATATTTTGTGGAGGAGCTGCCTGTTATAACCACCGTCTAGTGGTAGAAATATAAAATACATTCAAGTGGCATGTGGGCCATATTCCATTGTGCAGGCCAGTTTGGACATCCCTCTTAACACAATAAAAAGACAGAAATGCTTGGGTTCACACCCGGTTTTTCTCCTCGCTGCAAGGCCATGATCTTCAGTTTCTCAGGGGGCACGTAGTCTCCATCTTTCTCCTCCACGAAGGGCGAGAGGTGGGGCGGCAGAGTCACTCCGAGGAAGTAGTCTTCCACGGGCAGAAGGATTTTGGCATTGACACAATCATACAGCCACTGAGGCTGAACGTAGTACCTAAAATAAATAGTGTCATGGTAAAACAACGCATATCTCATTAGTATATATGGAGGAGTTTTGTCTTTGTTAAACAAATATGTGACATGTATTCCCTCTATGGTGAGGGGGAATAAAAGCAAAATGAATCAGCAGAGATTTCCTGCATTTAGTGGACTGACGTGAAATGTATTAGTCCTAAAAAGAGCGTGACGTGTTCCACCATTTCAAAGTCAAGAAAAAAAATATTTTACCTGTTGATGTACTGTTTGTCAATGTTGGGTCTGTCAACAATTTGATGCGTGATGGTCTCATCTGTCACATTGTATGTGCTGCCGATGCAAACAGATCTGTCCCAGGACACTTGTCCACCAAAACACCTGAAAGGCAACAGCAGCAGACAGAAGATAAAACAGCAGCGGTGCGTCAGTTTGAGGTTTGTTTCTCATAAAAACTGCCTTTAATTTTTCCCGCCAGTTTCTATTGCAGCAGCATTTACAGACCTGATGAGAAAAGCCAGCGACTCTCTGGGCACTTCTCTGTTGAGGAAGATCTTAAGCCCCTCAAAAAGCTTTTTCTCAATTTCCTGTTGCTTCTGCTCTTCTTCTCTGGCCTCGAGCTTTGCCACGTCCTCCTAAAGAAAAAGCAGTGACAAAAACCGTTGTTGATATTTTGTAAAAGGCTGCAGGATTTTGTAACTTTTATTTTTTTTTAATTTCACAATTTTTCTGAGGAAAGGAGGAAATTTGTCGGAAGAAGAGCACCGCCGTGTCGAAATCTGACCTGCTATTGCTTGCCACTGCCACAAGGGGGATCTCGCCGTCTCTCCAGCGGGGCCGAGATCCTCCTTGCGGCAGCGGCAAGCAGTGGCAGGTTAGTGGCAATCGGCAGTAAGTCAGCGGGGCAGGCGTTACGACGGCGAGCTGAGTGTTCATCCGTGGCAACCAAACTTGTAGTTGTAATCCCTCGTGTCACACCTCTATAAACCATGGCACCTCTGACAAACATAAGAACCCCTCATTCTGCCTTCAGAGGCCAATTTGTTTGTCAGCCGTAACTTTACCAACAATGACATGTTCTATTCCAGGTATATTAATAAACGCAGATAAGTTACGGATAATCGTTATGTGAAGAGTGTTTTTTTACCTCTTCGACAGGAAACTTGTCAAGTTCCGCCTCCTCATCCTCTGTAGAGGAAACGACCTGTGCCAGGGTGGTACTCAGGGCGGACAGTTTCTGCACAGCCAAAAACAATCCATTCAGTGCAACAATCTCGAATTCTAATGTTTCCATGCAAACTCACTCAGCAGTACTGTGACTAACCACATAGAACGCAACCAGTTCAATTAAAGAAACCTCTATGTGCATTACTAATAGTTTAAATAATATTTGTAATAATGTCTGCTCATATGACACAGTAAATGAGTGGTTTAACAGATCCTTTAAAATGGTTCCAAGAAACGGAGCCTCACCTCAAGGTAGCTCTCTGAAGACATGGCGTAGTCGTCAACATCCTCTTCGTTCAGCCCGGACTCAGATTTTACATCCAACTGCAAAAAAGGAGGGATAATATTAACATTGTGGGAATAGTAGAACAGTCCTTTAATCCTGGTAGACAATCATCTTCATTATATAAATTATATATATATATTATATATTTATTAAGGGTGTAACGATTCATTAACTGAAACGATTAATTGATTTATATTCCTGCGATCCAACTGAATCAATCTGTGCTCCGCAAATCGGCATTCCGGATGACATATATCAATTACAAATCGATTGTATCGATACCTGGAAACTGCACATTGGATTTAAGTACAAAAACGGTATGGATGCGTGTGTGTTTGTTTATTTTTTAGCACTTTAGACACGTTAAACGTTACTCGATTCAGTCTGCCTGTCTGTAACTCCAGCTCTGCAGACACCTCAGGCCTTGCCAGCACGAAACTCAGCATCACAGTAACAATTGCCAAGTTTAGCTGTAAAGAAATGCGACCCTACAATGTGGTTGGAAATCCGGGGTTCTGTAAATTGATCCAAACATTGTGTAATTATTGTGTAATGTTTACATTGAAAATGGCACTTTATTCAAATAAAAGGTTAATACATTTGCCATTAATTGTTGTTTGCTTGTTTAGAATATTCATAATTAATTTAAACCTGATTTCCTTACAAGAAACAGGGATCTCGGAAACTTTGCCTGCACTGTCCAGTAAAGTTACTGAATCGATTTCAAGTCACTGAATCGAATCGTTCTAAATTAACCCAGATCATCCATGAATCAAATCAGCAACCATGAATCGCGATTCGAATCGAAGTTAAAATGAATCGTTACACCCCTAATATATATATATATATAAAAAAGTAGACCATGTAGAAAGGAGAGACCCGTGGGATCGTTTCAGAGTCATAGGTACCTTCGGTGGGTAGACCAGGTTGAGGGAATGATAGAGCCTGAAGTTGACGAAGCCCAGCAGAGTGGTATACAGCTCTGTGAACGTTGCCATTACTCTGTAGTCAACATCGGTTGGGTGCTGAAAGGCAAAAAATAAAATTGAACCATGTCTTGACTGTAAAATAATGATCAGTGCGAGAATAATGTTTATCCCTAGAGCACATAAAGACCTCATGGCAGTGAGCGACGGCCTTTCAACCGCTGCCATCTACACAAAAGAGTAACTCTGCTCCATCCGCCATCACAGCTTATAGTTTGTATACGTTTTGTATTTGACAGCAACACTGCTGGTTGTCAACCTTCAGTGTAACCCTTTCATAATAAGTCACAGCTTAATGTTGGCATAATCCCCGAGGACTGCGTTTGATCATTTACTTACATCATGGGAGAATTGATATGGCACCAGCCATGTAATGATCTGTCCCATCACCTCAGCTTGGTAATAGATTCCCTTGATGGAGATAAAAACCTGTCGAGGAGACAAGAGTTTAGTTCCTTACAGAACAGAGGTCAAAGTAAAGACTGTTGCTGAGCAAAGTGGCACCTTTCTGAGAGCACGGGATGCAATCACATAGTTCATCCATTCGACGGTGAGGCGTCTGCACAGCTGGATTGTCTGTACGTGGCATTTTCCTGTCCGGGCGAAGGTGGAGAAGAGGAAGCACATGCAGAGTGCATCGTCGATGTCACGGAGAGCATCAATAAAGGAGGGATATCTGCCACAAAGAAGAAGGAGCAGCAGTGAGGACACAGACTGAACAATGAGGCGAGGGTTGTTACCTTTTTTATTTATTTTTACAAGTAGCCTCCTAAATCCGCTCACCTTTCCTTGACGATGTGGTCCAATTTGTAGGCTGGCTTGTTATCCTTCAGTCTCCCCACAGTGCTGTATTCTGTTCTTCCATAAGCCCTTTTCAGTTTGCGTACAAATATCTGGTAGGATACAATATTTTGGGCATTTCTTACATTTACATTACATGTACAAAGTATAAGACTGAGTTTTTTTCCACCACAGATTAATTATGATTATTCTTCGCTGGCCCATGAGCATCTTCATGTAATTAAGTTGAACATGATGATTACAGAAATAGAAGACGTATGCGTGTGATACCTTGTATTCTCTGAACTTGCGAACAATTGGCTCGTGCAGCAGAAAGCGGATGTCTTTGAGCAGGTAGAACGTCCTCGGGGCTGTAGATCCCTTGTTCACCTTCTTCTTGTTTTTGGGCTCCCGAGGGTAGATGCCTTTAAGGATGCACAGTCGCCTGTGAACCAGAGATAGATTATTTGTCTGCCACATCGCACCCAAACGGTCCGGCTTCCAACTATTAACAATAATATGTATTCAGGAGTAAGTTAGGTGTTGTGACAATGTTTTAAAATCGACTAAATTAACTGCTACCACTTGATAACTGATTAGCTGTCAATGAAATGTAATCTGGTTATATTCTTAAAAATATGAAATTCTGCAGATTACAAAACATATCAAACAAGCAATTGAAAGACACCACTTCGAGTTCATTAAAGTTGAGTAGGAATTTGCCACTCCTTTCAAATGAATAGTGTCCGGATTATTAACTTGTTAAAAACAATTGTTGAAAATCACCTGATATTTGTATAAACTAACCTAAATCTAAACTAAAATCTGTAAAGAGAACGGTTTTATTAGCTACATATCAAATTATTGCCGTCAAACAAGCATTTCCATCTTAATCAATTATTTCCAAAATGATAAATATAACGTTACAATGAACACTTTACTGTCCACGTTACCTGAAGTCCGGGAGGCTCAACTGTAACTTCTTGCGAGCCTTGTTTCTGGTGATGTAGTTGGTGACAGAGCCACTCTCATACTGGAAAACAACCACAGACGACCACATTAACGTGTATTACCGCACATTATGTACACGTTTTAACCGAAGACGCTGAACTAGCTGCAGCTAGCTCCGTTAGCGAGCGAGCTAGCATTACAGCCGTTCCTCGGTGAGTTAGTGGGCCTGAGCTTGACACTAATCCAAAGTCAACTGTTACCTTTTTCTTCAGAGTGCCTCCCATTTGAAAATTGAAGCTGACTCTCCACACAGGTTCGGCTTAACTTAATTGTCGACAAGTTACACGGTTTTCGGGGTAACACAACGCTCGCTACGTCCAATACAAGCAGATGCACGTGTCGCGGGACATGCGCACATACATCACATAGGGGCTATGAAGGACCCGGCTGAGGAGGTGCCCGTTTCTGCGCCTGTCAAAAAAGCTGCTTGTTTTTGCTTATAGCCTACGTCTCTTTTGTGTGTGAAGAGAATGGGCGCACAGTCTATCAGTCATGCTGACATGTCTTGTTACATCTTTTTTTTAAACGAATGCATGCATCATGATGTTAATAAAAATGGTAAATCGCGTTTACTATTAATTATTCTAATCAACATATTTACTATTTACATAATAGTACTTGCATGATGTTAGTAAATGTGTTTCTTGTTGGTCTTGAAGTCCTAAGTGTGGGAACACTATTTTTAGGACCGGCATGGCGAAAGATAAGGTAATGCAAAATGTAGACTTTGCAATATTATTTAATCTTTTTACAAGATTTTACAAAATGCTGAGATTGAGTTTATCTGTAGTGTAGCTTAGGTAAAGAAAAAGAGCAAAAGCGCAAACTGAAATAATGAATGCTCATCTAATAAGCATGAAGCAGTACAGAAATCTGAATAAACCAACATGAATTAGAATGCATGATTCAACCACAGCTGAACCCCACCCTCGTCTCCTCTCCCTTTCTGTTGGTGCCAGGGATGCTTGATAGAGATGCATTTTGGAGCAGAGCAGTAACACACAGTAAGAAAAAGAATACATTGAGAAGAAGACAAGGCTGAGGTTCATACAGAATTAAGACTTCACAAGGACGTAACAGGATGTGCAAAATATTTCACAAGTTCATCATGGGGCTACGTAACTTCATGAAGGAGTATTTTCTTGGTTTTTGGGACTATGAGACACCAAAGGTAATGGTGGTTAAAAACAAAACGCTTGGATTTATATACAGAGGCGTTCAATTTCTTGTGATCACCTATTTCATATGGTAAGCTTAATTTTTGTGTACTTGAATGCTAGTTTTAATGCTCCTTTAAGCATTGAAGAAATATCAAATTAATTTTGTAATTTTGAATTTATAAGAAATGTACTGATTTAAATTATTTTCTCATTTGCAATTAACTTGGACAAAACAACACATAATGAAGAATACATAATTGTCATTTCTCAGAGGAATTTGTTAGTAAGATTATCATCTTATTGTTTGAAATATTGTTACGCTATTTCTTGGATTAGATGTCTTGGGTTTTAGTATGGAAGTGTATCCTATTGTCTTTTTCTTTTGGCTTTAAAATAGATTGCTGAACAGATCGAGGGTAATCTGACCCCTCCTATATAAATCCACTTGAGGACCAAAATGTGACTTTGCATCTGTTTGCTCTACCCTCCTGAAGGTATGTCTTCATAAGTCAGAAAGCCTATCAAGAGAGCGAAACCCGTCCAGAGAGCTCAGTTTACACGCTCATGAAAGGCACAGCAGTTCATGGAGACGATATCTTGGACACTGTGGAGTATGCGCGACCCTCAGAGGTGAGTCCAGAACAAATGCTGTAATACAATGCAGGAAAGTCTCGACAGAGTAAACCCTACTGACGTATAGCATTTTGTGACATTTTCCTCACAGGGTGGTGACGTCATTAGTACAATATTGAGACGAGAAGTTACATATGATCAGAAGCAAGGGACCTGCGCTGAGGTGAGGGGCCAACAAAAGTTTTCTGAAACAACAACTAGTATGCAAGAATGGACAATGCAGTAACGTGTCTTATTTCACTACAGCATTTCAACGTTGCCAATGCTAACTGTACTAGAGACTCTGACTGTGTAAAGGGAGAGGTTGACTTTGATGGCCATGGTACTTTTTTTTACTCCTCTCAAAACACCTTTTCCAGCTTTGTTGGTGTGTATTTGCCACATTTTTATGCTGTTTTAAACACTTTCTTACAGGAAGAAGGACCGGCAGATGTGTTCCTTATTACAACCACACCTACAAAACCTGCGAGATCCAAAGCTGGTGTCCTATTGAGCAATATGCTGTTGTGATGTAAGGCAAATGAGAGATAATCTTCTCCACGTTTGCATGTTCAATCCAGGTTTTAAAAACCAGAGGGAATACGGTGGGGAAATAAACCTGACATATCTCAAACAATTAACAAAAAAGGTAAAGCCGTATAGTCGTTAAAAAGCTATTTTAATGATGTAGGATCAAGAGATTTATTTTCTATCATTGTGCATATTGATGCACAAATGTGAGCTAAATAAACATAAAGACAGCAGTTGACATTTGAAATTTTACTGGATACAGTTGCAAAACTGTGAAAATAAAAATATGTGAAATGTTTTGAATTTGTTTTGCATAACAAATTCAATGAAAGTGAAAAAGATGACATTTTACAAAATGAAAAGGGCCACTGTCAGAGGGCTTCATGGACTATTCAGAAAATACTAAATCAGCAAAAACATTTCTGCTTCACAAAGTACTTGTATTTAAAAAGAAATATCTACATTCTTTTAGTCAGCTTTTCACTTCTGATGAATTAAATGTTATTAAATCTTAAGCCACCTTGAAGTACTCCAATTAAACATTTTGGAAAGGAAAAATAATATTTTGTTGGAATGGCCACTAATTAAAACAAGCCGTCGGTTGGCACTGGAGTCGCCGGAGACGGCTGGGAGGTGCTGGCAGGGCAAAGGGCTTGTAGATGGTTGCAGATGCTAAAACTTGTGCATGAGAAAATTCCGTAAGGCCAGAGACAAAGCCCTGGGTTGCTGAAGGCTCTGGACATTGTTGGGCTGTCTTGGCTGACACGCCCTTTAATGTTGCATAGGGGTTGTAAACTGTGACAATGGACTAGCAGACCGGGCTGAGGGTTCATTGTGCTAAAGGTAATGCTGGTGTGCTGGAAAGGAGCCTCCAACCTTTTGCTGGACCTCGGATTCAAGAGGAGCAGTGCGGATTCTAGTCGGGAAACAGTGAACCAGATCTTGAGATCACTCACAAGGCTACTGTAGGGGTCCTGGAAGTTTTCCCAATCGGTCTTAATGTGCTTTGTGGGTTGAGAAGAATTTCAACTGGGTCCCTCAGGTGGTTTTGTGGGGGGTGCTGCAGGAGTACGAGGTGTCGGACCTGTTGCAACGGGCCATCCGGTCTCTGTACGGCTGCAGTAGGAGTCGTGTTCGTATTTTTTTCGACCCCGCTTATGGTCACGAAATCTGGGCAACAAGGTTGCGGATACAAGCGGCCGAAATGAGTTTCTTCTGTAGGGTGGAAAGAGCTCAGTCTTAAGAATAGGGTAAGTAGCCTGGACATCAGGAGGGAACTTGGAGTTGAGGTGCTTCTACCTTTGTGTCAGAAGGAGTCAGCTGAGGTGGTTCGGGCATCTAACCAACCTAGTTAAATGTGCACATGGTCCACAAATGTTGCTGACAACTTTCAGCTGGCATGGTGAGCAGTAAGCTGAGGTAATGACGTCAACAATAACACATCAAAGAAAAGAGATGGACAAAACAGAAAATGTTCCAACAAGGGCATATTGGAAAAAAATAATGGTGAATATTTAGCTGAAACCACCTGACTGTGTAAAAGAAAAGATGACTCTGATTATTTGATGTCTTCAACAGAGAACCACCATTAGTGAAGGCGATCAATTTCACAGTGTTCATCAGAAACTCTATCCACTTCCCCAGATTTAAAGTGCTACGGTAGAGTAACACACACACACACACACACACACACACACACACACACACACTGAGAGAGAGAGAGAGAGAGATGCAGAAATTCATTAGAGCTCCTTTTCTTGTCTTTGGCAGGGGAAATATCAAAGACGCTCGCAGTAAGCGTGACATACAAAAATACCTCAGTAGGTGTCATTACAATGAGGAGAAAGAGCCTTATTGTCCAAACTTCCGCCTGGGTTACATCGCAGATCAAGCCGGCGAGGATTTCAGTGAGCTCTGCAGGACTGTGAGTAAAAGATGTCTTCTCATGTCCTTTTTTAAACAGTACACACTGACCCCATGATATTTTAAGGATGTACCTGTCAAAATGGCGTCCTCTGTGAGAAAAGATGTGCCGATGTTGTTCAGGGAGGAGTGATAGGGGTCTTCATCAACTGGAAGTGTGACCTGGACCTGCATCCTTCCCACTGTAAACCCACATACTCCTTCCGTCGCCTTGATCTCCGGAAGGATCTGATCAACTCGGGTTACCATTACAGGTGAGCTCCAACACGGACCACTATGTTCAGTATGTTAAGCTGCTTCTGTCACCTTGGCTTTTGTGTCCCAGCCTGAACCTGCATCTCCTGTGCATTTGTGCAGGTTTGCCAAATATTACAGTAAGGATGGAGTAGAGTCTCGGACTCTCATCAAGGCCTACGGTATCCGCCTGGATGTCATAGTTCAAGGACATGTGAGTGGAAACTCTACCAATTCTTTCCACTTTTCACGGTCATGACGTTATTTACATGTGATTCATTTTTCAGGCTGGTAAATTCAGTCCCATTCCAACCATCATCAGCACGGTGACCACTATTACTTCAGTTGGGATTGTGAGTCATCACCACGTTGATCCCTTGTTTTGACTTTAAAGTTAAAGCCGTTGTTCTTTGCACAACCGACTAATCCTTCTCATGTTGTCCGTCTAGTGCACCATTATCTGTGACTGGATCATGCTCAATTTTATTGACAAGAATGAAGTCTACAGTGACAGAAAATTTGATGAGGTGAGAAATACCTCAACACATTTGGGTTTATTGATATTTTAAAAAAGATGTCTAAATAGAATAGCTCAACAAACAATTTTTACAAATGAACATATATTGAAGTATCTAATTGGGTAACGGGTACTCAAGTTGGTGGTCATGGTAGTTAATAGTAAACAACCTTTTGTGTTAATGTAACATGTAACACAACCTGAAACAAAACATTTCCTAAATTATATGCCGACACAGCACTATACTCAAGAAAGGATGTTATATACTGTATATATCTTTTTCATAGAAAAAATAGTGACACCATTAACACATGCCGGCTCAATAAGTGAAGGCTTCGTGTCCTCCGCAGATCACCAAGGAGCCCGCGGTGCCCCCTCCAACAGAGCTCAGCTACATCAACAGCTTCGGCTCCAACCATTCAGACTTGTCGGACGGCGTGCCGCTGTAACGTCGCCTCAGTCCGGTTCCTCCATCAGACTGTAAGCAGTCTGCTGCTGCTGTTAGTGGAACTGAGCGGACCGAAAACCAGTGTCAGAGGAGGCGTCATCCACCAGGCGGCAGATCGTCCCAACGTCTCTCCCTGTGCAGTGGATTCAGCTCATATCGTCCCAAACCTCGATGGACCCCAACATCATTACATTACGTGTCTTTTAGCTGGTGCTTTTATCCAAAGCGACTTATATTACATTTTAGCACGGGGAGCAATTAGGGGTCAGGTGTCTTGCTCAGAGACACTTTGACGAGGGACATGGAGCATCCTGGTGCACCTTCTCTACTCCATGCACCACCACCACCGCCCACATGTGTAACGTTAATTCTTCCTCATTCACTTGACATGACTTGTAGTAACACTATTTTGAAGATGTGCTTATTTTCTAAGTATAAATAGGAAGTAAATTGTTTAATAGAAGCAAACATGTGAGTATTGATCAACATTACAAACTATGCTCCTTTCTATCAAGTGTATTGTCGACATAAATGGCAATAAATGTTTTCTTTCAACGCCAGTTTACTGTGACACATGGACCTGTGCTCTTATAAATTAGCATTATTGCACACTAAACACGTTTGAAGAACAACATTCTATTTTATTTTCTCCATCTTTCAACCTGATGAGCTCGGTACTCCAACAGATACAGGAGGAAGCGGCCAGGAGACACGCAAGGAGAGCAATGAGCAGTAATGTAATAACACTGCATTCTCCTTCAAATGGTTTCTGTAACAAGATTGTAGGGAAGAGTGAATCCATCTGGATGCCTGAGAGCAGTAAAAATGTCAGTGGTGGAAAAATGACTTTGGATCAAGGTCTATTGGATCGTTATCTACCACAAAGGGTGGAGCAGCACTATGCAGTCAAACGTCAGTTGTTTACAACACGTAGAGACACACTTCCGTGTGTCATCCTGAATGGCAGTGGTTGTTTTAATGAACTCTGTAACGAAGCTCATGAACTCCTGTGTATGGTAAGATGTTTTATTAACAATCAAAAATGTAAAAGACGTAAGTCAGAGGCCCTGAGTGCTCCTAGGAACGTCCTCCCACATGTCGGGCATGCGGCAGCGAGATGCTTACTTGTGCCGGAGATCAGTGTGGAACGTGATTATTGTCTGGGAGACATCATCTGTGGGGCAACGGAGCTCGAAGGAACAACGTGCGTGCGTTGGGATCATGATCAGACTGGCGAACACTTCACTTGAGCAGTACAAACATAAATTTGCAACAGCACTTTGAAATTTTGCCAGAGAATTTAGATGTTAACGCCAGAAAAAAAAATGTTCAGAATTGCTTGATAACTCCTCAAACATAAAACTCAAAAACGGAGGACGTAAAATGTCTTTGATATTGCTGCAGAGGGAAAACAATTGACAACAAAGCAATTTGATATGCGAGCAGACAAAATAAACGAGGGTCAAGTGAGAGGTCACGAGCCACATCCGACACATTAGCAGCCAAATGAGGAGGAAACTTAATGGAGGTCCTTTGGGTCAATGGCACTCAGTGTGTTTGTGCTTTTTCCTTTTTAATTCACAAAGTAAAATAAGTGAGCCTTGAAAGCATTCGGGGGTCACAGTTAAAACACAATATTTATTAACAGTCACAAGATAAAAAATTATTTTCTGGCATAAATCAAGACCTCAAACATATCTACAAGCCACATATTTCTCCTTAAACCCGTCCTGAACATAAACCATCCCCAGCGTAGGAACTGACATCCTTGAGAAAGACACAACAAATGCACATAAAGTGTCTAAATAGAAGTTGCACAGGTGCAGCTGGTGGAGGGTGTGACGTCTCACTCATTGAGCGTTTGGCTGATCTGCGGGCTCATAACAACCACCCAGTCAATGGTCTCCTCCAGGAAGCTCATGCTGTAGTGGGACGCTATGTTGCGAAACACTTTGATCTGCTCAGAGAAGCTCTTTTTAGAGGGAAAGGAGAGGGGGAAAGAAAACAGCCGTGAGAACAACGTTGAAAGCGAAGAATGACATGTTTTAATCACTAAATAAAAAATGACGTGCGGAATTTGAGAGTAGGAACCTTGATTGGAAACGTGAGGTGAAAGTCTCCGGCACATCTGCAGTACAGAGGCATGTTCGCCTCCTTCACTCCTTTACATTTTGTACACACCTAAAATCACAAAGGGTTTTATTCAGCAGGTTCAGCTAAATAATTAAGTGTTGTATAACAGATGTAGACCATTAATGAATTCCTCACTATCAACATTTTAAATGATTTTCTCTCCTTACTGTCCCCAATCCCCAAATCAGAATTTTCCCCTCACCAGGTCCTGCAGCGTGTAGCTCATCAGTTTCTTCTGCAGAGCCTCCACCAGAGCCGTCTCAATGCACTCAGTCTCATACTGCGCCTGGCAGTTGGAGCAGAACCACTGAGGCAAAACGGATCCATCCTGAGAAGAGGAAATAACAGTTCATCCACCTGGAATAACGAGTAAAAACGGCGTCGAATGCAACGTCAGCATGTCCCGATCCTCCGCTCACTTGTGCCACAGATGGGTCCTTGCAGAGGTCAAGGTCACGACAGAAATTGCATTGGTGGCAGATGACCTCAGGCAGGACGTAGGAGCTGCAGGGGTCACTGAACTGGGCTTCCCCCGAAAACTCTCCGACGTCCACCAGACGCAGGAGGTCCCTCTTCAGCTTGTTCACCTGGTTCACTATGTTGGAATCAAGTGAAAGGACCTGCACAGCAAAACGATGGAATTGCCGGACAATGAGAGGAAAATCATGACTGTGCGATACGTGAAAAGAGCTTTGTAAGCTGCAGTACTCTGACGTACCTGGCAGACATATTTGATAAACTCCAGAGCTGGGTTGTTGAGTGGCAGGTGGGATCCGGGAAGGACAGGGAACATCTCGGAGGCCTGGTTGACATTCCTGGTGCCAGTCACCTTCTTCTGGATTTTTTGTGTGATGGTGAAAAAGTTCTGTGTCAGCTCGTCGGACACATATTCCTGGGAGAAGGAAATCATTCCTGCGGAGGAAGAAAAAAAAGAAAGAAATCTGAGCGATCAATGGATATAAATACAATTAAAAGCTTCCCATCATACGTGCAGAGAAACGTAAAGGAACTTTTTAATAACTGAGGCTTCTTACCAGGAAGCGCACTCAAATCCCCAACGGCCTGCTGGGAAGCCTGGCTGCCGCCACGTCTCTTGACTGGCGTCGCTCCAGGAGCGTTCCGCCTCAGCTCCTCTTTCATGCTGTGATAGACCGCTGCAATGTAGGCTGGCGTGGAAAGTTTGTGGTTAAGAATTAGTAGAAAGAGCCAGAAAGTCCAAACAAATCAATGAGTAGTAGGTTTATCTTTTACCAGAGACAATCATGAGGAAGTATTTCTGGCAGGAGGCAGTTTGGGGCAGATACTGCATGATGTTCCAGTTGCTCTCAATCAGCTCCTCCACCTCATCCCTATCACCATCATCTTCCTCAGCCTCTGCTCCCTCATCATCCTCATCATCACTGCCCTCATCTCCCTCCCCGGCGCTCTGTTTCTTCTGTTTGGCTCCTACCTGGAAAGACAAAGAAAACACGGAGGAATGAGTTTGTGTTCTGCTTCTTTAGTGAGTGCTAATATGTTGTAAGGGAGAAGTTGCAGTTGGACCGACCTCTCCAGACACGATGCTGGAGGGCAGTTTGCCCTTCACGCCGCCGTAGTTGGACGGATCCATCCACAGCAGGAACTCCCAGCAACGGGAGAAGGAGATGGACAGCGAGTGGAAGATTTCCCTGGAGTGGATGCTGGAAGAGAAACAGGCCATGATTACAGGATTATTAGCAATATTGGCTAGACATGGCAATATTTTGGTAACTAAAATTACCATACATAATGTCTATTGTTACAATATTGATTAGATTTAGTCATTTTAATCAATCCGATTGCATTAATGATTGACAGTTTTCACAATGCGGAGATCTATACATAAACTCTCTCCAGACGTGCAAAGAGTAACAGTCCAACCTGTTGGTGATGTATTCCACATAGCCGATGGCATCATCTATCCTGCGTTTCTTAGTGCACAGCATGATCCTGTTGAAGTTTCCATACACCACAGTGGAGCCGAGACGTTTGAACTCTGAAACCAACCTGACAGCAGAAAGAGAGAGGGATTAATAAAAGGATGACATTGATGGCGTTATATTTATATTAATAGTTGTAAACGCATCAAAGCAGCATAAAAAGAGAATCCAATTGCAAAACCAAAACGCTCTCCTATACATTTGTTTGCTGATACATTACACATGAGATTTGCCATTATAATATACAAAACATTTTTTTGTGGACTCACTGTAGAAACACCTTCTTCATCATATTGTGCAAGGTGCGGTGCAGCGCGGGGTCATAGAGCAGAGAGCTGGGGGAGCGCAGCCAGCGGTAGAAGTGCATCACCTGGTTGTCCGCGTACACGTTGTGGTACTGCGTGATCTCTCTGACCCAGCCAACCACCATGCTCTTCAAGATCCTGCTCGCGGAGCACAGGGGGGATTAAAACATCACTTCGCTTCCTTTCCATTCCTGTGTTGTTCGACCATATGCACATGGGTTTAAATAGCAAAACACACAGAACAGATGTTTACACACCTGAAGGTGTTGGAGCAGAGAGCAGTTTCATCATAGCTAGCGAGAGCGCTGGCGCCCTGGTTGCCCGACATCATTTCCTCCAGCGAGGCCTGCTGGATCACATCAAAACTGACGCCCAGGCTGGCTCCTCCCTCCATGTCATTGACATGTTGTGATTGGAGGATGGTGTTAACTGCCAGGCTCTGCAGGTCCAACTCCACACACACTGAAAGAAATGGAAAACATGAAGACAGAGAAAGACGCTTCATAGGACGTGCAGTTGCTCTGTAATCGTTCGCGCCTTCTTGGATGCAGATAAAGTGTGTTCCTTGTGTGTGAGCACCTGTGGAATAGCATCCTTGAGAATTTATCTCCACAGAGCCCCGGTCGTCGCTTTCCATGACCAGTCGGCTGTCGTCGGCCTCTTTTCCTCCCAGGTCGGGCCTGGCTGTGGGCGAAAGCCACATCAGATGGTTGTGTTTCCGTAGATGTCTCGCCAGGAACAAGTCTGAGCCGAAGATGGACACATCCTGAGGCAAGTTCCCCACAGGTAAGTGGTAATACCTGAGAATAAAAAAAATCAGAAATTACAAACTCAGAACAGACTTTATAAGACACTCCAGCAACAAAGGCAGCATGCCGAGGCGTCGGTAGAGAACATGAAGGGGCAGTCTTGTACCTGGCCATGTCGAAAGCCTGAGACAAGCAGCTGTCCAGGTTGAGGTAGTGGCGGATCATGCGCCGGGCACCGTGGCGTTGCCAGTCCAGCACATTATAGCTGATCTCATCGACCACGTGTACCGGAACGACTGGGAACTCTTCGAGCACCGGCATCGCCGCTGCCAGGCGCCGCAGGTCCCAGTTGGACTGCACGGCGATGAGGGTGGGGCCACGGCGCTCGTCCTGTCAGCGGACGCTTGGTTATATGAACTGAATGAGCAGTATTGGTGAATGTAACAATTAGAAGGTAACTACGTATATTAGCAGCTACAGTGGGTTTTACCTTGTAGTTTAGCAGTATGCGTTGAAGTGCGCGGTTAATGGCCTTTGCATCGTTTTCAGCCCGGACCTCAAAGTTGTGTTTCTCTGGAGGCAGGAGGTCTTCGCTCGTCTTCTCCAGGAGAGCAGTGCGCTCCGCTGTGTAGAGGTTAGTCAGGTTGGGCATCTGGTTGCTTCTCACCTTAGGAGATGAAATAAAGACCGAGCTTAAGGATTGTTCTCTGCCAGCTGGAAGGAGACATTGATCGATATGCCTTATTTGCCTTATTTGTCTAAACTAAACAGCAAGAACAATCTACTATCAAGCTTTCAGTAGAGCGGCCGTGCACTTGTTGGCGCTGGTGGGATCGGACACGATGATCGTGGAAGAACTGAAGAAACAAAGTACTTACTGTGTCCAGGACAAAGATGCTGGCTTTGCGCTGAGAGGGGATGAACAGGCCAAACAGAGCCTTGTGACCCTGACTGTGATGATACAGGTAGATGTGGCGAACACTCCCTGAGAAGAGAGAGGAAGCATTGCACTGCCATGTTTAGGGTTTTACAGATTACAAGAGGACATGAGCAGGATCACATGATATCAGGGCAAATATGAGGTAAATGGTAAATAAAAAAAACAATTAACTAATTCTGATATCCTTTCAAAATGACCAGCGTGCCAGGGGGGTCTCACCAGGTTCCAAGTAGCTGAACTGGGCTAGAGACCTCATCTCCAGATGCTCCAGGTCAAATGTGTCAGCCTCCCTGCCAGCCAGATCCCTCACAACGTGTTTATTGATCATACACACGCATCCGAGTCGCACCAGTGCACGAAACAGCAACGGGACCTGAAATGAGATCGAGGCATTCTGTTTACCTGCGTAAACACACACACTCATATAAATGAGTACACACACACACACACACACACACACACACACACACACACACACACACACACACACACACACACACACACACCTGTGTTTCATAGACTCCTTCAATGTCCGGGGCAGACAGGTCAGCGTTGATCTCGTTGATGTGCTCCTGGTACATGTCTTCTGGTACGCAGTACTCATAAAGGTAGTACACAATGTTGGAGCGAGGCAGCATGCGGTTCACCTGAGGACAAAAAAGGGGATTTTTGTCAGCATATTGGTAAAAAAGGCAGCGCATTTAAAAAAACGTTTTTACAGCATTTCTTAATGCTTGCCTTTTTGTATGTGGCTCCCTCCTCCTGTTTTGGGACTTTCTGATTGACATAGAAGACCCGAGGAATGTTGAGCTTCATGCAATGGAGGTCATTTCCAATCACAGCCCACAACTTGTACAGACCAGGGTGACTAGTCTCTGCAATCTGAGGGACGTGAGAGAAGATTAGGGGATGGTCTTTTTCAAACCGAACGAGAATGGGATGACTTCACCTAACCTGCACAATTTGCCAGGGCATGTCCAGGATGCTGCGGGCTGTTCTGCGGAGGAAGCTGCCCAGGCCGGTGGTGGGGCCGTCTCGGATCACTCCTCCACCTACAGTTTGAGCTTGCCCATCCAGCAGCCTCCTCCTCTTCTTTCTCTCCTTCCTCTGTCTCAGCTGCAGCTCCCACTTCTTTTTGTGGTAACGCAGCCACACTAGCCTCTCCTCCTGTATACACACCCAATCCTTTCCATTAAAGATCTGTAATATAACTGATAGTACAACGACAAATATTCTCACTACATATTCACAAGGACCTGTGTCTTTCCCAAAGTTGGGGGCGGCCCCAGGATCTCTCTCCAGGACTGAGTGAGCTCGACGTCCTGAGACTCCACCTGGCTGTCCTCTCCCTGAGAAGCCCGCTTCCGCTTGGTGGTGATGAGGATGGCTGGCTGCAGAGGCCTGGCCGGCATCCCAAAGTCCTCTATGTCCGCAGCGTGGCCTGCTCCAAGAGGCTGATGGGCCACCTGAGAGAGAAGAGTAAAATATCAAATGAAATAACTGTATGGAAGGGCAGCAGCGTGGGCTTACGCCTCTAACCGGAGGGACCTCAACTCGCCACACATCTGCACATCTCTCGAGGACTTTGTTGAGAGTTTGAAACAACATTTTGCTGTGAGGTGAACAAACCTTTCTCTTGCCCTCGCTGGTGAACAGCTCACTGATTTTCTTCTGCTTGTAGATGTCATTTTTCTCCAGGAGTTTCTTGTGAAGCCAGTCCGGGTGCCTCACTCTGGGCACCGGATTCTTCACCTGATAAACAGAATCAATTCAAATACGATCGATACATCGGCCAACGACAGACTGTGAGATCAATTAAATGTAATAGATTTTTACCTGTTGAAGAGCTGCAGGGATGGTGATGATTTTCTGGATGGCACTCCCCAACCGCTCTATGTAATAACCCCAATCAAGAATCTGAAAAGGCCAAACCAACACACATTTGAATGTCACACAGAAAACTAATAGTGAATTCAAGTGCATTAAATGTTTGTTTACAAACTCACAGAGCGGATGTCCAAGTCGTGCAGGCTGGGCATTTTCAACCACTTACGGAGGAAATGTTTTGTCACACTGGGCTCAGCCTGGAAAATGGCGAGCGGAATGGCTCTGATGGAGGAAGACAAATCAATCGGTCTGAAGTGCTTTTTTCTTGTGGTATCACAAAGTGCTTGTTCACCACAAGCGCTTTCCATCTGACAATTTATTTAATCCTGCCAACATCAGAAAATCTAATTCCATGATCTGCTATTATCATGGCAGTTTCTTTTTCAATCAAGATGTTTTATCTCATATCTTTGGACTAACAGGGTGGATAGAGATGGAAAATCCAGGAGGAGCATGTAGCTAAAGCATGTGAATGAAAATGTATCTTCCTCGTCATGTTGCCACTGGCATTACAGGGACACTTGAGGTTATTCATTAATTGATAACATGTACGTTTCCAAATATAATAATTAGGTCCAATCGTCCAATTTTAAGGATAAATAAATCATTTAAAAATGAGACAACCAACAACTGCTCACATCTGGAATCTGTCTCGCCTTAAGCCGGTTTGCCTTTTATTTCAAAGAGATACTGTCCCACCTTTCTGTGACGGGCGAACCCTCGGGTTTCCGAGAGATGACGTAGCGACAGCTCAGCCCAGCGTCTTTCACCATTTGGTCTCCCAGGAACTCAGCCAGTCTCTTAGCTGTGCTGATGGACAAGGACTTCTGCTCCCCGTAGTCCTCCAGCTTTCTGGACATTGAGCGATTCTCTGAAATCAGCTCAAACAGCTCCGTGTCTGGCATGTTGGCGGCCTGCAAAACCAAATAAATCAGACCATGCTTTTCTCTGCATACGATACGTTATTCTCAAATATTTACTGGACCAAACCACAATGTGAATATGTTCCATAAGTAGAATGGTATTTCATACATTTTGATAACAGATTCTTACCTTGCTGTACAGAACGTCCAACCAGTAGTCAGCCACTTTGGCCACGGAGGCGTACACCTCCTCCAGAGTGGTTCCTTTGAGGAAAGCCTCAAAAACTGACGACTGGAAGATCTTAATGAGCTGGAGCTCCCCCCTCCTCTTCACTTCAAAACCTTTCAACTCAGCCAGAGAGCCGTCCTCGTTAAACACAGCGTACCTAAAACCAGCGGCGCAGAATTAAATCACAGCCAATGAACATTCTGAAATGAACCTTTTCCTCTTACCAACGTTGGTAAAAAGAAATGCATCAGAGCAACCAGGGAAATGCTACATTGAAACACAGATGAACACAATGTCCTAGAGCGGTACCTTTTCTTCAGCTTCTTCCCTTCCTCCTTTGAGGCCGGCAGGATCATGGCGAGGTACGGTCCGTCCACCTCAAAGAAGATGCTGTTCTCCGACCGGATGTTGTAACTGAGGGACGCCGGGTCCACCAGCTCGTGGTACTGATCGTTGGTGAATCCCTCCTTCACCAAAATGTTCAGCATGGCCCCTGGGTAAGAGATGGTCACTTTGGGCTTCTTGTCATTGCTGGTTTTCACCACAAAGTTCTCCGGGAAGGTGTTGGGCAGGACACACCAGATACCATCTGTGTCCAACTCGAGGGGCCTCCTGAGCAATAGAAGGGACAGATGTGATGAACGCAAAAAAGTGTCTGTTTTTCACATACACACATTAGAAAGCTTGCCGAGGTCCAACGCTTTGTCAAGCAATGGCACGCTGCTCGGAGCAAAGTCATGCAACCCTAATATTACCCGCAACAGACAGCTGTCAGCTACTAAAGTGAGCCTAAATGTTGATCTGTTGAATCTGCTGATTAAATGTTTATTAAGCAAGGTGGTGGATCCCTTCCAGCTCCATTTTTCCTCAGTCGGAGCCGACTTCTCATTGACCCAAAGAGATCATTTCTACGACGAGGTATCTCATCATCGATGAGAGACTCACCCGATTTGTTCGATGAGCTCTCTGGCCTGAGTGATGATGTTGGCTCCAGTATAGCACACAATGCCAGCCATCTCCATGGAGTACCAGCGCGCCCTGATGGAAACACAAATGCAGCACAGACGTAAGAGCTCACGTAGTGCAAGGGAGAAAATGTTGGATGATTGGGTTGTTTAAAGCTCTGGTGGACTCCTACCCTTTCCTCATGACGTAGCCGTAAAAAGAGTTTAGAATACATTTGTGAGCCAGCTGCAGAGAGTCGTACAGGATCTCCATGTTTCTGCAGCGCTTCATCTCAGCAGCGTCTCCGCTGTCCTGAGCAGCGGACAGTTTCTTCTTCCACACCTGGAGCGAAAAGTAGCGAGTAGTTAAACGCAAGCAACGTCAACGGGCAAGAAGAAGTTCACAGAGTGCAACTAAATGTGTGTCAGTGTTTAACTGAGCTGTGAAAAAACCACAACATTTGGAACAAACAGGAATATGTAATGAATTTCAGATAGCATACAACATGGAGATGATTGTCATTTCATTCAAATGTAAATTCACAAACGTACCTTGTGAAGTCCTTTGAATTCATAACGTCGATCTCTGAAAGCTCTCACAGTGTCGACGTAGAAGGAATTTTCTCTCTGACAGATGGTGGTGACTCGCTGCTCCCGCTTGGTGACGTGGGTCTTCTTATACGCCCTCTTACAGTAGTCTGAGACCAAGTCAAAACGGGTCAAGCAATGGTTTGGAAACCAGTAACTTAGAGCTCTTATAGACCAAAAGAAAGGAAAAAAAAGAAAGGAGGTACCTGCCAGGCGTTTCTTCTCGTGTTTGGCCTGCTCCTCCCTGTTCAGAGTGTGGAAGGCCCGAGGTGGACCGTTGGGGAAGAACGGCGGGAACTTCTCAGACTCCAGTTGCTGCTGGATGCGGTGGAACTCGCTGCGGCTGGCGGGCACTGCAGGCAAAGGGAACGCTGCAGATTTATTTTACTGTAATCAACCCCACAAGAAGAGATCAGAAGCACCGTCGGCTGGGTTTGAGTCCTTTAGCTTCCCGGTATAATAACTTACTAATTTCTCCTCTCCACTGCCAGGCCATCCTCCTCTGGCAGGAGGCTCCGGGTTTGTTAAAGTCACACGCAGCACAAGTGGCTTCATCAACCATCGCGGACGGCTGCAAAAGTAGAAGTATTGAATTCCATGCTTTTCAATATTTTTCATCCAAAGCATCTTTCCTTTGCGTTTACCTGCAGGCGGTTGGTGAGGATGATATTGGGGTACATTGCCCCAACGTCCAGATGGTAGATAAGGGGGCATTCAATCCTGTTTGGGACCTCCTTCAGGGAAGTCAGCTTATTTTTAATCTCCTCACACACCTGGGAAAGAAAACTATATTTTAGAATTTCAAAACAAAAGGCCAAATTGGAGAAAGTTTGCAAAAATTGTTTGTAAAACATTAAAAAAATGTTAAGTCAACATACCTCATTAAAGTTAGTGACTTGATCCAACGGTATTTTCTCCTCTTCCTCGATGGCATGGCGCATCGTCTTCTCCACTCTTTGCAGCAAGAAGTCAAATGCAGCTGGGTTCTGTGGACACATGAGACCAAACTGTCAAAAACAGCAGACAGCGCAGTGACGCACCAGCTGTGAGTTGGACTGAGACGCACCATCTTGAAACGGCAGGGGATGTCACTGCGAAACACTCCCGACTCCAGCGCCTCCACGTGACCGCCCACGTAGGTCTCGGAGTCCATGACGTGGCCGTCGTCTGTCAGTTTGTTAAAAACCTGCTCCTGCTTGTTTGGGAAGATGATGTTTGCGTGGAAGGCCTGCACCATGAGCAGCGCTTCGCAAAGAGTCCCAGAACCTTTACGCAGCACCTGGAAGAAATACATGATTATTTATTTTAAAAGGCACTATAAATATATGTATATACACACACATGTAAACACACAAAACAAACCTCATCCGGGTCCATGGGGATGATGGTGCACAGAGCGAAGATGAAGGGGTGAACATATTTCATGTACAGGTAATAAGTGGCCACGGCATCGGACACAGAGTAGGTAGCTAATGTCTGACAGAAGAGGAGAGAGGGAAAAAGTAAACAAACAAACACTCGAGTTGTTCATTTCCCGAGCTGCCCCGTTAGCTGAATTCGTGTACCTGTGGCTCTTCAGTGGCCATGCGGCACATCTCCTCCGGGTCCAGCTCCACCGGGTCGTAGCCCAATTTGGCCTTTGCCGCCGCCTTCAAGTTATGACTCCCCACCGGCAGATAGCTGTCTCTCTTCACCCACCTGACAACACGTTGCAGTCGGTGTGACGTATATTGAAATGAATCCCTGTGTTTACGTTTAAGGTACATGTCATTAGAATGGAGTCAGAGGGGCTCACACCTTAAGCAGTCCATGTGGATGGCCTGGCTGGACTTGTACTCCCCCTGGTTGTCCTTCTGGAAACCGATCTCCCTGTACATGGTGCGTCCATGCAGCGCGGCCCGCGTCTCTATGAAAGGCCTTGAAAGAGTGGAAGCAAAGTGAGAGAGGTATCAACGTACACAAGGGTATTTAAATCGTTTCACAGAAACAGGAAATGACGGCTCACCAGTCAAAGAAGTCTCCGTTGTAGGTCACAAAGATGTTTGGCTTGGTTTCTTGAACGTGATCAAACCACCTCTGAATGAGAGCCGCCTGTGGCCGAAATCAGGTCACATGTTATTCCGCTGCCGCAACCAGAGTCACATTCACACTGAACAAAGTGCCACACTTTTGTTTTTACTCGAAAAAAGATTTACGTTTTTTTTTTTTTTACTATTCACTCTAAAAGCTTAATTCTCTAATTTCCACTTTTCCATATGTGGCTGATTAAACAGCCTCATTATAAACTGGGCCCATGGCTGGTCACACAGATTTAAAGTTGATGATGGCACTCTAGTTTATGCACCTCGTCATCCTCGTTGAAGACTGTGAAAGGCCCTTCATATTCAGGTTTGGGAGTGAATTCAAAGTCTTCAATGTTCTCAGAGACGATCTCTCTGTTGGTGATCAGAAACCCCTTTAAAAAGCCAAACACAAAGTCAGCGAAACTTACACTGACGTTAAAAACAGAATAATATATAATCATAAATACAACCAACCTGTCCGTCAATCATGTACGAAATCATCATAATCTGATCGCTCTCTGCGTCCGGGAACTTCAGTGGAAGCTTTGTAGTCTCAATGTCAAAAGCCATAACAACAGGGTCCTAAAAAACACAAACAACAAAACCGTGCTCTACTGAAGTGGCTTAATTAAAAGGCAGATGTTGCAACATCATCATCATCATCCTCCTACCGGTCGCTCTACAAGATCGTCTCTCCGAACAATCTCCGGTGGGTAAGCGCTGCCTCTGTATCGGACATTGTACCAGTGGGCCTGAGAAATAAAAGGACAGAGGAGATCAGAACGAGCCGGCGTACGTTCTGAAACGTCGCGGCGACAGGACTCCGTCTTCACCACGTGGATCTTGAGGTCGATGGACAGCCGCACGTGATAGGGCACGTCGTGCTCCCTCATGTCCACTATGTTGTCCAGCTGGTCTGAAATACTCCTCGACGTCCCGTCTTCATCGGCTGAGGTCACGTTGCCTCCTGCTAAGGCGCTGTGAAAAGAAAATCCCCACCTGGTGTCAGCAGATCAATTACAAAGAGGGAAGAACCGTGGATTAGAAGCTTGCGGGGGGGGCAACGGTACCTCGAGAGCATCGATGTGTAGGAGTCATTGGACTGCTCCCGCTCTCTGTTCTTGCGCACTGCTGGATTGATCTCACGCTTGACCTTGAGGAGGTCGTCCAAGGTGCTGAATGACAGCTTGATGTAGCTTCTCTTCAGGCCGACTAAATGATTGGGCTGGGGAGAACAGGCCGGCACTTGAGTTCCTTCTTTTGTCATGTGAACCGCTTTAATAACGGTAAAGGACCGTAAAAACAAAAGTCTCACCAGGTCTAGGTCCTCTTTTGAGAGAACTTCAAGCTTTGCCACCTTGCCGTGAAACTTTCTCGAAAAGTATGAGATGACTTCTCTCTCACAGTTCTGGAAGTAAAGTTGTGTTTAATGAAAACGTTGTTGTAAGATGATTTAATGGCAGAAGAACCAAGTGACAAACGGTGTCTGACCTTTTTTGTAGCGATGTAAAAATACGGCTTGAATGGAAGGGCCACCTGCAGACAGACACACATTAAGAGAGATTCTAAACGCAAAAGGCACATTTGATTGTCCCGTTATCATATTATTACAAAACAATTGCCGCCCCAGCACACCTTAAACCTGCTTCCATCTTCCTGTATGAAGTAATAGTCCACAGCGCTGATCATCCTCTTGTCATCGTCCAGGATCTCAGCCTAAAAGTAGATAAGTGTCTCAATTAATACCAGACATTCAAGGGGGGGCCAGAGTGTCACTGAGGACACACTCACAGGATGCTTGTTGATCAGCCCAGCCCCGATTTCTTCCCCCGGTTCTCTCATTCTTGTCAAAACCGAATCGGGGCGTCCATCTCGTCTGTGAACTGGCAGCGCTCCAGCCGCTTGAGGGCCGACATCGCGGCTCCATCGTCCCTGGTTCACACACACACACACACACACACACACACACACACAGACATGACATGACATGACATGACATGACATGACATGACATGACAGCTAACGTGACATCACGTTACACACCAGGTCCATCGTGTCGTATACTAGTTATGAAGCATCTAAGTTACGTTATTTGTCAGAGAAAGGGTGGGTCGACTCACTGGTTCTCATGGTCCCCTCCGCTTTGTCCCCGCTGCGCCCGGTACCGTCCGCTGTTTTGTAGAACCATCTTCTATCGAGGTCCGCGACACGAAGGAATAAGCCAAAGTCCCGACACGTTTGTCCGAGTCCTTCGGCAAAACCGCATTTGACCCGCTGTCGCGGTTATTTCGCAGCTTTGCGCTCCGGTTTTTCCTCAGTGACGCTGCGCGTGTTTTCTTAATTTGGCGCGTTGTGGAAGTTGCCGCGAGAGCAGCGCAGAGAAGACGATCAGAGATCGTCTGTGAGGACGCGGATCGCTCGGACGGGAATCACGGCTTCGGTTGTGCAACGTGAAGCCTCGCGGGCTTCAAACCGTGGACGACTTTGCTGGACGATCTTTTATCGATGCGCATTGAATCCCTTCAAACGTATCGGCCGCCGAATAAACATTTAATCAGCAGTGTTGCACACGTAACAGTCCCCGGTCGTGCCGTCCGGCCATGTTTCTCTCAACCCGCCGAGACGCTCCTCGCATAGACGATCTTCGCGGGGACCCGCGCGCTTGAAGCCCCTCCCCGCGCACGTTTACCCCGCCAGCGAGGAGGAGGAAGGAGGCGGCGATGTGCAGCGTGGGGAGGCTGGCGGAGAGGTAGGTGGCAGCGACGTTTCCGGCTGCTGTCACGACATTTTATTTAATCGTCGCGGCTCGCTTTGAGATAAGTCGGGGAGTTAATTAGACATTGGCGGTTAAATCTGAATAACTCAAGAGTTAAACGGTTCGGCTGTCAGCTAACTCGTTAGCCTGGTTTGTATTGCAACAACAACAACAACAACAACAACAACCCCACCAACTGGAGGGCTGCCCGTTATCTGTGGCGGTGAGAGTGATTCAACGATGCTTGTGCAACTGAATACCACTATTAAAATATATCTTACATAATTTAAACCCCATTTTTATGTTATTGACACGAGTTGATTTAATCTTTGATTTTAAAGAGCTTGTGGATTTTCTTTTCTAGCAAAGAATGCTGAAAGAAAGTGGATGCCGGTTTTCAGAAAGCACCAGTAGCTGGTATGTGTACAGGCCTATATTTAGTCTGTGACATTCTGTGTACATTCACCGGCCACGCCGACCTAAACCTACCAGCACATGGAAGTGCCCACACTACCTTTCCCTTCTTCTTTCATTTAAATCATCAGCGCTGTGAGAAATAATAACTTCTAAAAGAAACTCAGAGGGGATTTAGTGTTTAGATAGAAGTATTTTCTTTTAAAAAAGGCATATGAAATGAAAACGTGTTGATGCAGCGAGAACACGAAGAGATGTTTTTGAATATTATGGCCCTTTTGAATGGCTGAGCCTTTTTCTTTGTTTCTGTCAGTCAAAGTGGCTCCAGGGGACAAATGGCTCCTTGTCTCTGCAGCGAATGACCATTCACTTCATATTTATATACGTTTGGTTTTTATTTGTAATGCAGAATCAAGCTGTGATAAGGCCTTCGTATCTGTTTCACACAGACATTACTATTTTCCATAATTTGTATTTATTAATTTGTGGGACTTCAAATGCTCATTAACACTGTGTGTGTTTGTGTGTGTGTGTGTGTGTGTGTGTGTGTGTGTGTGTGTGTGTGTGTGTGTGTGTGTGTGTTGACCTTTACCCCATATGAAACAGCCACACTTTTTCTCACTGCAGCTGTTGCAGACGGGCTAAATACTGTAAACTGACGGGCAAAGGTAGCTAGCCAGACCCTACTTGTTTAACTATAAACCTAGTGGTCTTCATTTCAATCTCTTGTTGTTAAAGTTGAATATAACCCAGAGTTCTTATGTGACATTACCCAGCATGCCATGACCTCGGATCACCTTGAAATAAATGTCTTTAATCTAGGATAGAATACACAGCCTTATCACTAGGAGTCACTTAATTGAGGTCCAATGTTTGTTTTAGGCTGACATTGATATTTGAGAATAAATCATTCACGCAACTTTACACGTTTTTCCACATAGTTATAATAAACAATCTGTTTTGATAAGGATCTCTTGAAAGTGGTTGTTGACATTTTCCTCCATAGTGGACAATGTATGCACTGCTGTCACTGCTATATAATATTGTAATATGTATTATATTTTTCAGTCAACATTTACTTTTTATGTTCCCGAACCATTTTGGGGAAAAGTGTTCTCCCATGATGATCTCTTTAAATTGTCTAACTAACGTGATGAAATGTAGATTTTACTGTAATCTCTCGTATGACACATAATATCCTCTGTCATCTCGTTGCAGTCTCAGTCTGTGAATGTTCCATTTGGCAGCTTTGGGATTAATCCTATGGATATTGTTGCTACTGTGGAGGATTAATACCAAGACGGCAACGATGCCCGTGACTATAAAGGACTCTCCGCCTGGCTGCGGCCCACCTGCGGCCGAGGACGACGTGCCTTCTGCACGATCCCCTCATCCAGGCGAACATTCCCCGTCAACGGTTCCTGCTCCCCCCACACGGCTCGAGGGCGACGGCCCTCAGGCCTCTGCGGGTCTTGAAGTTAAAACCGTGGACGGCACTGGGGCTCTGCCGGCATCCTCTGGGATAAATGCAGAAGAGCCATCATTGCGGATGAACACCCAGAGACCTTCCAAAACCAGGGCGCCGATGCTGAGCTCAAAGCTTGGGGCAAGGGAACGCCTCAAGTTCATTCTCGGAGCATCGGAGGACAACTCTTCAGACGAGGAACTCCTGGTCGCTAAACCTCCGAGCGGTGCGTTTCAGCCGGCCTCCTGCGGCCCCAGAGAGGCCGGCTCCTCTGGGATGAAGTAAGTCTGTATGGAATTGATTTAAGATCGGCTGTCTAGGTTCAGGGCACGTTTTTATCGCCTTGTATGGAAGTTGTTGCCGCACGTTTCTTCAGAGGGTCTAACGTGAAGTGGGTTGTTTTGTTGCCGATGATTCATTCTCTTCAAAATATGTGGGTCAAACACGTGGCCACGTTAGTGACGTGTCCTTACGTTCCTCCTCGCTCTGTCCCCGCACGCTGTGTCTTATCACCTGACCGGGTGGGGTTGACCTGCGCTGTTGTTGCATACCAACCCCCCCCCCCGGCTCTATTATTGGAACCAGAGTCTGCAGCAAACGACTTTGAAAACTGTCTTGTGAGCACTATGTCACAACTCGGCAAACAAATTACACTCGTGAAGTGTTTTAGGGTTATTTCCAGACCCGGCGGTGGTGTATGATGTGGATCTTATCAAAGAGGTTGTGCAGTGGGAAGCTATGTGTGCCAGCAGGACTTATGGGGAGCAGCAAGGTAAGAACCTTCCAATCTTATGATGCAGGAGAAGATGCACTTGTGAAAAATGTTTAACGGAAAACAAATCTTTTTACACACGTGTGTACAAAGGGTTCAGCCTTTTCATGTACAAATACTTTGGCTTTAGATGTTGCTTGCATGTTATATGGTTTTCAGAAGAAGTAGAAGCAAAACGTTTGCCCCGGTGTTGGTGTTTCCTCTTTGTATATTTAAAAGAAGGAGCCTGTGATTTGCCGCAGGGATCTGTAGATCATTGTGTTGCCAGCGTGGGAGGGGAGAGGGGAGGGAGCACATGAGAGGACACACTTTGTAGAGGTTCCTTTGTTTTTTTGTCTTAGATTTTAAGTCCCAGTTACACCACTAAAAAGGCTTTAAAGTACATTGTGTAATGGAGGAAAACAACTGCGAGGGTCCGAGCTTGTTCCCATGTCTCTGAATGTATGTGCTATTTAAACCTTCCGCTCTGTGTAATTTGATACTTGTGCTGCGTGGTTTTCTATGTGCGTGTATCACATGCTTCATCTTACAGCTGCAGAAACAATGGAAACATGCTCAATTACTTCATACAAAGGTAGAACCTCAAAGACGTGTCTGTGAGCAGCGAGTATCGCTCCTATGCTCCTACTGTTATATAACTGAACAGAGCTGCTCTTGGCACACAAGTATACACAAGTAATAGAAGGAACTAGGAGGAAATAGAAGGGAAAAAAAGACATCCGACCATGTGTTTCCTCGATGAGGGAAGTGTAAAACAGACCACGATCTGGAAAGAAATAAGCCAACAAGACTATGTCATGTGTGTAAATAGATCTGTTGGTTCAGTAAAGTTTACTTAAACTTCTGCCTCCATCTTAAAGGATTAGACCGTGGATAAACACACTGCATGACACACAGCTCCAAAAGCTGATAGAAACTTGCTAGATAGCAGTGGAATCTCTATTTACTGACAAGTAAATAAGTATGTTTCTCCTTCATATACAAATCTGCGTATCGCTAACTGATGCAATGCAGGTATTTCTCAGTGATATCTCAACACGGCTCGCGGTGTAAATGCAATGAGACATTGGAATGAACAAGGTTGGAGCCAGCTAATTATCACAGTACGTAATATTATCTTCAGTCATTGCAAAACATGATAATCCGACATGTCAGTAAAACAGAAGAGATAATTCACTTTGGTGAATAAAAATGTAGCGTGTGATTATTTTTATTTTGATTTGATTATTGCATTGACAGCCAGATAACAGTGGCACAATTTATTGGTCTTGGAGCCCGTGAGGAAACATTTGTAGACCAGAGTGTGAACTCTATTGATAATTATTATCGCTGACTATTATGCAAAGAAAACAAGCAATAGTCCTTTGTGATTATAGTCACCTGTTAAAAAAACAGTAAAGTCTGTTAAACATTTTTTACCGTGAGTTGCTTCCTGTTAAGAGTGTCATTTAGAAGATCAGCTTGAAAACGAATGGACCGGTCCACAGTCTCTGCGCCTGTAGAGGAGAGAGAGTTGGGTTTGTGTGCTGTTTCAGTGCTGTTGCTGCTATATATTTTGTATTCATAATTATTTGTCTCAACTTTTATCCAGAGCGGAATACACCGAGGTCATTTTGCTTTGCTGTGTAATGGAAGAGACAACTAACCATGAGCTCTCCGCTGTAGGCCTAGTATGTCTGGTCTTCACTTGGTGAAAAAAGGACATAACCACAGGAAGATGGATGTTCAGAGGGACTTCGCCGTGGCCTCTCCTGCGGAGTTTGTTACCCGATTTGGTGGCAACCGCGTCATCGAAAAAGTAAGAACGAAAATCCTGTGTTTTCTTTTTTGTATTATTCCTATTTTTAGATGCATGGTGACCCTTGCAACATGCATGTCTTTCGTAAGGCACAAGTGGTTTCTGTTTCTCTTGCAGGTGTTGATTGCTAACAACGGTATAGCTGCAGTCAAATGTATGCGCTCGATTCGCCGCTGGTCCTACGAAATGTTTCGTAATGAAAGAACGATCCGTTTTGTGGTCATGGTCACCCCTGAAGACTTGAAAGCCAATGCAGGTCATTATGAACACGATACTTATTCGTATTATCCAGCAGAAGATATCTCCAGTTTCATATTATTGTATATTATTATTAGTTCATAATCCTATCATCATATGTGGCTCCGGTGTCCCTTATAGAATACATTAAATGCAGACCACTATGTGCCTGTTCCCGGTGGGCCCAACAACAACAACTACGACAATGTAGAGCTGATAGTTGACATTGCCAAGAGAATCCCAGTGCAGGTACTTGTTTTTGTGTTATCTCTGGTCTGTAACCTCTGTTGACCTTTGACCTTGCCTACCTGCTTAATGACACGTGTGTATCACTATTAACAGGCTGTCTGGGCTGGTTGGGGTCACGCCTCAGAAAATCCCAAACTGCCTGAGCTGTTGGACAAAGCAGGAGTATTGTTCTTAGGTGAAAATCCATTTTGAAACCACAGAAAGTTTGCATATCAATCTGTGTCATATCTTATTTCTAACTGACTGCGTTGCTTTCAGGCCCCTCCAGTAAGGCCATGTGGGCTCTTGGGGATAAGGTGGCTTCTTCCATTGTGGCTCAGAGTGCTGACATTCCCACACTGCCGTGGAGCGGATCAGGTGACCATTTACCTCCTGCGCGGCATCACTCCACATGATGCATAGTATCACAAACTCTACTCTGTTTGACAGTGTTTTCATCTTTTCTGCATATGTGTGTGGTCTTGCTGCAGGTCTGACAGTGGCTTGGGAAGAGGACGACCAGTTTCAGGGCAATATGATCAGTGTTCCTCCGGAAATCTACACAAAGGGCTGCGTTCGTGATGTAGATGATGGACTGGCGGTAAGCATGTCTGGACAAAGTCATCATAATATCTTAACATTTGCTTTTGTTTATCATTCCCTTTCACAGAACAATCTATTGGCTAAATTACATTTCATGTGGTGTTTCTTTGCAGTGGGCTGAGAAAATAGGTTATCCGGTTGTCATCAAGGCCTCTGAAGGTGGAGGTGGAAAGGGTATCCGCACAGTAGAAAATTATGAGGACTTTCCAAGCCTCTATAGACAGGTTTGCTCTGATTCATACCGCATTTTCACACACAGCTGTATGAGTAATTCTGACAGCTAAATTGATTTGCTTTTTTGTGTGCAGGTGCAGACCGAGGTGCCCGGCTCGCCTATCTTCATCATGCAGCTGGCTCAGCATGCCAGACATCTCGAGGTTCAGATACTGGCGGATGAGTATGGGAACGCCATCTCTCTCTTTGGACGAGACTGCTCCATCCAGAGACGGCACCAGAAGATCATAGAGGAAGCTCCTGCCACCATAGCTTCTCCCTCAACATTCGAGCAAATGGAACAGGTTAGTTTTCTGCGTGTTTTCATTTCACAACGGCGTCGGGTTAAAACTTCTTCTGCCTCCTCCATCTTGCCCAGTATGCCGTGAGAATGGCCAAGATGGTAGGCTATGTGAGCGCTGGTACTGTGGAATATCTCTACTCTGAAGACGGAGGTTTCCATTTCCTGGAGCTAAATCCTCGCCTGCAGGTGGAACATCCATGTACAGAAATGATTGGAGATGTAAACCTGCCAGCCGCCCAGCTTCAGGTAAAAGATAACGATGAAGAATCATACCACAGGAAGAAAGTGACGTAGGAATTCCATCCCTTCTCCTTTGAACTGTGTTTCATCTCCCATAGATTGCGATGGGTATCCCCCTCCATAGAATCAAGGACATCCGTTTGCTTTACGGGGAAACTCCATGGGGCGACACCCTTATTAACTTTGAGGCTCCAGAATGCACGCCAAGTCCGAGAGGGCACGTCATAGCCGCGCGCATCACCAGCGAGAACCCCGATGAGGTAAAGCTCAAGCGCAACGTTTTGTGACGTTCTGTTGATTTGCAACACTGATCCGTCGTCCTGGTGCTCTCTCACAGGGGTTCAAGCCCAGTTCTGGCACCGTTCAGGAGCTGAACTTCCGCAGCAGTAAAAACGTCTGGGGTTATTTCAGCGTGGGGGCAACAGGAGGACTGCATGAGTTTGCAGATTCCCAGTTTGGACACTGTTTTTCCTGGGGAGAAAACCGCGAAGAAGCCATCTCGTGAGCTACTTTTCTTTAAGCCTTGAAGAAAATTCAATGTGATAGGATAGATGTGTTTATCAGCTTGAAATGTTCCACGTTCCTCAGGAACATGGTGGTGGCTATGAAGGAGCTGTCCATTAGAGGGGACTTCAGGACCACAGTTGAATATCTAATTAAGTTACTAGAGACGGAAAGCTTCAGAAACAATGACATTGACACCAGCTGGCTGGATCATCTCATTGCAGAGAAGGTGCAGGTAAGAGACTGATGACTTTGCGCAATAAATCATTATACGGCTAAGTACTTGGTCACTGTTTTTCGGGGTGTTTGTTTGAAGCCACGTGCTCTTCCTACAGGCGGAGAGACCAGACACCATGCTGGGCATCGTTTGTGGGGCTTTGCATGTTGCTGATGCAAGCTTCCAAAAGAGCATGTCTGATTTCCTGCATTCACTGGAAAGGTCAGTAACCACAGTCCCCTCTTATTAATATCTCACTAGAATTCTCTGTTTCTTTATATTTTTGACTTATTAAAAACTACTGCATCCATAGAGGTCAAGTACTCCCTGCAGCCAGTCTCCTAAACTCTGTCAATGTGGACCTAATATATGAAGGAGTCAAGTTCTGCCTCAAGGTATCTGCTTTTTCCCCTTCAAACGTCCCTTGTTTGACTTCCCCGTTTTAACCAATGCGTTATCACTTCTGCTACTTGCAGGTTGCTCGCCAATCCCCAACAACCTTTGTCATTATGATGAACAACTCCAACATCGAGATAGATGTCCACAGGCTGAGTGATGGCGGCCTCCTGCTGTCCTATGACGGAAGTAGCCACATCACCTACATGAAGGAGGAAGTGGACAGGCAAGAATCTGTATATATTCTTTCATGTGTTTGTTTGATATAAAAAAAAAATATATATATATATATATATATATGAACTCCTTCATCCCCCACAGCTATCGCATCACTGTAAGCAACAAGACCTGTGTGTTTGAGAAAGAGACGGATCCCACGATGCTGAGGTCGCCCACAGCTGGTAAACTGCTGCATTACGCGGTGGACGACGGAGGCCACGTTCTTTCAGGAGAGATCTACGCAGAGATTGAGGTGAATGTGGCAAATGCTGGTAAAATAGATTCCTTGAGGCATGCGGTACTTTTGTTCACCGGTTGTTGGCGCTGTGGTTTCAGGTGATGAAGATGGTGATGGCGTTGACGGTGCAGCAGTCCGGTTGTGTCCACTTTGTCAAGCGAGCCGGAGCCGTTCTGACGCCTGGCTGCGTGGTAGCTCGTTTAGCTCTGGATGACCCCAGCAGTATACACTTGGTAAATTAATTTAATTTCTACCACTTAATAACATTATTTTGATGTTCAGGTCTTGACTAAAAAGTCCAAAATGTTGGCCTTATATCTACACATTGAAAGTGTTTGTTGTAACTTCTGCCTGGTAAACCAATCTATATCATTCATCAGTAATAAATATCATTCTGTGTCATTTTTAATCTTTCATTTCCTGCTTCCCCCTGCTGTTATAGGTGGAGCTCAACACCGCCGTATTGCCACCCCAGCAACCACTGCCCACCGTGGGTGAAAAGCTTCACCAGGTGTTTCACTGTGTGCTGGAAAACCTGGTGAAAGTCATGGCGGGCTACTGCCTAGAGGACCCCTTCTTCAGCAGCAAGGTACACAGCCGGCCTTCTGCCTCTGCAGATTCCTAAAGGATGTCATCGGTGTTACTCAGATGCACATGTCGATGTCTGCAGCTGAAACAATGGGTGTCTACCCTGATGAAGACCCTCAGGGACCCCTCGCTGCCCCTGTTGGAACTCCAGGACATCATCACGAGCTTGGCGAGTCGCATTCCTCCCAGCGTGGAGAAAGATATCCGTAAAGTGATGGCTCAGTACGCAAGCAACATCACCTCCGTCCTCTGCCAGTTCCCCAGCCAAAGGGTGAGTGACGCTCATGCACGGCGACATATTGCCGGTTGCAGTTGCTCAAGTTCTCCAGTGTAATCTGATGACGTTATCATTATTCCAGATTGCAAATATTCTAGACAGCCATGCAGCGACCCTGCAGAGGAAGTCCGACCGAGAGGTGTTTTTCATGAACACTCAGAGTATTGTTCAGCTAGTACAGAGGTTCGTGTTTTCCTTTCTCTGTGCGATTTAGATTGTACAGCATTAAAAAACAAAGTAATATCCCATTAATTGAGGAATGTGAATGGGGCTGGCACAGGTACCGCAGTGGAATTCGGGGTTACATGAAGTCGGTGGTCCTCGATCTGCTGAAGAAATACTTGCAAGTAGAGATACAGTTTCAACAAGGTGAAGTTAATATATTAGCAGAGTAATTTTCTTTAATAACCATGGATTGTTTGTCACATCTAACGTCATTTTACTCTTGTTATCACAGCTCACTATGACAAGTGTGTCATCAACTTGCGAGAGCAGCACAAACCTGACATGAGCCCTGTGCTGGAGTACATATTCTCACATGCCCAGGTTTCAAAGAAGAACATCCTGGTCATAATGCTCATAGTAAGGCCACAAAACTGCCATGCATGAATCAAACAATCCTCAACACAGTATATTTTAGTGACAGACAATTTGTACATTGTGTAGGACCAACTGTGCGGAAAGGATTCCATGCTAGCAGATGAGCTCATGGACATTCTCAACGAGCTCACGCAGCTCAGCAAGATGGAGAACTCAAAGGTGGCCTTGAGGGCCAGACAGGTAACGTCTCAGACTACCTGTTATGTGTCACTTAAACGTTATTATCTTTGATTTAAATGTGCTTTTTAAGATCAGGTTATTCAATTGTTATGGATTTGATATTATATTTGCAAATGTGTCATAGGTCTTGATTGCATCCCATTTACCGTCATATGAACTGAGGCACAACCAGGTGGAGTCCATCTTCCTGTCAGCCATTGACATGTACGGCCACCAGTTCTGTCCAGAAAACTTGAAGGTCTGCCTCTTTGTGTGGAGGAATTTCATTGTGATCATCATATCTTTTAGCAGCTTTAATATATATACATATATTTAATATAGTCTTTTTTCTTCTTTTGCACAGAAACTCATTCTCTCTGAAACCTCAATTTTTGATGTTTTGCCCAATTTCTTCTATCACTCCAACCAAGTTGTCTGCATGGCTGCTTTGGAGGTATGGTCAGGATATAAACACCTTTTTCCTTTTGCATTTCCAGTTCTTAAGCAGTGATAAACTCTTGTTTATTCATGACTCAGGTGTATGTGCGCAGAGGTTACATCGCCTATGAGCTGAATAGCATCCAGCATCAACAACTGCACGATGGAACGTGCGCTGTGGACTTTCAGTTTATGCTGCCATCATCACATCCAAACAGGTAAAAAGAAAATCATCCACTGAACTGCAATCAAAAGACCACTTCCAAAAACTGGAGAAATATTACGTCAAAACTGCATCGGAAGCTGTGATGTTGTCACAACAAAACCGTCTGTTGCTGTCCTTCAGACATCCCTTCTTTGTTCACTGCTTGTTCAGTGGTGCAGGTGAAGAGCCTACGAACTGCTGCTGTGACGGCGTTTGGCTTACACTGAATGCAGAATGCTCTTACCCACCGGGCATTAATGTTGTCGTCCCCTGCAGCTTGTTTAGTGCTTTAATCGAATCATAATGCCTTATGTTAGAGGTGCACTTTGATCATCTACTGCTAACACTCACCTGTCACTCATCTGATTTCAGAGGGAGCAACCCTACTCTCAACAGGTAGAGTACAGCTCCTCCCAACCAGCCAAAGCACCCGATCATGTGTCTGTCTCACAGCAGTGCATGCCGAATGTGCTCTGTGGCTTCTTTCCTTCTGCCCTGTGAAAATAGAAACTTTTTCTCAAGGACCCTTCTAACAAGTCCTTCAGTTTTTAGCGGAGATTTTTGACACAGGTTTTGGATATTTGATTTGTTCCGTGTTGCTCTCTGGAACGTCAGGCCTGAGATTTCGATGACTGTTGCCGAATAGATAGACCTTTACTCTTAAGCATCACGTTTCTTTTCTTGATTTGCAACTCCCAATAACTTGTAACAATCGGTCTTTATAACAACAGTTCATAATTCCTTTCAATGCAATACATGGAAAATGCCCATCAACTGTGTGTAGTTATATTATCATATTTGCCTTTTGTCCGAACATCCTGACTTGCTTTAATTGTTCTCTGTATGCGTATTTCTATTCTTGGCTGTTCAGTGTTTTCTTTGCTTGAGCAAACCTCTCAATGTGATCATTCCGTTGTTGAGTCTTGCTGTTACTGTCTGTGTGTCTCTTATTCAGGGTTCCCGTGCCAGTGAGCGGATCAAGCCAGTTTAAAATGAGGCGAGAGAGCAGTGAACTCTTCTTGGAGGGAGCCTTTTCTCCCCCCTGCCAGCGCATGGGCGCCATGGTGGCTTTCCAGTGTTTCGAGGACTTCAAAAGGTCACTTTCAATTTGGTTGTGATCTTCCTTTACAGCCTCTGTATCAATGTAAAAGACGTGTTGATCAAAGCAATACCAAGTTTCATTTTCCTCCTTCTTTTGCAGGAATTTTGATGAAGTTCTCTCCAGCTTTGCAGAACCGCTCTTGGAGAGCGCTCCATTCTCAGAGTCCTGCCCCAGTCTGTTTGAGGAAGAGAACTTCAAGGTGAGTGCTGCGGGGGTGTAGAGCCACTGCCTATAATCAAATTTTAAAAAGGCGACTACAGCCCGCGAGTTCTCCCTCATTCCCTACAGAACACGAGGGAAAACCCGATCCACATCATTAACGTGTCCATAAAAAACGCTGACACAGAAGACGACGATGCCCTTGTTACGGCCTTCACCGCATTTGCCCAGTCGAAGGTTTGCTTGCTTCTTAACGCAATGCAGAATCTAATGAACGAGATGTTGTTTTAGCCTTTAATCAAAAATTGTATTTTCTTTTTTTTTTTTACAGCGCCCTATCCTCTTTGAATATGGCATCAGACGGATCACATTTCTAGTTGCACAGAAGGTAATTGCACACTATTTAGTGGTATTAATAACGAGTAAGTAAAATACTAGAAATTAGTATATTTTGCCACCTCAATTGCACTTATGATTCTGGCTACTCCTTGAACTAAAGTTTGACTCAAAATCTAACACAATCCTTGTTTTGTCAATAAAGTAGAAGTAACGCTGCATTTTGCTGCTGTTCAAAACCCTTTATTCGTACATATGAACATAGCTGCACTCCTTTTGTTCAGTAAAGATCCCAGTATAACGACTTTAGACGTACAGATTTACTGTGTAAGTAGACATGGTTGTTAGCTGATTCTTTTTTGTCTCGTCAACAGAGGGAATTCCCCAAGTTCTTCACGTTCAGAGCTAGAGATGGGGTACGTTTTTCTTAGAAAACCTGTAGTTATAGAATTGCTGTTCGGTTAATGAGCTGAAATGCTGCTGTCTGAGGAGGTGGTGACGTGTGTGTCTCTCTCTCAGTTCCAGGAGGATCAAATTTATCGTAATCTGGAGCCTGCTTTAGCCTTTCAGCTGGAGCTCAACCGCATGAGGAACTTTTACCTGACAGCCGTTCCCTGTGCCAACCACAAGATGCAGCTGTACCTCGGTGCTGCCCGCGTGCAGGAGGGCGTTGAAGTTACAGACTACCGCTTCTTCATACGAGCGATTATCCGACACTCTGATCTCATCACTAAAGTAAATAGAGCAACTGGAAATCACAGCTTTTTGATTATTTGGAAAAAAAAACATGTTTCCTTTTTATACACAACCAGGAAGCGTCCTTTGAATATCTTCAAAATGAGGGAGAACGTCTACTGTTGGAGGCCATGGATGAGTTGGAGGTGGCCTTCAGTAACACCGGTGTCCGCACAGACTGCAATCACATCTTCCTCAACTTCGTCCCCACTGTCATAATGGACCCCTCTAAAGTCAGTGTCCGGCACCTATATGCTAGCACCATAATTACTTAGACATGTATAGGACTTCTCTGTGTATACCAGTGTTACCTCTCAGTGGTCTATGTCCTCTTCTTGGGACCCTCAGATCGAGGAGTCTGTTCGCTCCATGGTGATGCGCTATGGCAGTCGTCTTTGGAAGCTGCGGGTCATGCAGGCTGAGCTGAAGATCAACATCCGTCTGACCCCAACCGGGAATGCCATTCCTGTCCGCCTGTTTCTCACCAACGAGTCCGGCTATTACTTGGACATCAGTCTGTACAATGAGGTCACCAACCCAAGTTCTGGACAGGTGGGGACAGTGCACAGTGGATTTTGAAAGAAAGTGAATCTAGTTTTAACCAAAATATGTGGCATGTGGCAGGGGATTCGTTCTGCACATTGGTTTGTGGTTCATTGTCATGTGAATCACTGGTTTCCCTTACCAGATCATGTTCCAGTCATATGGAGATAAGCAGGGTCCTCTGCATGGCATGCTGATCAACACTCCGTATGTGACCAAAGACCTGCTGCAGGCCAAACGCTTCCAGGCTCAAACTCTGGGGACTACATACGTCTATGACTTCCCTGAGATGTTCAGACAAGTACTGCAAACCTACTGAACTACGTTTATTTCATTTTCTGTTGTTCCTAAGAATTTTACTCTTAGTTAAAATATTCCCGTAGGCACTGTTCAAGCTGTGGGGTCCAGGGGAAAAATACCCCAAAGATGTGCTGATGTGCACCGAGCTGGTTGTGGACCCTGAAGGTCAACTCGTGCAGATGAACCGCCTGCCTGGAGACAACGACGTAGGATGCATTTTAAAGCATTCATGTCGGTTCCTGCTTTTTTAAGTGTGCTGATGCCGGCAATCACTAAAATCTATTCTTCTCCAGGTGGGAATGGTTGCCTTCAAGATGACGATGAAGACTCCAGAGTACCCAGAGGGCAGAGATCTCGTTGTCATCTGTAATGACATCACTCACATGATCGGCTCATTTGGTCCTCAGGAGGATGAGCTGTTCCTCAGGGCGTCAGAGTTGGCTCGGGCCGAGGGCATTCCCCGCATTTACGTCGCAGCCAACAGTGGAGCGCGCATCGGCCTGGCTGAAGAGGTCAAACACATGTTCCAGGTGGCCTGGATCGACCCCACTGACCCCTACAAGGTGACCGTTGATGTGTATTTACAGTATACAAGTTGAGGCACAGACCACCCGAAATAGTGTTGCAATATGAATGTGTGGTTGTGCATTTCTTATCAAAAGTTCTTTCCATTTCCACGCAGGGCTTCAAGTACCTCTACCTGACGCCACAGGACTACACTTGTGTCAGCGCCACCAACTCTGTTCACTGTCGGCATGTAGAGGAAGGGGGCGAGTCCAGGTACGACAAGTCCTTGGTTGCTCTCATAAAGTAGACGTACGGCTGCTGTATCACTGACACCCTTAACTCATGTCTTCATCCCTGTGTCAGGTACATCATCACAGACATCATCGGGAAGGACGATGGTCTCGGGGTTGAGAACCTGCGAGGTTCCGGCGCCATTGCTGGAGAAACCTCTCAGGCGTATGAAGAGATTATTACAATTAGCATGGTGAGAATATAGATCTGATTTTCCCGTGAGTAAAAATAACAAAGGTTATCCTCTGCCATGTCGTCACGTGAGCCAATATCTCTGCTGTGACAGGTGACGTGTCGCGCTATTGGAATCGGAGCATATCTGGTCCGTTTGGGACAGAGAGTGATTCAGGTGGAGAACTCTCACATTATTCTGACTGGAGCAGGTGCTCTGAACAAGGTTAGTTTGGTAAAGAAATCCCACTGCTATTGATGAATAGCAAAATAATAATATATATATATATAGATAGGTATAAAGAGAGATGCATACAGTGTTGGAGACGATCTTGTTCATTTATATAAAAGTTGCTCAGTGGTTCATGAAGCAAAATAAAAGTTTGATTGCGTAAAAAATGATCAGGATCCAGCTGCTTGTTCTGAGGCTCCATCACGTGAGAAAGGAAAATAATTTGGCTATTTGTGCATTTTACAAATTCTAGAACTAACAATTTAGATTAGACTACATTCAGTAAGTGTTTTTACTGGAAAGTTGACTTATCAAAACAAAATAAAAGCTCTTACAGAAATCTTTGTCCCAATGAGAGTCCGTGTGGGATAAGATTAAGTTTCTCCATGTGTGCAGGTTTTGGGAAGAGAGGTCTATGCATCCAACAACCAGCTGGGAGGGATCCAGATCATGCACAACAATGGAGTCACACACACCACCGTGCCGGATGACTTTGAGGGCGTCTTCACCGTCCTCAAGTGGCTCTCCTACATGCCGAAGGTCTCGCTGAACACGAGAACGTTCACGTAGTGGGACGTCGATGTGTGAAGTGTGTGAAGTTCGACCAAAGAAATCTGACCAACTGACCATAGTTCATCTTCTCCTCACAGAACAAACACTCCCCTGTACCCATCATAGCAACGGCAGATCCAGTAGACCGAGAGATAGAATACACTCCGACTAAGGCACCGTACAACCCCCGCTGGATGCTGGCCGGAAGACCTCACCCCAGTGAGTGTCCACATGTGATATGAAAGGCCTCCTTTTCAGCCATCAAGCTGGTTGATGTTCTTTTTGTCTGCATTGATGTGATTAGCGGTGAGAGGTTCCTGGCAGAGTGGATTCTTCGACCACGGCTCCTTCATGGAGATAATGGAGTCTTGGGCTCAGACGGTGGTAGTGGGCAGGGCACGGTAAAGAGGTCTACATTCAATGTACACGGCTATGAAATATTGTGAGTTATCAAATCTTAAGCTTGAATTTTTAATATCTTGGTTGAATAAAAACAGGTTAGGCGGAATCCCCCTCGGTGTCATTGCCGTTGAAACACGCACGGTTGAGTTCACTGTCCCAGCTGATCCAGCAAACCTGGATTCAGAATCTAAAGTGAGTGAATAACGCCACAGGTTAACCATTAAATCGGGTTCGATCACAATGCTTCAGCTCTATTCGTGCTTTCGGTGTCGACGTCAGGTTCTGCAGCAGGCGGGCCAGGTGTGGTTTCCAGATTCAGCCTTTAAAACGGCCCAGGCCATTTGTGACTTCAACCGTGAGCATCTTCCTCTAATGGTGTTTGCCAACTGGAGGGGCTTCTCTGGTGGAATGAAAGGTAACATATGAACACTGAACGTTTCTGTGAGACTGCAGGACAAGTGTTTTTTATTTGATAAAATAATGTGTTTATGTTCATTTGGCTCCCAGATATGTATGACCAGATACTGAAGTTCGGCGCCTACATAGTGGACGCCCTGCGTGGTTTCCGTCAGCCGGTGCTAGTGTACATCCCGCCACATGCTGAGCTGAGAGGAGGATCGTGGGTGGTGATAGATCCCACCATCAACCCACTGTGTATGGAGCTCTATGCAGACAGGGAGAGCAGGTAGCTGAAGCAATGGTATCTCTGTTGACATGGTGTGTTTTGGGGAATAGCCGGCCTTCCGTTTGTCTCACTGTTGCTGCTGTGCTTTCTATGTGCAGAGGTGGTGTGCTGGAGGCTGAAGGTACAGTGGAGATCAAATTCAGGAGGAAGGACTTATTGAAGACCATGAGAAGACTAGATTCAGTCTACGCTAGTCTGGTGGAGCAGCTCGGTAAGAGGCTATTTCATTCTCAACCCACTAAATCTCTGTTCATAACCTTTCTGACGAGCCTTAGATGAGTTCAATCACTCACTTCTATTCCATCAGCTTCCCCGGAGCTGCCTGACAAGCAGGGCAGAGAGCTGGAGACAAAGCTCAAAGCCAGGGAGGAGTTCCTGTTGCCCATCTACCACCAGGTGGCAGTGCAGTTTGCAGATCTCCATGATACCCCAGGCAGGATGCAGGAGAAGGGTGTCATCACTGTGAGTGTGCGCTTCATCAACTCTCATGTTATGACTGACAATCTCAATATGAAAACAAACGAGTGTAAAATGACTGGTTGGCTGAGGAAATAACTATGAGGTGGTAATTCCAGTTAAACTCCTGACAGGATATTTTGGAGTGGAAGAACGTGCGGACCTTCTTCTACTGGCGTCTGCGTCGGCTCTTGTTGGAGCAGGTGGTGAAATGTGAGATTCTTGAGGCCAACAAAGACCTCAGTGATGGACACATGCAGTCTATGCTTCGACGCTGGTTTGTTGAAACGGAAGGAACAGTCAAGGTACGCTGGAGTCTCTGGGCTGATGGATTCAATTCTACAGAATAGAACATTACTCGTACATTTTTTTAGGAATGACTGCATCGTTGTAAAGTAATGCTATTTTCCGCATTGTTATTTACTGTGAACATTATTAACACTTGCTGAGCTAATATAACGTTCTAGTAGCTGTTTTTGCTTGTGGCCTGCAAACATGGGGTTGCTTTTGTTTTTGAAGTGCCTCATTGTTAAAGTTGATCCGAGATTTAAAGGTGTATCCGTCTGCTTTTTTCCAGGCCTACCTCTGGGATAATAACAAAGAAGTAGTTGAGTGGCTGGAGAAGCATTTGACCAAGGAGGATGGCATACGATCAGGCATCCGAGAGAACATCAAGTACCTGAAAAGGGAAAACACCTTGAAACACATCCGCAGGTACCACAGGTTTTTTGTGGGCTTATTTTCATGACAATACTCTTATCAATGCCCAAAAGCCATACATCACGTCCTTATGAAGCATAAAATGATTTTAGCTGTGGAATGTTACATAGATGGGTAAAGCACTAGCTAATACAGTCCCAATCACCCCCAATCTTTTAGCTCCCACGGCCTGTAAAACACTGGAGCTACACCGACCTGATAGCTTTATCTTAAATAATATATCGCAAACAAGCTGAAGAAATTCTTTAATTTAGCACTTTTGTTCATCTCCAGTTTGATAACTCAATAAGATACATGCAAGTCCAATTTTCTTACACAGAAATAACTGAAAAAATACTGCAGACAAGCTCAGACCAGTTTCGCTCTCTTGCGCTTTCAATGACTTACTCCAGCACGTTCCTCTTGTGTTCCAGTGTGGTAGAGGCCAGCCCTGACATAGCCATGGACTGCATCATCCAAATGAGCCAGAACATCACTCCGTCCCAGAGGGCCAAGCTCTCGCATCTGCTTGCAACTATGGACAGCGCCAGCACCAATTAAGCTGCGGAGCTTCACCGGGTTTTATTTTAAAAAAGAACAAAAGGTGACGCTCCGGTTAAATGCACCTTGTTGGTAAAGAGATGGAAGATTTGCATTTTTTGGGGGGGTCTATTTGGGCACAAAGTGACTTATTCCTCAGAGATCACATCACCACTACAGTGCTCTGCCTGTTGTAAACGTTGCTTTTAAAAGGCTTCTTTGCAGGGACGTCATGATCAGTTTGACAGGCAGACAAAGAGTTTGTCTTTTTATATTTGTGATGAAAACAGTAAGTTCAGCTTCTCACATCCAGAAACGTTCCGGTTCACAAACTACGACCGGATGGCACATTTCATTTGGCTGTGTTTGCACATAATAGTGTTGCAGTGTAACTGCGTTTGTTCAGTCTTTTGAGTGGCAAGTTTCACAAAGTGGGAGACGCCTTAGTTAGTGGATGGGCGTTGTCCTCAGTTAAATGTATTAAATAGAGATATTTTGTTATACTGTTCATGTAGCTCAGATAACTGATCAATTATTTGATTGATTACCAAGTAAAACTAACAAAAAAAGTGTTTTTTTGCATTGAAGAAATAAAAGAATGTACCAGTATTAAAATGCCGAAATGCAAATTAAGAACCGATTAAGATGGATTCAGCTGTCCGTTCACTTCCAGTCTGTCTGAGTGTTTCTATGCTGTAGTGTTGTTTGTTCTACAAAACAATGTAATGAATGATAGGAGATACTGTGACACTTAATGTGATACTTCTGAGCTTTCTTTGATTTTTGCAGTAATTCAGGTTGAACAAAGGATTGCCAAAGTAGTCGCCTAAGTGATGGCTTAATTCTCCTCTAAAAACAGGGACATTTAATTTTAAATGTACATCAACTCTGTCTTGTATTGAATTCCACTGAAGACTGTTTGTTAATAAATGTCATTGATATATTTTTGTCAAAACAAACTTGTTGATTGTTATTATGATCAAATTAATGTAAATTAAAAACATAATGTACATCGGACTTTGAGGGATGTTAATCACATTATGTAAAAGAATAATGTGTAAAATCTTTATTAGATTATTCAAAGTGTTGGCACACATCTGCATTTTGGAATGAAGGGAGTAAATACAGATGAAAGAAAGCTTTTCTGTGGCAATAGCAACGTAAAACATTCAAATATACACAGCAAAGGATGATAGTTATCGCCTTTTCCAGCTGCCTTTATATAAATATAAATAAAACATCACAGCAATAATGTCTAGCACAATACAACAGACAAGAGACAGAGCTACAGTACGGAAGGGCCTTGAAACGCAGAACAGAGTGAACAGTAGAAAAACAGGCGGATGCTAACGCTCACACACATCTCCACGTCTTCCTAATCAAACGGGCTTCGAGTCTTCGATATCGTAGGTCTTACACACTTTGTCTTGCAGCCACATCTCCATTCGTCAGCAGTATTAGTTCTGCAGTAGCAATTTTCTTGTGGACCGCAAGGGAAATGATGTTGAAACATCCTTCTCCAAGTAGTGCCCAGCCGACTGTAAAAGAGCCGTGTGATTTCTAAGTATATGGAATCTCGAAAAGAAACCGGAAGTCAGTCGTTGACCTCAGTTTCCTTCAGTCGGGTCCACAGATATCCACAGACGGTGTAAGTTCAGCTGCTTTATAGAAGGGCGATGGGCTTGCTGTTGGCCGGCGCGCCCATGTACTGAGAGGACAGGTGGTCCTGGGTGGTGTAGGAGGTGTAGAGGCCCGTCACTTGTACATCTGACAGCGACATGTTCACTCCAGTGGAGGAAGGAGTCAGGTTGGTGCTTCCCAAGTCACAATCTGATAGTCGCAGTGGTGAGTTACTGAAGGTACCCAAAGCATCCAGGTTAAAGCTGTCGTCCTTCATTTCCTCCCACAGGTTACCTGAGCAGATCGACTGAGAGGTTAGTGTTCGATGCAACAAAGCTGTAAAGCAAACAAAAAAACCACGTACAAATCATATTTACCTTGAAGGGCAAAGTCCATGATGCTGGGGTCCAGTGCGTCCACCTCCGTGTGCGTATCCCCGTGCATACTGTAGAAATCGTCCGTGGGCTTGCTTGGGTGCTGGGTGAGTGGACTGTGGGACATGTCCGGGACCGTGTGCAGGGGAGGTGTCTGGGCTGGGGCGGGGGACATTGGGGCCAAGCGGGCCTGAGCGTGGAGCTGGGCCTGAAGCTGCTGGTGGTGGTGGTGCATGGGTAAACAGGGCAGGGAGAGCGTGACTATTTGCTGAGGTTGCATCTGGGTCGGGACGGGCAGTGCGAGGCCAGTGGGACAGCTGGGCAGACGGGTCATGCCGGGGTCTAAAACCTTGCGTCTGCAGTTCTCCGGGCGGTCTGTGATCAGTTTGTCCAACTCATCTGCAGGAAAAACACAAAAATGTTGAAGTTAATATGTGAAGTCAGAGACTTTTATTAGAAGTAGGTACTCAAATAAATCGGCTTCTAACCGGGGTTGGCCATGCTGCGGCGGATGGCTGGGAGGTCCTTGCGTTTCCACTTCTGCATCTCCTCCTCCATCTTGTCAATTTTGGCAGGATTCAGCGCCCACAGACATCCCTTACGGGATGAACTGCTTGTCTTGTTCTCCACTTTCTCAAAGCATTTGTTTAAAGACAGGTTGTGTCTGACTGAGTTCTTCCACCCATCAGGTGCAGTCTGCAAAGAGAGATGAGTCAGGCTCTTTATCCGCATGCACCATCTCTTTTACTCCATCTGTTTTATAATTAGAGAGTATCATACCTTGAAATAAGGGAAGTGTTCCTTCATAAAGCTATAGATCTCACTGACTGGGAGGCTGCCAGTTTTGCTGTTCTTCAGAGCCATGGCAATCAAACAGCTGAGAAGAATCACCAAACAAAATTATTTATTCAAGAGTATGTAGAAGAGGAGAAGGATACACAAGATAGTTGGGGAGATTTGTCTGGAATTCTATTTCATCTACATAAGTGAGGTCTGACCTGTAGGAGTAAATTGGCTTGGGGAAAGACTTGGGCTGCAGTTCCTGTTCTTGTGGAGCCAGGCGAGGTTGCGTGAAAATACTTTGGTTGTTGAAAGAGACGTTGCTATACAGCCCACCACTTGAACACTATAAGCAACCAAAGGAAAAATAATCAGTAGCTTTATGCTTTGCATTCATTCATCTTGACCAATTTACCAACAAAAAAACAAGAGCACGGTACTTTATTAGCGGAGTTTTGTACCTGTTGTCCAGTTTGGGTCAGAGAGTACACCTGCTGGGGGGCCGGCTGGTAGACTGAGGTAGGACACTGGTATCCTGGAGAGGGCATCCCATTCATGGAGAACGGAGACATCTGTGATGCAGAGAATGTTTGTCAATCGACCCAATAAAACATAACACGTACACCTTTTTTTTTTTTGTTTGCATTGCTGTCAAACTCACACTTCCGCTGTGGGTGTTGATGATGCTGATTCCCAGAGGGCTGTGCTGCATGTTGCTCTGCAGGTGGAGCATGGAGCCTTGACCCGCTGTCATCCCAGACATGTTACTCAGCTGGGCTGTGACAAGAAGCAGACACATTACCATTAGAATAACAGAAGGTTATCTGAAAAACAGATGTAACCAAACACAGATAAAAAACAGATGTGTGTGTTTTTTTTCTTCCAGGTGATTTCAGAGTTGCTATAATTTCTTTCTTGACGGGGACAAAGTGGAAAGTGGTGGGAAATTGGGTTTGCCGTTTTTCATCTGCTGACCACAATATTAAAATAGGCAAAAGCCTAGAGCTCAAACTCCCCACCAAAACTATCCAAATTGATTATTCTGAGGTTAGCTGGGCTGTGTTTTAGAAAACAGTCAAAACGTCAATATTGCGTTGCTGCACGTCTATTGCTATCAGACTGTGTTTTTATCTGCAGATGCTAGAAATCCAGACAATGGTGATTAATCCAATCAGAGAGACGATGCATTTTTTGAACGTTGCCCTGTCCCCTCCCTGTCCTCACCTGTCTGTTGCTCCAACAGGCTGCCCTGGGAGGGCCCGTTACTGTGGCCTCGGCCATCGGCCATCTGCTGCAGTCGGGGCACATCCACGGAGGTGAGCCATGACAGAGACTGCAGGTCCCCAGGGAGGTCCTCCTCCCTCAGCTGGGAGGGGTCTGTGGTCAGAAGCCTTGGAGGGAGAGAAGGGGGGGGGTTAACACACGGCTGCCAGCTCAGACACACACACAAAGACCAAAAGTGGAATTTAAATCTAACATTTGAATGTTTTCTCCTTCAAAGTGGGAACCACTGCAATGAGTCTGAATGTGGGCAAACGGGGCCGGAAGCTGCTGAGTGAAACCGCGTATTGACACAGCCATCCAGGATTTACCCAAAAGCAGGTTCATTTGTCTGGCAGCGACAGATTAAAACAACAATGGGGGAGTTAAACAAGCTTTCCATTCACAATAAATCGTCAGTTGAAATTGTTTTTTATTTTTAGGTTGTAGCACTTTGTTTTCACCACTGTTGATACTTTTCAAATGTTTCAATAAGGACATAAAAAAGAAATATCTATTTAATTTGATGTAGTATTTCATATTTTATCCCTAATTTTATGAATGCTGTGAATGCTGATTAAACGCAGGATTTCTGCTTAACCAGTGCACTGCCAGTTACAATCAGCTTTCAGTCCTCACGTCTTTTATGTGGCGAGTCTCAAAGAGAAAGAACAGAAAAGACAGGAATCCTCTTGAATCCTCTCCAGTCCCCCTCTGCACACACGCACACACACACACACACACACACACACACACACACACACACACACACACACACACACACACACACACACACACACACACACACACTTACTGTGCAAGGGTTTGGTAATTGGGGTCGCTATGACAACACCTACTATTCAGTTAGGGTCTGTGGACAGTGTAAGAGCTCAACCCCCCCTTCCTCATCCACACACGAAACAAATCTCCTAATAAAAAAAATCAACCCTGTATCAGGTGACCACAGTCTCGCCTTTCACCATTGGCTGAATCACAAGTAAACAACGCATCAGATCGTTTGAAACACGGGACAGCAGCACATGTTCCCTGCAACAGTTGGCCTTGTCTATTGAAAAATGATCACCTATTGTGTCCCAAACGACAAATCTGCCCAGTGGCACGTGGCTCTATTGTCTTCCCCAGACCCTTCCTTGATTGTCTCTGTCGTTTCTTTTCTTTACACAGCCCCCTGCATTAATCTGTTGGAATGACAGCCCTCACATAAGAGGGACAAATAGGATGCCATCTGCTTTCCTGTCCCTTTCCAGCCTCTATACTTGCCCCAACCCTCCACCATTACCCCCCCCTGCCTCTCCCCACACACCCGGGCCAGAGCGGGGGTGCAAATGTAGTTTGAGGTCAGGACTCTCTGTTTGCAGGATGAATAAGTGACATCATTGCAGCCAGAAATCAGCAGCACACGTCCTGGAACACATTGCATGCGTCAGTAAATGATTTAGCGTCTCACTGCAGCAGGTGGCAATGTGGAGTTTAACATCCTGCGCGTTAGTGTGGAAATATCTCAGTGGAGATTTTGATATTTACAACTTTCAAAAAACAATTTTGATGCATAATAATATTTATATAATAATATGTATAAATGCTGAGAAAATGTCCCCTTGCAGGACTAATAGAATAACATCAATAGAGTAATAGACTATACATCTATGTTTGTCCCCTTTTGTTTAGTATTTTACTCTAAACAATATTTGTTAAGGCTTTTCTTTCCCTCTTTGTGTCACAAATCCACTAAAAGTTGAAATTTGAAGTAAAAAAAATGGCTGAATACAATAGAAACAAATAGATGTTACACGGGCGGCGGGGGGGGGGGGGGGGGATATTCCCACCTCCCCCTCTGATCCGAAACCAGCAGCATAGAAATTGCTCACTGATGCAAAACATGTTGAACTGGTGTCTTCATGCATCATCCAAGCCTTCCCAGAGGTTCAACAACACTAAATATTGCACCTCCTCCTCCTGCCACCCTCCTTCCTCCTCTGCCTGCCTGCCTCCTTTTCTAATTGGGAGCCACTTGCGCACACTGGTGACCCAGAGCGCCCGTCTCCCCCCCGAGCCGGCAGGCGGAGAGGCTCAGGCTCTCCGTGTGCCGACAGCGGGAGTGTAAACAGAGCTGATGGTTTCTGACAGATCCATTCAGACTGAAAATCATTTATTCTTCAGGATTTTTTTCTCTCTGTCCTTTTCCATGAAATCCCCCATGCACAAAAAGAGCTGTCCATCTACCTTTTCTAAACATAGTGGGGTTAGACAGCTTGCACCGTGACCATTCTGGAAACACCTTAAAGCGGTTGAATAACATAAATATGGGTCTTACTTATTGAGGCGTCACATATTTGAGTTTTTGCCAAGATGCAACAGAAAATAATCAAGTTGTTTACTGCTAAAAGCCCTGATAGAACTGAACATATTTTAAATGACAAGTCTCACCTGTAGTCCTGTGGAGATGGATGATGCCCAGCATTATCAATTATTCCTGACATCCTGGATGTTATTCCACTTTCTATCATTTCCTGGGATATGTGGTACCACTGCAATAAAAACAAATGATCAGACTTTAGGTCATCCTCCCAGTGGCTCTTCAAACTGAGACAACAATACAAATTACATGATTCAAACTTTGGAATAATGATGGCAGACCACGCTTATTTATAAGAAAATAATTTAGAAAACATCCTCAAAAAGCAAACCTCTTAAATTCAAATGTATGTCCCAATGAACATCAGACACAAGGGTTAACATATTAAAAAAGAAATTAACAGCAGTAAACCAATTGCTATGTGGCATCAGTGTGCCTTTGTTGTCGAAGCCCCTGTTTGAATGTTTTTAGATCCCCTAATTGAATTCCATGAAAAATATATTTTATATATATTCCATATATATAGCTTGTATTCAATAAGCATTTATAAAATTTATCACAAACCTGTCTAGTCACATTAGCTCAGGTTTAATAGCTTGGGTACAGAAAATCCTGGTTAAATCCTGGGTAAAGAAAACAATAAAATGCCAATATTCTCATAAAAACTGCAATCCTACAAAGTCTAAGATGCTAAAAGACAGAAATAACAATGAGTTTAAAAAAAATCACCTGTTTTGGGAGATAATGAAGAATGTGTGAACCAGTCGCGAGCCCACGTACTGTATTTCTCTGTGTTGCACTTGATTCTCCAAACGCCGTTTTTAAATTTCCCTCTCTGGAGCTGTCCGGCGCTCGCGCATGCGCAGTGGAGGCCTCAGCACAGCTCCCATTCGCTCGGGGCAAAGGAGGTTCCCATGAGTTTGACAGCTGCAGTTGATGCAGTGACTTGTCAACGCGAGCGTCAAAATCCGCACCTACCACGGCGAGTGCAGACGTGGAGATGTTGAGATTTTATTTTGTTCTCAGTTTTTTGTTTTTCTTTGGCGGGGGGGGATTTGTTTCAAGGTGTTATGACGCAGTTGTAGTGCGCTCCTCCGCATCCAGACATTGAAGTCCTCCTGTTATAAGATGATGATTCAAGAGATGGGAATGTAAAAGGATGGTTCCCTGTCTGTCTCACGCTGTCACATGTATCTCCAGTCACACGCAGACAACTTAATAAAATACACAAAATACATGAGATCAGGCCGAAATCCGGTTGGTCAGTCAACATATATACGGCAAAAAGTGTTTTTAAAAAGAAAAAAGTTGAACCAGACGAAGCGCAATAAAAGCAACAGAAAACCACCTGTGTTGAACGAAAAAATAAACCCAATTAGAAATCAACATGGAATCCGCTTTGCTCATATCCTCCTGTCAGCTTATTCCCGGGAAGCTCCCTCGACCGGGTCTGAAACGATGTGCGTCGCTGCTTGTGGAGGCATCTGCAAGTGTGAGTGTGAGTGTCAACTTTTTTTTAAGGGAAGTGCTCGTAGATAATTTGCTTCCCGCCGCCGTGGCCGCGTCCTGCTCCTCTCAGCAGTGGGAAAAGGAGCCGGGGAGGCGCGTAGGGAGGGCCGGAGGAGCGGGGGCCGGGGGGCCGCGGGGCTGCAGCAGTAGGCGGCAAAGCCACTCGTGTGTGTGTGTGCGTGTGTGTGTCGCATTTCAGTACAAGTCGATCCAGAAAATACAAAATGATTTTCCCCCCAACTCCTCGCTGAAGTTGAAGTGTAAAATGATGTCAGAGTTGAATGCACAATGGACAAATAGCATCTTTGATCTTGGCGTCATTTTAAAGACACTAATTGACTCGTGTCCGTAGTTTGGAAAATTCATCTTTGCATTACAAAATACGATAAGTGTTGAACAGCAGCGCGTATTTGTTTGTTTAATTACCGATTCCACGGATTCTGAGAGAAATACATTAGTGGGCCAATTTGATTGCGGGCATTCATGGACCCCAGGCGTCCTTACTGGAACTCCAGGGTTCCACCCCCCCGCACAAAAGACAAGTAACATTACGTTGGTTTACAAAACATTTAATGGGTTCACTTCCAATTTAAATACCTCAGTCTAATCTCTTCTGTGATTCAATAGATCATCAAGAATTACATAAATATTTCTGGTGTCGACAAGAGGAAAAAGCTCTGAATGAGCTGTAACACGTATGGCATTTTTTTATATAGCAGACTTAAATTTGAAATGTTGGAGATTTACATTTTCGAGCGGAAATTAAACAGGAATTCCTTGAAGTGTGCAGGGAGACTGCAGTGGCAGCAGCAGCATCATCCCCATGGGACCCTACAGATGGTAAATCGGCCCGTCACAATGGGCACAATCGATGATTACATGCATGAAGGTAACGGACAAAAATCAGAGCATCCTCAGAGAGACGATCCCGAGGTCCTAAAGCCCGCCGGGTTGTGATCTGTTGATGATGACGACGATGACGTATATTTCGAGTAGCAGGATGATCACTGCACAGCCTAAAAATACCATAAAGATAATCAGCCACGAAGTCCATGAACAATTTATTCATAAAGATAAACAGAAAGATCCAACTAGTGATCCAACCATTTAAAATGATCGTTTAACTATCTTCTGTTGAATCATTACAGTATTGTATTGTTTTTTGTGATAGTAAACTAAATGTCTTTAGGTTGTGAAGTGTAAAAAAAACAAACAAGCAATTAGATAAGATGCATTTTGGGGAAATTCAGATTTTATTTTAAATACTTACATTAAAAACATCTGTTTTTTTTTAGATCCAGTTGATTGTTAATCAACTTAATTTATTTTGAAGTGAAGCAAATATCATGTTGCAAAGCTTACCGTTTTCTGTTTGTCTATCGTACTCTATCAGTCACCCCTGTAAATACAGCTTGTTACATAAGATTAGATCAGTCTTCACTCAACACCACTTTCTGCTGTGTTTTATTACCGATGGAGTAACTTCAGGCAGCGACTGTCTCGACATAATGTGAGATCTTTGTCAGTTAAAGGTCTAACTGTAAACGTATACTGTAAATCTTTTATTGCCAGGGCTTTGTATTATTCTGTCCCTGTGCACCTGTTTATGCATTCAGTTATTCTAACCATAACGGAGATATTAAATTAAGGTGCCGTTCGTTTATTTATTTGTGTATTTGTTTTAGGACTATTAAGTCTCTGAGAACTTGAGGGATACATTCAGAAAAGAGCACGAGGACTCACTGCAGCCCAGGAACACACAGCGATGGCCCTCCTCATTCAGGCCCGTTCAGGAGTAATGTGGAAACAATGGGTTCACCGCCTGAGGGTTGGCCTGTGTTTGTAGCCTGTGTTTTTGTCTTGCACCAAGTGTTTACTCAAAACACATCAGCCCCTCTGAGAACGAGGTCAGCTCGCTCCTTCTAATCTCCTCTGCAGGCTAGAGACAGAGTGTCCCCCTAAAACAAGGTGTCACCCATAGTGACCCTCTGGCCGCACAGAGGAAACTGCTGTCAGCCATGCTTAGCCGAGGCGCAGCGGCAGTGTCCTGCCAGAGACTTTGTTTTCTCAGTGAAGCTCCAATGAGGACGGAGCAGAGCGCCGGGCCTCCGGTTGTCCTGTCAAGGGCCAGTCGGTCTGAGACGACTTACATCGCCTTCCCGTGTATTTACACCTTCACAGAAGAGACACGTGAACAATCGTCAAATGAGCCAACAACAGTTTTGTATCATCTTTCAACTTTATAGTAGACAAGGAAATGTGTTTATTTCAAAACAGTATTATGATGTTGACGGTTGAAATGGAGTTGTTGAGTCCTTTAATTGCAGCTCAACACTTTTGTAGTTATAATATAATGTATTATAAATCAAAATATATAATGCACTTTACACTCTTATTTAATTGTTACCCAGAATATGTGGACGGGGGCTGTGTGTGTTTGTGAGAGTGGCAGGGTGGGTTATTTCCATTTTGTTTGATGGGAAATTCTACTTTAACAAAATGTATCAGTTCACACAAAATGATGAAATGTTCTAGATTATTTTGTCAAAAAATGGTGAATAGTTACATTTTTGTAAATATACCACACCAGCCAAAAGTTTGGACACACTTTCTCTTGTATGAGAAAATGTGTATAAACCTTTGACTGGTACTGTAACTTATATTATCTAATAATGTTTAAAAGGAGCCTTTTTCTACATTTTTTTCTTCAGTATGCAGGGATTTGGATTCCAATGGATTATTTTCACATTGTATTAATACAAGTTTCATTCAACAGTTCTAAATATTTCTGTTTCCACACACTTCAAAACCGTGAGTATTGGTCAGTGTTTGTTAAGCTTAAATGCGCCTTCAGGTCCCATTACATCATTCTCTGTCCTACACGACATGTGAATTCTCCGGACAGGCCGCAGGACCTTCAATTGTCCCACAGGATCACAGAAAAAAAGTATCTTTAAGGTTTAGAGAGGTCAATGGTGTTGACCTTTGACTGACCTGTGTCAACACCAAAGCCTCTGGTTTGAGGCGGGGTCAGTTCTTTTCAGTGCCCTAAAGGGTACAGAAGGAGCAAAAGTCCTCTTCGTTTTCCACACCCAATTGAGTTTAAAAGAGGCTCATTTCCAAAAGAGCTCTCGGTAACTTTTTAATGTGTCACAGCAGGCACATGGTGTCCCCTTAGGATGGCACTCAGACACCCCTAAGTCAAGTTGTCTGATTCACTGTGCATTTAGTTTCTGCAATGACTTTTCAGAGGTTATTTGAGCTGACACATGTTTTACCCCTGTTTGTAGGTGGTTGATGGGTGAAGGAAATGCAATGCATTTCTTAAAGGTACAGTAATAATAATAATGTCACATAAGTATAAATATATAAATAACATACAAGTAGTAAGACATGTCCAAATTTAGGTATGAAGTAACCTCAATCGCGGCCTCATTTTGGGTCTGAAATGATGACGGGGCCCAGGCTTTGTTACGCTGCTCTGAAAGATTTGAATAATGGACTATGAAAGAAGGATGGATCCAAAGAAAGGGAGAGGGGAAGAAAAAAAGTCTTTGGGAAAAGAGGAATTAGATAGGAAGAGAGGGAGAAATAAAAGGAGGGAAACAGTGCAATGGAGACAAAATGAGAGGGACATAAGAGAGAGAGAGAGAGAGAAAGGGGGCAGTAGTGGTTTGATGTGAGTGTTATCATCAGCTCTCATTCTCAGCATGGAATCTATAATGGGAAAATCAACCTCTCTGACTCCTGTGTAATTGGATTTGCCGGGTCTCGTGCTGAATCAGAGCCCAGTGGGTAGCTCAAAGCTTGTTAAGATTGGACAAGCATTGCCGGAGCACTGGGACAAGAGAGGAGGTGGGGCGATGGCGGAGGTAACCCTGACAACTTTTTTGGAGGGAAGAGTGAATAATTCAAATGTATCGATGAACACTAAACTGCTCACCCATCACGGGCAATTGACTGCAAGCTTTCCAAGGATTAGTCAGTCAATACACTGATATGATGTCACTGTGTTATTTAGTTTACCTGTGTTTCCCTGAGCACTGTTTTCAAATGGTTATCAGGTAACGGACGTAAACAATGGAGACAACTATTTTAAGACATTTTCTCACAAAAAAAGCTTCAAAACAAGTTATTATTACTGTACCAAGTCCTTCCAATCAAATAGATGTTTATCCACTTATGCTTTTTTGTTAACTATACAAATAGCATGTAGAAAAAGTCTAGGCTCAGCACTTTCAGCAAGTGGGTTGATGAGTCAGCATACAAAGGTCCCCTTCTGAGCACGCAGAAAAGTTTCGAGTGACTATGTACGTGAAACATTCGCATTGCACAGAACCTCAAAGCATTTGCGGCTCAGTTTGCAGCTCAAAACAATGGTGCTCACCCTGACCAGCGTTGTAATGCTGAGTAATAAAGCGGTTGGTGATCAGCCTGCATTGCATCCATCTAATCAAAGATCAGTAACCAGATCTCGGTCGGGCCTGCGGGGGAGAAGGAGTGTGGGGGCTTTTGCACTGCTGCAGTGATGTAATGGAGCTAGAGAGAAGGAGAGAGGGAAAGGGGGATGGTTGGACTGGTGAGGTTTGGATCTTGTTTCTGTATCGTCATGTTACACTCAGTGCAGCAGTATATAACCCAGGTGAACACCGAGTAAGATCTCCCTGTCCAGCCACCTCCTTAAGGCATGAATGATTGAGCATCGGCCCGCGCTGCCCTGAGTCAAGATGATGAGGAAGAGTGACTCAATGCTGCATCACCAACACGTCTCTAGCTGCACTGTGCTGCATGAGTGAGCTACTGAAAACCAGGGGAGAATACAGTGTGTTCTCAGGCAGTAGTATACAAGCTGGACTTCTGCCAACTAACCTTCAACAATCAAGTGTTTACATGATTACTGATTGTCTTGATGCAAGCAGACACAGGAGGATACGCCGTTCCTTCCTTCGAGTTTTGTGTTTTTTACATTAGTTTGGATCCTCTTTGAAAATCCACATCAGAAAAACAACTTCGGAAATGCAGGTTAGAATTTCTTTGTTGCTGTAATGTGTTTCTTTGTATACAAGTTGTTTACCAGTTTTGTTGCATATTCTATTGGCTGCTGCAGTTTAGTTGTCATGTGATGCTGCGCTATCGAAGAGTTTCAAAGTTGATACGGAACGTTTGACCGTTCAGTGCGAATACATGTTCTCTCAATTGTGTTTTGAGATTCCCTGACGGCTAAAAGGATCCTCGTCCCATATTGAGTCCCACGGTGGTGCCATCAGTTGGATGACAGGATTGATACTTTTGTTGTAACATCGAATGTGAAACTACGGCAAGCAGTCAGTTAGCTTAGCACAAAGACTGGAAACAAGGGCAAACTGCTAGCCTGAATTGCTTTGAAGGTCACAAAATACTCCTGCCAGCACCTCTAATGCTCACTCAATTAACAGGTTTTAGCTTGTCATGAACTTTCCTGGTAAACAGCACAGATGAGATCACCCTGTCTCAGGCAACACTGACACTCTAGACCAGGAAGAGGAAGCATCTCTTAATTAAAATAGAATTGGTTGTGGTCTGAGGAGGCAAAGCAGTTCACCTGATCTGACAATGGCCTTGTGGATTCATTACATAATCATTCTTTCTGTGATTGCATCGGCACTTGTTTAGTCAACTAGAATTCAAACCCAGTGCACCTGGTTTGTATAACATCAAGCTACAAATGACATATGAACAAGGATGGTTTTTCTTTCTTTAACTGTCTTTTCTTGTCCTCCTGGACTGAGCGCACCCGTTGAATGTTCACCCTTCCCAGCGCAGTGTCATTAGAAACATTTGTGCGTGCTGCAGACAGCTTCCTTAAAAAGAAATACCTGCGGGACATCAAAAGCGACCTGAATGGAACGTAGCAGGCGTTCAGGGCACTGAATGAAATCCTTAAATATTAGCATCATCATCACCCTCGAACTCATTAATCCTCCTCTTGACAGGAGCTTATCTGTTCATGTTATTACTTGTAATACTGTATGGCAGATCCCCAAGTCACGCTGTCCCAGCACATTGTCCGCTTGTGCTGCCCTGAGAGAAGTTTGTTCCCATGAAGAAAGGGGGGTGTCACAGATACCCCACACCGGCACCGCTACCATCACATCGCCAGATTGATTCTGACGTCCAAAAAAGGCTTCCTTCAATGATATTGTTCACCTGTCTCATTGGCTTAAAGTGGGTGGCTGGGAGGAGGAGGCGGGTTAGGCTGTGGGAAGGGGGTCGGGTCAGGGTTATTGGTGGGGACACAGGGCGAGGGGTATTGTTGAAGTGAGGGGCGAGAGCCATTGGGGTGCAGGGCTGACAGGTGGAGAAAAAAAAAAAACACTCTCATCTGACTAGCCTCCTCCATCCTTCCATGGGGGCCCCGTGTGAGCAAAGTAATGAAGTCCAAATTACAACACGGGATTGCTGAGAACAAGCCTCTATTGTTCGCCCCCGGGGCACCCTAAATGAGTGTCACAGCAAGCAGCGGGGCACAGACCGTTACTGCACTATTTAGTCTGCCCGTTGTCTCAAGACGGCCCCGTTTCAGGGGTTCTCAGATCAGACAAATACTGCTCCCCCCCCATCCCCTCCTTCGCCTTCCCCCTTCCTCTGCACAGCCAACCCCTCCCCAGCTCCCCGATCCAAAATAGGCCAAATCTCCTCTATTGTGTTTCGACTGCCTAGTGTGAAATTCACTGTGACGTTAAATGTTTTCTAATGAATAATTACTGAATGGATATGCAGGGGGAATATGTGTAATGGATTGTAGACTGCATTTTAAAGACGTCTTTTTTGTCTCTGCTCCGTGGTATTTACAGGACAAAAACACTTGGCCTTTCTCAGAAGAGATGAGGGCCATAGGCGGAGGATAGAGGCAGGGGGCGGAGAGGGGGCGGAGGGCTTTGTGTCAATTAGATCCAATGGATTATCTTTTTTTAATGTTTTTACAGAGAGAGTTGAGAATCAAAGGACTTCTGCGTCCAAAGAAGAGAGAGAAAAAAATACAAAACCAACAAAAGCTGTGAAAACCTTTTGGTCAAAGTGTTGGTGCTGAGAATGCAAAACAGATTGGTGGAATTTTTCCCACTATGCCTCTTAAATGTGCCGCTGTTTTGGGCTCCCCGAGTCCATTTGCACAGTGCGCTGTGTTTGGCTGGCGTGTCGGCTCTAGTGAACGGCGGGCTGCCGGCCAAAGTCCCCGTGTGATGTGTGGCGATCATTAGCTTCTGTCTGTTCCTCTGCACAACCACAGAGCTTTGCTTCAAAGACACACAGGACCCCTAGACCTCTTATTTCAATAGAACTTATAGGGACCATGTTTGTGCTTTTTCCAGCTTCATCCTCCCCCACGGAGACATTTATGCAAACACGCATTCATGCAGTTTTATTTGTCAAAGTAGATGTCTGAGAATCTTGAATATCATTGTTATGCATGCGAAATGTGTTGCACTTGTTATTGTTACTTGACAGAGTGTGTGCCTCTGGATTTTAGCGTTAATTTGACCAATAAAGGGACGAGGTTGTTCATGTATAAAATGTTGAATAGAGAAATCCTCTGCTTATGATGCTAAACATCAGGCATATTCCCACAGCAATGAGGGTTGTGAGCCCGCCTGCCTGATGGTTGATACGACTTGTTGCATACAGGGTCAGCTGGCCATGGAGGGAGCCCTGACCGCCAGGGATCGGGTTGGAATACAGGATTTTGTGCTTTTGGATGAAACCACAGACGCAGCCTTCCTAAGCAACCTCACAAAACGCTTCAGCAAAGATCTCATCTATGTAAGTGTCAGAAAGGTATTGATTTGTGTGCATCACAACGATTACAATGAAAACTTTAATTCGATCAGACCTACATTGGCACATTGCTGGTGTCGGTGAATCCCTACAAAGAACTGGACATCTACAATAACAAACAGATGGATCTTTACATGGGGGTCAACTTTTTTGAGCTTCCACCACACATGTGAGTATGAAAACAAAGAATATTCTTGCACGTGTGTGGTTTTCTTGGTTTTCTTAGGGGTCGCCTGTGAGACATTTTGATTCTTCACACAGCTACGCTTTGGCAGACAACGCCTACCACACCATGCTGACAGAATTCAACAATCACTTCATCCTCATCTCTGGAGAGAGCGGAGCGGGAAAGACAGAGGCCTCCAAAAAGATTCTGCAGTATTACGCTGTCAGCTGTCCGAGCACCACTCTGCTCAACACCGTCAGGGACAAAATGCTCATGTCCAACCCGGTCCTTGAGGTCTGGGGGTAACGTGTGATTTATCATTGTGTGACATGCCAAACCGCAGCTCGTGCTAACAGTTACTATTCTGTTTGGTATGGCGGTACCCTTCAGGCTTTCGGCAATGCCAAAACATTGAAAAATGACAACTCAAGTCGCTTTGGGAAGTATATGGACATTCAGTTTGACAGCCAGGTAAGAATCAAACGACGGATTCAATTTCAACTAAGAAAGAAAAAAGTCTGGACGTTTTTCAGAAGTGCCTTGAGTATAGTTCTCTTTTAAAAAAAATGCCAAAGTCAAAGTCTTTCAGGGCCGGAAGCTAATGAATGACACAAGCTGAAGTACACCGGTCTTCATTTTACTTTTAGAACACAAGGATCCATTTGTTCATGACAAAACGTTTCATGATAGAGAAGAAAGACACTGAAAAACAGCTTTCAATAAGAATATATTTCATCCCGAGACGACTTTAAAAATCAGTCCAGTGGGCAATCGGCTAATGTTTTTTCTGCATAGTTGTAGAGCGGCTGTCATTAGGATCATGATGCCCGTAGGGGGATGCGGTCGGAGGCCATATCCTGAACTACCTGCTGGAGAAGTCGAGAGTCGTGCATCAGAATCACGGGGAGAGAAACTTCCACATCTTCTACCAGCTGGTGGAGGGAGGAGAGGAGGGCCTGCTGCACCAGCTGGGCCTGGAGAGAGACTGCCAGCACTATGACTATCTAACCCAAGTATTTTGTAACTCAGTGAGGCTGTTTGGATTAAATAAATAAATGAGATAATACCGTGCATTGACGATGCGCTGCTGTGTTTGCTGGTTCTGACAGGGAGAGTGTGCCATCGTGTCTTCCATTAACGACAGAAATGACTGGAAAACGGTCAAAAATGCACTTCAAATCATCAACATTGATGAGATTAACATTAATGTAAGTTGGATGCACGTTTAATCAGTCACCCTTCCTTTTCGATTTTTTTTAGCATTGAATTACAAATTCTTCATTGTTTGCAGCACTTATTTGGGACCGTTGCGAGTGTTCTCCACTTGGGAAATGTGCGCTTTGACTCCGACAGTAAAGGACGGGCCCAACTTAACGAAAACAATGCAGAGCTGCGCTGGGTCTCAGATGTAAGAAAAGAGAGATTAAATGTCATTAGACAGTCAGGATCCATACAAAAAAGCATAACGTTGGTGTGATCTTCCCCGTAGCTACTTGGAGTTGATGCTCACAGTCTCCAGGAGGGACTCACATACAGGAAGATTGAAGCCAAAAAAGATCAGGTTTTATTTTTGACATGGTTGTGTTTCTTATTTAAACTTTGACTTGAAGTTTTTAAAATGTCTCAGTGTAAATGTTGTGTCGCTTTCAAGGTGCTCAGCCCGTTCACAATCGATCATGCCATCTATGTGAGAGACGCGTTGGCCAAAGCCATCTATGGACAGACCTTCACCTGGCTGGTCAACAGGATCAACGAGTCCATGGAGAACAAAGTGGGGAGGAGAAGAGCGGGTGACAGATGAAAAATCCAACACAGTGATCAAGTATTAACTCACTTTATACTTTTTTTTCCCCCAGGACCTTTCAAGGAAGAATGTAATAGGGCTCTTGGACATATATGGATTTGAGGTGTTCTATGTGAACAGGTGGACTCAAAGCTTTCCTATATTCTAACGTTGTGGCACTGATTAATTATGTCTGATCCCCTGATGAAGGCTGCTGTGTAACATCTGACATTTGCATGGGAAATTGCACATACTTGTTTGATTGTCTGACAATGATATTTTCTTACTGAGCTTGGCCCGTTTGTCATGACCTATTTCCTCAGTTTTGAGCAGTTCTGTATAAACTACTGCAACGAGAAGTTGCAGCAGCTTTTCATCCAGTTGACACTCAAGGCCGAGCAAGAAGAATATGAAGCGGAAGACATTGAAGTAAATCAATGACGAAGAGAGATGTTTTTCACACTAACTGGTGTTCAGTGGGTTTCCATTCATATTGTTTTTTTTATGTTTCTCTCTTTCAGTGGGAGCCAGTTCAGTTCTTTAACAACAAGATCATCTGTGACCTGGTGGAGGAGAAACACAGAGGCATCATATCTATCCTGGTGTGTATTCACTCGGAGGGAACAGTTTATTGAACGGACACCGAAGCTGACGTATTGAGGTGTGATGCTGATAATCCTGCAGGATGAGGAGTGTCTCAGGCCAGGAGATGCCACAGATCTTACTTTCCTGGAAAGACTGGAAGAAAGGATGTCCAATCACCCTCACTTTGTCACGTGAGTCTAAAACTAACCTCAACAAAGCACGCAGACCTCACACAGACCTGCGGGAAATTCCAAATGAAAGGAAGTCTACATGGCCAGTACATTTGTTTTAATTATATATCAGCTCTATCTAAATTATACGGTGTAATTCAAAGCTTCTCCTCAACGTGTAACTTTGTTTATCAAACGCTCTGCTGACTGGTGACTCGTGGGTGAGCCGACCTTGAAGAGAGACGGAGGATTAAGTCTGTAAAGCCTTCTGCTCTTCATCACTCTGTCTCTCTTCACCTCTTTGACTACAGGCACAAACTGGCTGACAAAATGACGCGTAAGACACTGGAGAGGGGAGATTTCCGTCTCCTGCATTATGCCGGGGAGGTCACCTACTGCGTTGTGGGTAAAGGAAACCACAATGTCAGGCACTGTTACTCAAATATAAACCTTTTTTCTTCAACAGACTAATAGTTTTTTTGTTACATTTTAGGTTTCCTGGACAAAAACAATGACCTGTTATATAAAAACATAAAAGATGTGAGTCTGTTTATATTATTTGAAGCAAAGAGTGGTTCTATTCATGGGAATTTAATCAGTACATTATACGGATTATCAGTTCTGTACACCTTTACAATAAAGTTTCCAAACTTATTGTACAACCGATTTTCTATCACACATTGAATGGAATTTGTGCGTTTTAATTTATGTGTGTTGTCTCAACCTCTCATAGCTGATTTGTCAGTCTAAAAATGCCATAATCAGCGAAAGCTTCTCTACAATGGATTCAGACAGCATGAGGAGACCAGAAACAGTGAGTCCAGGCTTGAGCCTCCACATCTTTTCAGCTGTATCACAGAGGATGTTGCGTAGTGTCGGCAAGTTACACACAAACACTTATTTTCTGGTCATTATCTGAAGTGGGAACAGATAAAAAATGCCATACAGTGTAATTCGTAAGCATCCAAAACATTGATGAAACATTTCAATCACATGATACATTGAGGAATGTAGTCCAATCAGGACATACAACGTTTATATATATGGAGCACGTTTTTTAATAGACAGGCACAATGTAGTTTACAAATGAGAAGAATTAAATCAGCAAGTGGTCCACATCAGTGGTTCTCAACCTTGGTCACGACACCCCACAATATAAAGGTTGATGGTTGTGATCGCTCTTATGAATAAATAAATATTGAAAATAAATAATACTTTCTCTGTGAGTACAGTTTTGTTTCTTTTTAACAGATTACTCTGAGGCATCGTCCAATGTGCTCCATACTGTTGGTTTTGATGGTACTCGTGAGAAAATGTAAAAAAATCTTCCAAAAATGATTTTATAACCCCCCTTGTGTGTTGCGATGGGTTGAGAACCACTGGTTTAAAAAGAGCGACCGCTGACACGAAAGCAGGTCCTTTCTCTTTTCTCTGGCACTCTGACCGTGTCACATGTGTGCGACAGATGAACTGCTGAACGGCATTGGGACCCTCGCGTTGTCTCTGCAGGTGGCGACCCAGTTTAAGAGCAGCCTGCTGAAGCTGACAGACATCCTAATGGCCAAAGACGCCTGGTACATACGCTGCTTAAAACCCAATGAGTCAAAGCAGCCAGGTGAAAAAGCAGAACGTGCGTGGGACCGTTTTGTTGACGGGATGGAGATGTCTGATGCACGTCTCTCTGCATGCACAGGTCATTTTGATGAAGCTCTGGTCAGACACCAGGTGAAGTACCTGGGCCTGATGGAGCACCTCAGAGTCAGGAGAGCCGGTTTTGCATACAGACGCAAATATGAGGTCTTCTTAAAAAGGTATGAAGGACCACAGAGCTTTGGCCTCATGCTTGATTTTGAAATGAAGACCCTCCGTTTGAGTAGTTGCTCTCCAGAGCGTCTTTTGAGTGGGCGGTATGCTGCATCTTGCAGATATAAACCTCTGTGCCCCGCCACATGGCCTCACTGGAGAGGACTTCCCGCTGATGGAGTGGAAGTGCTGGTTCAACATCTGGGCTACTTGCCGGATGAGTACAAAATGGGACGGTGAGGACAGCACTGAGAAACTTCAACAGAGAGAACGCATTTTATGAGTAACCAAAAACATTTGTTTGTGTCTTTGTTTAAGTACCAAAATATTCATCCGTCATCCGAGGACACTATATGCCACGGAGGATGCATTCGAGAAATGTAAACACGATCTGGGTGAGTGCAGATGTGGTGTGATTTGAGTCTCGGTGGTCACTAGTTGTGCACAGTGGTGTGATATTATGCTCTGACTCTGCAGCAACAAGGCTCCAGGCGAAATACAAGGGATACAAAGCGAAGGGAGAGTTCAGAAAACAGAGAGAAGCGGGTGAATGATCCAATGCAACACGTTGTGTTACGTGAGTGAAGGAATCCCACTCGGCCTCTTAAGTTTCTTTTTATTTCAGCCACAAAGATTGAAACGTGCTGGAGAGGAGTGCAGGCTCGGAAGGAGAGAGACAGGAGAGCCTGGGCTGTCAAAGTCATCAAGAAGTAAGAAAGGACATGAAACATCCATCCACAGCTCCTCGTGGTGTTAATGTCAAATCGATCACCGCTTCAATATTCTACCACTCTTCTCAGATTCATCAAAGGTTACATGACCAGAGGACAAGCGAAAAACACAGATAACTCAGAGTACCTGGCCTTTGTGAGACAGAACTACTTGAACAGGCTCAAAGGCAACCTGCCGAAGACGGTTTTGGATAAAACTACCTGGCAAACTCCACCGGCAGTGTTGGCGGAGGTACTCTGACTAATCAGCTTTAATGTTCAACCGCTCACGTTCAAGCTCAGCTTTCATTCTGACACTGTGCATGTTTTCGTTCTCGGCAGACATCAGAGATCCTGCGAAAGCTTCACTACCGCCTCATGGTGCGGAAGTATGTGAGAGGAATCACTCCCCAAAAAAAAGCCCAGGTGACATACATGTAAATACATCATCTAAAACTACATCCCCGTGTAGCCGCTTCGTCGTGACGAACTTCTTGTCCCTTCAGTTTCAAATGAAGCTTCTTACCAGCTCCATCTTCAAGGGCAAGAAGGAGAGTTATCCACAGAGTGTCGCTCAACCTTTTGTGGACACCAGAATTAGTAAGTAGCAGATCCATTCACAGCACGCCCCCTTTTCCTGTTGATCATGTTCACCACCACTTAATGTTTCTAGGTGAACAAGACATCAACATGAGGGTTCTCCAGATGATTCGCAATGAGCACATTAAGGTAATGACATGTTATTATGCACCCAAAGGAGATCAAAACACAAGTCAATGCACCGTGTTCTTTCTTCTGGTGCAGTACGGTGTCCCGGTGATCAAGTACGACAGGAACGGCTTCAAACCGAGGCCACGACAGCTCGTCCTCACCCAGAGAGCCGCCCATGTGATCGAGGAGGCCAACATCAAACAGACAGTGCCGTACACCTCGCTCAAAGGTGAAGGCAACGTCACATCGTGCATTTCACCCACAGGGATGTTTCTCTATTAGGCTTTAAGTGTCTGTGCTTCACTCATTGAAGGTATTTCGGTCAGTAACTTGACGGACGGGATCGTCGTATTCCACATAGCATGTGAGGTCCCTAAACAGAAGGTATGTGAATGTTATACAAAGAGGGATAATTGGACGTGTATGACCAACCTCTTTGTGACTTGCACTACTGATATAGCAGCCTTTATTATGTGTTACTGGGAAATAACTTGTGGAACAAATGAAATGTGTTTGATATTATAACTGGAGTACAGATTAACAGAGAGCACTTTCTTCAGTCTTAGAGCAGCTTTACTTTTACACTTCAGTGAAAGGAAGCTGAGTAAATTGCTCAATTCATGCAGCCAATTATCAGAGCATCTTAAGTCCTTTGATAGAATAGAAGATTACATTTTGTATGTTGGTTCCATGTGTCTGTGTATTATTTTGTGATTGTTTCAGGGGGCCCTTATCATGCAGTGCGACACGTTGTTTGAGTTTTTGACCAAACTCAGTATCATTGCTAACAAACAGAATGCAATCCAAGTGGTTCATGGGAGGTGAGTGCGTGTTCAAGAAAAACCAAACAGGTCGGACGTGACACGTGCTTCCACCTGAAACTCTTGCGCTTCGACTCTCAGCATCCAGTTTGAAATCCAGGCGGGTAAAGAGAGCGCGGTGGACTTCAGCAGCGGACAGGAGCCCACGGTCTACAAGGCCAAGAACGGACACCTCATGGTGGTGAGACGGGTGCCGTTATGACGAAGTGATATGTGATGCTCTGCTTGGTAGAAAAGGATCCTACATGAATCAAGCCGTTTGCCACCGCAGGTTGCCGCTCGGGCTCGGACGCGGTAACGTGTGTGGGGTTTGGAAGACACACGAGAAGCCACTGCATGTTTCATTAGGAGACCCCCGAGGGGAGATCAACGCGTCCGACAGAAACACACCTGGCCAGAAGCACTTAGCATCTCTGAATGAGCTTGCTTTGTTGAACGGCAGCACGTTTCGCATCTGTACATATGAGTTACACTGCCTGGACTGTGAACCAAACAAAACTTCTTAAATGCACTTATTGATAAAATGCTTCAAAAAATGGGAAATTTGGATCCTCCCACTGAAGCCATGTGTGTTATACTTTTGTATTTCCGCTGACAATGATAACACGCTAAATAGAAGAACCACAAAAGCATATTTGTAGAAATGTATTTGTGATAAAGTATGTATAAATATAAAACATACATATATTTTCACTTCTGTACAACATACCTACAAGTACTGAGATTGTTAGATATATTTCAACTTAAACCTATTGTGTGCAAACAGTACATTCTCTGATGAATGTGGGGATGAAGGACAGGTCTAATTTTTCTTCGTGTTAAAAGCTCGTGGACAGGATTCCCTCCCTGCCAGGGAGAACTCAGGTTACAGTCATTCACTTCAACCTCAGCATCCATCATTCAATCTCCTCAGTACATTTAACACCTCGGGTCACGGCTCAAGTTCCCTCCACTGACAATAATAGCGATCATTTGTGTGAGTGAACGGAAAATGCATAAACATTAAAACTAAATCGGCAGAAGCACTACGATGATAAGTTGTTCCTGCGTTCGATATCGTAATCTCAATTATCAAAAATTAATACAAATTCCCCCCAAAAATGTAGTTGCTAAAATCCACAAGCTACAGAAATAGCCATGGTAAAATATTGTAAGAGTAAAGTAGCGCCCCTATGTGGCGCCATTGCGTACTACATGGTTTCAGATGGACACATAAGAACCCCGGTAAGGAGAAGCTAAAATTATTTTCATTAATATTTAGCTCCTAACATCATTCTTGTTCTCCTCATTATAGTGCAGTACTGCAGTGTAGCAGACTACTCTTTATATTCCTTTTCTGTTTTCACACAATCAGGTAAAACTGTGTTGCTTTGATGAAAAACAACCTCTGGTCACTGGTTGTTTTGAATTTGAACACTCAGGTCTACGGGTTCCTGCACACAAGTCATCGTGACCAAAAAAAAGACAGAACAGAACAGTACATCCTGTTGGACCGCACAACGAAGACAAAACACAAACAAACACAAAAATTACACCACCGATATACCGTATGACACACATCTCATCGTAGTCTCCTGGAGAAAAAGCTGGTACAATACGACGGAGAGTGCGACAGGAAGGCGCCCGGTGATGTAAGGCACAAGCGTGGGGCAAAGACTGTCGCGGGTCAGAGACGCCGGCTGGCTGGTCGAAGGTCACTGATGGTGGTGTGTGCGGTCATCGGGGCGCTTGATGTGAATCCTACGGACCCGCTCGATTCGATCTCGCTCCTCGTCCTCGTCCAGATGATGAGAACGTCCTGCAGCGCCCCCTGTTGCCTCCAGCAGGGCATTGTCTGGACCCCTTCCATCATGTGACTCGTACAGCAGGATGTTGAGGGTCTCCTCATAGATCCGGGCCTCAGGGAACTCAACCTAGCAAGTACAGATCAGACATATTTAAACGCCTTGCTGTGGCATATCTTTACATAAGACCAAAGAACTCTTTAGAATGGCCATTTAGCCAATATATATTTACCTTTGTCTGCTTCTTTTCTGTGGCATAAACTATAGAAGTGCAGCACACTTCAGCAATCTTACGTCCCTGGCCGTAAAACGACCAACAACAGATCTCATCCCCAATCACATCTTTGATGAAGAGCACTCGCCCGTTGAACCGCAATGAGAGCTTGTCAAACAGCTCAATATTTTTCAGCATGTTGTCATCAGAATTACTGAAAGACACAAACGTGTTAGAGAATGGTGATCTATTCAAACAGCTTCTGTGAATTACCCAAATTACGTTTGTTATGCATTAGACATCCTGATATTGGATGGAGTGCGCTTACCTGGTATATGAATATTTGTTGTTGCTTCGGTTATACAACAGTTTGACAGTAGGCTGCGAAAACACAGATGTTTGTATTTTGAAGAAATAATAATTTCTCAATTAGTTTACTTTGGGATTGAAGACTCGAAATGAAGTATGTTGTGTTTAAATAAGCCTATAACCTACCTTATTTGAGGTTGCAATTAGCTTCTGCTCTTCCTTAGAGGATGTCATCAGAGGCACTTTACAAAGGGGTTCGTAAGATTCTTTGTTCTGTACAAGAAAATAATGAATAAATTGTCCATTTTTGTTAACAAAAATTCCACCACACATATAAATGATATTTTATATATTAATGTACAGTAAGGTCCACTATGTTAACACCTTTAAAACATATTTAAATAAATGCTTAAAAACTTAAATTTTTAGGTAGAAATGAGAGTCAGTAATTCTTCTGTGGAGTTAATTGACCAGTGATTCTGAAGCTCTTATATCAGCTGACAGTCCTATGTGGAGTTGGTACCTGCAAGGCAGCCGTGCATTCGTCAGCCAGGCCTTGGACAAGGTAATACTTGGCCTCAGCGAGCAGCTCCTCCGTTTCCCGTCTGCTGTCTGGGAGGGGCACTGCCCCGTCTCTGAGGTAGTTAAGGATGGTCCCGAAATGCTTCCCACAGCGATCAATCAAAATCCAACCTGGAGACATCAAATGGTAAAATGTAGTTTGTAAATGATCATAGCCAGCGAAGGGCTGACATGAGCCTTAGATTTAACTTAAACATTGGCACCAACCGCTCACCTTCACTGTCTGTGAGGACTTCCATCCTGCCACTGAACATGGCCTTGAGCATGGTGTCCTGTTTGGTTAGTGTCTGCATTGTAGTGTAGTACAGTGCTCCACCCACGTTTAACTTCACATATTTAGAACTGGGGCTGGAGCCCTTGAATGATGTCGTCCGTGTTGTAGCTGCTGGCACTGCCGAGCTCACCACACTCTCTCCTGACATCTCTTCCTGGGAAAGAAATATATGTGGGTGACCCCTGAATTAGTGCTGTCGTGTCACTGGATCAGCTTGGTTTAAGACAAACTGATTATCACACAAGTTGAATGTAGAAGTGAAGATAACTTTTCTAATCCGCTGGCTAACGTTAGTTGACTTCACGAACTGTTTAGAACTCAAGCTCTTTTTTTCGATGCTGGACTCTTATACCTCAGAACTTTAGCAAGACTTTGACGATAGTAAATCAATGGCATCAGCACTGGGGCAATAATTTTATTAATACAAAACCCTGGACGAATAAACTGTGACAGAATCTGTCAGATTGTGTCCAAATTATAGAGTCGCTGCTCATATTTGCTACAAGTAAATAATACACGAAACGACTGTAGCTATATGTCCCAGTGTCAAATCATACTTTCAACAAACTTTTTTATTCAATTTCATATTCAGATATTCGATTAACGTTCTAGTCAATAGTAACTAACGTTATACGGGTGGTATCCTTCAACAAAAGGCAAATAACCAGCGATATTACGGTAGAACGACTGTTCAAGGAGTTTTCGTCCTCTATGTATCGTAAAATACAATCTTATTCCTAAATCCAGTAACGCCAAGGAGTCACTTGATTTTAACTAGCTAGCATTGCTAATGAGCTAGCTAACTGGTTAGCATCAACTAAGGTTATCCAATAAAATAAAACATCTGGATAACATCCACATCTTATGCTACTGGCTGTTTGAACACCTATGCAAAAGTATATTAAATGTTTTATATTTTTATGAAACATAAGTATATTTACCATAGAACCCGAAGCAGACTTTATGTTGTAGCTTGCTAACGTCAGTCAGCTAACACCCACTTCCTTCCGGTCCAACGCTGCGCAGTTATGGAAAATGACGTCAACGCTCCGCTGCCCTGTTTAAAGTGACAGTTAACCTTTTTTTGTTAAACGTTACTCAAGGGGTGTTAAATAATACGCAATTCAACACCCACTTGAGTTCACTTTTTGCCATACTACTTTAATCGGCACATTGAAGAGTATTTGGCGTTATAGCGTCAATTACATTCGTCTTCACGTTTCCGTGGTTGAAAGAGTAACAGGGATAAGAGTCCCCCCTCCACAAACTCGACTGCCGGTATAAAACATTTACCATTTAAAGAAGAATTACGCTATTAAGTTATTGTTGAGATAACACGAACAGAGATATTTTTATTTATCTGACATTCTATTGACAAACACTTTGATATTAAGGATTAATAAATCAAGACAAACACTACCCGGATACATTTAGTGCGACACAAGGGATTAATGGCCGCAGTCAATGTACGGACCTCCTCTCATTGTTTACATTTCAAAACAGTATGTCCAACGTGTTTTTCAGGCTGTCATCGATACAGACTCTAGCCTAACACTGCGATAATGATAAATATCCCTGAATGGATGGGAAAAGGTTCTCCGTGAGAGAGAATCAAGTCGACCAGGGGCGAACTAGCCCTGTGTGCTAACTAACCCAGCTCCGTCTTTCCCGTGTCGCCCGCTGCTCCAAAGATGGCAAGTTAGTCTTCATCGTCCGTTTCACTTTCTTCCTGCTCGGATCTCTAAGGACACCCAAATGACTGAAGGGGCATAGCGGCAGTTGAGCCTAAATGCCAGACAAAATCTCCATTTGAGTAAAATCGCACGTAAGTTAAACTCAAATTGAGCCGATGTGCGGTTGTTGGGATGCTACATAATCATAGTGACCCTCTTTATAAAAGCTGATACGGTTTGTCGCTACGATCAATACAATCACGCGGATTGGCGTATGGAAAGTTTGTTCAATTATTATTTTCCAGGGTGCACAATGTTTAGTATACCGCAAAGCTCCAAGTCCGAGTTCCTGGACAAAGCCAGGCAGGCCAGGGAGGAAAGGAGAGGACAGAAGGACAAGGAGAAGTCAGCAATCCTCATCCAAGCCCTGGTCAGGAGATTCCTCTGTCGCTGCAGACTCCAGAAGCAAATACGGTAGTCTGATCTTATTCATTGCAGACTCACTATCACCTGCGATTTGAAGAGCTTTGTGTCCAGCAACTTTTTTTGGTTTCTTCACGGTCATTGCAATTGTTAGCTCAATAATTATGTATGTTGTCTCACCAGGAAAGAGGTTGATGACTATTTTCAAGCTTCCGAAACCGGGACATCAAAAAGAAATGCACTTTCAATTTTCAAAATCACTAGGAAACTACTTTTTGTGTATCGGCTAGAGGATAAGATGGTGAGTTGCAGCTATGCTCTTGATGCGATGCCAATATGTTAATAACAATTCATGTCAGTTCAGTTTCATAATATTGTACTTTCTGTTCTTTGGGGAGACTTTTGAGAGACAGTTAAACAGTAGAAGTTCAAATAACTGTTTTTCGGTTTTCCTTTTTTCACATGGCACAGAGGTTTGAGAAGCTCTGTCGTGCAATCCTCGCCAGCATGGAGGTTGAAAATGAACCTAAAGTGAGTGTGTTTACACCTTTGCCAACCACATATCAAACATTGTTTAAAATAGATTTTGGTCTCAGTGGCTGTTCTCCCTTTTGGACTTCAGGTCTGGTATGTTTCCTTGGCTCTCTCCAAAGACCTTACCATTCCCTGGCTGAAACAGATAAAAGATGTTCTGTGGACCTGCTGCCAACTACTGAAAATTTTGAAGGTCGGTCTTGTTTTGAAATGTTTTAATCTTGATTTTATGTCTTGAATTGTCCATTTCACCGTCTTTTTCTGTTAAGCGCAGCCTGACATACTTCAGGACAATAAATTGGTCACGCTTTACCTCACCATGCTGGTGACCTTCACGGACACTTTAACCTGGCGTATAGTCAGAGGGAAGGGTGAGTATTAAGTCAAGCTCATTTTGTACAATTAAAAAAAAAAATTGTTATGCGATATGATTTCTGCAAAAAAAACAACACAACTTTCCTCTTGTTATTTTAGGAGAAGCTCTCAGACCGGCTTTGACCAGGATTTGTGAGAATATCATGGGCCATCTAAATCAAAAGGGATTCTATTCAATGCTGCAGGTTCAGTTCTTTTTCATTTTCATCAATAGATTGAATGAACTATTGTGGCACCGTCTTTCTTATTTTATCTTGAATAAAATCGACACATTTTGTTATTTAGATCTTGCTGACTAATGGCTTGGCTCGTTCAAAACCGTCTCTCTCCAAAGGCACTCTGACAGCCGTCTTCTCTTTGTCACTGAGGTGAGCTGGTGATTTGGTGGTTGTAATTGCTATTCAAAAATAAGTTGATATCCCAGTTCTAAAGCATGCAGTGGAGGAGACCTGCTGTATCTAATTCCCTTCTATGCAGTCAGCCTTTTGTTTTCTGTGCTTTTATTTTCTAGGCCAGTCATTGCGGCTCACTTCTCTGATAACCTGCTCCGATCATTCCTCCTTCACATCATGTCAGTTCCCGCCGTTGTATCTCACCTCAGCGTGCTTACTCCAGAGGTAAAAGCCCCGTCGCATATCACATCTTCTTCTTGCATAAAAATAATTTGTACTGTTGCGATAGTAGGTTAAAATATCTGTTTCTTCTCAACAGTGTATGGCGTCGATTCAGACGCACGACCTGCTGCGTAAGTTCATTCTGTTCCTCAGCCGGGAAGAACAGTGTTTGGACATCTGTGTGTGTCTCGAGGGAAGCCACACGCTCTGCTTACTCGGTATAGTATTTTGGATGAACATGTGCATATGCGTGATTTAGTTGTGCATGGAGAGAACCGTTGTGTGTCCAGTGGACTGTTAAATCTACCTTTTGACAACTGCATCTTTTTCATGTTTGATAGGCAACCTGATTCACTTGGGGTTCCTTACTGAGAAAGTCCTCGAAGAGGAGGCCAATCATTTTGTGAAGGACCTGACTGACATGCTGTCCTACTGCCAGAGATATGTATCCCAGAAGAAGTCCAACCTTACCCACTGGCACCCTGTCCTGGGCTGGTTCTCCCAGACTGTAGATTACGGGTCAGTGCAATATTTGATATAGAAAAGGGATTCCCAGGAGACCCGAAAAGGAAAACGGCTTTAAGCCCTCGGAATGCAAAAGTTTACATTTTGATTTCTAAATTCTGAAATGACTCTGTTGTGTACCTCCAGAGGAAGAGCTTTTAAATTCAAGGTCCCCGTAGTATTTTACTCCGTCATGTGTTTTTGCACTGTTTTACAGCAATTGTTTCTATACATTGTTCTTAAAAATTATTCACTTTTCATTGAGTAGTTTTACAATTTTAGTTAAAGGTTTTTGAAGGAAAGAAATAGCAGGTATTTTAATTGGTCTCCTCTCCCTCCCGTCCTGTGTAGTCTGAATGAGTCAATGCCGCTGGTCACTAAACAGCTTCAGTACCTGTGGGGCGTTTCTGTCATTCGGACGCTCTTCAGTGACGTCCTCTCTAAAAAGCTGGAGAGTCTGGAGCCGACTCCTCCGCCCCCGCAGCCCAGCACCTCACAAAACAATCTACCAGTTAAAAGTGAGTTAGACACCCAACTCTATTGTAACATTTAAAGAACCGGTTGAAGCAGGTCTTGGGATCCCCGCTAACCCGCGCCCGTGTTTTGACAGACCTCTTCAAGCGTGCATTTCAGAAGTCCGCCTCTGTACGCAACATACTGAAACCCGTTGGAGGCAAGCGAGTGGATTCAGCTGAAGTCCAGAAGGTTTGCAGCATCTGTGTTCTCTACCAGACTGCTTTGTCTACACTAACGCAGATACGACTCCAGATACTTACCGGTCAGTACCACAACTTTTTGTATCAAGCAGACATGCAATGTTCGGGAGGCATCCAGGGAAAGCTCATCATGTCCGTCGCTGTGCCTTCTCCGCAGGTCTGACCCATCTCGACGACCTTTTGCCCAAACTTTGGGCCTTCATCTGTGAGCTCGGTCCTCAGGGAGGCCTCAAACTCTTCATGGAGTGTCTGAACAATGACACTGAAGAGTCCAAGCAGCTCCTGGCTATGCTCATGCTTTTCTGTGACTGCTCACGGCACCTCATCACGTAGTTCTTTGGCTTCTTTTGTATTCATTTCTAGTGTGAAATGCCCCATGTTGAAGCAACCATGTTATCAAGCGCTGTTAATGTGTTACAGAATTCTGGATGACATTGAAGTCTATGAAGAGCAAACATCTTTCAAGACCGAAGAACTCATCACCATCTCTTCATTCCTGAACACATTTGTGTTCAAAATGGTCTGGGACGGCATCTTAGGTCAGTGTGTGACCTCCCGTAATCCTGCCGGTCGTGATAAATGTTTTTTTTTTCTGAAAAAGCTGTTTTTTGTCTAATAGAAAATGCTAAGGGAGAGAAACTGGAGTTGTTCCACAGCGTTCATGGCTGGTTGATGGTGCTTTACGAGCGGGACTGCAGGCGCCGATTCTCTCCTGATGAACACTGGCTACGCAAGTAAATACTGACGATGAACAGGGCCAATAGCATAAACAATTTGGCCTTCTGTCTGCGCCTAATGGTCCCATTTGAAGCTCACCTTTGCATCTCTGTGGTGTTGTGTATAGGGACTTGAAGCCCAGCCTTTTGTTCCAAGAGCTGGAGAAGGGCAAAAAAAGAGCCCAGCTTCTACTGCAATACATCCCACATGTCATCCCACATAAAAATGTGAGTCAAAAGGCCAATTTTCTTTTGAGTGTCATTTTTAATTTTCAGTTATATGATTACAATTGCTCTCATTTCAGAGGGTGCTGCTGTTCAGGAACATCGTTACAAAGGAGAAAGAGAGTTTGGGATTGATAGAAACCAGCTCTGCTTCACCACATGTCACGCATATTACCATTCGGCGCTCACGGATGTTGGAGGTATCGCATCGTTTTTTGCCTCACAGCCAAATTGTCTTTTTTGGTTCTTCCGCAGTATACATATAGTATATTTCTCTGTCCCAAGGATGGATACGACCAGCTCCGCAGATTACCAGCAAACTCCATTAAAGGCGTCATTCGTGTCAAGTTTGTCAACGACCTGGGAGTAGACGAGGCTGGTATCGATCAGGATGGAGTTTTCAAAGAATTTCTAGAGGAGATCATTAAAAAAGTGTTCAATCCGGCTCTGAATCTTTTCAAGGTAAGCCAGGCAGATGGAAAGCCCTTTAAAAAAAACAACCACTGCTGCCAAAATTGATTTGACTGTTTTTGTATGATCTGTAGACTACGAGTGGAAACGAAAGGCTGTATCCTTCCCCAACATCTTACATCCATGAGAACCATTTGCAGCTATTTGAGTTTGTGGGGAAGATGCTCGGGAAAGCCATGTATGAGGTATATTTGTTGATCCATCGGTTGTTCTGAGCACTGTTATTAGGGTAATCCTCCGCTGATGTGTAACTTGACTCCCGCATCCTCAGGGCATCGTTGTGGACGTCCCTTTTGCCTCTTTCTTCCTCAGTCAAGTCTTGGGTCACCACCACAGCACTTTCTACAGCTCCATCGACGAGCTGCCCTCGCTGGACTCTGAGTTTTACAAAAACCTCACTTCCATCAAGGTTGGCTAAAATCATACTTGGGAAATCTGTTTGCCAAATATAAATCCCGTTTTGATCTTTAGCTAGCGTTTCTTATTTTCTTTTCTTTTCCTTTTTTAGCGCTACGATGGAGATATAGGAGACCTAGGACTGTCACTATCCTATGATGAGGATGTAATGGGGCAGGTGGGAACGGACCGTGTGCAAGCCATGACAGAGTGCAGTTAAAAACATGAAATTCACGAGTTCCTTTGTATGTTGCATTCCAGCTCGTCTGTCATGAATTGATACCTGGGGGGAAAACCATGCCAGTCACCAACGAGAACAAGTATGTAGATTCATAGCCATGGCAAAAGATGACTTTCTTTTGAAATCTGAAATGTTCCCGATTGTTGTGTGCTCTGCGATCGCCGTCTGACGCCGACCTAAACCCGACCATTTCCTGCAGGATCAGCTACATCCATCTGATGGCTCACTTCCGGATGCACACGCAGATTAAGGAGCAGACCGCAGCTTTCATCCGCGGCTTCCGCAGCATTATAAACTCAGAGTGGCTGCACATGTTTTCCACCCCTGAGGTTCAGCGTCTTATCTCAGGAGACAACGCAGAGATCGATCTCGATGACCTCAAGTAGGTGACGCTTCAAACATCTCTAATGAGCAGACTAAATCCCTCTCGTTTCCTCTCTGTGCCACTACACAGCAGTTGTACTCATTGTGGTGTTAACACGTGTGTCCCGAATTGAACCGAATCGTTCTGTTAATTCAGCAGAGTCTTCCCTGTTTGCTTCCTGTGCACAGAGCTGCTGATCATTGTTTTCTGTGCTGCTCTTTCCCAGGAAGCATACGGTCTACTATGGAGGTTTTCACAGCAGCCACCGTGTCATCATCTGGCTGTGGGACATCCTGTCCAGTGACTTCACCTCTGACGAGAGGGCTATGTTCCTCAAAGTAAAGTGTTTGTACATTTCATAGCCAAAAGCTGTTAATTCTTACCCCTATGTGCCTTACCATCGTTTTATTTACTACTGTGTGTGTTTTTACAGTTTGTCACCAGCTGCTCCAGGCCGCCTCTTTTAGGTTTTGCCTACCTCAAACCACCTTTCTCCATCCGCTGTGTGGAAGTTTCGGATGACCAGGTAAGGATAAAAAAGGAGTAAATTGATGCAGCTTAGGAGTTGTGATGCATCCACGTTTTGCGTTTGTACTAACGGAGCATTTCCTGTCTCTAGGACACCGGAGACACCCTCGGCAGTGTTCTCAGGGGCTTTTTCACAATCCGCAAGAAGGAGCCTGGTGGTCGACTTCCCACTTCATCAACATGCTTTAACCTGCTCAAGTTGCCTAATTACAGCAAGAAGAGCATCTTGCGTGACAAGCTGCGCTACGCTATCAGTATGAACACAGGCTTTGAGCTCTCCTAACTCCGCTGCACCGGGACAATCTTTGCAAGAGGCTCGTGTTATGCAGCCTGAGCTGAAAAAGAGGCTGCACATACCCGGACTGCAGCCTGCCAAGTCAGAGGAGGGTCACCTAAACAAGAGGGGGGAGCAATGAAGGACCTTTAAGGACTCCTCCTTTTGTCTCTTTTTAAAACTGGACGAGGTCTGCTCTAAGTCAGCCCCCTCTCTTACGTCGAAGGGGATGCTTTTTCTGCAGCACAATCCAATTTTTAACCATCTTCAATTTTGCCACTCCCAAAATCCAATATGTCGTGTATTTAACTTGATGAAATACACATATACAGTTGCTGGAACTCTCATTCTCAGGCTTAACAGAATCACGCACGGATCTAACTCCCATTTTAAGCAAACTGGAAAGCAATACAGATGCAATGCAAACCATTATACACGTGGACGACTCACTCGAGGGAAAGGGGTTGTTACTTACAAGGTTGGACCCCATTATCTAAGCAACTTAACCGGAAGACAAATCAATTTCTTGGGTTCAGCCTCCATAAAGGAGGAGGGACTCACAGCAGAACTCCTGTGTTGATTGCATTATGTTTCATTTTGATCTCGCTCCAGTTCTCCTCACTAAAAGCCGCTGCTCTCACCACCCGCCACCCCCCGCCCAGGATTATAGAGAAACATTCTCTGTCTGTGGAAGTTTTACCCTTAGGTAAAAAAAGACTTAATGTTTGGGCACTAATTTGTACCTGGATGTTAATCAGAGACAATGGTTCATTGTCAGACATCTATTCCAAAAAATGTAAATGAATCAACGATGTTAGTCTTCAACCTTAATATTAGTGAAGCTGAAGATTTCTCACTACACCTTTTGGACAACGTTGAGTGCCTCATATATCGCCACCGCGCTTTGCTCCCACACCTTTGACTGTAACCAATAACCATCGGAAACAAGCCATAAAAACGGGGCCATGTACCTGGACTTAATCTCTACTTCTACTAACAAAAAAGCGCAGAAACCCAACAACTACTACAACAATAACATCAACAACTGATCTCTGTGGACTTTTTGAGCCGTGCGGAAAAAGAATTTGGGGTTCAAACACCTCAAAATGATGTCATGGACTGGTTTCTTTCTTGATTTTATTTTCCCTCTAATGGAAATATTGCAGAAAGCGACACACGGGGGGATGTTACCTCATGAGCCTAAATATTACTTAACACAGGGTTCAATTAGATGATAAAGGAAGTTGGTCATTTACAACTTCCAAAGAAAGGGTTGAAAAATATATATCAAATCTTTAACAAGTTCTTTATTATGCAAAAATGTTTTCTGTGATGAGTGAGTATGATACTTTTTATTGGGCAACACAAGCTATAGAGGCTACTGGTCATTGTTGCCATGATATTAACTAGTAATATCATAGACATTAACTTGTGTGAAAACAAAGGTTATAACAATATGTAACACTTGTCCTATTGACTTTCCCTGCAGAATACTAATGAGATTAAACTAGTTTCTGATCAGGCAAATCAGTCAGGAGGATTTAGCTACAGCTCCTTCTGATCTATTCCAGAGGAAATACTGCAAATGGATTTAAATGACATGATACACTTTTGTGTGTGAGTGTGCCGGAGAGATGAAAGTTACCTCAAAAGCTTGTCTGTCTTGTGATGAGGTCACTCATCTGATTTTAAAATGATGTCAAGAGTGGGCTAGACTTTAAGTGTACCTTTGGGCTGCTGATGCCGACCGTTAACTATCTGCTCTTTTACTACAAAAACTAACAAAAATGACCCTGGAAATGTTTCCATTTCCTGTTCAATTGTTCATCTTTTCTTCAAGTGTCTTTGAGACTGCACTACAGTATGGTGTGTTGTTGTGAACAAAAGAAAGTGAGCGTTTCCCATGTAAGATTTGTCCATGTGTAAAATACTTGTCGTCTATGTAATCTTAAGTCATGTATACCGTTATTATATAAATCATTTGCTTTGAATCCTGTGTTTTTTTTTCCTCAAGCAAGCACAGTGTTTTTAGGGTTGCTCCGTATTGGAATTTGCCCGATAGACTCAAATAGCTGGATCAAGCATCGCTCACAATGGGTACAAAGTTCAATTCTATGTTTATATTTACATATTACACTGGAATTTTAATTCCTGTTCAAGTTTCAATGTGTTGCTCCATTTATATGTCCAGCCTTGAATTGCAATTTCGTTTCATTTTGAATATTGTATTTTTACAATTGTGTTGCCCTTGGTGTACAATTTATTATTTTAATAATAAATACCAATTCAGGACATTTATATACATGCATTTAATTGTTGCACTTTTCTTTACAAAGTAAGGTTTATATCGAGCCAGATGTTTCCGTGCACATGCCAGAATAATCCCAGTGACTGAGACAGAAATCCAGAGCTGCAGATGACACGATGGTTCATTACCAACACCTGCTGCGTGTGCCCCCCCCCTGCGGAATGGATCATCTGCGCATGTCTGAGGTGTGTCGTTAACAGTCTGGTGATTGACAGCGAACCCCGTTTCGCATCAACAGGGGGCTTCGTGAACACTGACACAACAACACGTTGATCTCACTTCCTGCTGACGCACGCGGCGGATTAAGGCGTGAAATCGCGCGTCTGAGCCACGCGCGCACTCCATTGTGCGTGACCCTCCATCAGAGGACTTTCTCAACCCTGCAGCCGAACCCGAAGAACATAATGAGCCTCGAGCCGAGCCCGTCCTCGTCCTCGTCCCCGTCCCGGTGGATCAGAGTACCGCAGAGGTAACCTTAAAAACAATACTTATTACGTATATGTATACATTGAATTGATGGTGAGTGCTCACCTCCCCAGGCCCACGTGATGGGGTTAAGATTATCAGTCACCTGATTGGCTGGACTTGTTAGCAGGATTTTCATGATACTCGCATGCCAGTGGGGTTTTTACTTAACTGGTGCATTGGCTTAATTGTACACAAACCGCACTCAGAAAAGGTCCAGCAGTGGAGAATTCATGACTCACATAGAACATGAGTGGGAAAAAAAGGGCATGCACGTCTTGTCAGAGGAATGGCCGGTTAACATGCAGAAGGTAAAGTGATAAACTGGGGGTTTAGAATGTTTTTAATTGATTTAAAAACTAGTGACTTGACTGCTGTTTCAGGACTAGGCTGGGGGAGCCCTGCCTGAAGACGGACCCCCTTGAGTGTGTGGATCTGCTGAGCAGGGCAAGAGTGGCCTTCCGAGCAGGACGGACCATCGTGGAGGTCTTCAGACTGGCTCAGCTGGAGGCTGTTGTGCGGATGCTTGAGGAACACGAGTGTGACTTTGTGGATGCTCTTGGAAGGGACCTCCATAAGGTGAGTGGTGAAGCAGTGGAGTCCTAATGTTTATCAAAAACGTGAGGAAATTATAATGTTGTTTTTTTTAACCAGCCAAGGTTTGAGACTGTTGTGTCAGAATTGATTCTGGTGAAGAATGAGGCCCTTCATGCCATCAACAACCTAAAGAAGTGGATGCAGCCGCAGCACGTTGAAAGAAACCTGGTGAGTTTGTCGGTGAATTTGTTTCCGATAACGTCTCGAAGTCATATAATTGGGATTATTCAGGATTTTCTCAATCTTTTGAGTCAGAACATTCTGTCGCGCTGCCTCAAAGAAGGCATTGTGCCGGCACCACCAAAGCAGATTAAAACTTCCGTTGCCTTTCGCTTTCCATAACTGAAGTGGGCTGTTGTCAGTTCCTTTTTGTTAGTCAGACTGTGCCCTGATGCAATCGTCCCTCCTTGGGAGTTTATTTTCACTTGTAACTTCAGTTTGAGCCGTCTAATTAATGTAGTCCACCACGTTGGACGAGTGTCTTGTATTCAGTGAGCCGCTGGGGGTGGTGTTGATCGTGGGGACCTGGTGCAATCCGGTGCAAACCTGTCTGGTGCCGCTGGTGGGGGCCATCGCTGCAGGTGCAGAGACCCTCATTTAATCAGTGTAATTCCGGTGTTATTCATCCTCACACAGGCTTACTGATTTTATCTGATTAATCTGTGTAGGAAACTGTGCCGTCATCAGCCCCTGTGAGTGCACCGCTCACACAGCAGAGCTCCTGCATCGTCTCATTCCCTTCTACTTGGACAACGTGAGTAATGATGAAGTAGAGAGCTGGACATTTTTCAATTTGCACGCTGTGGCAGCTTTTATTGATTGTCTAGAAGTCTTACAAAGCATGTCTCTCTCTGAGGTCTTTTAGCTCAAATACTGAGTGGTTTAGTGAATGCTTAGTGCATTGCCATCATTTGAGCAAATGATTAATTTGCATGACTTCCCGAATTTGTATGAATTCGGGAAGTAGTAAGTTTGTGTGCTTTATGAAGAAGGCATTAGTTCAGTGAGCGGTGTTAATGTGACACGATACTTCCATTAGGTAAGACCGCCTCGAAAGATGCCTCCTCAACCATGACTTTGAAGGCCTACTGTTGAAGCCACAGTGCAACTGTAAACATTTTTTATTCAATCTAAAATTTTCGTTTTCCTCAAGGAATGTTTCCACGGGATCCGGTCTGGCACACATGTCTTACCAGAAGTTGTGGAACTTAAATTTGACCATGTCTTCTTTACGGGTAAAGCTGAACTTAACCATAACATCTTTTTGTGATTACACGTTACGCATTATACATTATGCCCGTCTCTCAATCCCTAGGCAACAGGGAGGAGGGAAGCAGAATTGCTACGGCTGCAGCTCGCACACTCACACCCGTCACCCTGGTTTTAGGCGGCAAGAACCCCTGTTACGTGGACCAACACTGTGACATTTCCACCACCGCACAGCGCATTGCTTGGGCCCGTTTTCACAACGCCGGACAGAGCTTGGTGGCTCCTGACTACATCCTGTGCCACACGGATGTCCAAGCACAGCTGTTGCAGGCCCTGAAGTGCTGCTTGATGCAGTTCTATGGCTCTGATCCCAGAGAGTCGCGCAGCTACGGCCGCATGGTCAATCTGGAGATCTTCAACCGTACAAGAGACTTGCTGTGGAGATCTGGCAAGGTGGCCGTGGGAGGCCAAGTGATAGAAGCCGAAAAATATATCGGTATGCATAACAACTAGGTAAACCGTGTCCTGTGCATTGCATTTAATGCTGTTGTTCATTTATTTTTTTCTGTCTGAAGCGCCAACAATCTTGACGGATGTAGCAGAATCAGATCCCATCATGCATCAGGACATTTTTGGGCCAGTTATTCCTGTTCTGACTGTAAACAACATTGAGGAAGCGATTGCCTTCATTAACAAGAAAGAGAAGCCCCTCTGTGTGTATGCATATTCCACCAATAGCAAGGTACATGCAACTCTAGTTGTCCTACCACATTCATGGGAGCCTGGTGCAGCCGATGGGTTTTGTGATCAAGGGTTGGCCTGTCTGACACTGCAGGTAATATCAAGGCTGATGAGTGAGACCTCCAGTGGAAGCTTCTGCTCCAATGACAGCATCCTGCAGAGTCTGATGGTGGCTCTACCATTCGGTGGAGTTGGTAAGTAGGTGGCAGCAGAGTACAAATTATGCACAAAGAAAAAATAGAATATTATTACTTCTATCAACCCCGCCAACACATATTGTTTAACAGGTTCCAGTGGGATGGGTTCCTACCACGGCCGCCAAAGCTTTGAGACCTTCTCTCACAGGAAGTCATGCCTGCTAAGAGGCACGCGGTTTGAGTGTGTAACCTATCTGCGTTACCCACCCTATGAGGACCACAATCTGTCTCTAATGACGTGGGCCAATACCCTGTCCCAGAGGAGCCAGGGCTGGTGCCAGATCCTGTGACTGTGTGTGGAAGACGTCTGAAGATGGCAGAGGCCCTTTTCAGTCCTGACGTGCAGATTTATTGTATTAATATGACCACAAAACCTACTGGGTTGCCGCCGCATCTAACGGAGGGTGAGCAATATAAATAGTGTCCGTTTTAAAACCTGGGTGACAACAATAATAAAGATTACGCCAAGAGATATTTTGCAGTACAGTGCAAAATAAGTTGGTTTAAGAAGTGTAGTGCTGCCTTTATTTTCCCGTCATGCTGAGTAGAAAAATGCATCACAATAAGAACAATTTTAGAACGCATTCATATTTATTGAATTATTTACAATAAAAGTGTTCCCAAAAAAAAAGTGTTGTGTAGAATGTGGTCATTCGGGTCTCTTGTAGATTTTTGCCTCGTTGCCTTCTTTCTTTGCTGCGTATCTGGCCGCAGTGAACAAGTAGTCGCTTAATCTGAAAATGTTGGAACATTTTATATACTGCGCAATAGAGAAACCATGTCCTCACATTAGGTCTTAAGCAATTTACTAACCTGTTCAAAAACTTTGCAACATCTGGATCGGCTTCGCCTGACCGCACAATTGGAGCAACACTAAAACGAGGACAAAAAGCTATGAGAACCTGGGGGTCCTTATGAAGTGAGTCGGGGGAAGGAACATGCTGTAGCTTACCTGCGTTCTGCCCTACGACACACTGTCCGAGCCAGATGCAAAGCGGCGCTGCCCTTTCCTCCTGACTGTAAACCGCATAACAAAGCTTTAATTGCAACAGATCGCTCTTTAGACTTGAATCTCACGCGCACAAATGAGCTTACTGGTAAAATGAAGTTGGTCAGTGGAGGAAGCTCTTCTGTCAATGTATCAATCCAGTTTTCTAGGTCTGCAATTGGCTGTGCAGTAAATGTAGTTTTCTCTTACAAAAGGGGAACAGAACAAAATGAACCCATGAGATCTTCAAGCACACAACCGCACTAGACAAGCAGGCCGGTGCATACTTATGTGACTCTCTCTTGCAGACGACCGGGGAGTGGCAATATTAGAGCCAACATCTTGCAAAATGCACTGTATCTGGAATGAAAGAGAAAAACAATAGTGTCAAATATGTTGTATCTGGCTCATCTACAACGTATGCAATGAAGGGAATTAGTAAATGCAACATGAAATCAAACCTTGTCCAGCTGATATGTGAATGTGTGACCTTTGTCGAGGCAGAATTCTCTGGCCAAGCTGTAATGTCCAATTCAACACAGTCACGTCGAGTCAGACAGTTAAATAAACAGGTATTACACTGAGAGGGAAAAATATATTGTACCCTATAGCTGATGACAGCTCATCTGTATTTCCCAAGGCTTCAAAAATGTGATCCTCTTTTGGCCTCCTTTCTCCTGTAAATGTGCTGGAGAAACCTTTTGGGAGACACAGCAGGAATTGAGAAAACTTTTGAAGGGACGTTGCTTGATATCAGTGAAACATTTTTTCTTCTTCTAGTTGAGCTGAAATCCAACCTTTGTCTCCAGTTTTGGTGTATATCTTAGGCGGCCCTTTGTCTCCTTCAGTGGCGTAACTACGAGAAATAAAAGGCCCGAAGAAACGAGAGGGCGTGACGTTGGATAACAGCACTTGTGACGTAATCACACCGTGAGAGACACATGTAACGTTACTCAATACGACTCGATTACGAATACGCGTGTTTTGCTTCACTGGGTCTTTGACGTTAAATGTATTCAAGCACTCAATATGACTTTAGGTACTGAGTTAACATTGCATTTATGTAATAGAATATTCCTGTGTTAGCTGTTAATTACGAGCAGTTACAACATGAACGCATTCGCACGCCTCCCTTGAGAAGAACATAAGTACCTTCTGCTTGAATTCAGTGCGTTTCCCGTCCGATACGCGCTGAATAGGCTCTTAAACCCGCCTGTTCTAACAACACAACAGAGGCGAGCAGGTTTCACAACAAACGAAGCCATGTTGAAGCCGAAGGATAGCCGCTAAAGGTGATCGACAGTTGGAAATGTCCCTTGTCCCTCCGCGGCGTCCGTAGTCTATGGGCGTTTCTTTTTCATCGCGCGATTGGTCGACTTGACACGTGGTTACAGAATGCTGGTCGCTGCTTGGATAAAATAACATGTGTTCGTCTATCCGTTGCGCCGATTGGATATTGACGATCGAACCCGTGTTCACTCCGCCTCTCGCGTGTCACTCGTGTTTTTAGCATGTTCTCGTCACTTTCTGCTGAAGGGAGTCTGCCTCTGTCCAAGTCAAAGTCCTTTCACCAAACGTGCTTTTACAAACCTCTGCATGTGTCGCGTGCTTATGAGAAGCGCAGAACCCCTGGGCAGAGCTGTCAAGTGCCCGCTGCAGCTTCAGAGGATTAATATGTGCTAAAGGTGGCTAAGCTAGCTAACAACAACATCATCGGTGACTGGTTTGAGTGAAAGCTGCCCATTCTGGACCAGGTATTGCAGTCTGGACACTGCTGCAGAAATGCAAGTCCCGGACTTATTCGTGTCCGCTCCAGGGAAGGCGATCCTGCACGGAGAGCACGCGGTTGTGCACGGCAAGGTAAGCCGAAGGAGCAGTTAAATGACGTTATAGTGTATATTTACACACGGTGATGTCTCTATAGAGAATTTAAAAGTGACGCTGGGTAAAGTCAACTTAACAATCGGAGCGGAAAAAAGATCCGAACGCAATAAAGGACCAAAAGTGTGCAGGTCTAGCCAGTTTTTTTTACTTGTATGTGTAATTTATTCAGTTTTAAATGCGAGTGTCCTACTCTACCACCACCAAGTTAAGTAAATTGCATCCCTTAAAAAGGGAAAATGATTTCCCTAATGTACCGTCAATGAATGGAAACCAAGAATAACGCCGAAGGTGTTAAAAAAAAGGCAAAATCAATGTTCTGCCTTGAAACATTATTTGAACTAATGCGTACTGAATTGTCTTAAACGTTTAACCATTTAATCACATTTTGCTTTGCTTCATTACAGGTGGCTCTTGCAGTGAGTTTGAACTTGAGAACATATTTATCGTTGAAAGGCACCACCGCTGGCAGTGTTTGCATCAACCTCCCAAATATTGACACGTTCCTGTCCTGGGACCTGTGCGAACTGAAACGGCTTATTCCATATTCCTGCGGTGAGGGACGGTGCAACAACGAGGACGATTAACACAACCTGAACCTGTGGTCTATACGGCCGATTCTGCATCACACTCACTCAAATTACACACAGGGACGTTTCAATTGTGAGACTTTTTTCTAATGTCCATTAAACGTTTTTTTCATTAATGGCCATTTATCTCCCCTCACATGTAATCATCACGTAAGTGAGCGCAGATCTAAAATGATTTAATAATTAAGGATCCACTGCAGCAATGAACTAGATTCTTTGCATTTTGTCTGAAGACTTTGTTAATGTATCAGTCTTTGGACATATCATTCATTAACTGGAACAATTTACCTGTGGCCAAATGAATACTTTCAGCACTGGTTCTCCTATACTTCTTTTCACTGAGACCAAAGCTTGTTTTATTGTGATGTTATCGTAGTGATCCTGATGTTTGCTGCGTCTTGGTTCTCATGGTATCAGGTAAGACGGAGGAGGTGAAACGTCTGGACGCTGAACTTGTGAGGAAACTACGTGAATTCGTCGGTGTCACCAACGGAAACTTGGATACCTGCAACATGGCCACCTTAGCCTTCCTCTACATCTACCTCTCAGTGTTTGGATCAGGGTACGATACTTCTTACTAGAATTTGTTCTTCTATTTCTTATGGACATTTGGCTTGTCGCACTCTGAGATCTGTTGATGAAGAGTCCATTATTATTACAATGTATTATTTTTTATTTGACGCCCACAAACAGTTTTGTATTTCTTTGATGCAAAAGGAAACTTGACAGCATGTCTAAACAATGTCATACTGTTGCAGAGCTGTGACACCAGTTGTTTCCAGCCAACCTCTGCCGCCTTTCACAAGAAAAATAACAGCAGCAACACTTAAAAATGCAGATGTGTAAAGATTTCATTTCTGTCCTACTGAGCATTTTCTGATGAATGCTGAATGTGAGCACATGCTGGTTTCATCAGTAGTCCCCTGCTTACCAGAATTGTCTCCCTGTGTGCTTTGGTGAGATGAGGAGGAGGAGGAGAAGGAGGAGGACTCCTTAGAGGATTCGAGACTCACTTTTGTGGCGATTAAATCCTAGAATAATGAAGTTTAATTTCCTCCCATTATTTGTACTTTAGCTAGTGGGTAAAAGTGTGAAATGTGAGACCTCAGAATCACTGAGTGGAAAAAAGCAGCTGTAACACTCTGCCTGAAGGCGGTGTTCCTGTTAATATCCAAGCAAATGTTCTATGCCCTAAACTCACACGCAAATTGTTTAATCATTTTATAATGGCAAAGAACGTGAGTCACACTCGTATCACATTTTTCAATATATTATGGTTTGGTTAATTTCCAACTTTGGGGGGGCTGCAGGTGCAGAAATGAAAATGTTGCGGTTGTATCAACTAAATTTCTTAAATTAAACTGGTTAAATTGGTCATAAGCAGGAGTAATTCCATCCTTTTGGAAATGTTTCACTATTTCCTTTCATTGAAAATTTACAAAGATAGTGAAATGAGACAGACAGAAAAGCAGGATGTCGGTTTTTCTGCTGCCAGCACAGAAGATGCTCAGGAACATTAGAGCCGCAGGTTGCCGAGATGTTCAATCGGTGCTGACACGGTGCGCCGTGTCTGAACGAGGCGATGGGTTCTGACAGCACGGCCCCCAGTGAGAGTCTGGCGCTGGGCCACGCTGCCGCCTTTAACCAGTCTGCCCGTGCGTTTCCCTCGAGAGAAGAGCCGAACAATTCGTTCAGAGTGTTCTCCTGTCAGCCCAAAAGCAGCTTCCCTGACAGGCATTGGCGCCGTGTTGAAGCTGCTTTCTGTTGCATTAGTTAGTGTATGGATTACTTAACATGAAACACTATAATAATAAGTTAAGTAAAGAAAAGCGACGATGTTCGTTTTATGTAAGGCATAGATCCAGCATCACGTGTTTGTCTACATGGGCTCAGTGTGTGTGTTCGTGTCCTCAGGGAGCTGCCCAGCCTGACGGTGACTGTGTGGTCTGAGCTGCCTACTGGAGCGGGACTGGGCTCAAGTGCCGCCTACTCTGTGTGCTTAAGTGCAGCTCTGCTCTGTGCAAATGGAACCATCCCCGCTGCTCTCAAGGAGTGGGAACCCGCTGCCAGGTGATGACATCATATGAAGGGACTGTCTCTTTTATGAGCAACTTCTCTTTAGCTTTATAAGCATTTATTGAACGTTTATGGCTGTGTACCAGTGGGTTTGCAGATGAATATGTAGTTTGGTGGTTTGGTCTGTGATGCTCTGTTGGGATACTTATGTCTCCTTTGATTTAAAATGAATTCCAGGTGGTGTCAGGAAGACTTAGAGCTGATCAACAGCTGGGCTTTCCAAGGGGAGATGATCATCCACGGGAATCCTTCTGGAGTGGACAACGCTGTAGGAACATGGGGTGAGGTCCGATATTATCTGGCACACATCGCAGTATTACATTACATTACATGTCATTTATCTGATGCATTCATCCAAACCATAAGGATACAAACCCAGAAGAACAAGAAACAAGAAATGAAATTTCATCAAATGAGCTGACTTGCAGTACAAATGGTGTTATACGTCCTGTTGTCTTTATGGACTTTGTGTAGAACATTCTTTAATGGAGCCGCTACTGTTGTCATTGTCATTTCATGATAATCTATTTTACAATAGGTGGCATGCTGAGATTCTTGGCCGGAAAGATAATACCACTGAGCAGGTAATGGCACTGATTGACATCTTTTAAATTTAATTTAATTGAAAAACCGTTGACAGCGGATTGATGAAATGCATAGTGTGAGGAAACATGTAGTGTCTGACTGAAGTGGATGCTGGATCGTCTTCTTTACTTTGCAGGGTTCCATTATTAAGAATCCTCCTCACCAACACCAAAGTACCGCGTAGCACCAAGGTACTTGTTGCCAGGGTGAAGGACAAGATTAACAAGGTACTAAATGGTTTCTTCCCCCCCCTTGAGTTACACTGTAATTAATATGATAGTTGGTAATTTGGCATGGCAGATACTCCAGAGCCTGGCTTTGAGTGTCTCCATAAAATATTGAAATTAAACTCTCAGCCAGGGCCGCTGTGTGCTGTTGCCTTGGTGACTCCAACAGGTGTGCAAAGTGCGGCCTCACACTTGGATCAGTCTGCTGTTTAACATTCTGTATTTTATCAAGCTTTTTTTGCAACATATGCACACAGGAGTTCGTTTGTTTTCACCTAATTTGCAGTGATTTCTTAACGTAGGGATGTGTTGCACAAGCAATGTTGGGGGTATCGGGGGAGTTAATATGCTGTTTTTGTTTTCATCCCCTGTAGTTTCCCTCCATCATGAACCCGGTGCTTGACTCGGTTGATGCCATTTCCTGCAATTGTGAGAAAGTCCTCTCAGAGATGACATGTGAGCCCATAACTGGAGAGCACTACAATATTCTAGAGGTACGAAATATTAACATATTGTATGAAGCATCTTCCATCATGAGGAAAGTCACATCGTTACATCAGTAAAAATATAATCAAAGTACTACTGCTGATTAAAAAACAGCATGTTCTTTTTTCAAGGTAAAATGTGTTAAACCAGATCTGTATTCACATGACTGATTCTAACACGTGTTTACAACAACTGTGTGGTATAATTTTCAGGAGCTCATCGATATTAACCAGCACCATCTGAACGTGATGGGGGTGGGACACACTTCCCTGGACACGCTGTGCCGGGTCACGTTGACCAAAGGCCTCCACAGCAAGCTGACTGGAGCAGGTGGGGGAGGCTGTGGAATCACTCTCCTGAGACCAGGTACTGTTCACTCCGTACTTACTGCTTTTAAATGTTTGGAAAAAAAATTCCAAGAAGTTGTCACAAGTTCAAAGCATAAAATGACTGTAGGCTGCATAAATAGGCTCAACATTGGACTGATTTGTAATGGAAATGATAACACAATTCAGACTTGTATTTATTGTAAACCAATGGACATATGTTTCAACATGCACCTTTTAAACACTCAATAAATAGATCAATATGCTTACAGGCCGATCTTTAAGATTACGTCTAAGCTTCTGATCTTCTGACAAAATCCAATTAATGTGTGAATAGATTAGAATTAGAGGGCACCCTTCACAGGTGATTGATGCTGCCCTTCAACGTGCCAAAATACATAAAAAATTAAATTTGTTCGCACAAAATAAAATTAATGAACAGAAGCATAATTGTCAAACACTCCTCTGCAGAAATTAGAACATTTACAAAACGTCCTCCTATTCTCCTATGCAAGGTCTAAAAGTTAACTCTTAACTTATTGCACAATGTATTAATAGTTACAAGTGTAAGAGCTGCAAAAGGATATCAACGTTTTCTATTGTTTCTGTTATAAACTGCAACCCTAAAGATTTGTTAATCAGTCTTATATACGACTTTAAACCAAAAATTCTTAAAGATGGTATTTCTGAAAGTAAAACCCCTTCACATGGAGGAAAAAACATGGCCCTGAGTCGTGTCTGTGGCCGTGAAGAAGTCAATCTTATTAGAGGAAGAGACCCATTGGACACCGTTCCAATGGAGCCCACATGCTTTCATAATAGTTTTACTTTGCAACACGTGATGCAGGATACAGCGGTTGTTTCTGGAAGTCTGTTGTCTAAACTGGTTTGTGTTTTGTTTGGAGTGACTAAACCTTTGATTTAAAATGGATATGTCCTTTTGTCGGGGGCATTTCTACGTCCTCCAATTGATTTGGCCACATATCAAATTGATTCGCTAAGGGAAGTTTGACGAGCCAAACAAATGTTTGTTTTCCTCAAAGGCTCCCTCACGCTTCCTCCCTGAAACGTGTGTGTGTGTGTGTGTGTGTGTGTGTGTGTGTGTGTGTGTGTGTGTGTGTGTGTGTGTGTGTGTGTGTGTGTTAAATTGTCATTGTTAATTTGAGCCAGATGTGTGCTTAGCATTCGTATTACTGAGCACTTTAATTGGGATTTGGACCATTTAATTTTCAAAAAAACGCAGGGAAATGCCAGACGTTTAGAGGGATCACACACAGAGTCCTCATTTTTTTCTACATCTGTGAGGTCCTTGACTTGAGGGCCGAGGTTTTGTGTGCCTCGGTTGGTGTCCGCTCGCTGTTCCTGACCGTTTGATCCCTGAAAGCGCCGCTGTAGCCGTTTTAGTCGTGTACTTAATCCGTCATCTGTCTCGTTAGCTTGTAATCCATTTTTCTTTCATTGTATAACCGTAGCGCACTGAGCGAACTTCTCTTTGACATGAGTTTGTATAACTTGTTTGTTTTGTAGAAACGGAGTCCTCTGTTGTCCAGACTACGGTGAAGGACTTGAAAGACTGCGGCTTTGACTGCTGGGAAACGAGTATTGGCGGGCCGGGTGTCCAGCAGCACTCTGCTGCCTCGGTAAAGGAGGAGGTTCTGGAGATTTTGAAACGGTACTGAGACTGACGTAAAAAAGTCTTCCTTTAAACTAACAGAAAGGAAACTGCGTCTGTGACAAATGACTGATATTCATGTTGAAATGTTTTAAAATTTACTGCTGTTCAGCCGCAAAGTTGTGTGTATGGAGTCCTTTGTCCACTAGATGTCATCAGAGGCGCTCAAATCCTCTTCATTAAACAACCATTTTATGGTGAGACATTTATGAATTAATATTCAGTTAAAGTTCAGAATTCATTTATAGCTTTATTAAAATTTTAAGCGCAAAAAGGCCAACACATTTTAATGGATCGGACGATTGTCATTAACTGCTCAATCTTGGAAATGTAGCGTCCAATGTTGTTGGAACATTTTTTTTTATACAACCTAATGGTTATTATCCAGATTTTACCACTCTACAAAGAGATGTATGAAAGAATTTGTGCTATTTCTCTCCATCAATATTGTTGGGACCAGGAAACGATGAGGACTGCAAAGGACTTATTTGCTTACAATATGAAAATGATTTGTTATAAATACAGACGTATTCTGCATTCAATCAACATTCAACCTATTGTTTTATTTGTATTTACCTTTAATATAAAAGAGTAGAAAATTAAAAAAAATAATTCTGTGACCTCCTTATCTCATATATTTAGTTTAATGTTTTGTAATCTTATATTTGAAAAGACATGCTGTTTGTTTCTGCAGTTAACAACCTGCTCTCTGTTTTGTTTTGCTAATGGAGGACGGGGAGAGGGGGACAGCAGGAGTGTGTGGCCTCTCTGGAGCCTCTGGATTAGTGCCACTAAAATGTGAATCAACAACCAGCGTCCTTCTGTGACTCACACATTTGTGCTGACACACACACACACACACACACACGCCAGCTTTCCCAAATTCTCCTCCACCTAATTGCACATCCTCCTGAGCATTACGAAATGTTCTGAAATGCCGCAGATCCAAAAAAAGGATCTGTTTAGAATCTCCCTGATTTGGGGAAAAGGTCACAGTGGGATTCAGCAGAGTTGAATATCCATTTCATTTTATATTTTTTAAATGTCATGAAGATTGAGTAGTACGAATCTGGCAGTGTACGCGAGTACACAACATTTGTCACCCTCCCTCTCTTTCCGCCTGGCGCCCCCTCTGTCTTCTTGAATTGTGTCATCTTTATGTCAGGGCAGCCCCCCGTCAGTGCGCCGCACAGTCGTCCCCAACCCCTGCTGGAATTTAATTACCACTGCGCTTTTCAATTGAAATGGCATTGACGAGGGGGGACAAGAGGGAGACAACAGAGCCCGTTTCATTTGAAGCCCCTCTCTTTCTTTACCGTCTCATTCTCTCTCGCTCCTTATACCCCTGCAAGGCACAGATGGTATTTTTTTTTTTTATCAATGTCAGCGCCTGCTTCTTTCTGCTCTGATGAATAGAATCTAAAGAGGCCCTGAGATTATTTCAGATAACAGAGGGAGTGAAGAAAGAGGTCAAGGATGGAGGGAGAATGTCAGAGCGAGAGCGCTGCTGTCCGATCATTTAACATTTAACGTTTAGGGAGTTTTGTCTGGATGGATCAATGTGGCAGAATCACGAATGTATAATTCATTTTTGTCCAAGCAGCAGAAATGAAATGTTAAATGTGAATTCGCTGAGCGGTCACGCTCAGTGTGGCACGTTCCCTCTGGTCCCTCAGTTGACTGTTGAAATGCTTGTCAGGAGCCATTAAGTTTGATCACAGAATTAGACCTGACGGACGAGATCTCACGTTGCTGTCGGCTACTGGTTTTACTAACAGAGATTCAGTTCAGGACTTCCCACAGTGAGCGTCTGCATTAACGTTCAGAGGCCTCTGGATCGCAGCGTGTCGTCTAATCTTATATCGAAAAATGACTTGTGTTTATCAGAATGCACGTCAGGATGTGCGATCGGCCGCAGCAGGGAAGATTTGTGCGGCGAGCATTTCTATCCGCTCACTGACTCTCACTCCTGATGGGCTGTATGATCCTCCTGAGGGGGTGGGGGGGGGGGGGGGGGTTCCAAGTGGTCCGATTAAGACAGAAGGAAACCAAAAGGCCGCCATAGGATTTAGTTTTTAGGATGAACAATGAATTGTTCCTTTTGTCCGAGCTTTTCAAGGCTTTTCCCTCAGTCGGGCAGATGGAAGCGGCTTTCCGTTTATCCATCTTGGACCTCAAATCAATAGCACCATGCGTTGCATATGTTTACCAAAATGATCCAGTGACTATTAGCCAAACTAGTAAACTGAAGACAGAATTTAATATTTCAATCATATTTAATGTCACTTGTTTCATGGTGGCTTTGTTTGAAGCGTGTATTCATGTCAGTGGATTTCCTGCAGGAGATCGGTGGTTCTGCTTGTAAGACCACAGTGCCGCCAGAAGAGCAAAGCAACGTACTCGAGTGGACGGTTGCAGTTGAATGACATATTTCTGGAACCCTAAAGAATGACCCACGATACAGATTAATATCAGTTTATATTCAGATATATATATATAATCAGAATCTTTTCACTGCCTTATGTTGAGGTCAGTTAACTGAAAGTTAACTTATCGCTACAAATAGATCCTGGTGCCCTTGATGAGAGTATAAATAAGTTTTATATAGATCAAAAAGTAGCCCAACAATAGTACACTCTTAAACTAATACATTTTCATGCTGTCCCCGTTCACTGCTTTCTACACCGGCATCGGGTAGACGCCTCACACAACCCCTCTTGTAAACACCGGACGATCCCCTTTACTCACCGCCTCAGAAAGCCCGTTTGAAATGAGGCCTGCACCTGGAGGATTGTTTGGTCTACAACTGGGCTCCGCTCGTGTTTATCTTATGCACCCACATTGTACAGACCTGCTTGAGCTGCACTGTAAACATCTAAGAGACATGACACAGAGCGACTCCCAGTTCACTTCCCATTTTCTATCATAGAATTGACCGTATCATGTCGTCGTATCGATCCTGTAATTGATTCTGTGAAGACGAGGGCACCTGCCACGTACTCTGTCATCCCCCGGCGCCATGAGCGCCGTTGTCTAATTGCAGGCCAAGGCGCAGTTTTTTTTTTTTTTTTCTTGTTGCCTTTGAGAAGGCTCATTGATTTTTATACCACCCTTCATCCTTGCTCCGTTTCAAGAGCAAATCCCTGCTGTTACAGTCGCCCAGAAATGCAGAAGTATGAAATCTGCCCGTGCTTTTCGCGAGGTGATATTCAAAGACGATTGCTCTTGTGTTATGATTACGATTGCTCATATGGGACCAGTTGAACAGGTGGTTGTGTTGAGAACACCCTCATCAGACTGGTAAGGTCAAAGTTCACACTGCCTGTTTCACACTGGTTGTTTTTTGTTAAATCTTGAAAGAGTCGACTCAGTATTTCCTTTGAGTAAATTAATTTTCTTTTTGTTTACAATGTATAGTAAAGTCAAGTATAATACATTATACTTTGACAATACATTTCAGACTGATACCAGTAATCCATTGTAAAATATATATGTTTTTGTCAACCTATAAACAGCAGTTTATAAATAAATGTATTCAGTGCAGTAGCGGTGTATATAGAACAAAAATATCCTAAATGAAATTTGATTTGCATTCATTTAAGAAGCAGCTTATCCAACATTCATACTTTCAACTTGCTCTGAATTAGAAATAGGTTCTCATCATTTCTCTGGGTTGCAGCCAATTTATTGGATTCAGTTTTTTTCCTCTCTCTCTCTCTCTCTCTCTGAGCCCCGGGGAGGAGGATGATCTCAAAATGTTATCACATGACACTGTGTGATTGATGGACCATTAAAATGTCAGCCAGATGTACTTAAAACCACAGCTTTTAGGTTGATAAATTACGCCACAAATGGCTACATAAAGCTGTTAGAAACAAATATTCCCATCTAGAGCTATTCTGCAGGCAGAAAGTAATGGATTTTCTCGCCGCTTGTCTGTCTCTCTGTATGTATCTTTCTGCACATTTTCTCCTCTCCCAGTGTGTCCCAACCGCTGCAGTCATGTAATCACAATGGTACAGGTAGGAGTGTTCATATTTCATCTGCTGCATTCACGATAACATCTCATAATCCGAAAGCGTTGCAAAATTGGTATCTCGTCGCTCATGCATTATGAATGAGTCACTGATTGCTTTTTTGCATAGATTAGCAATCATTTCACCAAAACTGTTCGTATAAAAATGTGCCAGGAGGGTTATCTGTTTTTTTCTGAAGAGTTGAGGTGACACATCCCGCCACTCCTTCAGATAAGACGGATCAGGTGATACCACTTCTCCCCTTTGCTCCTCTGCTCCTTCTTTTGCTCTCCGATTTATTCCTCCATGCATATCATCATGGGGTCGGAATAAGTGTAATTCACAGCCCACTTTGCAGCTGATTGCTCACTTAGTGAATATATTCAGCATCTGCAGTGTTATTGTGTTTGGAGCCAAGTAGCTAAGTACCACTGAGATTCCTCGGCATCAAAGTAAACATTTGCTGACTCCAGAAGGGCACCGAGAGAAGCAAATCTTCTCCGAAGCTCTGAGATTGTGCTCCACGGATCTCAGTGACCTCTGGTCGTCCTGACTTGAAGCCTCGGATTGGCATAACACATAAGGGGCTCATATGGTCTAGTGGGTAGGAAAATAGGCTGGTGACCAGGACGCAGTGTGAAGTCCCAGCTGAAGTTTACATACCGCTTTTGTTTCCTGGCAGGCAAATAACCAGTTTCACGTGTTCCTGCCTCATCCGCTGCAACGCAGACTCAAACATATTTCACAAAAGCACTTGAAGAGTTTTTCCAAACCGTGTGAGCCGGGAAACTGTGATTGTTTTATTGTTGCTGAGATGACCGTGTCGACCCGACATGAGAGTGGAGTGAGTTCAACATAAAAGGACTTTGTTCGAAAATTCATGTTAAAGCTGTTGTTTGAACTTGGATTTCAGCACTTTCTTGTGGCCGACTGAATAACGAAGTAAGAGTGTCAACAGCAGGAGGTGTGTGTGTGGAACGTTCGATGCGTCGTAACCCTTGGCCTTTGCCCCCCCCGCATGGGCAGACTCTCAGCCAAGGCCCTGTGGAGGTTGGTGCCCTCTGCCTGACAGCCTGTCACTGCGCTATGGTGGTGATTTCTTTTTCTTTTTTTTCCGCAGGAGATGGTGTCTGATTGGGAGCAGTGTGTGAATAGCCCTGTCACACTCGATAAGCCAGCAAGACGACCTGTGACGGGGACATATGGCATGTTTGACAGGGGGAGAGGGTGCGAATCGCACTGAATGATAAAATGGTGTTTTTTTTTTCCCCCCTTCGGCAATGTCATGCTTTCAGGCAAGCGTGCGGACCATCGCTCACTCAAGCGGCTGACTCCGGCCTCCTTGTGACATCTCCTTCAAGGTCCGGGCTTTTCTCTGCAGTTCTGACACTGCGAGCCTGCGCCGCGCACAGCTGCTCCGTTAGCTGGTCGATGTCGAGAACATAATTGGCTATCAGTTTAGTTTAGTGATGCAGACCGGGACGTTTATTGCAAGGACCCGTTTGCCAGAGCTCCGTATAAAGCTCAGTGGTGCCGCAGCTCTCTGTCCTGTCTCGTTACCGATTAATACGCACGCGGCCTCGTCGGACCACTGTAGTCGATGGGTTCAGCCTCCTCGGGACCCTGGTTTGTTTCGAGGGTCGTGGACACGTGAGGAAAGGAAAAGGAAACGAAAGGAGCTTCCTCCTTTTGACGACAGGCTTGGATTTTAAGTACGTTGGGGAAGTAATTGAGTTGAACTGCACACCTCTCCTCATTGTCAGCTAGGTCTTGAGTCCTGGTGTTGAAGCCTCA